CCCACCAGTACCAGTCCCGGCTTCATGACACGCCTCTACCGCCGCGCCTCGGGCAGCCGTCGAGGCCCAACCTCCGTCTCTGCCCTCTCTCCCTGGGACGAGGTGGGAGACTGCTGGTGCGCTACGACTAAACCCAGCAAGAACCAAAACCCACACCAAAGCGACAAGATCAAGAGCCAAAACAAGATCCAGCTTGCCGTCGAGCTTGGCCAGGCCATCGTGCCCGAAGAGGTGATCGTCGAACACATGCCCCGAGAGGCCACGCTTGACAACGGCGCCGCCGCACCGCAGCTCATGGAACTCTGGGGCGAGTACGAAGAGGCCGAAAAGGACGAACCGCTTAAGGAGAGGCTGGCGCGAGTGTGGCCGGGGGAGCCGCAGTCGGCCTATGTCAACGAGCCGTCTCTGGGCCCGTCTTTCGTCCGCCTCGGCCGCTGGCGCTACGACATCCATCACCCTCACTCTCAGCATCAGCATGACCACCAGTATCACCACATCCAGCGCTTCCCTGTGCAGGCGTCGTCTGTCATTGAGCGGAAGACGAAGAGGGTCGTCGTCGTGGCCCGGACTAACTGGGGCCAGCGCGAGTACACCTGCATCTACCGCGTGCGACTCCACGGCCGTCCTTGACTGTACTTTACTGTTACTCTTACTCTACTCTTACTCTTACCCTACTGTTACCTTCTGTCTCTTCTATGGCGTCTACTAGTGGAATGCCATCGTGTGTCTATCTGCTGTCTATGCCTGTCTATCACTGTCCATCCCTCCCCATGTCAAGCAGGATGGCCCAAGAGCCGTCTCAGATAGACTAAGTACCTCTCTATGTACTATTTACTACTTCTACCTCTTCTACTTCCTCTACTTCTGCAGGGGCCGCCCGAGGTTTCAGCGTGTATCATCTTCATCCTCTATTCGTCTATCTTAAACCGCCGTCTCTCTTCCTCTTCCTCTTCCTCTTCATCTTACTGTCTTCATCTTCTAGAAGAGCCATCGAACATCCTTCATCTCATCTTCTCCTTCATCATCCTCGCTTGTGCAGCCATCCTCGTCCTTAACGCCTGCTGCTAAGTCGCCAACTACTCGCTGCTACTAAGAAACTACCGCTTACTAGGCAAACGAGGCTTACTCTGCCTCTTGTTTCTTTTCTTCTTCCTGTTTCCTTTTGTTTATTTGCAAGGATGCAGCGGTTATTTAACTTGTAGGCAGAGGCAAGTAATAACAGTCGCTGCTTATGCACATCATCTCGTCTACCTTCATCTCTTCATCTTATTCATCTTATTTATCTTGTCTCTTCGTCCTTCCTCTCCTTGTCCATGACTGTCCTGTCCGTCTCATCTCGCCTTCGTCTTCGTCTTCGTCTTCGTATCTTCTTCACCGTCTACTAACTACTACATCTTCTACTGCAAGCATCTACCTCGGTCGAGCGGACTCGGGTCGGTGGAAGGGCGGGAAGAGAAGATGCAAAGGTCAGCAGAGAAGAAGAAGAAGAAGCAGTAGAGTAAGTAAAAGTAGACAGTAAAGAGTAGACACTTCTTCATCATCATCATCATCTTCTTCTTCTTCTTCATCTACAGTAAGAGTAAAAGAATAAAGAGAAAGAGTAAAGAGAAGAAGTAACCAAGTCTTGCCTCCCCCTGAACTTCTTTACTTCTTCTTCTTCTTCCTCGAACTTCTCGACAGCCACGAAAGAAGCAAAAAAGGGGCGTCTCTCTCTCTCTCTTCACTCTTTTCACTCTCTACTCTTTGCTCTCTTCTGCTTCTTCGTCTTCTTCCTGTTTATTCCTGTTACTCTTAATTACTTTAGTTACTCTTAGTTACTTGCACGTCGAGTCCTACTTTTCCTTGCTTGGCGACGCTTTTTCTTCTTTCTCCTTTTTTTTCCCTCGTTCCTCGCATGAAAACGCGGATTCTGATATCACATCTTCTGATTCTGCTTCTCTTCTTCTTTAGACCAAGGGCAGACAGCGAGAAGGTCGACTTCTTCTTCCTTTTCTTCCTTTTCTTCTTCTCCTGCTTCTGCCTCTCTTAGATGCTCTGTCTTCCCTCGTCGTCGTCGCTCCATCGGTGACGGGCCTGCATCGTCACATCCCAGCATCACCAACCACCACCAAACTCCGACTTCCACCCACCACTTCTACGACTCCCACGACAATCCACGGACAGCATCACATCTCGACCTACGACAGACAGACAGAGGGAGGCATGGCCCAGTCCCCGCCGGCCTCGCCCTCCCGCGCTGCCTTCAACCGTCCCGTCAGTCTCATCATGCGCCCGTCGCGGAGCAACAGTCGCATGAGCGTCGGCAGCAGCACCAACAACAACAACAACACCACCACTACTACTAATAATAACAAACACTGCGGCAGCGGCATCTCGGACGACGATGCCAGGACGGCCGTCAAAGTCGGTCAGTCATTCTATTTACTTTTCTTCTTCTACCATTACACAACAGTGTGCTAATCTAATTGATGGTGATGTAGTTGTCCGTGTACGGCCCCCCCTGCAGCAGTCGGACCCAGGCTTCGATCTCATCCCCCAGCGATTCCAGCGGCCGACCGTCCATGTCACCTCGCCGACCTCCCTCGCCATAGACGCCCCCCAGGGCCGCAAGCTCTTTGTCTTTGACCGCGTCTTTGGTGAGACCGTCGACCAGGAGGGCATCTGGGACTACCTGCACGACAGCGTCAACTCCTTCTTGCAGGGCTACAATGTCTCCATCCTCGCCTATGGCCAGTCCGGAGCTGGCAAGTCGTACACCATGGGCACCTCCGGCCCTTCAGAGCAGCACGACTCAAAAGCCATGGGTTCGTCTCTTTCTCTTCCTCATTCTTTTTACTCTCTCAATTGATCACGGGTATTAATAGCTGTTGTTGATAGGAATTGTGCCGAGAGCGGCGCAGATGCTGTTTGAGACACTGACCGGCTCACCCACACACCAGAGGAGCTTCTCGGGCTCGCCTGTCACTGGCCTGCGGACGCCCCAGAGATACTCGTCGTCGTCCCTTGGCCGGGGTGCCGCCTCAGACAAGTCCTGGCAGATGCGAGCTACCTACGTCGAGGTAATTGCCTCTTATATTATTATACCCTTCAATTTGACTCAATTGACCCATTGACCCAATTGTTGATACCCGGCTAATATTAACTACTGATAGATATATAATGAACAATTGAGAGACCTGCTGCTGCCAGAGTCCACTCCCCCCGGTGAGAGAAACACAGTCACCATCCGCGAAGACACCAAGGGCCGCATCATCCTCACTGGCCTGCACCAGGTCGCCATCAACTCCGTCGAGGACCTCATCAGTGCCCTCAACTTTGGCTCGGCCATCCGCCAGACTGACTCCACGGCCATCAACGCCAAATCTTCCCGCTCACACGCCGTCTTCAGCATCAATCTCGTCCAGCGAAAGGACAGCACTGCATCCGCTACTACTGCTGCTGCTGCTGCTGGCATGACCCCCTCTGCACAGGAGAAACGCTTCTCCATACCCTGCTCAGAGTCCTCGGCCTCGGGAGACCTGGTCACTGTCGACAGCAAACTGCATTTCGTCGACCTCGCAGGCAGTGAACGTCTCAAGAACACCGGTGCCTCCGGTGAGCGCGCCAAAGAAGGCATCTCCATCAACGCCGGACTCGCCAGCCTGGGAAAAGTCATCTCCCAGCTCTCTTCCCGCCAGCAGGGCTCCCACGTCTCCTACCGCGACTCAAAGCTCACCCGTCTGCTCCAGGACTCCCTCGGCGGAAACGCAATCACCTACATGATCGCCTGTGTCACTCCCCCCAGAGTTCCATCTTTCAGAGACCCTCAACACCGTCCAGTACGCCCAGCGTGCCCGCGCCATTCAGAGCAAGCCTCGTATCCAGCAGATTTCAGACGAGAGCGACAAACAGGCTGTCATCGAACGCCTCAAGGCCGAAGTGGCCTTCCTCCGCCAGCAGATTCGTAACGCTGACGGCGGCGAGCGGGATCGTCGCGCGCTCACGCCACAGGAGCGATCTGACCGCCAGAACGAGCGGGAACGCGAGCTGCAGAACCACCTCCTCGACGTCCAGGAGAGCTATACCGCCCTCAGCCAGCGCCATGCTAAGCTCATCTCAGAGCTCACCAAGGCTTCCAGCGACGGCACCGCTGACGATGACGCCAAGAATGCAGGAGGTGATGCCTCCATGGAGCGGCTCAAGCGCTCGCACTCATTCGCCGAGTCCGTCGAGCAGGTTGTCATGGAATACGAAAAGACCATCCAGTCCCTCGAGTCCTCTCTCTCCCAGACCAGAGCTTCCCTCTCCACCACAGAAAGCAGCCTGCTCGAGCGAGAGACAAAATGCGCCTACATCGAGACCGTCAACGGCCAGCTCCAGGCTCGCATGCAGAAGATGCTCGACCGCGAAGCCAACACCGAGAGCTACCTCCACGATCTCGAGTCCAAGCTCGACGGCCATGCCTCCGGTGAAGAGAAGAACGCTGTCATCGTTGCAGAGCTCAGAAAGGAGCTCAACCGCGCCAGAGAGAATGAAGCCAGCTGCGAAGACTACATCTCTACCTTGGAGGAACGCCTCGCCGAAGCAGACCAGGACATGGAACTCATGCAGTCGGAGATGGACCGCCTCGAGCATGTCATCGACCGCCAGCGAAGCCTGGGCAAGCTTGACAACCTCCTCTACGAACTAGACCATGTTCAGAACGGTACTAATGCTACCACCAATGGCTTCAAGCCGGACTACGTTGGTGATGGCAAGAAGATGGCCTCCTCTGGCAACGGCAGCAGCAATATCATGCGGCCCAAGAAGACCAGAAATAGGACTCACTCGCTCGACGTCCTCACCGAAGCCGTCGAGACCGCCATTCCAGAGTCCGACGATGACTTGCTTCTAGCCGAAGGCTCTAACCCTTCGTCCATCCAGGAAGAAACCGCTCTTGACCTTGCCAGAGACGACGCCGGTCTTGCCGCCCTCGAGCGAGCCACTCCAACCAACCCTACTTTTGGCAGAGATGCCCGGGGAGACGACGACGACGATCATGAGCCAGAGCCATACACGCCCAGCGCAGCTCAGTCCCAGTTCGTCGCCGAGAAGCTCGACAGCGTCACCCAGGAGCTGTTCGACCTGCGCATCCAGCACGACCACTCCATGAACGAGTATGCCCTGCTCAACGCAAAGTACCAGGAGTCTCTGCGTGCCATGGCCGAGCTCCAGGACGCCATCGACGAGGCCCGTCACAGCCAGCGCTCCCAGAACCCGGTGCAGCCGGCCGTCGCTTTTTTAGACACCAAGGTCGCTCAGAACGGTCAAGTCAAGACCAACGGAACAGCCAACAGCAGATATTCTGTCAATGGTGGACCGTCCTCGCGCTCGCTGTCTTCGGAGTTGTCCTCGGCAGAGCAGGCCAACAGCTCCTCTTTCGCTTCTTCCACTACTACGCATAAATCAGACCAGACGCACGCATCAAGCGATACTGAAGTCGAAGCCGAAGCAGAGACAGGAGAAGAGACCGAACTTGTCAAGAAACTCAAGGCAGAGCACCAGCAGGCCCTGGACGCTGTCACCAACAGGTTCAACGAACTCCAGATGGAACACGAAGACAGCCTGACCCTTGTCGAGAGCCTCAAGGACGAAGTCATCAAGTACAAGAACGCGGCCTCGTCTCCTCCACACACCCCTAACGTCATCCGTCGCATCACCAGTCAGAGCTTGATGACAGTCGACCGCGCCCACAGGAACCTGTCGGCTCTCCGTATCCAGGCCGCCGAGGAATTTGAGGGTCGTCCTGAAACACTCCAGAGTTTCGACCAAAAAATCGACTCAGCCCTGCGCGAGCTCAGCTCTCGCATGGAACGTATTCAGGCCCTCGAAGCTGAAAACAAAAACGTCAAAAAGGAAATGGAGACCAAGGCTACCATCATCTCTGGCCTCACCAGAGAACGCTCGAGTCTGCAGTCTGTCTCTCCCGTCGACATGACCGTCGTCTCCCAGCTACGAGACCAGATCGTCAATGCAGAGACCCAGATGGCCGAGATGAAGGAAGTGCACGATGCAAAGGAGCGCGAGCTCGCGGAGGAACTCAAGTCAGTCAACGCTCTCGTCGATACACAAAAGGCTGAGCTCGACTCCTTGCGAAAGGAGGTCGATGAATGGAAGAACAAACACCGCGAGACCTCTGAGGAGTTGGTCGCCGTCCGAGGCCGACTCGAAGCCTCAGAGAAACAGGTTCATGCTACCATTGCCGAGCTCGAGGCTTCCCTGGCCAACGTCGATGCCATGCGCGGTGACTCCAGCAGCAACAAGAAGGGCACTGTTTCCGCAGGTGAAGCTGCTGCTACCGCTGACGCGTTGGAGAAGGAGAGGTCTCGACACCAGGAGCTGGTTGATAGTCTGAAGCAGGAGATTGATGGCCACAAGGCAACAATTGGTGCCCATTTGGCCAAGATTGCTACTCTCGAAAACGATCGTGAAGGCTCTCGTGCTGTAGTGGACGATCTTGCCAGCTCAGGCGACGAATTGGCTACTCACAAGGCTCGCGTTACCGAACTCTCCAGAGATATCGAGGTGCACAAGTCTACCGTTGAAGCCCAGCAGTCTCAGCTTGAGACTCTTCAGCTTACTCACAAGCGCGAATTGCTCGAGCAGGAATCCAAGGCCAAAGCCGCTGCCGAAGCACAGTACGAGTCTCAGCTAGCTGAAAAGGCCGCCGCTCACGAATCTGCTCTTGACGAATTGCGTGCCGAGCTCACCAAGTCCAAGGATGAGTCTGCCCAGATTCTCAAGACCATCTCCTCCCTGCTCAAGAGCCAGAGTCCCGTCACTCCGTTCACCCTCCAAGACCAGCTGCAGGATGTCCTCTCACAGAAGGACCAGTTCGCTGAGAAATACTCTAATCTTATGGACACGAACGAGTCCTTGACCCGCCAGCTTGACGAGAAGGCCGAAACACACTCTACACTTGAGAAGCAGATCGTCGACCTCAAGAACAAGGCCAACGAGCATGAAATGAAGGTCAATGATCTTGCGGTGCTGGTAGCCACGCATGAAGAGGCGATTGCAACCAAGGAGGCCACTATCGAGGAGATCAAGGCCGAGAAGGAGAAGAGCATTCGTCTGGTCGAAGAACTGGAGGAACAGATCACCTCTTCGTTTGATCAGCATAACAACCGACTCTCTGTCATCCAGGCCGAGAAGAGCCTTGCCTTGGAAGAGGCAAAGGCCAAGATTGCTGCACACGACAAGGAGATCGAGACCTATCGCACTCGTATCGAACAGTTGGAGGTATGTTTACAACCTGGCTTGGTCTTTGAAAAGAATGTATATCCTAACGTATCACAGGCACAAAATCGTCCAATCTCGCCAGAAGGAGGCCACCCAGTCGACCGAAGCTCGATGTCAACCAACCTCCGCAAGAGCTCATCCGCAGCCTCTCTGCCCTCTCCACCCCCCGCCATCCCTCTCCCGCCACTCCCCAACATTGCCGCGGCCGCAAACCCAGCAAGCATCTCTCCGCCCTCGTCCCGGCACCAGAGCAAGGAACTCGCCAACAACCAGTTCGTTGAGGACCAGGAAGCCCGCATCCGCACCATCGAGAAACATCTACACGCCGAGAAGCAGCTCACCGCCACCCTGGAAGAAGCCCTCGGCGACCTCGAGGCTCAAAGCAACAAAGTCAAATCAGACATGGAACTATGGAAGAAGAAAGCATGGCAGCTCGAGGAAGAAGTCACCACCTTGCGATCAGAGCGTAACTCTGCTCGTCTCTCCCTGCAGGCCGTGGAGGAGGAGAGAAGCGCGCGCAGAGAAGCAGAGGCTGCTCGTGCCCATCTAGAAGAGAAGATGAATGCAATCAGCAAGAAGAAGAAGAAGAGCACCCTCAACTGCTTCTAATCTTTTTTTTCCTATGCTCTGCTTCGTCTTTGCTTCTTGCTCTCTTCCCGTTTGATGTCTGTATTTTATTGATCACGCTATTGATGAGTCTACGCCCCCGGCTATGCCTGAGCCTGACTCTGAGCCTGAGTCGGAGTCGACGATGCGGTTGATGGTCTTGCTTCCATCGACCAAGTATCTACAGCAGCCCTCCCCCTTTCCCGTTTTTCCTTTCCATCTAAATCCCCCTCCTCCCTTTTCTACGTAACGTACCGATTGGATTGGATTGGATTTTTCCTTATTTATCTCTACTTTTTCCTTTTCTTTTTCTCCTTACCTCCTACTCTACTTATTTTGATATCCCTTGTTACTGCTGTCTCGTTTCCTTCCCGCCAATTGTGTATAAAATGCCCTTCCCCCTCTCCCGCTCTACGATTTAGATGCTAAAGAGCTCCCTTTTTCTGTTTCTGACTTGACTGGATTGGACTGATTTGACACCGTTGATATCTTAAACGACTTTTACTACCTACCTCCCTATCCCCTTATAAAGACAGATTCCCTCCACGCTTATGCTTACGGCCGGAATTTCCCTAATAGTTTTTTTTCTTTTCAAGCTCTTTCTCTTTTTTCTTCATTTCTTTTTTCCTCTTTCCTTTTAATCTCCTAGTTTTAACTATTATTTTCTTTTTTATATCGGTATCTATCCAAAGCCATACAAGACACGGCACACGGCATACTTATCCATTGACGAAGAGAAGATTCAAGAATGTACCAGCCCCGAGGGCTATTTCTTTACTTATTTCTATTGTTTATTACTATTCTTATACCTATTATTTTTATTTTTATCTTCCTCTCCCCTTTTCTTCCGGTAATTAGTTAGTTAGCTTCGCCTTTAAATGTATCTATTTTTCTCCTTCGCCTTCGAATGTCATTCTTTGCTTCTTCTTCCTCCCCTTAATAACGGCTTTTTGATATCACGTGGGTGACTATGACTTCATCCGCCAAAAAGTTAACAAGTAAACAAAAGAAAGACGAAGACGACGACGATGGACAACTAGATAAATATATAATAGATAAACGATGTCGACTGCAGGGATGAAGAATAACCGGAAACGATACAATATTATCTTCGTCCACCCCGACCTCGGCATTGGCGGCGCAGAACGCCTGATCCTCGACGCTGCGCTTTCCCTCCAAGCCCTCGGCCACAAGATAACCATCTACACCTCCCACCGAGACAAGAGCCATTGCTTCGATGAAGCTCGCGATGGAACACTGGACGTGCGCGTACACGGCGACAAGCTGTTTCCAGCACATATCAAGGGCCGATTCCATGTGCTGATGGCCATACTACGCCAGCTCAGTCTGGTCTACTACCTCTCCGAAAGCACGAGTACCAACGAAGACGAAGACGAAGACGACGTATTCATAGTCGACCAGGTTCCGGCCTGCGTTCCTGTCCTTCGAGTATTACGAGATATAACGAGCCGGAAACCACGGAAGAAGAAACAACGGACTCTATTCTACTGTCATTTCCCTGACCAGTTACTTGCGCGGCGAGGGGAAGGGGGCCTAGCATTGAGAGCTCTGAAGATGCTATACCGTTTCCCATTCGACTGGTTCGAGGGTTGGGCTATGAACGGCGCAGATAGAATTGTAGTCAATTCCCGGTTTACCAAGGGAGTAGTGCGGGAGGTATTTGGGAATACTGGGAGAGATGTACAGGTTGTTTATCCATGTGTGGACACGAAGAGAAAGGAAACATCAGATGTGCTAAAGATCGATCATGGAGAGCTATGGGGTGGGTTGAAGATACTGTTGAGCATTAATCGGTTTGAGAGGAAGAAGAATATCGAGCTTGCGATACGCGCTTATCATGGCATCGCGGAGGCGGACAGAAAAGGCACTAGGCTGGTGATTGCTGGTATGTCTTGTCTTTTGCTATTGTATATCATCCCTTGCTAACTGCGATTTTACTAGGTGGCTATGATAATCGAGTATCTGAAAACGTACAGTATCATAAAGAGCTAGATGCGCTTGCAACTCAACTCGGTTTCCAAACAGCTACCTCTCAAACAGTCGTATCAGCCATGTCTGTCCCAGACTCGATAAATGTTCTGTTCCTCCTCTCCGTCCCGTCCGCATTTAAAGAAACGTTGCTCTCCTCCTCGAGCTTGCTGCTATACACCCCATCGTACGAACACTTCGGTATTGTCCCCGTGGAGGCAATGTATGCTGGCCTACCGGTTCTTGCAGATAACACTGGCGGGCCCCTAGAGACCATCGTCGAGGGGAAAACCGGCTGGCTCAGATCATCGAAGGAGATCTCAGGCTGGACAGAGGTCATCAACTATGTTCTGCAGCGTATGTTGACGGCGGAGCGTCTTGAAATGGCCAACTATGCAAAGCAGCGGGTTGAAAAGGAATTCTCCCTCCACGCCATGGGCGAGAGACTCCAAGATCAAATTGACGAGATGGTCCAAGCCGAATCTCGCGCATTTCTCCCACTTGGGGCAATGCTTGGACTTGGCCTTGTCCTCGGCGTGGTATCTGCACTTCTCATCTGGCTGGCCATGAGTTGAGATTTAAATTTACAACGCAGCACATTGTAGAATCAAGAGATATACAAGCGAAATTATATGCGCCAATGTGTCTGCTATAACGACCAGAGTACGGCCTCTCGGAACTTGCCATCTATTTAACTCATCTACTCGTGCCCATATGCTGCACCTTTACTGACCCATAAACCAGAGGCAAAAACTAACATTCCAACGACCAAGGATGACGGCCCAAGAATAGCGTCTCCGCGTATAGCCAGGATCTGGCTGGGATAAGGGATTCCCCGCGTCCAAGAGATATTTCGGTTAAATCCTTTCATGGATGCATTGCTTGTTAGCTGGTGGAGCAACTCGATCCCTTGCGATATGATGCAAAGCGTCCAGGGGATGCGCAGAAAATCTCCAATACGACCAACGCCCAACTGGCAGACGGCGTCGGCATGGGGGGACGTAACCATAACAACTCCGGCACACGAACAGCATCCCGGGTCCATATTTCAGGTTCGGAACAGTCTTTGTTGTCGATGGAAGGATACGGAGTTCGGAATACGGGGTAACTATAGAAACAACCGTTATCTTTAGAGAGTCGGAGCAGCATATTATTATTATTCTTCTTGATTTCTAGCCGTGTTGTGGGATCGAAGTTAAGAGTCATATCTGGTGCTTTATCACTTTCGGCCAGCTTGCTCCCTGTCAATATGGCCCGTACAGGACCCCTACCAGGCCGCTGGCGTGCTCGCACACATGATGGCTCTTTGACGGGGAAGCTGGGGGGTAGTGGAAATTTGGGAATCCCGCTGCTGGCGCTCTCGTGCTGGCATTAATGATGGATCAATGACGGGATTATGGTAACGGATTACGGAGTTAATGCCCATATAAGTGACTTGACCGGCGGAGACAGACTCCTGGGCACCTGGCAGCTTGACAGCACAGCACCCGTACCAACATCTATCAAAGAGTTTTAGCCTTTGCCTCTATCGTGTTCCCCAGTTAGCGAACAAGCTAGAAGACGGCTCATCCTAGCTGGCGCGCCCTTGATATACTTTCTTGTCGATCCCTTTAAGAAGTTTCTACGGCCAGCATTCCCTGACTTGCCCGCTGGCTAGGCCAATATGAGCTCACGGTCGGTGTATTCGGGTTGCTTACGCCGGGTCGTCATTATTAATTAAATATACGAGGGAGGGGAAGGGCGTTGAGCTGCTAGGGATACCCGGGAGTTGATTCTGTGTCTGTTATGACGGGCTGGGGTTAGATCTTTCCAGTGTCTATAAATGTGCGGACGTGCCCGGCTGTGATTCCATGGCTTTAGCTTCTCAGGCAGCAAACAGCCAATTCCTCTCTATACACCTTCACAATGGCTCCTGAAAGGCGGTCCCGACTCAGCGAAACTGCTGGCCTCTTTGTCTCGCTCCTGGCTCTCACCAGCATTGTACCGGTGCAAGCGGTTGCCACAGTGCCTCAGACAGATTATGCAAAGCGTGCTGAGAGAGTACTCAGAAGCGCCCCATTGATCGATGGACACAATGACCTCCCTTATGCCATCCGAAAATCCACCCGTGACCAGATCTATGACGGGAAGCTTCCTTTTGAGACTTCCCTGAAGGGCCATACTGATCTCCCCCGAATGCGAAAGGGCCGTATGGGTGGACAGTTCTGGAGTGTGTTCATTGCTTGCCCTTCAGACCCTAACGCTCCAATTGATTTGCCCACGGTATGGCATGAGGCATAGAATTTACTGAACATTGCGTCCAATGCTAACGGGGTTAATAGTTCGCGACTAGGGATACTCTCGAGCAAATCGATGTTGCAAGACGACTTGTAGACAAGTACTCGAAGGATCTCATGTTCTGCGATAACCCCGGCTGCGCAAAGAGAGCCTTCAGACAGGGTAAAATCGGCAGTTTCCTTGGTATTGAGGTATGTCACTTTTTTTTGGGTGTCCCCTGTCCTGGCTGCAGCTGCATACTTACCTCATACATGTGAATAGGGAGGCCATCAAGTCGGCAGCTCCATTGCGGCCTTGCGCCAGGCCTTCTACGCCGGAGCTCGATATATGACCATCACTCACAACTGCGACAATGCATGGGCAACTGCTGCTTCCACCGTCAGAGCTGGCAAACCCGACTTGGGTATGACCGACTTCGGCCCTGCTTTGATCAAGGAGATGAACCGTTTGGGTATGCTCGTCGACCTTTCACATGTGTCCCATCAAAGCATGAGAGATATCTTGAAGGTCACCAAGGCGCCGGTCATCTTCTCTCACTCTTCTGCCTATGAAGTTTCCAAGCACCTGCGTAACGTTCCCGATGACGTTCTCAAAACGGTTGCTAAGAACAACGGCGTTGTCATGGTCACTTTCGTGCGCACTTTTGTTAACGTCGATGACCCTGATTCTGTGGATGTTAATACCATCGTTAAGCACATCTTCCATATTGCGAAGGTTGCTGGATGGGACCATGTCGGTCTCGGTGGTGACTACGATGGTACCACTGAGCTCCCAAAAGGCCTTGAGGTAAGCTAAAAGCACGCTGGCGACTACAATTAGGAAGAAAAGAGACCCCAAGCTGACAGGTTTTGCGTGTTTAGGATGTTTCGAAGTATCCATATCTCATCGAGAAGGTGCTTGAAGCCGGTGCCACTGAGGAACAGGCCCGCAAACTTGTTGGAGAAAACGTTCTTCGTGTCTGGACCGAGGTGGAGCAGATCGCAAAGAAGATCCAGAGATCTGGAGCTCTCCCTGTCGAGGAGGTCTGGAAGGGCAGAAATGGAACTGCTCTCTCGGAGCGATCCACGTTCATTGAAGGACCAGCCCCGCTTGCGTATGGATGCGACTAAGAAGTGACTGTATTTATTATTGCATGACATATCACGCCGATTCTGGGATATGAGTTTAATGAATATGAATACGTATCATCATCGTTCATCTCCTGTCGATGCTGTAGATCCGTTTCTTGTGCCAAATGAAATCGCCAAAGCCACTTTTAGAGTGGTCTTGATTAGTAATAAAGTGGATAACGTGACCACGCGTTTAACCGTATGTTTGTTTAGTCGCGAACTTTGTGTTTATCAAGTTTCAGCCCGCGTTTGACGACACAACGACAAGGACAGCGATAAGGAACGGACGGCGGCAGTGAGGAAAGGGAGGAAAGTCAGCTAGTCCCTGAGTATCTCTACATTTCCCGCCTTCCTTTGGCCAGCAGGGAACCTTTTTTTTTTGGTACTACTTGGAGCTGTTCTGGATAGTTTGGTTTGGTTCATGGCTGATGGTTGCTAGGCAGAGCAATCAGGGGTCAAAGTTGACAACATCACAGCCATGGTCCAAGTCATCAGCTTATTGTCGTCTTCCCCAGCAGTTGTGCCTAAGAGACCGGCAAATGAGAGTCTAGAAGCTAGTTTTGGTATACTAGACAGCCCTTTGAATGCGCCCTCTGAGAGGGTAGATGACTCGCTGTTCGAATATGGCGACTTTATCGACAGCTCGGCAACGAAGAGAAGAAGGCTAAGCCCGCCCGTGGACCGGAATGTTCATACCACCAACCACATCACACCTCTTAAGTCTCCTGGTTTTATCTTCTCGGACATCTCGGATTTCAACAGTATAGGAAACACTCCTATTATACCCCCGGCTACGTCAAAGCCAAAAGAAACTGCCAACAAAGCATCGACATCATGGGATCTCGCTCAGGATGACCCTATTCTCTGCTCGTCTTCTGCGCCTAACAACCAGGTTCAAGAGGAGACTTCAAAAAAGCCAGCAACTATAGTTATCGATGATGATGACGACGATAATGACGATTTCTTGGGCCTTAACCTAGCACCTTTGGATGATATTGATGATAACAACGACGACGACGATGATGATCTCTTCGATCTTGGTGCGCCACGGTCTTCAAAATTTGGTATTTCAAAGCAGACTTCACGGCTCCTCGAACAGCTTAGACGAGAGGCAGAGTCCAAGGGTAAAGCTAAAAAGAAGCAGAAAAAGGAGGACGACTTTGATTCTTTATCAGAGGGGGATGCGCTACCTCCAACGAAACAAAAGCCGGTAGGACGGCCTTCAAGCAGTCAAACGGCCGGCAGAAACTTAGATAAATCAGCCAAAACACTTGAGCGAGAGGCAGCAAAGCTTCGCCGACAAAATGAGAAGGAACTGCAAAAGGAAGAAAAGCGGAAGCAGAAGGAGGAGAAAGAGAAGCAAAAGCGAATTGCAGCTGATATTGCGGAAGCGAACAAGTCAAAAGTGGACAAGGCTGTGTCAGTCGGAGAGATGATTGTTGACATTTCCTCTTCCTTCCAGGACTCTAGCATCGGCACTCAGACTGGGGAACATATGCGCAACCTGGGGGTGGAAATGCACTTTACGTCTACCGGGATACCCAACGTTGTCTCGTGGCGACGGAAGGTTACTGCACAGTTTACTGAGGCAGGGCATTGGGAACCATGTGCACCAACCATAAAACCCGAAGGCCATGTCCTATGTTTCTTCACTGGAGACGAATTTGCCGAGATGTCTGTTGCGCCCACAGGTGGTAACACGGCCAAGGCGTATTTCCAGAAGGTAAAAGGAGCATACCCGAACCGCAAACAGATCTATCTTATCGAGGGCTTGTCGACGAGTATCAGGAAGGGCAAGAACTCCCGCAACCGGTCGTACCAGGCTGCTGTCCTTCAACAGATTGACAATAATCAGGCTAATTCGGGTGCCACTGGGCAGCCACAACCACCACCAGCATCAGCAACAACATCCCAATCCAAGCGGAAGAAAGCAGCCTCGAGCAAAAAGACAGGCAATACGGCTCATGTGATAGATGAAGACGCCATTGAAGATGCCTTGCTTCAACTGCAGGTCATCCACTCATGCTTGGTCCACGAGACATCGAATGCGACGGAAACCGCACTATGGATCAAGAACTTCACTGAACATATCTCGACAGTTCCGTATAGGCAGGAGCTTATGAGAAACCAGGATGCTTCGTTTTGCATGGACGTAGGACAAGTTAGGTCCGGGGACGATGCGGGGGATGCATATGTTCGGATGATGCAGGAGGTCAGCCGTATCACGGCGCCAATAGCGTATGGTGTTGCTACGCAGTATCCCACTGTTGGCAGGCTGGTTGATGCATTTGACAAAGGGGGTGCACTCCTCCTTGAAGATGTTAAGGTATGCTATTGAACTGCTACAGCTCGCAAGTAACTACCTTTTTTTTTTTGCTAACATGTTTGTTTTAGAAATGTGCGAATAAGACTGGTGCGATGACCGATGCAAGGATTGGGCCTGCTATTAGTCGACGATTATATACCATCTTTACAAGTTTGGATCCAGCGTCTTCAGACGTATGACCGCCTCTCTTTTTCTTTTTCCGTTACTCTTTTTTCTCTCCTTTTGTTTTGGGGTGGTACCTTCGGGCATTATAATTTTTTGGTCTTACCTGGGCATGTTTAGATTGGTTATGGTTGGGGGGTTATTTTGGTTTTCATAGTTATGATATTGAATAAATGGCTATTCAATTGAACTGATCTATGGCGAGATGAAGATGCAACGCAACCGCAGAATTAAAATTTGTGCAGCAGAGTAAACTAGCCCAAGCAAGAACCGAACGCCGATGCCATGGTAGATGTATGCTTATACATATCCCCCTTACATATAACTGAGTATAGATATGTATGTGTTGGTCAAACGGGGATACTACGTCTCTTCCAGCCTCTCCAAGCAACCATCCACATGCTTACGGCAACCAAGACACCAAGCACGCTCCCCACAGCCCAGAAACCATAGCACTTCCAACCAAAGCACTGTCCATTGTCAGTGACATTGGAATCATACTCAGCAGAGTAGATAGCTCCTGATATGCCAGCTCCAGGAGCCTGGATCATAGAAACAACAGCCCAGTTGGTGCCGAAGTTTTCGACACCCCAGACCACAGAGATGACGATGGGGACCAGAGAGAAGCAAGCACCGTATCCGAAGCCGATGAAAGCGGTTGATAAGTGTAAGAGGGAAGGGAAGGAGAGTGGGATGGGAGACGAGAGGACTAAGTAGCCTAGTGAGACTAGGAGGGCACAGGGAATGAGGAAGAAGAGGCGGGAGAATGTCTTTCGAGAACTGGGGAGTGGTGGGAAATGGGCCTGAGAAGTTGACGCTGATCGAGGAGCGAAGTAGTCTGATAGAGAGCCTGTGATGAGACGGGCGAGGGTAGAAGCGAGTGCTATTAACGCTACGTGGGTTGACGGTGCTCCTGCGGGTGGGGGAACGCCTGGTCTGTCCCGTGCTGACGGGGGAGACAGAGTGCTGGTGAGCGTACCGACCTGTTATTGTAAGTTAGCATAGATAATGCTAGATAGGAATGAAAGGGGGAATGAAAGGTGAGACTGACGTTGTTCATGTATGCCTCTCCTGGGCCGGAGATGAGGATGAAGCCGATGGAGAGCAGCCACATGGTTCTGTCGTGGAGGAAGAGCTTGGTCTCCTGGTTAAGCAGCCACGTCTTCTTCAGCTTGTCGTCTGCATGGGTATCAACTTGAGCGTCGTTGATGGTATCGTCGTGGTGGCCAGGACGGAAGGTCCCGTACTGTCCATCCGTATCGACGAGCAGCCCGCTTCTCTCGAGCTCCTCAACCCCGACTTCAATAAGTTTCTCCTCGTCAACAACGTTCAGCGCGAATCCGCCTATAATCCCGACCACAGAGGTCATGATGGCAAGGAAGACGAAGAAGCGGAAGACATCGACATCTCCATGGACAAGGTCTACACCGGACCCGTCCTCGTGAGCGGTGGAATCGGCACCCTTGTAGACGAAGAACTTGACCAGGAAGCTGTACCAGATGCCACTGAGCCCGAACGCGGCTATGGGGGCTGCCAGCATGATGCCCTTGTGCTTGCTGGAGGCATAGTTCTTTGCGCTGGTGGTGACGGCAGAGAAGTACATGCACGCCGTCGCTGCGCCGATGATGGCATAGGCCATGACCATGACGCTGAACGGCCAGCCATGCGGCCTGGCGGCAAGCCCGTCATCCTCGGGCAGCTCGACCAGTGCGCTGGCTGGAGGCCCCGAGCGGTAGGTAAAGGCAGCGAGCAAGTATCCTGCGCCGAAGAGGACGGCCGAGATGAACGAGACGAGCGAGGGCCGGACTCTGTCGCACATGTATCCGAACAACGGCGCGGACAGGTAGGTGAGCATCTCCGCCGTAACGGCGATGACGTTGACCCTGAACTGGGTGTAGTGCAGGCGGGTGAGCAGCAGCGGCCCATAGAGCGAGAATGCAGCTATTCCTCCAGCTGATAGTCTGCATATAGCAAGTGAATTAATCAGATTAGCCGGGGTTAAGGTGTTATTGCTGCCAAAGTAGGAGCTGGACCTACGCGTTGAGGACGCTGGAGACGAAGGCCACCAGGCGTACGAGCTCCTTGCGAGCGTTCTCCCTGTCCCTCTCTGCCTGCGTCCTGATGAGCGCCGTGTCTGGTCCATCGTCGGTCATGCTGCCGTCGTCGCTGGCGCTGTCTGACTCGTCTGCAGCAGCAGGGTCGGCGGTCCGTCTGTCCGCCATGGTGGTGATGTCTGTCCTCCTGTCCGACTTCTGCTCCTCTATCATGTCTGCTCTGCACTGCCTGCACCGTCCGTCCCGTCCGTATAAATAGGTATCTCAAGTCTCCCTTTTTTTAGGTCATGGTGACCTGGTCATGCCGACAAGACTGTGGTGGTGGTCGCTGGTCTGGATGAAAATGCAGATGACGTTCGGCTATTGAGGCCGCAGCTTTGAACTGACTAAAAGAGAAACTCAACTAGAGACGCTCAGCCAGCCATCACCACCACTACACTACTACTACTACTACTACTACTATTGCTGCTGCTGCTGCTGCTGCTAATACTACTAGTTACTGCTCTGATACTACTACTGCTACTGCTCATGGAAGACTTCTAACTGGCTGGCAGCTCCATCGACGGGAGCATCATCCAGCGCAGCCAGGCAAGCCACTCAGCCAGGGGTTCGTCCGGCCCCCCAAGCCTCACTCTGCAGCAGCCCGTCGACTTACCTTCTTTCCAGCCTGCTAGCTGCATCAGCTAGTTCAGTATCTGGCCAAGTAGTGAACTTACGTCTACCTCCATCTACCTTACCTGCATGTTGCATGTAGCCTGCCCGTATCTCATGTATAGCTGTCCGACTTATAGACCCAGAAAAATGGAGGCCACTGGAGGCCACTGGAGGCAGCAGGACAAGCAGAACAAGCAGGATCTGGAGTCTGGAGTCTGCATGCGAGACACCGTCGATAGGCGCCTGCAGGAGGCCAGCGTACAGAGGTAGCGCCTTGTATATCGCGCATCTCTCTGTCTTTATCTCATTCTGTCTTGTCTTCGGTTCATCAGTCCATCGCCAGTCCATCGTCGGTCCATCTGGCTGTCCCGGCGTCTCATCGTAGCCGTAGCGTAGCCCCTGACACCGCCATCAGCTCCATCATCGTCATCAACCCCATCGCCAGCATCATAGTCGCTGTCCAGGCTGTCCATCCTGTCCATCCTGTCCACTTGTATCTCCGTCTTGTCCACCGTCTTTGCCTTGTCTTGTCTTAATGTACGCGCATGTTCGGTACGTCCACGCAAGTAAAGTGAAGTAATAAAAGCTGGGCCAGGCACGTTCTGGGATGATTGGCGCGGTCAGGAAGAGCCCGTTGGGCCATGCTGGGCCATGCAGCGGTACTCTTGTCTCACACCAGATTTGTATGGCCAGCAGAAGTCACCCGCCATCGCATCGCATCGCATCGCATCGTCACGTCTTTCGTCTTTCGTCTCCGTCTCGTCTCGTCTCGTCTCGTCTTCCTCGTCTTCCTCGTCTCCCTCCAAGCGTGCGCCGGCCAGGATCGACCAGACTCGAAACACGTTGCGCAGGCAGCTCTCGTCTTTTGTCTTTTGTCTTCTTCTTCTTCTTCTCTTATCCTTCTCTTCGTCTTCCTCTTTTATCAGCTTCTCTCCTTCTCCTTCTCTTCTCTCCTTCGTCTTCCCTGATATCTCCTGCTGCCCTCCTTGTTTCTCCCTTATTATCCCTTCTCCCTCTCGCCCTCTCAGAGCCAGCAGCAGGCAAACGTGACTTGTCCTCCTCCTCTCCGTCTCTTCACTCAGCTTCTCCCTCTTCGTCTTCGTCTTCTTCACCTCCTTCTCGGCTTCTGTGGCGGTGTCTCGTCCTCGTCCTCGTCCTCCTCGTCTTCCTCCCTGTCGTCTCCAGCCAAAAGAAAGTACTTAACGCTCTTCCCTTCCCCTTCCACCTCCACTTCTTCTTCCTCTCTTCTTCTTCCTTTCTTCCTTCTTCTTTTCTATCCTCCCTCCCTCCCTCCTCTTATCCCTCCATCGACTCCCTCAAACATGGCTGGCTTCGGCCTCCTTCGTCTTCTCCTTCGTCTTGCTTGATTCTTCTTCTTCTTCTTTTCTTCTTCTCATCAAAAACATCTCCGCTTAGTCATTTCCATCACGTGACGTCCTTTTTTCCTTCTTTTTTCTTTTTTTTCCTTCTTTTTCTTCTTTTTCAAAATCAACCAAAAAACAAAAAAACAAAAAGCGACGAACGAAGAGAAAGAAAAGAAAAGAAGAAAAAGCTTGAAGAAGAAGCAGAAGAAGCAGACAGATCACTCTTGAAGTCTGCAGTAAAATAGAATCAAAAGGAAAAAGGAAAAAAAGAGGAAAAGAAAGCAAGGAAGAAAAAGGTTGCTCTCGTATTCCACCCTTCTTGACCCAGCAAAAAGTCCAACCAACCGCCGGGCATCATCAAGCATCATCATCACCACCACCAACTGCCGCCCATCTCTTGATATAAACCCAGCCAGGCCATTTGGACAGACAGACAGCAGGGAAAAGGACGCTCTAGAGACTCTCAGCTGGTCGCCAATGTCCTCCCCATGTCAGCTTCCGCTTTTGCTTCCGACAGCCGCGCCACGGAGCCCAGCAGCGCGTCTCCAGTAGACCCGACACTGCTCGCATCACCACCGCCGTCGACAACAACTAATACTACGACTTCTGCTGCTGCTGCTGCTGCTGCTGCGGCAGCGCCAGAGCCAGCTATCGATTCTCGCCTCTCGCCCTTCTCGGCTCCCTCAAAGTCGGTTCCTCCCTCGCCGCCCCAGACTCCCCTGATAAAGCCGTCCGCCGTGCCTCCGCTGCCGGATCACAGCCCTCACCCAACCCTCAAGCGGACCAACACCTGTCCTGGCCTCACGCCGACCTCCTCGTCTTCTTCGGTCTCTACCTTTGGCGTCAAGCCGTCGTTGGTGTCAGGGACTCACCACCACTACGGATCCCAGTCACCCCAGCTGACGGAGCGGGACTCCATCTTTGCTACTCACTATTTGCCCTCGGAGCCGGACAACGAGCACGAGCAGGATCAAGATAGAGACCAAGACAGAGACCAAGATCAGGAGACCCAGCAACACTCGCCAAACCAGGGAAAATACGACTTCCGTCCTCGCCAGCTGAACAGATATGTGAGCTCGCTCTCCTCGTCTCTCGGTTCGGCACGATGGCAGCCAGCTCCCTCGCCAGATCCAACTCCAGATGATCGCATGACCCACCACCACCAGCAACAGCAGCAAGATCACCAGCATCAATTCCCATTGCCCTCTCGCTCTCGCACAGTAGCCGACGTCTCCTCCCTCTCCAACCTCAATAACACCGGTGTAAACATCAATTCCGGCATTCCACTCACCTTTGACCGTCTCTCACCGCGGCCATCGCCCGTCTTCCGCCCTCAGCCAGGTCCAAGCAGAAGTCGAGGCCACATACAGGACCGGGACCAAAACCAGGACCAGGACCAATATCAGGATCACGATCAGAATCACGACCAGGAAGAATCATCCTCTGGCACTGACACAATGGCTCTCCTCGCTTCTCGGGACCTTAGCTCCCACCTTCATACTCACCACCACCGCCATATTCACCACCACCATCACCATCACCATAATCATCACCACAACCTTATGCGCGGACGCACTTCCAGAGTCGAAAAGTCCATTGAAGCTAGTTTGGCCAACGTCGATCCCAGTGCCAATGTTCGCTCCCGCAAGTCAAGCCACTACCTTGGGCTCTTCAAGGAGAACACCGGCGAGCCAGAACGCAGGAAAAGCATTGCTCAAGACCTCGCCTCTCTTGATGAGCTCCCCAGTGTGGGCGTAAGCACCCGGCCAGACACCGCATCAGACGAATCGCCAGCTGTCCCCAAGGAACTCCTCGACGAAATCCGGAGCCGCCACCAGCAGCAGCAGCAGCAGCAGCAGCACCGCCGCCAGGATGGTGCAGCATCCGCCAATGGAGCTCGACCAGGGTTACCAAGGTCTATTCCATCCCGTGACACTCGAATGCTCTATCCCGGTCACACGCTCGAGGGCTTCTCGCCAGACTCTGACTTTGCTGCAGCCCGACCTGGTCTGGCCGAATCGGTGTTTGAGGACGAAGATGAGGACAAAGAACGCATATCCTCTGCCCTTTACTTCCCGCACCAGCGACCCCTCGAAGCTGCAGACAAGGATGCTGACAGCAAGCCGCAGCCGGATCAGCCACTCTCGTCTTCCCCGGCCAACCTAAAGCCCTCCCTCAGCGACAGCAACCTGGTCGACATCTCCCTCCTTTCAAAGACCGAAAAGAGCCTTTTCACTGGTGACCTGCGCAAGACCATCCCTGAACCAATTGAGCAGCCCGTCTCTTCCGCTGGCCCTCTCGCCGTCTCCGTACCTTCCGGGGCGGGCGCGGGCGCTGGCACTGTAGTGGTCGAACCAGCCACCGACATCTCTGAGTCTGACTACATCTCTGCTTCTGAAAGCTACACCTCCACCACTCACGATGAACCAGACGACGACGATGACCTATCGTCCCACGACGAGGCGGCAGGCACCACTCCTCGTGGCACTCCCAGGCCATCTCGCCCTCAGATCAAGAATCCTGTGTCTCAGCACATACGGTCGCCGACTGCTCCCCTCGGTGCCGTCGAACTGAAACCCTACCGCCATCAAGTCGGCGGCCACACCACTGTCTTCCGTTTCTCCCGGCGTGCAGTATGCAAGCAGCTAAACAACAGAGAAAACCAGTTCTATGAACGTATCGAGAAGAGACATCCCGAAATGCTCGTCTTCCTTGCCAGATATATTGGTGTTTTGAATGTGACCTTCTCCAAGGGATCGAAAAAACCCGGAAAGAAGGATTCCAAGGATACCAAGGATGACAACGCTGCAGTTACATCAGAGTCCGCAACAGCCGAGTCTACTACAGCTGTTGATGCCCAAACCTCTGCTCCCGCTGCTACGGCACCGTCCGCGCCCAAACGCACGGAGTCTGGCAAGGCGAGCGGCCAACGCATCTTCAGCCAGTCCCAGGTCACCGGTGTAATACCCAAGGTCATCCTCGAGAACAACCGCCACATCATCCCCTTTGACCTCTTCATGACCCCCCAGTCGACCAAGAGCACCAGTGGCAGCGGGCATGCCACACCCACCCAGTCTCGCTACGGCTCGCTAGAAGATGTCTCCGCCAACCTCACCTGCTCCCCCAGGTCAACGCCGGAACTCAACGGCGAGTCCGACAAGCCTGCTGCTGAAGCATCAATGACATGGGGTGCCACCACCGTCAACACAAAGCTCCAGGAACAAGTCCTGCGCGAAGTCTTCACCCCTCCCACCATACACTCGCACCATCAACGCCGCCATCGTGGCCCAAGAAGTATCCCCAAGCTACGATCTGATACCTCTTCTCTGCGTAAGGACGGCAAACCCACGCCCTTACATAGAGGATGCAGCGAACTCGCTGTTTCTGCAGCAGGTAACCCCGCGCTTTCGTCTTCAGCTACGGCTTCAATGCAGGAGGATGCAGCTACCCGTTTGGCTGGCCAGCGCCGTCGACGGAGACACTCGGGTTCCGGCCTCGAGAGGAAACGCAGCATGAGCACCGGCCCCGGTGATCTCATGTTCTACGAGGACGAAGGATACGGCGGAGACAAAGAGGATGAGATTTTCAAGATGGAAGACGATGTGCGTCCGCCTGTCAAGTCTGATAGCGCAACTGCCAGCAGACACCAGCAGGTAACCCTTCCCGTCTCCCTGGGTACGTCGAACGGTGAACCCGTACGTCTACCCACAAACCCCAAGGAAGCCCAGACGACCGCCACCAGTGAGGATCGTGTTCAATTCTTCCTGCTACTTGAGGATCTCACTGCCGGTATGAACAAACCTTGTGTCCTCGACCTGAAAATGGGAACTCGTCAGTACGGTATCGACGCCGACGAGAAGAAGAAGAAATCTCAACGCCGTAAGTGTCAGAGCACTACCTCCCAGCAGCTCGGTGTTCGACTCTGTGGCATGCAGGTCTGGAACGTCGCCAAGCGCGAGTACCTCTTTGAAGACAAATACTTTGGCCGTGATCTCTCCTCTGGCCGCGAGTTCCAAGACGCTCTCACTCGATTCCTCTACGACGGAGCAGACTACACCTCCGTCATCGGCAAAATCCCCATCATCCTCGACAAGCTCTCCCAGCTCGAGAGCATGATCGTCCGTCTACCCGGCTACCGTTTCTATGCATCATCCCTACTTATACTCTACGACGGCGACCGTGATCGCTCCTCCAATTCCCCTTCATCTCTCTCTAAGGACTCAAAATCCCACCGCACCATCTTCGAAACACACTCAAACTCCGCCTTTCCCAACCCATCAAACCTCACTCTAAAAATCGTCGACTTTGCCAACTGCGTCACAGGCGAAGACGGCATCCCGCCTACATCCCGCTGTCCGCCTCATAACCCCACAGATATCGATAGAGGTTATCTCCGTGGCCTGCGCACGCTACGCATGTACTTCCAGCGCATCCTACGCGAAGTCAGCGCCATGGTTGGTGAAAACTATGTCGAGCGCGGAGAAGGTGAAGCACTCTCCGCTGCACCATCAAGTGTCGTTGGAGCCGGCCGGGAAAGAGGCGAGGCATGGGCATGGGACGAAGCCTTGGGCGAGCTAGAGGAGGGGGAGATCAGTGTATAAACTGCTATACACTACTCCGTATGCAACCTTGACATTATATTTTCCACACAATACTGCAAGATACCCTTACCCACCCCCATCCCCGCTCTTCCTTTCTTTTCTTTTCTTCTTGAGTCTTGTGCCTCTGCTTTTGCTTCTTCTCCTTTCGTTTACTTCTTTCATCGGTATCGGCATGGTCCACGGCACGGAAACAGGCGCCGGCGCAATTGGGAGCGAGGGAACTGAATTGACCAACGACCCAACCAATTAAAGACGGATACGGCGTTATTTTCCTTCTTCACTTTGCATGTGTTTATTATTCTTATTCCCCTTCCAGCTAGTTAAGCAATTGTTTTACCTTTTTTTTTGTTTTCATCCCGTTTTATCAACCGCTGCAATTCCTCCACCCTTTTTCCGGGTATTTCTTTTTTAACAAGGCTTCGGGATAGCTTGTTACGGGATGAATGTACGGCGGCCGCTAGTCAGTGGCTGGCCGTCATTAGGCGAAACGGCGAAGCCATGGATGCTTCCGGATAACAAAAGGAAAGAAAGGTAAAAAAAGAAACAAAAAAGAGGATACATCCTGCATACACTCATACACCCATCCACGTTGTTCAGCTTGTTCGTTTCGTTTGCTTGCTTGCTTGCTTTTATTGTTATTCCTGCGTTCTGACGAGGATGTTTCTCGTTTTATCTTGTTGCTTCTTCTCGGTTATTCCAAAGATTGATTCCTCACCCACGTATTACTTACAACCTTTACTTTATGGACGGGAGATGGAGTTTCCGGTGTCCCTTCGGGGTCCGTCTGTCTGTCTTTTTCTCTATTTACTTGCTTATTGCTTGCTTGTTTGGCGCTCGTTTTCCGGCTGCTTAATTTATGATTTTATTCAATTATTCATTGACTCGGGACTGATGCTCTTCCTTTTCCTTCTCCTTTATTTCCTTTTCTCTTACTCGTCTGCTTATGTATTCGACGTATCGGCTCTCTCCTCTACTGGGTTTCCTTCTTCTCTATCACTGGGATGGATGATTTATGACAGCGGGTTCGGAATGGTAGGCAAAACGGTCGGTTATCGAAAAATTCGTTGCTTTTTATTACTACAGCGTATGCTCTTAGAAAAATGCCATAGTTTATATCTTCTTACCCCAGTTTGCATTGCCGCTGCTTTGCTTTTGCTCGAGACGAATACGGAAGCTGAAAGGTAATAATATATAAAATTGGTCAGTTCAAAGTTACTCCTTTTTGCCTGATAATTCCCCTAATGTATGAATGTATGCACCTGTACCCATTGAATTAAGCCAGCTATCCAAACGGAATTTGCTCTCCCGTACTCAGGGGCCATGAAAGAAGAACAGAAAAGAAGCAGAAAAGGCCAGAAATAATATAGTAAAACAAAATGTAGAAATCGAAGAAGAAAAAACCAGGGCAACGCCGCGCCATGTCAACATCCCTTCCTTGCCTCTGCCAAAAGCATCCCGAAGAGATATAAAAGAAATGAAAGAAAACGTCCACCTTATCCTCTCCCGTTGCCTTTCTCCGTTGCCTTTTCCTTCTTCCTCAGTACGCCCAGCTGCTCCAGTCGATTCCATACCCAGTCCTTTTTCACCCTGACTGCGCCTTCGTGGGCATGAACATGCGCATCTCCAGGACCGACATGTCCGCTGCCATCATCATCATTAATTTCATTGTCATCTGGCGAACTGCTCTGTAGCAGACCGTCGAGATACGTTAGTCGTCCTGACGTAGCATTTTGGATCATCAGTTCTATCACCCGTCGCCTTAGCCGAGTAGGCTCATCGAGGTGTGCCTGGTACTTCGCATCTGCGAATGGATCCGCGACGGGGACGGTATAGGGGTCATCTACTTCCTTTTCATTGTTTTCAGCTTCGTTTTGTTCATCATGAGCGGCCAAGGGAGGATAGTCGATGTAGTTGTTAGAGTGGTATGAAGGGTGTCGGGCAATGTCCTTCCCTCCTCCGATGTATGGAAGAGACCGGTCAAGGAAGTCGTCGTCAGCCTTGTGTTTGATAAGACCTCGCTGGGCGTTTTGTCCTGTGTATTTTTGCTGCTGCTTCCCACTGCCCGATATTGGTGGTGGGTAAAATCCAACGGTTAACGGGTTACCTCGCAAGTCGAGTCTGGTCAAGGAGCCGTATGCTCCACCAATTTCCCCTAGGACCTTGCACAGCCGTCGTAATCGTGCGATACGGTTGCCTACCAAAGATAGCCGATTCAATCGTTTTATGCCGCGTAGACTATTAATATCCGACAAGGCATTGAAGTTGAGATTGAGTGTCTTCAAATTAGAGAATGTTTCCCCAAACTGTTCAGGCAAAGCCTCAAGCGTGCATGAGGCTAGGTCTAGGAGTTGCAAGCTTAGAATAGGAGTATCTGGTTTGAGCATGGCCTCTGAGAGGAAGTTTGATGAAAGGAATAATTTGCGGATTGAAGACAGGCTGCCCAGCTTGAGGGCTACTGTCATGGGTTCAGCATAACAAGTCGAGTTGCTAGGGTCTTTGGAGGATATACTTTGCTCCCGCATAGAGAGTGTATCGAGGAATCGACAATCCTCTAGCTTCTCTATTGTGCTGAGGTGGTTGCAGTCAACATATAGCACACGCAATGATGGGAATGACGACAAATCAAGGTGGCTGAGCTGGTTCCCTGACAGCTTGAGAATATCTAAACGCCGAAGAGACCGGCGTACCGCGAACTCTTGCATCTGGTTCTTCCGAAGATCGATAGTCTCGATCCCATGTAGGACATCAATGTTCTGTATGGTATGGATGTCATTACCACTCAGGTCCAGTTTACTCAATCGGGTACTATCCAATGTTAGACCGCATATCCCAACACATAGGTGACGAGCATACTTACAGGTCAGCATGCTTAAAATCTACAGATGTCAATTGATTATTTGAGACTTTAAGCTTTAATAGGCCGTCTAGCCCAAAGATTCCCTTGATACAGGTGAGCTTATTATGGCTCGCATTCAAACTCCGCAGGTGATATAGCTTAGAGAGTCCATCAAGGTTGTCCAAGCCGTTGCCGGATATATCGAGATATTGAAGGTTTGATAGATGGCCCCATGAAGTCAGACCAGAGAGGCAATTGTGTGGTGAGTCGAGGCTTCGGACTGTTGTCGGGACGCCATTTAGGTGGCTGAGCTTGTTCTCCCCAACATCCAACTCCTGGAGCTGAGGACAATACTTATCTAGCTGATGAAGGGTCAAGAGCCTCTTTCCTCTCAAGACTAACCGACGCATTTGTTCCCAGTATGCCTCGTATGGCTCAGCATCAGTTATGTGCTGCACGATATTCTCGGCGGCCAGTGCTAATTTCCCATGTAGCTGTCGTAGAGCCCGTGGATTTGCTCGTTTAGCAACGTAGCTGGCCTCGCCTCTCATGGACTCATCAGCCTGATTGACCGTGAACTCCGACAGGGGGCTCATGTGAAAGCTGTAATGGCTCGATTCCGGGTTCGGCGGAGCAATCATGACTGACTGCTCAATGTCTGCTACTGACGGAATAACAGACAGATCATTATTCTGTTCTTCGCCTTGTCTATCAATTGATTCTTCTGTGCCTTCCTGGATGCATGATAGTTCAAAACAGTCTTGCTCCGGCAATGGAATATCATGCGGTGGGGTATTACCCAACGGACTTGGAACTGCGGCATCTGATATCCACTCATGGGCTTCTTGAGTATGTTCAGAACATAATTCGTCTTCGCCCTGGTATGCAACTCCAGAAACCAATGGAGAGGAAAAAGCGATAGTGCTGGATCGTGCCCGGTTGTTTGGCTCCTGTAATGGGCCACTATAGGCCTCTGGTTGCTGATCATCCTGGTTTTCTTGTTCCAGAACTTGGGGCTTTTCAAGGTTCACTTTGTGGTTTTGGAACTCCTCCGATCCCCAGGAAGTAGCTCTAGTGCCTGGCTTGGGCACACTAACGGTGAATCGCGTGTATTTAGATTGTACCGAACTAGACTCAGACATCGGATTCTGGACGCTCTCTCGGGTCTGTGGGCGGGTATTGTGCTCGGCTTGAAAAGGTGCCTTCTTCTCAGGCTCTGGGGGGAGAGGTTCTTCAGGTGATGGCGGCGCAGGTTCAGAGTCATATGCATCCCCTGCTGGTATGAGGCCGCGGGCGACGGCTAGTTCCTTTAGCTCGTCGACGCTGAGGTCAGATATATCCTTGAAGGGATCATCCTCACTGGCAGTTTGGGAGCGATTATGGGTATCTTGGTCAGACCTAGTTCTATTCTTTACCCAACATTGGGTATTCCGATCAAATATCATTTTCCCAATGTTTTCTGGTATTAAATGGGAGACTCGATCCGAAGATATGATCCCCTTTGCACCAGAGCTATTGGCAGAGCCCTGGGAAAACCCAGTCGGAAGGCTTGCTGCTGATTTTTGGCTCTTTATAGATTCCTCTGACCGAAGTACTAGTTCACTCTGTTGCCCATCATGCCGGCTGTTGGGACTTATCTGGATGTGCTCAGGGCTGCTTTCCACTGTGTCATCAAAGCATCCAGTATCTCGATGGGATGGCTGATTTGGGTGTAGCAGACCATGTTGTTGCCTGAACTTCAATGTTCCCACAGAGGCACCCATCCCGACGTCGAATTCGTCTTTCTCCTCAAATTTCTTCAAGTGGCTAATAATCCTAGGGTTTGGCGGAGGCATTTCCCTCTGCTTCCGCAAATCAACACCGTCGCGGCTGGGAGGTCGCGAGAATTGCTCTTCGCTGGATTCATCGCTGTATAAAGCGGAATCATCCTCATAGATGGTTTGATAACCCTCATTCCGTCGGGTGGAGCCGCTTATCGGTCCTCCTTGAGCCCTGATATGGTCCATCACTTTTGATGCTTCATTATAATACTCCTGGGTAGTAATCGAGCCCTTCCTGGGATGTTCGATGTGGAATACAAAACTGGCATTGGGACATGCGGCTGTTTCCTGCTTGTCAGTGCCGGCAAACAGGGATTGTCCGTTCACCGTGATAGGTCGGAAACTAGTTGGCGTCGGCGCAGTTGGCCTTGAATAAGAAGGCAGGCGTTGTTGACCTCCGTCCATACCTTCAGTGAGAGAATGATTTGAGAAAGGTCCAGTAGAATCAAGTATCGACTCGTCCCAAACCTGATCTTGATCTGGGAGAACCTGTAGTGTTCTCCTTCTTTTTGAGACCGTGATTTTCGACGACCGTTTCAGGCTGCGTTTAGCTTCCGTTTTGGACAGGGGGAATAGCTGTCTCTCGTATATATGGTGTGGAATGCTATTTTCTTTGTCCTGTGAAGGGCTGGGGACTTGAAGCGCATTTCGAGGCTGTCTATTCTCCATTCCCGCGTTTGTAATATGGTTTGATCTGGAAATATTGGTCCTGGAGGATACCTTAGGTATCTCATCTGAGGCAATATCTTCGCGTTCTGCATCGAGATGGCTAGGTTCATCTATATCTAAGGTATTGGCAGCCTCAAACTGACTTATCCGACGCAGGAGCTTGTTGCTCGTGTAGGTATCATGGTTTCCAAACAGCTTTAGAGGGCTCCCTGAAGACGAGGGCCTGGGCTTTGAGCTATCCTCCGCTGGCAGTTCCACGTCTTGGGGAGAGTAAAGGCGTATCGACGGCGGCGTTTGCGGCGTCTGGGGTACAGGAGATATCGAGTCTTCCTCTAGAATTGAGTCTTGAGTGTGTGGTGGACGCGATGATGGTGTCCGTCTGCGAAAGGAGCCGCTGTCCGAATGTGCTGCTTGACGTGAAGCATCCACGATGCTGGCCGGTGACGTGCAATCCTGTGTACCCATGGATAGGCCCTCTGGTAGTGATATTGAAGTAAGATTATCGGCGTCGGCCTCGAAGTTGTCATCCTGTAGGAGGCTGTCACTGAACGTAGGCATGTTCTCCAATCGTGTCGGACTCCGGCTCGACTGGTTACGTTTCGGTAACGAGATACAGCTGGCCCCGTTGTCGCGTATTATACTAGCACTGGCATGGCTGCTAGAGCTAAGCCTCGAGTTGAATTCAATGCTCAGGGAAGAGAGGTGTTCTCGCAGGGGTTCGATGCTTTCGAGCTGGTTCTTTTGCGCGGTGTAGGGCCTCCCATCGCCTCCTATCATGACCTCCGACATATGTTCCATCCACGAGGTGTCGTTTCCTCCATGGGAATCGCGAAAAAGTCCTCCGCGACTTCTCTGGCTTCGCTGGCTCCGTTGACTCCATAGGCTCCGTTGGCTCCGTTGGCTCTTCTGGGTGCCATTTGCTCTCTGGCTGTGGAACGGTTCGCGTGAAGACAAGCCGTCCTGGCGAGCGGCCGCATCAGCAGCCACAGGGACCGAGATATGGGACTGGAACTGGGATTCTGAGAACGATGGCGGCCTGAAGACGGTCTCCAACCCCATTGGGCCGAAAAGGTCGCCTGCCTCGCCGAGAGCGCGCTCGCCTCTGATGATTCTCCTTTTCCACTCCGGCGTGGTATTGCTGACTCCCTCGCTCCGTGCTTTGATCTGCATCGTCCCATGGCCATCGCTCATCCTGTTTACCGTCGAGGTCTGCCCCAAGCAGTGGTGGCTGTGGGGTTCGTTGCTGGCGCTGGAGCTGTCGCGATAAGGCCGTGGAGAGGGAGTGGGCGAGGTGTCGGCGTCGGCGTCGTCGCTGTCGCCCGGAAGGTCTGGCGAGTTGGTCGCAGAGACAACCTGCTGCGATTCCCAGTCGTCATCGAGGCCGTCTAGCCACGGTTCTGCCATGTTGCTTGCTCGGCTGGTTGGTTAGCAGGCTGGCAATGGTCGTCGGCTTGCTAGACTTGGAGATGTTCGAGCGACGCGCTTCTTTCCCCTGACAGCGAAGTCATATCAATACGGGAAATAAGATCCGTCACTTCGGCGAAAAATTCAACGAAGACCCCAAAGTACAGAAAGCCAAAAAAAAGAGTGTGACGATAGAAGTAAAAAAAAAAAAAACAAGAAGACCACCCCGAAGCGACCAGAAGCGGAGTAGGATGAATTGCTATGAAGATAGATATGCTGCCCTGCTAGAAAACAAGATAAATAAACAAGCGAGGCGAACAGCGTCTATCAGCCACAGCTTCACTGGCCGTCGTTTTCCTTGGTTGATTTTCTCCCTAGACGAGACTTGGGCCTGCAGATCGCGATCGTTCCTTTTCCTTACTTTTTCCTGCTCTTTTCTTCGTCCTCTCGTTGCTCACTTTTTCATTCTCGCTTTTCTATTCGACCGTACAAACAATAAAAATAATCAACCTGAGACGATAAACAAACTTCCTATAACAGCTAGTGATGCTTAGTAATATCACGTGTGTTCTATTTTTGTCACTTTATTTTTATGCTTAAATTTTGTTAATTTTTTTAATTTGACGACATGAAAAGATTTTTGTGACGACGACAAAAGACAGGAAAAGAAGACCAGGAGATACAGATAGGGAGATAGAGAGAGCGAGCTGTTGGGTGTTTGCGCTGGTGTTGACAGTGTTACGCCCGACAACATATTTTGCAGGCACAGCTTATTGTGGTCTCGGCTCTGTGGCGCTGGAACTTCTGTCGGCCCGCTGTGCAAGGTCGTCGCTCTTGAAACTAACACTTTGAAACTGGACTTTTGAAGGTCCGCAGGTTTGGTCTCCGTTGCTCGCAGAACGTTTGTTGCTGTTGTTGCTTTGAAAGCGGCTAACGATTCAGCATAGAGAGCTCCCGAGAAGTCCAAGGATAGTCGCCGGCGCCGTTTCGAAACAAGGCAACAGCCGCAGCCGCAAGGCAACCACAGCCTCTTTCACTCTCGTGGCGCGTATAGAACATCCTTGTGACCGTTGAAATTAGTCAAATCACAAGCTGTTGTCCTTGTGGAATACCTACCTACCTTCGCCTTCGAGTGTGCCCTGGGGGATTAGTACAGCCTGCGACTATATATCCTACTGTCTTGCCCGCTGTGGCCTCCCGCAAATGCCATCCCAACCATACAGAGTGCTGCGTCTGTTTCTCAATGACCAGCCTGTACTCCGAGGGCATTCGATACTGAACTCCTTTTCCTCCGGTCCACGATAATGCCCATCAAATTCCCGGACTCTTTCCTATCATCCCTATCGTTTGACCCATTATCCTCCACCTCATCAGACAGCGAAAGCGAGCATGACGAGGTCGCCAGGGCCACAAAGAGAAGGAGAATCGAACGGGTGGCCCAGGACTACTTGCATGGGCATCCGCCGTTCATCTTAACGGCTACGCTCAATGGGCCATTCGACGATGGCTGGGTCAATCCCTGGCGGAAAGCGCGCAGCCCACGATCGGTGTCTCTTCCCCACAGCACGAAACAGCACAACTCACGGCCAGGTGTGATACAAGCAGAGAATCCTCTCAGTCCAGCGCCAGCAACGGTTCAGGGAACCCCAAGCTTGGTGCCTGGGAGTGATTCGCACCAGAGGAACCATTCTGCGGGTGACTCTCAGCGTCGACGAATACGCACGAACCTGGGTAGTCGAGCCAGCTCGAGACATTCCTCGAAATCAAGATCAGCCACTGCGTCGGATGCATGGTTGAAGAGAGACAACACACAACTTCACCAGGGGCTACATGAAACTCCGAAGTCTCCCAGTCCGTCGCCTGCTGTCAGATTAAATAGCTGTCGCGTGTCGAAGAGGCCTTCCGAAAGGTCCCAGAGGAGCTTGCCCTCTCCCTGCCGTTCAGGTACACCCGTTAGTCAGAACATTAACCTCAGAACCATCAACTTTACAGCAATCAACGCTCCTGTCCCCGCCGCTCGACTATCGACTCCCACTGCTCACCAAGCCTCCTCCCACAACAAGCAAGCTGCCTTTATCGAACAGAACCACTGTGGAGAAAGCTCGGTCGGAGCGGACAAATTACGGATGCTGCACAAGTCCAGTCTAGAGGAGTCTATTCGTTTACCAATGGGCCCAAGCACTGGAAGCGGTCCTTCCAGGGTTATCCCTCGTTTTGAGCCTGTGTTATGCAAGAAGAACCAGCATGAAGCAGATATACCCGCACCAGCTGCAAGCAGCACTCTCAACGCCACAAACAACTCATCACTTGGAAATGCAGCTACTTCAGGAAGTAAATTTGAACCCTTGCAAGAGAGCGAGACGATCGCAAAAGAACGCCAAAAGGCTTCAATTACGTGTAACACATCTCTCCCCCCTTTGAGCCTGAGGGAAAGCGAGATGTGGAAGACGGGCTCAACTCTTCCAGAACAAGATACGGAAACGATGCCAGCCGCCCAGGTAGTCCCACCTATCTTCACTCCACCACAACTCACGCCATTTACATCTGCAGATCTGCTCCAGCTGCCATTTCATCAAAGCAACCACTCTGCAACTGACGGCGGCGGCCCACCGAATAGTAAGAGGAACAAGCACAGCGACTCACAAGCTTCAGCCCCGACCACACAGAAGTCAGGAACGAATAAGAATGCGAGCCCGCCAACCTTGAAAGGCGCGCAGCAGCGCCCCACCAACCTGCTTCGAAGAGCTGCCTCGAGCAGCTCGTTGCAGAAGGGCATCAAGCCGTTCCATTCGTTTACTGGCAGTCCTCGAGCTCAGGGTTCAAAATCAAAACCGAGTGTGGTGTCCAAGAACGCCCGATTCCACGACGCCAATACGGACATCAGCAATCAAGCGAATGAATATCGGGCGACCACGCCAAAACAACTGCAGACCTCTTCAGGGCCCAACAAAATAGCACTATCTGCATCCTGTCCTCCTGGTCTACGAGCTCAGAAGATCACCGACCCCTCCCAACCTCCCACTCGTGCCCCTCCTGGGAGCTTGCTGGTCCGGGAACAGCCCTCCACCGCCTGCTCGTCAGGAGCGCCATTGTCACTCGCTATGGCCATGAGCGGCTTTACAGACCTTTCGACTCAGCCAGACGGCCAAGGCTTGTTGGTTTTGCAAGAGAACTTCGACCTAACAGGAGCAATCGAAGATGCTGAGAGCTTCCTTCAAAGCTGGGATATCGAGCGGGACCGACAGCTGCTGCGAGATAACACGACAACAACAACCAATGGCCTGAAACCGCCGGCTCCCAAGGTTTAGGCACGAGCGAAGATCCAAGATGTGTTGGTCCATACTCCATACATATGTGTGTAATGTAATCATGTTTCTTTTTGGTTCTCGCAGCGATCCCTCGCTATTTTTTTAATCTTTGACTCCTTTACCTGCTTTCTAGATTTTTTTGATATTCTATTCTACCCATGCATCGTCAGCATTAACAACATCAGCAACAGCGACAGTAGCAACATACCTAACTAATCAACACCAGCATCAGCATCAGCATCAGCGATAGAGCCCATAGAACTTGGTAATGATACCCTGGCCCGTCTTTTCTCCATCCTTCTGTTCTCTTCGGTGCGTCTTTTTAGCAAATCCCGCGTATCAGTAGTAGAATTAACTTCCTGGCGGCGGAGTGAAACTCCACAGCCCTCACAAGCCAGTGCGATGTCAGTAAAGCAGCAGCTCCATCTCGGCTGCCCATGATGTCACTTTCGCCTCGGATACGTCGGTCGTATGCCCGGCCCTGCACTGCACTGCTACGTGTCGCAGCATGGAACTTGCCATTGTTCGCTTGGCGGAAGAAGGGGCAGAAGGAGGGAGGGAAGGGATGGAGGGGGAGGGGCAGCTCCGGCCGGCCTGGTATATACATCCGTGTGTATGTATATGTGCCTCCGTGTATATAAACACATGTATATATAGACAGTCGTCCCTGCCCCCCCCTTTTAAATACTTGATATAAACATATCCTGAGCATCTTTCTCCCTCCATCTGCTCCTGGTCCATAGCCAATTCGCTGTCTACCTATCACCCATTCAAGTCAATTAAGCCAACCCAGCCGCCATCATGCCCATCCCAATTCCAAAGACCAACAGCCTCATGGAAATGTTCAGCCTCAAGGGCAAGGTCGTCGTCGTCACCGGCGCCTCTGGCCCCCGAGGCATGGGCATTGAGGCTGCCCGTGGATGTGCTGAGATGGGAGCAGACGTTGCCATCACCTACTCCTCTCGCCCCCAGGGTGGTGAGCAGAACGCCAAAGAGCTCCAGGAGAAGTACGGCGTCAAGTGCAAGGCATACAAGTGCAATGTCGGCGACTGGAACGACGTCGACAACTTCGTCAAGACCGTCATCAAGGACTTTGGCAAGATCGATGCCTTCATTGCCAACGCCGGCCGCACCGCCGACAGCGGCATCCTCGAGGGCTCCGTCGAGTCCTGGAACGAGGTCATCCAGACCGACCTCAACGGCACATTCCACTGTGCAAAGGCCGTAGGCGCCCACTTCAAGGAGCGAGGCACCGGCAGCTTCGTCATCACTTCCTCCATGTCCGGCCACATCGCCAACTTCCCCCAGGAGCAGACCTCCTACAACGTCGCCAAAGCCGGCTGCATCCACATGGCTCGCTCCCTGGCCAACGAATGGCGCGACTTCGCCCGTGTCAACAGCATCTCCCCCGGCTACATCGACACCGGCCTCTCTGACTTCGTCGACAAGAAGGTCCAGGACCTCTGGCTCTCCATGATCCCAATGGGCCGCAACGGTGACGCAAAGGAGCTCAAGGGAGCCTATGTCTACCTCTGCAGTGACGCCAGCACGTACACGACCGGTGCTGACTTGATCGTCGACGGAGGATACGTCTGCCGATAGATTCGCGGCTGCCTCTACACACATCCATGAGCCCTTTGATAGCGGCCATCGCTCGGGAGATCTGAGTGCAAAAGCGTCACCAGAATGTACCTAGTTCCTTCGTCGACACGGAGTAGATAGTGAATAACATATCTTGTGCGCTTACTCGTCGTCTTCTTCGTCCTATGTTGACTCCGTAGCCGGTGCTCTCTCTTTTGTAGGCATTCAAGGTAGTCTCACCATGTTCTCCGTAGCTTTACTATGGTTACTTATTTAGCAGTTAATTATTTAGGTGGAGGCTGGCGTTTTGGTGATGACCTCACAGGCTGCGACTTCGCATCCCCAAAACCTCCCAAACCACCACAAACACCCGCTCGATGGCGCAGACAGAGCGGACATGGCGTTGACCTCGGTACGTACGGCAGTGATTTGACCCTTGCCATGCCTGGAGAAGCTAACAGAAGCTGTTCGCCTGACATAGTGGAAGACCTTCAACTTTTTCGACGTCTCGCAGGTGGACTTCGTCGACAGCGAAGGCAGCTCCGTCTTCACCGTATGCATCCTCCATACCGATATCTACTAGCTACTATCTACGCCGTCTATTTATCGAGTCGCTGCTAATGATGGACGTGTGCTTTAGAACGATGTAAGCAGCGTCTGCACTGGGTCGGATAACCTCTTTGTCGGCACTACCAACGGCACCGTTCACATCCTCTCCCGGGCATACAAAGTCGTCCGCTCCTTTCGGGCATACGATGGCGGCTCGGTCACGCATATGAGACAGGTCCCCTCGACCTCCTACCTAGTCACAATCAGTGAGGACCTATCCAACGAGCCCGTCCTGAAGGTATGGGCTCTCAACGAGACAGAGAAGAAGACCGGGGGGCCTCGTTGTCGGTCCACGAAATCGGTTCAAAACAAGCTGAGACAGTTTCCAGTACGATTAATGGCTCCTCTACATGCTCCCTATGCAAGATAGAACGCTCACACACTCGCTCTAGATATCCGCGTTGGCAGTCCTTGATGATCTCTGGCAGGTTGCCGTCGGCTTTGCCAATGGCTCTGTCACCCTTATCAGAGGAGACCTCATACACGACCGTGGAGCCGAACAGCGCATAGTATTCGAATCGGAGGAACCCATTACCGGCCTCGAGATACAACGATCCGGCCCCACGACTCTATTCATCGCTACCACTAGCCGTATACTCTCACTGGTAATCGGAGGGAAAGGAGATGGAAAGCCGGCTCGTGCCCTCGAAAACCTGGGATGCGGAGTTGGATGCATGACCTTCGACCAGGATACCGGCGATATTCTTGTTGCTAGGGAAGACGCAATCTATACATATGGCCGTAGAGGACGGGGGCCGAGTTTTGCTTTTGACAGTCCCAAAACTTCGGTCAACGTTTTCAAAGATTACATTGCGCTGGTTTGCCCGCCTAGAGCAGCCCTGTCAAGGACAGAAACCGTCAGTAGATTTGGAACCAGTCAAGTTGATGATATCTTCAACACTTCCACCTTCACTCTCTTGGAGTCGGACCTGAGATTCATTGCACACTCGGAAGCTCTCGGTAGCAGTGTGAAGTTCATCTTCATGGAATGGGGAGATTTTTTCATTGTCACCGTTAATGGAAAGGTATGCCACACATTCTTTATCGAATTTGAGCTTTGATCTAATATTTTTATAGGTCAACCGATACCATGAGAAACCACTCCAACAAAAGCTTGACATATTATACCAGAGAAATCTATATATATTGGCAATTAACCTGGCGCAGAAGTCGGGAGTCGACAGACTACAACAGAATGTCATTTTTAGAAAGTATGGGGATTTCTTATATCAAAGAGGGGATTATGATACTGCCATGCAACAGTATCTGCGAGCAATTGACAATACTGAGCCCTCTCATGTTATTCGCAAGGTGAGCTTATCCTTTATCTCGTCTAGTAATTAAACTATGTGCCGCTGTCTGCTAACTCTCTAGTAGTTTCTTGACACTCAACGAATCCACAACCTCATTGATTACCTGGAAGAATTGCATGATCATGACAAGGCAACAGCGGACCACACCACATTGCTTCTTAACTGTTACGCGAAACTGAAGGATACTGAAAAGCTAGATTCCTTCATAATGGCACCTGGAGAACTCAAGTTTGACCTGGAAACAGCTATAGCCATGTGCCGTCAGGGTGGTTATTTTGAACAGGCAGCATACTTGGCTACCAAGCATGGCGAAAGCGACATGGTGGTGGACATCTTGATTGAGGACTCGAAGAAATATTCTGAAGCCCTTAAATATATATGGATCCTTGAACCAGATCTTGTAGGTTTCTACCCACCAGCGTTCCCTATACTGTTCAGATGACCGTTACTAACCTCCAACTTTAGGCATACCCAAATTTGATGAAATATGCACGCGTACTACTTGAGAACTGTCCAGAACCAACGACACAACTTTTTATTGACTATTACTCTGGAAGATTCAAGCCTCGAAAGGAAGAAGAACAGCCTGCTGAAGCTAAACCGCAAGCTACAGGAGGCGCTGTCCAAAATCTTGCATCATTCATTCCTTTGCCATACATAGGAGGCTCCAGGCAAGATAATAAACAAAGCAATGGAGCCAATCCCCAAGCAACGGCAGAACCCGAAACTATAGATGATATAGCTTCGCCAAGTTACGAAATTCCGAAACCTAGAACTGCGTTTTCCTCCTTTGTTGACCACCCCGATCAATTTATCGCCTTCTTGGAGCATCTTCTTGAGCCAGAAGGACTAAAGGATGAAGACAAAGTTGACCTATACACTACCCTGTTCGAAATGTACCTGGATACGGCAAACCGCAAGAAATCGCCCTCTGAGAAGGAGGAATGGGAATCAAAAGCAAAGAATTTGATACAGGGCAAGAACGTAAGAGTCATATAATAATTCTCCCCTTACCTTCCTACAAATATTAATCCTTCATAGATTCCCGTCTCTGCATCAAACGTTCTTCTACTATCAGACTTGTCCAATTTCCATGAGGGTAAAACCTTGGTCCGGGAGAAGGAAGGTCTTAGAGCAGATATTTTACGATCATATATATCAGCCAAGGATACCCAAGGTGTGATAAAGGCTCTAAAAAAATACGGGCCTGAAGACCCACAGCTATATATCGATGCTTTGACGTACTTTGCGTCGAGTCCAAAGATTCTCGAAGAAGCAGGTGGCGAGATGGATGCAGTTCTTCGAAAGATTGATCGGGACGGGTTGATGGCTCCCTTGCAGGTGATACAGGCATTCAGCAATAATTCTGTGGTCACTATGGGCATGATTAACAAGTACCTGAGTGATAACATCGAAAGGGAAAGAAAGGAGATTTCTAACGTTAGTTTCACCCATTCCACCTTGATAATGCACAGCACTAACTGGATACCTTGTAGAACCGTCGCCTCATAGCTAGTTACTCAAAAGAGACGGAGTCCAGAAAACAGCAGATGGAAGAACTCGGTTCTAAACCAACTGTCTTTCAGGCTCGTCGCTGCTCATCTTGTGGAGGTAACCTTGACCTTCCCACAGTTCATTTCCTCTGCAAGCATTCCTTCCACCAACGATGTCTCAACACCGTTGATGAAGATGCGGAATGCCCCGTCTGCGCGCCGCATAACTCAACACTCAAGGCAATACGTGAGAGACAGGTCCAAGCATCTAGCCAGCATGAGTTGTTCCACTCTGAGCTACAGCGTAGTAAAGACCGGTTTGGGCTTATTAGCGAGTTTTTTGGTCGAGGAGTGATGAAGCCGAATAATACTGAGTAATATAAATCATAGAACTTGTAGCTATCATTAGCACCCTTATTGATCTCATGAATTGAATGGTTTAGATACCCTTACAAGTTTAATAACGATTTTTCGTGTTTTTTTTGGGATCCCACATTTCCTGCCGTATTCAGCACTAAGAGGATCTGGAATATAGGGGGGAAAAAAATCGAAGCTATAATTAGGCCTGTCCCAGGCAGTCTCCTTTTCTAACCTATACATCTGTTCTTCTGTCTAACTCAGGATAGGATGGTAAATCCCAGCCTTGAATATCGGGGTTTGAAAATCGTGTGATGAGTTCAGGGATTCGAAGGACGCACATTAACCACACGACGAAATGGAAAAAATTAACACCCCATTGGCTATGAGGCAGGTAATAAGGCATAAAGCTCCGATTCAGTTCCTGAACGTAATTGACGAAAGGGCGCAATTTCCTATCATAGTTTGCAAAGGCCTGAGGCAGGTTACCAGCGTGTTGGCTGATCTCCCCTGCCAAAACGTAGGCACCAACGAGGGCAACGGTAGTCCCGAGACCAGTGAATGGAGATGGACAATATCCGGCATCTCCCACCAGAACAACTCTACCTTTGTGCCATGTATCCGTGCGGACTTGAAGAGCCTCCTCGCAGTAAAAGGACTGTGTTGTCTCCAAGCCTTTGAGAAACCTATCAGCCTCCCAGCCTGCATCACGGAACCTTTGGGCAATAAATTGTTTCTGTTTTTCGATGGGGGCTTTAGGAATGCTCCGTAGTTCCTCTGAGCTGTCGCGGAGTGCAATGTAGGCTTGTGACTCTGTCGAAGTGTGGCTTCTGCGAAATAGTACTCGGCCGCCGGAGCTGTGATAAGCAGTACTGATGTTGGTATCTGTCTCCGCACGTGGAATAAACCAATATGCCAAAATGACACCTATCCTCCAATAGGGATCTGGACCACCCGACGACAAAATGGTTTTTCGAATACGTGATCCTTGGCCATCAGCTCCAACTATCAAATCAAAAGTATCAGAAGAACCGTCGGAGAAACGAACGAAAACGCTATGTTCGTCCTGATCGAAACTTTCAACGGTCTTTCCAAACATATATTCCACATCTTCCTTCGTTGCATCATATAGCAATCGAACCAGGTCTCCACGCATGATTTCGTAGTCAGAAGTAAGGGACTGGGCACCTTTGCCAGATTTGTTTGCAAGGATTGTCCCTTGCACTTTGTCATGGGAGTTGACGAAAGCGACGCCCATTTCATCAACGGATCGGCTGCGGACAGCCCCAAGGAGGCCCATGCGCCTCACGACTTCGATGCCCTGGGCTCGAAGATCTATTTGCGCGCCTGAGGCCCTGAGCACGTGGAAACGCTCGATGATTGTCACTTTATGGCCGCAGGAGGCAAGCCAGTAAGCCAGCGCAGGGCCAGCGCAGCCGCCACCGCAAATAAGAATCTTCAGTGAGGGCATGTTGCCGTAAATAATATATGTAGACCTTGGTCTTTGGGTATTAGACGGTTACCCCCTAGCAACGATGCTAGGAAAGAAAGAATCTGCGTGGGGTACGAGAATAAGAAGATGAAAACTGTCTGCAGAAAAAGCCCATAAGGTAGAGCGTAGCTATTCTTTTAAATACGACGGTGTGCAGATATCACTTAACCACCCCACCTACTAGACAGTGCGTTGTACTTGGGGTCTACATGGGTCCTTCTCCAGGTCCAGCACGGCCTTTGCATTTTGTGTTCTGCATTTGTCGCCCGACTCTGGTGGTAGAAAGTTGTACAAATCTCGCATGTTATGCGGCGAAGTTATCAGTAATATGCAGCAGTTATTCAGTATCACACTGATCTGTACTGTGTATCTTTAGGCAGACCGTCTTTAGAGGATATTTGCGCAAGAAATAGGCCCGACCGGTACATTTAACTGCGAAACTTTGGATGCTCGATATTTTGCAGTTATGTTAACTAGCATTATTAGTTAACTGGTCACTCTGTGCTCCATGTAGCATATCAACTAAGGGATGTCAAGGAGATTTTAAGGATATTTTGGCAATTAGACAAATCACTTTAATAGTAGCAAAACAGTTTATCATCCAATATTGGCTTATAAGGCTAATCTTCCACTGTAAAAATGCATCTCAATTTGCTGCTGTAATCTTTTGTCGTTGAAGTTTTTAGCGCGATTGGCGACGGAACATATCACGTGATTACGCGTTTGACGCGCTTAACCACAGCATAAGAAGAGACATAAAAGACGACGAACATAGAGTGATGAAGATATTGAATGGTTTGTAAGCATAACTACGAACAACAGATCTTCTAAGGTGGTAACTATCTATTATACTTAATATAAAACAATATATCCCACTTTGCAAACTTATGACTACAATGGAACCAACATCTTCACGCGACACGGTGCCGATGTCATCAACGACCCTCAATCGTGTGCGACGGACGTTGACCGCACCTGGGCCGTATGCACCCCAATCCTCGGCTCATAGCATGGATGAACTTGCACTGCCGTTTCCCTTTGAAGTTGCGGTCCCAAGATACCCATTACCGCACCTAACCCCTGCCACAACCACGGGATCAATCACCGCAGCGGCCCCGTCAAGCTACGTTGACACTGGCAGTTTATGGGAGGTTCCAGACGATCAGCTGGAACAAGAGGCGACTGGTTGTCAACTCATCAGTACTGTTGAAAACATACCAGAGGAAAATCACGAGCCAGGTGCCGTGGTAGAAGACCCAGAGCTTGATGTCGATCCCATATCAACTATCGAAGAAGTCCCCCGAAGCTATATGAGCATTAAATTTGGAAGGGAGACTGTCCCTGTAGTTGACCCTGCTCCCGAACCAGTGATTGACGCTGAAGAAACCTCTCAAGACCAAGATGATATAGCTCAACGGGACGAGAACGTAAATTCTGTCGAACCAGCAGACATCCTGACACAGCCAGAGAATTCACTACCACAGCCGCAGACAGTCAGTGGAATGGAGCCGAAGGAGCACTCCCTTAAACGGGTGAATAAAAGTCGGAAAAAGAAAGTTAAGAGAGGAAAGACTACATCGGCTGTGGTGCGGAGGATGGTTGAATCTGATATCGAAGATGATGTGATCTGGATAGACGAGAAAAAATCTAGGCCAGCTATCATAGATGACACAGATGCATCAGATGATATCCTTGATCTAAATGAAAATGATAACCTGTTCGCCACAAATGGCCCCACCCACGAGACTAATTCAACTACCGAGGGAGTTCCAAGGATTGAAGTGCAAGTTCAAGTTCCCACAACGGCTGTTGATAAACCAAACGGATATGTCGGCCTGGCACAAAAAAAGCGAGGAAGGAAGCGGAAGAAAACAGGTCAGGAAGATGTTTCCATGCAGCAGATCGAGACGCTAATTCCAGATGATCCTTGTGGAAACCATAAATACAATATCCCTTCTGCCTCTCTTCAGCCAAGTTCATCTCCAGATATCGTCAAACAACAAACCCCTGAACCAAAGGTGGACCATCACGACCTTCACACATCCGTCGAAACCCCTAGGAGTCCTGTTGATAAAAGAGCTGAGCCCATCCCTTCTACTGAGACCCCGAAAAAGCCGGCTCTCAAAGGGGCAGACAAACACAGTCCTATTGCTGTTACCGCCAAGGTTGCCTATCGTGTTGGACTGAGTCGGAAGGCGAGGATCGCACCTTTGCTTAAAGTCGTCAGGAAATGATAGAGTTCCCCCATCTATCGCTTTCCATGGTGTACGTCGTTACGAATTTCATATTACCTTGCTTTATATCGATACCCATTTGCTCTTTAGATACGCAAGTATAAGTGGCTAGTTGCTTTTTCACTAGTTATATTTTTAATTCTTACTATCAGTATGCATAAGACAGAAATGTATAACTCTACGGTAAACCAATGCTGGGAATAAAGCTTAGAGCAACTTCCACGGTCGCCTTTCCCTACATACATTTCACTTAATTGTGAGGATTGAAGTACGATCTGTATTGCATTGATAGTGCTCTTAGCTAAAAATAAAAATGCACTAGTTCAACTCCTAACATAAGTCAGGTAAGAAAAAAACCACAAGTTATCCTCGTAAGAGAAATCTTCATGCGGAAACCAAAAAGAAAAAAGAGAAACGTATAATCCTCACTAAGAATTACTCTTCATGGTCGCTTTCGTCAGCTGGAAGCTGTTCAGCGTCGGTCTTCTGGCCCTCGTCGCTCCCAGCCGGTCCTTCATTTGAGTCTTTCTTTTCATTCCCGTCCTTCTTGTTCTTAGTGTCTTCAATGTTTTTCGATTTTTCTTCATTATCTTCAGCTTCCTGGCTAACCTTGTGTTTAGGAAAATGGTCAGCCTTTCCCTTGGACCCCTTATTATTTTCTTTGCCCAGTTGAGTGTCTTTGTTGGTGTCGGAATGGTCTCCAGAGCAAACGCCTCCAATCTTCTGGCAGCCTTTTCCACAATGAAGAGCCCTGTTTCCGCATAAACCTAAGGCACTGCAGCAGCGGCCAAAAGTGGAGCCAGTGCAAGTGAAGCTGGTGCCGCAAGTTCCGTCAGGGGATGGAGGCTTGACCGGCTTGAATTTTTTGCCGCCCTTTTGTGGCTTTCCTCCAGGGCTTTGGTCATCAGGGCGGGAAGTCCATCGATACCAATTGGCGGGGGGGTCTCCTAGGCATTCTCCAAGCGTAACTGTGCGATATCCACTACCTTCAAGACGACGAAGCATATGGATTGTAAGGTTATAAACCGTCTGTTCGTGAACATCGTGGCCAATTTCAAGGAGAGGGCGCCCTTCTTGTGTTATATAGGAGTCAAATATGTCCTTTGAGCGTTGAATCATATCTGGAGCATCGTTGTTGTAATCGTCGGTATCAAGGTTGAAGTAAGTAACATGATAACCCAGGTCACCCATGTCTCCTAAACATCCAGATGCAGCAGAGCAACTCGAGTATGGTGGTCGCATGTAGGTTGGAAAGCCACCCATGATATTCCGGAAGGCCATCTCGTTTTTTATCAGCTGCTGTTTCCTATGAGAAGCAGAAATCTGATCAAGATTCTGATGAGACCATGTATGGCTGGCAATTTGATGGCCGCTATTATACATCCGGCGAATTAAGTCGGCCCAAGGGTAGTTGGGGTCATCTATTGCACCTTTGTTTGAATTGATCCCAGTAATAAAAAAAGTGGCCTTAGCGTTAAACGAGTCGAGAATATCAAGCAGGTCTCTGGTGTAGATGTACGGCCCATCATCGTATGTCAAGGCAATGGTGTTTGGAACAGTACAGTCATAAATGGCTGCTTCGCCGTAGGGGACATCCCCGACCTTATCGCGAGGTACATCGGATGTATCTTCTCCGCTGGGCGTCTTGTGAACATCACAACCACTGCCATACTCAAACAAACAGTCCGGGGCAGCACAGTACATGGGCCCCTTCCCACAATATCCTAACATTCATAAATCAGACACGAATACCAAGTGACAGTATCACCATCAATGTTACGTACCCGAGGACGAACAACACAGGCCCTCAGGACAGGAGCCAGCGTAAGGCCCGCAGGCTGCAAGAGGGGCCCCTTGGTCGTCTGGCTCAGCATTATTACTCGTAGAAAACCCCCCTGGAGCGGGAAACGGGCGGGGCATTGGGCCGAGGGGGAATGGAGGTCTCAACACCGGGGGCATACGAAGACGAGTCGGCTGGCCATCATCATTTTTGTCGGCGTTAACAACAGCAAAGAGAACAAACGGAATAAGGTAGCGTAAGCAATGCATGGTCGATCATGCATAATACAAGCCAACAAGGGAAGATCTCAAAAATACTCAACAGTAGAGCAGAACAGTAAAATATGGCTCTCTCTCAGGCGACGGAAATGACTCTATAGAATTTCACAGACAGAGAGGAGGGGGAAAACAACAAAATGCCTTGTATTTGAAAGCATAACAAAGCAAAGATTAGCAACAGCAAAAATACTACTAAACAAAATATTAAAAATGGCGTAGACTGGAAGGAACCATGTAGGAAGGAAACCGCAACGGTGCATCGACTTATCGATGAGGAGGAAGGAGCGTCCTACGGTATAAACTTTGTATTGATATCAACATTGTATGACTCGGGAGAGAAGTGTAGTCCGTTTCGGTGACGCTGTGTGCAACGTGGGTATACAGAACTGTGACGAGGATATATTTGGTGTGCCCCATTTTAATTAAGGCCAGCCAGCACCTTTGTACCCGTTGAACGGTTGAACTAGGGCGTTATCCAGGCTGTAGCCCTAGGATACGAGGCAAGTCTACCAGGATAGTTAGCTGTAGAATCAGCAACGATGGAATGGGGCCACTTATAAAAAAAATAATGTTGGCCTCCACCTCCAACGAGAAGCGGAGGCCTATTCAACCGGCAATGACATGCTAAGAGGAAGATTTTTCATACTACTCGCCAAAAATGAAGCAGCTTCTGTCTATCGTATATCCCCTTGGTCAACTCAACTCTGTGCGGTTTCACCAAATCCCCAGGATGTCACCCCGTCTTTAGACTCAAAGCACCATCGGGATAGTTGCACTAGGCAAGACAGCCGGAGATTCGGAACATTCAAGTCGGGCATGCGCCAGATCAGACAAGCCAGGGCTTTGATCCTCACTCGAGAGAGGTCCCTCTCTGTGCATGAGCTCCCAGACGTAAATGAACCTGAAGACCAGGCGTTACTTGCATCGTTCCGACATATCCTGTAAATAGCACTTTTATTTGAGCAGCAGATGTGGAGTGCAGCTCTGAGAGACTCTCTCACATAGAGTTGGGTTTTCCAAGGAAAATCCATCCCTTGTGGGGTATCGATAAAGTAGAAAGCAAAACAGTGATGGTGAGAAGAACTGTAACTTGCTCATAGCTCCAGACAGAGCTTTCAGTTGAATAAATCCACTGCCCACATGGTCCCAGTATCCAAGCATGTTACCAAGATACCCACTGAAGCAACCAGCCACCCTAAAGCTTAAGCCTCTCAGTATACTTTCGCCCACTGGACACAGTACCGACATCCCGTCTCCTAAATTCTAGCGGGCCAGATCAAACCGTCATTCCCAGACTCCATTTCCGTGAGTGTAACACAGTGCCCTCGGAGACAAGCTTTTGTTTCCTCCCCAACATGCACTAAGTGCAGAAAGGGGGCGAAGAATCGAACAAAAGCATCTGCAAAAATCGATTCAACTTCCTTGGCGGGAAGTAGGCACCCAAGAGAAAACTCCGGGATACCGTGAACCGGCGCTCTTTGATCTTGTGGGCTATACCCATCGGACCAAGATTAACGCGATGGAGAGACCCAATAGCATGCACGCATTGGCGAAGGCCAAGGTACAAGACTAGTGAACGAGCTTCGGCCATTAGGGCTGTAAGATTCATGGGAATGGGTTGGAAGAAAGGTGACAAACCCAGAAGGGTTTGGATGTGGAGATACATGTAGGACGGCCAGCCAGTTTAACGAAAAGTATGCATCAAAATTTATAACCCTCAGTACCCAAACCCCTTGACCGATATTGCCGCCCACCTCACTGTTAGGGACAAAGATGCCTTAGAGAAGCCCAAACATGCCATGGCAGGATGATTTGACACACTATGGATAGATGGATCGTCTCTGCTATGACTTAACTGCGCGTGAGAGCAAGTAAGCCAATTCCGGCAAAATAAGAACCCAAAAAACCAGTGCGAAAAATCGTATGTAGGCGACTTCATAAATAAAATACCTGCTTGGCTTCATGGGAATCTTTGTATAGCCAACAGATGGGATGGATAGTACAACATGAGTTCAAGGGAATTTTGAAGAATCCCTTTTCGCATTCTGACACGTTGGTCTCCCGAAGACAATCCAATTTCCAAAGATTATCTGATGTACACTGCCCTTCTTCTCCCATCCGCTCATGAAGCTTGCAAGTATCAAACTGGTGGTCTTATTATTCTCCTATCCAGCTAAGATAAACTGACGCGTCTTCCGGCAGGGAATTAAACGCATAGTCACCGTCTTTTATGCGCTCCATAAGAAGCTCTGGACGCCAGGCTCCTTTTATGCCACCAACAAAAAATTGCCAGTGATACACTTGGAGATCTGGTTGCTATAACCGCGAACTTGCTGCCGAAAGTCTGGGTGGTCCAGACACGACGCCCGGCACGTAACATAGGGTTAAGTCCCAATCACGCCCACACCGACCATCAGGGATGGATAGACAATATCAAGATGCCATACCATAGACCCTAAATAGCAGATGCAGTCGTAGAAAGGTAAACTATGGGGAGGTCGAGCTGGTAAAATGTAACGGAAACAGAGAACTGAGAGCGAATAGCTTGGTTCATTGGAGGAACGATATCGAGGACAGAAGCACCGGGCCCAGATGTGAGGCGATTGCTTTGAGATGTGAGGAAGCAGCTGTAGAAGGCCGAGAATCGCTCGTGGTATATATATCCAAACAGCAGAGCTTTGACGCTGGTTGTTGAATCGAAAACGACAATTGACGTGTAAACAAAGACGCGGTTTTGGCGGCAGGCCGCGATATCACGTGAAGTTGATGACGTCAAAGTCACGTGCGCGTTTAATCCAAACTTTTCTTATTTTCCCTCGTTTGTGTTTCAACAAACAAGCGACGAGGATATCAGAGCCATGCACTGGAGAAAAGTCTACAGCATGTGAATAAATGGGGAATTCTGCGAAAGTTGAAGGGGCTTTCGAAGCTACTGCTTTGTTTTTGCAACCCGTTTTGACAAGAGGCACGCCTACCTTGATTTGATTTCTTAAACTGATTCCTCAAAGAATGCAGCTAATGGATTAAAAAGAGCAAATCCAGAAGAACCCAGGTCTTTCATTAGTAGAATCCTTAAAAAAAACACTACCTGAGCATTATGAAACCAGCAGAGCCCCCAGAGAAAGGGTAATACGGCGAAGCCTTGACCTGCTGGTAGATATCCACCAAGCATTTATCCAAAGCCAGACCCAAGATGACAATGCTACTGGTCTTGAGGACGCAAAAAGGAGACGAACCCTCCATGCCCTCCTTGACCTCATCTCTTTAGAGGGAATATATCCATCACTGTCGGCAGGTGCCGGGATTCCCCTGGAAAAGAGAGTGATTTCTAGCCTCCCTACGGGCGTAGTGGCTAGGCAAGATGGGTCAGACGAAAGGCCATCCCCCCAAACGGAAGCCTTCCTTCTTTATATACTCATGTCGCTACGAAAGATACTTCAAGATGACAGTTCTTCACTTCAGTCAATCATAATGGGGAGGCTTCTCTCAGACCTGATTTCAGGAGCCGCCGAGCTGTCTTTCCATTCCCAATACCTCACTCAGCCAGAAGTCGAATGTTGTAATACCATGTTCTGGAAGATTATTGGGGAGTAAGAACTATCTTATTTTAACCACTTCCTAACGACTAATCCGTTTCTAACATCGTTATAGCACCCCAACCCCCTTTTTACTCCCAGTACTTACATCGTTTCTTCAGCCAAATTCTGCTCCTTGGCTCAAGGACCCAATCTCTTCGGCCCTGTCAAGTATACCCCTTCGCAAAGAGGGAGTCTTCCAAATAATAACCTTTCTTGCGTCCCAGTTCGCTCCTGAGACCTCGTCAACTTCGCAGCAGACCAGCGGGCCTCTAATTACTGCTCAGGCAATCATGCAGTCTTCCAGGATACTTTCGAGTATACCCCGTGGGACATCTCCCGAACAATTTCTTACGAATGTCGGGCCCAAACTTCTCTCCCTTCTCGATGGAGATGATATGGACCTAAAAAAGACAGCGTCGTACATTATAGGGAATGGTATCTTGCCAAAGCGTCCTATTGGCGCTCCAGGTACAATTGGCTTTACAATATTCGTCAAACCTATCTTCGATGCTTTTCATGGAAAAGTTAAGGGGTTGTCCACTTTGTGGCTACGCAAGTTTAATCGGGACGGTTCGCCATCCGTTGAGAGAACTGACAGCCATCTAAAAGGCCCCCGCGTTGTCGTCAATACCCATCAACTATCTCTATCTTTATCTCGTCTAAAATCCTTGGTGGTACTTCATCCTAATCCCGCCCTACTTAAACGGTTAATTGGGCCTATAATGCTTCCTCTCTGGGGCTTACATTGGCACGCAAAGACTCTAGTAAATCATCAGTGGGCCGATCAGACGTTCACCCTCTTACAGAACTACTTCAGTATATCTTCTGAAAAATCTAGATTTGAACGGTTGGTCCAGAATATGATGTGGGATGGCGAGGAGACGTGGGCCTACAAGCACTCCCTGAACGATGAAATATTTGTAGGGCAGCGCGAATCCTCAAATCAAGAGCATGCTAATGTCATGCAAGTCATTGAGGATATCGACCAGCGGGCTGATTTACTCGTCAGTTTTCTTGGAGTTGATCCACAGCGAGAAACGCATATTGGGGAAATTTTCCTTCTGGTTACCAACAAGTGGCTCCTTGAAGACGGAGGGATCCCTGACAGCCAGCGGCTAGTATTTCCAGATGATATCCACACAGGCCTACAGAAGGTGATATATGCCAAAATTGCCGAAAAAATTATTAGCCAGTTTCAAGATATTTTATGCCGTCAATTGGATCAAATAGTGCAACTTGTCAACCAACTTCTTGATCATGAAATGCATCTGGTTACCAATAGGGATAGGAAAGAAGCTGCTAAACCTACCTTAGAATCACTCAGAAACATTTCAAGGAAGCCTGAAAATGAATTTGGTTCTCATTCTCCAGACTCTACTGGATCGCCAGAGCCGCTACCCGCTGCCCTCAGCTTGCTTTCTACCCTTCTGCTATCCTCTGATTTTAACCCTGGGGATGAAATAGGCCCATTGCTTTCGGAAACAAAGGAAAAATTAGATCGAATACTTCCCCTTATCTCTCAATCGGCGAAGCACCCAGCAACGGCGTTATCCATTCACATCGAGATTATCCTCGGTGGACATATACCCCATGAGAAGAGGGAAACCATGTCTGTTGCCAAGAAGGAACACATAAATGACGTGGCGGCGCACCGACAAGCTCTTGAGAACTTGAATTCGTCTTTACCTCCAGTCCAAGCCGAGGGACTTTCGATATTATCCGGATTAATAAAGAACTCTTCGCCAGTTCTTGACATCCCGGCTACACTCACGCTTTTAATATCCTTGATTATCAGAGGCCATGGAGATATGAAAGATGACGAGTTTGTCTACTTAAATGTGATCTCTCATATCGGTCTTCTTGCCTCGAGACATCCTCGCACCGTTATAAAAACCCTGACCGAGAGGTATAAGGACAATAACGAAGAGGCTTCATTGGACGAGAGACTTCGTGTCGGTGAAGCTATTCTCAGGGCGGTCGAAGATATAGGAGGTGCTCTGGTAGGTGAAACTGCTACAATCTTAGGCGACGCAATGGTAGAAGTGGCTGGAAGGCGAGGGAAAAAGCCAAGAGCCAAAGTGAAAAGGTTAGCAGATGCCAAACAACAAGAATTGGAACAGGGCAAAACAGATGATACAGAAGACCTAGAAGCCGAAGCTACAGACATCTTAAATCAATTGGACCAGAATACAGACTCGGAGTCGGAAGACCCGGTGAAATCTGCCTATTCGAATAGAATCCTTCAGGCATGGGCTTCAGGGGCAGCCTCAGATGAACATCCAGATGATCTACGTGTCCGAGCATCAGCCATCTCAATCCTAGCATCTGCTATTCATACGAATATTGCTGGTATAGGACAACGAATAGTGTCTAGCTCTGTGGACATGGCACTTTCCACACTGGCCTTGGAAACTGGACCCGGGAATGCCATCATCCGCCGTGCAGCTACCATACTCCTTCTTGACACTACAAAGGCATTGGACAAAGCTATGGAGCAAGGTGTAGACCTAGGGTTCGCCTTTTCACATACCATGTTCATCCCTAGCAACATGAACACAATTGGAAACATTCCGGATATCCTCCGTGTTCTAGCTTTTGTGGAAAGCGAAGAAACTGACGTTCTTGTCCGTGGGCATGTACGGGCTTTAACGGAGAGTTTAGAGGCGTGGACTGAAAAATCAATTTTACATGGTATTGGAGCCGGTGCTCGGCCTCAATTTGGACTTGGTGATAAGCTCGCTGGGTTGGATATTGCGCCAGGGTCTACCGCTTCGAGTAGTAGGGGCCGTCCACGAATTGAGGAAATTGAGTAATGTAAAACAATAGAAGCAAGCGGCTTTGCAAGCGATACTTGAATAATTAGCGGAGGATCTAAGATCTCTACTCCGTAATCTCAAATTTTTTTGGCTCCATTTCAATTTAACTAGCTACCTAATTCCATGCACCTGATTTTTTTTGTTTTAACTAAAATACAATGTGAGAACTGCTCATTCACCATGAAGACCCGGGCGTAATTCGTTTCCATAGACTCCGGTATCAGATAACATGGTTCATGATATTCATTTGTGCCAATAAAGGTCAAAAAACATGCAATAACAAATGAAAGGGTGAAGTCCAGAGATTGAGGAGGATAACCATTGCTTATTTACTGCCTATTAAAGTTCATTCTTCAGGTAACTGATAGAAGTGAAGGCAAGGCAATAAACAAATGAAGGTATCAACAGCCAAGTGACTAAACCAAACGAAACAAAGGGATTTCTGTAGCGTAAAAAGTTGGTTGGTTGGTGAATGCTGCGGAGAATGCTGCCTGTGGTCTGGTCTGATAGTATGGAGGGTCCAAATGGGAGCCTCATAACAGTCAGAAAAACCAGATTAGTACTGGTTTCGACCACGTCCGCCGCGGCCACCGTGTCCGCTTCTGCCACGGCCACGACCGCGACCGCCACGACCACCACGACCGCCGCGGTTTCCGTATCTACCTCCCTGGTGGAAGATACCCCCTTTGTTAGAATCATTTGCCTTCTGCAAAGCTTCGTTCTGAGCTTGACGTTGTTCATTGGGCATAGCAAAGACATTTTCAATACCAATTAGTTTGCAGAACTCTTCGGTCTGCGGGTTTAGGTATTCGGGGGGCTGGTCATGGGTATCAACCGGGACAGTGGGGTCATAAACGGGGGCGGTGATGGTGAAGTTGTGTGGGATGACCATCTTCCCCATCTTAACAACGTTCTCTTCAATCCATTCCTCAGCGGCGATGATATCAGGTTTGTATCCGCCATCACCCTTGTTAGAGGGAACAGAGGCAGCCTTGTCGCCAACGGTGAAGCCTGGGTGTAGGGCACGGGTGATGGCAAGCCATTCTTTATCGTACATCAATTGGTAAGGACCAGTGCCATTGGTTCCATCGTCCTTGGAGACAGGTTTGACCTCAGTGAGGTGGAGAAAGTGACGGCGCCCTTCACATTTGTCTAATGCAAGAAATTCAGTAGTAATATTGGTGATCTCTGCGGGGAGAGTAGGCTCGACAATAGGCTTGGGCCCAGATGTAATTAGGAACGGTTTAGCAAAGCTGGCAGGCAGCTGGCTACGAATATCATCTGGCACAGAATCAACATTCTTCGCGTTGTTGGCAGTCTCAATCTGAGCCTCAGAGCTCTCAGGTTCTTGTGCTTTTTCATCTGTAGCTTTTTCGAAAGGCTTAGAGTCAGTTACTACGGAAGTGTTGGCCTTGGGCCCGTCGTTCTCCGAGACATCATCCAAGTCCAGGTTGATTTCGTCGGTATTCTTGACCTGAACAGCTTCGGGCATCTCAGTAGTCTTGTTGCTGTCATTTTCAATAGAAGTCGTAATAACATCTTGAACTTCACGGCCGGTGCCGTCATCAACACCAACTTTCTTCCACTTCAACTGATAGGTAACGTCGCTTCCAGGCTTGATGTCTCCAGCCTCTACTTGCTTGTGGTATTTTGCGACTTCCCTCATGAAAATCTCCTGTTCGTCTTGCTCAGCAGAAGCAGCAAGGTGATGGAAATCACGCCATGCATTTTTCTTTGCAGTGTCATCCATTGGAATGTCCTGGGCTGAAGGACCCTTTGGTTCTGAAACTTCCTTGGAATGATCAGGGATAACATTCGCTTTTTTTTTAGTTAGAATAGATGGAGAGAGATCAGGAGGCTTGGCGATAGCTTCTTCAGTCTCATTGAAGCGGACAACAACTTGAGGAGGTTGGTATTCCTGGTGATGTAAAGTGGCAGTGTATTTGCAGTGCAGGTGAGCTGAGAACCAGTGGCCTGGTCTGAGTCTGTCAAGTACCTGCTTGGCTGCAACGTTACCAAGCTTTCCAGTTTCGGAATCCTCCATGATATGTCTTTTGATTTTGAAGAGATGGTCGTAGTCTCCGGCCCATTCAATACCACGAGGCCAATCATGGCTGATGCCAATATCGACCTGGGTACGGATCTGAAGTAGCTTGCGGACATCAACCTCTCTGGTGTGATACGCGGAGCGTAGAGAGTCACCATCGTAAGGGATTCTCTCATAGTGAGGGCGATGGTAGTCATAGCCCTTCCAGATGCCGGACATGCCCATGATCCGGAGAGGTCCGTAACGAACCAGGTTGGCGGCACCCATGTAGTAGATGTTTGGAGCAACCCAGCCGCCATAATGGAGCTCAAACATATGGTTGCTGGCCTCATGGTTGCCTCCCACAAAGATGGTAAGAACAGGGGCAATGCGAGCACCACTGTAGTACTCATGGAAGTCTCCAATTTCTTTATACTTGTTTGGAACCGCCATGCAGGTCAAGTCATTGGAGTTTCTCACAGCCTATAGGACAAGGGAGTAAGCATGATATAAATCACTACTAGGAAGGCCGTCCGCTTGTAGACGGGCTGGCGGTACAGTAGTAGAAACGCGTAGGTGGGGGTCTTACCTGGAAGTCACCTCCAATAATAAGCAAGTCAACGCCATCCCATCCGCGGGACTCAGCTGAAGCCTGAACGGCTGCGTAGATATCATGCAGTTTTCCATGGCCCTAGACAGCAGATAGTTAGCTAAAACGCTGTTCCTGCCATATCTAATGCATGGTATAAAGGAGGTAAACAGTAAAGAGAAGTAGAAAGAAGAGTAAACATACGCATCCTTCAACGGCCACTCTAAGCGGGCGACGCGTCTCTGGTGCCTCTGGCGTCTCTGGCATGTCTACTGCGTCTGCCATAATTTGAGGTATCTTGTATGCAGAATAGCAGCGGCGCAGTGTCTTCACGCCCGCTAGGTGTAGTTGTTAGTATAACTACCAACTGTCAGAGGCCAGTTGCTTGTAGTTAACTAAGGAAGAGGAAGAAAAGGAAAAGGAAAGGAGGGAAAAGGGAGGAAAAAAGAAGAGGACAGCAAGGAAAGAAGAGAAAGGAAAAGAGTGAAGGTGAACGCGCGTCCCTTCACTTTCTTTTATGTGTTGTTGTTGCTTCACTTTTTCACCCTTTTTGTGTTGCTAGAAAAGTTGACGTTGTTTTTGCCTTTTTGGGAGAGAAAATGCAGTTTTGGTGGTTTTTTTTTCCTGTTGATATCTTCAACTTCTTCTTCTTCTACCAGAAACGGTCTACTATAAATAAATATATACACCTACGTGACTAAAAGACTTAAAATAATCCTGGATACCTCATTGTCCTCGCTTCGTGCGTTTTGCTTCATTCTACTCAAGAGTCGTTATGTCTCAGCCGGTGTCCGCGAGACTGGACTTCTTGAAGGCGTCTGCCCGTCTGCTCAGCCAGCAGAGCCCATCGACTTCGGCACATCTGATGACGGCTCATAATAAAACAGCGATCCAGGATAAGTCTTCTCGTCTCTCCATCAAGGACCAGATGGAAGCCTGTCCAGCCTGTGGAAGCGTCCGGACTCCAGGGATGAACAGCAGAGTCTTCACTAGAACCCAGCCACTTCCCAAAGCTGCTCGGCCTGTGCATAAGTCCCGGCATAAGAAGCTATCTCAGGATGTATTAAGCCATCCATCAGCGCAGAAATGTCTTGTATACGAGTGTCTGCGATGTGCCCATGAAGTGGTCCAACGCCTCCCGCAGTCCGCAAGACCCGTCCACAGAAAGAGAAAGGCTTCACCCATGGCCATAGCTTCATCATCGACCAGCTACCAAATGCCTCTGAGAACTGCTGTGGATCAGACGGAAAGACTAGCACCAGGCTCTGCGACTCCAAAGATGGAATCCGAGAATTCCAGCAGCAAAAAGCGAGCAAAGATGAGAAAGCAGAAGGGCCTCCTGGCCAGCCTGGCCACCCAGAAGCAGTCCAAGGCATCAAGCTCACTGGGCCTCTTGGATTTCCTTCAGTCATCGTAGTTGGAGGCGTAGCTGCATCATTAGAAGCAAGGAAGCTACCGGCATCTCTTTGCGTACACCATAGATACTACTTAGTTTGCTACAATGGCACCTACGTAGGTCAGTCTAGGACTACAGTGACGGCTAACGAGTAGTAAAAGTACGTTATACGTTATATTCCATCGTGCATGTTAACCGTTAAAACCCCAAACTAACTCCTTTTTGCTACTTAGTTAGCTTTTCCCTTCGATATGAGTGACTGCTAACCGCGGTTCGTCAATGTAGCTGGCGTTTGCTATAGTCGTTCAGTCGACCGTGAATTGGACAGCAGTCCATGACTTATCAAAGGCGGCAAGGGCAGGTCGCTCTCTGTCTATGTTCACTCTCCGCCTGCAGGCTTTCGGCGCCCTTCGGAATCCAAGCCAACGCCGCCCGCTCTCCTTTCCAGGCTCTCCGACTTCTGGCTTACTCCAGCAGCCGCTTTTTGAGGCTCAAACAACTGGAAATAAACTCAAGATTTTAGTTATTCCTTTCTTTTGTGGATCGCATCAAGAGCAAAAAGAAAAAGAGCGAGATTACTCAGAAAGTTAAAAACATTTCATGACTTTAGTATTTTTTTTCTTGTCATCGAAATAAGCGACGGACAGGATATATAAAGCAGGCCTTTCGACCTCAGGCTAATCAGTTGATACTCCGAAGTAAGAAACTGTGTTGACCTGACTGCTGCGGCCCTTTATTCACCGATCCGGCCGGCTACAACAAGAGAAAACCACACCAACGCGACCCCTCCACGATAAGAGCAAAGATGGCCAGCGGGGATGATAACGCCGTGCCCCGCGCCGACGAAGAGACCATGAAGGTCGTTCAGAATGACGACGACCTAGGACTTGTCGACGTAGAGAGCTTGTGCATGAACTGCCATGAGAATGTAAGTGGTCACGTCGCTGCCTCTCTTCGTTTGGGAAATCGCATGGCTAACCAGCGGAACCGCGTTTCAAGGGTTCTACCAAATTCCTCCTCATCAAGATCCCATTCTTCCGCGATGTCCTCCTCGAGTCGTTCGAGTGTCCTCACTGCAGCCACAAAAACAACTCCATCAAAGCTGCTGGCGAGATCCAGGAGCATGGTACCAAGTACACCCTGGATATCCATGACAAGCGTGACTTTGACCGCCAGGTCGTCAAGGGTGATTCCTCGGTCTTCCGCCTCGAAACCCTTGGAATAGAAATGCCGACTGGCGAGGGACAGCTTACAAACATCGAAGGGCTGCTCACCAAAATCCAGACCCAGCTCGAAAGTGAGCAGCCATTGCGGAAAGCTGCAGACCCAGCCACCTACCAGGCACTTGATGAGATCCTCCAGAAACTCGCTAAGATGATCAACGGCGAATCATTCCCGTTCACGGTGACCTTGGAGGACACGACTGGCAACTCTTGGATCTCCCCCGCACCTTATGACGAGGGCACCAGATACAAGCGAAAGGAGTTCCAGCGTACCAAGGAACAGAACGAAGCTCTCGGCATTGGCATCGGCGAAGAGGACCAGGACGGCCAGAAATCAGGGGACCCCAACGATCTCGATATTGTTGATGGAGATGTGTACTCTCTCCCCACCCACTGCCCTGGCTGTGCTAAGGCTTGTGTCGTCAATATGCAGAAGGTCAGCATCCCATATTTCAAGGAAGTGTTCATATGGAGCACTGTCTGCGACCATTGTGGCTACCGCACCAGCGATGTCAAGACTGGAGGTGCCATCCCTGACAAGGGAAAACGAATTACGCTGCGAGTTGAATCTATTGTAGATCTATCCCGAGATATCCTCAAATCCGAGACTTGCGTCCTAAAGAGCGACGACCTTGGTCTTTCTGTCCAGCCCGGGACGCTTGGAGGCAGGTTCACTACCGTCGAGGGCCTCCTCACTCAAATCCGTGACCAGCTTCACGAGCAGATCTTCGACTTTGGCGACGAAGATCTGGCCCCAGGTGATTCCATGCCTGTACCAGAGAAGGACCGATGGAAGCAATTCTTCGACAAGCTCGACATCGCTATCAAGGGCGAACAGAAGTTCTCTATCACGCTTGAAGACCCCTGTGCAAACAGCTATGTTCAGAACCTCTTCCTCCCCGAGCCAGACCCACAGCTGGAAGAGGAAGAATATACCCGTACTGAAGAAGAGGAAGAAGACCTCGGTCTCAAGGATATGAAGACCGAAGGGTATGAAGAGGAACATAGGCTCGCGCAAGAAGCCGAAAAGGCAGCAAAGGAAGCCGAGGAAGCAACTTGATTCTTTTTCCATTCACAAAAAGTAGGCGCACGCGTCGGAGGGCTCTTTTATCTTTCTATTCATTTTTTTTTTTTATGAGAAACGCGACAAATGACGGGGATAGCATCATTTTCAGAGACCTACTGTTGATAAAATAGAATCAGGGGGGGTTGAAAAAAGCTACCTTTCTTTTCCTTCTGTTCTCTGTTTCTCCTCCTTTGGCTAGAGTAGGCGGCTGTTTTTGTCCCTTTAAAAGAAGGTTGCTGAGGTCTCTGGTTTTTGATAGAAAACGGACATACTAGTCGGGGATATGAAACAATCAATCTATAGAAGAATTCCAAAACCTCGTTGGAGACAAATCGACTCACGAAAATGCCTTTTTAGTAACCAGAATGGCTTAACTGCGGATAGGAGCTTTGAGCGGAAAGAGTTCTCTGTATCGGTGCTTTAATGTATTTGCCATGTCGTCTATGCCGTTGTCCCCTTCATTCCTTCATGTTATAAGGACAGGGGTGGGTTGACCCTGGTGATGCGACCTGGTAGCCATTAGAATGGGCCGGATAGTAGTGAATGGAGAGAGACGTGAGAGTATAAAGAGTATCCCTGCATATCGTTTATCGTTTATTCCCTGAGATAATGTCCAAACCCTATCAGCCGGCGAAGGGATTGGCGTGGATAGTGACTCTCTCGATACCGATCTTCTCCCACGCTTGCGCATCGTCGCTATCGGGCTTTTCTTTGATTGAGTCCGGCTGCACCACCCTTCCTTTCTTATCTATCTTCACATTGGCCTTTTCAAGACGGGTAAGCGTGTCAGGCTGCTCGCCCTCTTCTCCCGTCCTGCCTGGGTCTAGCACTTTGCCAAACACGGTACTCTTTCCATCCAAGTGAGGAGCAGCCGCAAAGGTAATGAAGAATTGACTACCGTTTATATCCCGCGCCACTGCACCTCCGGCACCGCCTTGGTTCTTGACCGGTTTTCCTGCCATGCTGAGTATCCCTCTTGCATTGTGGCGGAGGGTGGGGAGGTGAATCTCCTGCTCTAGCGGAGCTGGATGGTATATCGAGGCTCCTCCCTTAGGAATATCAAACGGTATAGAAGACGAGGAGGCCTTGTTGGCTGTAGAGAGGGAGATGTCGCCTCCTTGGATCATGAACGAGGGCATGAGACGGTGGAACGGGGTGTCATTGTACGCTCCGGATGCGCAGAGGGCGAGAAAGTTCTAGGATAACCATTTAGTTAGCTTAGAGTAAATGTCAATAGGGACGCATAGCACTCTTACCTCCGCTGTCTTGGGTACTGCTTCACAGAATATCTCGACCTTGACGTCGCCATGGGTAGTGTGCAACTATCAAGTAATGGGTTCCTGGTCAGCTCTCCACGGTCAAAATTGGCTATCACCAAAACAAGGAGCGTGCTTACCGTAACCGACATCTTCATTGGCCTCTCCTCTTCCCTCTGTTCCTCCTTCTCGTCTATCGTCTTTTGTCTTCGTCTTCGACTTCAGCTCCAACCTCAACCTTCGAAAGAGCCGCATCTTCGTCACGTGACGTCACTAATTAAACCAAAAGCCTCTTTTCCTTGAGGTTCAAAGAAGAAACGAAAGAAAAACAAACGAGATATCAAGATAGAGAGAAGAGCAGGAAAAGCGGCGGCAAGAGAAGGAGAAGAAGACTCTCCTACAGTACGGAGCGGCTCGACAGAGGCGCTGAGCTGATTGATACGACGAACCTGACGTCCAGACACTGTAGTAGCCATGAACTAATCAACTAGATCAACCAAATAACGAACCGCAGACAAGCAAGACCAACAAGACGAGCAGAGCAACCAACCCTCTTCGTGACAAAACAGCACGCATATTATAACTAGGGAAAGCGAGGCTCAAGTGACGAGGCTGTCGAGTTTAAACACCACCATCGAACTCTGGAGTCGCTGCAGGACCAGGCCCCTATCCTTGCCCGGCCTGCCGTCTCTCTCGTCCGTCCGCCTCATCGCAGAAGCCCGTGAACAAAAAATAGAAAATAATAAGAACAGCCAACACGAGCTGCAGGAGCCCATGCTGGGGGAGCTGGGGTTGGTCGTCTCCCGGCGGTTAATGGTTATTTAGTTGACGGGCATTCCCCAAGCTCGCAGAGCACATATCAAGTGCGTTGATATAGCAGGGAACAACAACACTGCATCCAAACGAGCCGCCATAGTTATAGTTGGTAAAACTAACTACGCCCATATCGAAAAAAAAAAACACCGTCGGTTGCTTCCAGCCTTCCTTTTTTTCCCCTTCCAACTTCCGTGCGCCAGCCTGCATACTAGCAAAAGCTCAAACTCCAAGGACACCGCATTCGCGAACATTCTTCCATCTCGATCGGCCTTCACGCTAGCTAACTAACCCGCTAGTTACTAGCTAGCTAAACATCCTCAAGTTCCTCGTTGGTGCGGAATTGATAAGGGACGGGACAGTCGCAGGATACTGCCGGGGACAAGCTCATGCATGGGACGCACCAGGGCATACGACTTGTGGCGAACAACAGCGGGATACTAGAGGTCTCGGTTTCAAACAACTCTCCCCAATCGACCCATGGTGGACGGGGCGCGCAGTCTGGCACAAGATGGCCGCCTTCGTGCGAGTGTCGGGGCCTCCCAATAGTAACTTCCTCGTCGGGTACCCTGGAATATCAGCAACTCTGGTGAGTTTTCTTTACGTTCCTGAACCAGTTCGCTGGTTTCGATGCGAACACACATGTACCGCACAAGGCGGGATAAGCTACAAGGCCCTTCTTCCAGTGATATATATATTTTTTGTCTTGCTGGCTTGGTTTTCTACAAGAGAGAATGCTAACACAGCATGGATAGCCACGTATTGAAGGAAAGGTCGAAGTGCGACCCAGCGTCGGAGTCTCAGCCGCAGTCAACGTCTCCATGGTCACAATATGTCTTCAGCGACGAGAGACGATACATCCCGCAGCCGATTCGATGACGAAGCGACACTTGGCTGCCCCGCGAAAAGATGTGACAGACATAGTGGGCAAGGAGATGCTCCTCTTTCGATGCCCCATGGGGCGGGAATACGAAGAAATAATAGCCATGGACCTCCCCTTTGTACTCTTTATACCATTCGGCAGAGGTGGACAGGAAACCTCGAGACGACTTCCACCGGCGAGCTTGCAACTGGGCAGCCGGACCGCGGAGACATACTACGAATTAGTGGTGATGGTCCAACAGGGCCAGGCAGAGCAGAGGAAATACTCCTTCCCTGTTCCCATGTCGAGGTACGATACCTTATCAACCTTTGGGATGTATAATCGACCAGAGGCGGCAGAGCGTGTGTCGGATCATCTTATCACTCTCGGCATATCATTACCTCGGTGGTCATATGGGCCCTTCGATCCCGTCAGCGTATACGTAAAGCTCTCGCCTAACCCGGACTGGATGAGCAAGGCTCGCAAAGTGACGATACAGAAAATCACCCTTTCAATCGACGAGGAGATAGTCTACAACCATGAAGGTGATGAGCCGGTCCGCAAGGGAAAAACGCTTGCCAAAAGATCGGAGTCAGTCAACCTAAAGATGCCCGAAGCTGGATATCTCACCAATCTTGGCCTCGTCTTTCCCGCAAGAGACCTGCGTGATTCAGACGGCGTGCTGCCACGAGGGAAGCCAGCATTCCCAAGCTATGCCGTCAGCGCGTTTACAACAACCGCCTCCCTATATAAAATAGAATATTATCTGACAGTCAAGGTATATGACACTCAAGCTCTCCCCCAAGTCTTCTATGACAACCAATTTTGACACGAATTTTGCAGGCTCATCTCACATCGGCAAAGGACATAATACTAAGGCAGCCCATTGTCGTCTGTCCTCTAGACCATGCTGGCTGCAAAGAGGAAATGGAGGCCATCGAGCAGGCTGCACGAGATGCGAGAAACATTAACCCTGATAACCCAATGCTTCCACTACCAACTATCGTCCGCGCCAGTGACCCCAATGCCCTTCGGTATCTCAACGTCGCAATCGTGGGCAATACCAAGAAACCTATAATAGAATAAATATCCCCGTTCTCCTCTCCACCGTCCTCGCCAATACCCGATTACCCCCGCGCCTTCTCCCAGCAGCCCACGACTCACGATGACCATTAACGAATTTTTTATTTTATCTCCTCAAAAAGAACCAACAGGCGCAGGGATGGGTAAAATAGCATTATTGCATGGAACATGGGCGCTGGGATGGTCTGATAATTTCACACTTATCATTTCATACTACAACTGCATCCTTGCCGCTGGATTGTTTTGGCCAGTCGCGTTAGTTCATGCCACAAGAGACGCACCTGTGAGCGAAAAGACACATCGGAGATGCAATGATACCTTCTAGTTGGTCGAATGCCATTTTATAAGACCTGGCAGTTTTGACAGTTGCGGATATATCACCGTGACCCCAACCATACACGAATAGGGTACATGCGACGCTCCTTCGTGTCTCCCTTAACCTGGCACACCTCTATCTTGTTTCAATTTCTTCCCCGGTCCGCCACGATCTACTGCCCCCTAGCTACTTAGTATAGCTTTGGTTTGGGCCAGGCTCTCAGCAGGATGGCTGTTCTCGGGAGCTCAGTCAGCTAAGCTTCGCCATCATTACCATTCATTTCTGGGAAATTATTCTTGAGGGCCAACTATTTTCATCTAGTGTAAGTGATGAGGCTGCCCTAGTTTTCTTTCTCGCTTCAAGATTTCTCCAGCTAGGTGTCTCTAATGTCTATTATATCCTTTTAGAGCAAAAATATTTCCCAGTGAGGTACGGATTGTCTACAAATTGGACCTGGTGTCTTATGTGGTTGTTGGCACGTTTCACGTCTCACATATTTCAAGCCATCCGGGTTCAATTCTACATAACGATATCTAACGCTTCAGCTGGATGCTGCCTTGAATGCAACTTGTATCAACCCACTTTTCCTCGCACCCGCAGCTGGCCCCCAGTATTTACCAAGCATACACCGCTGTATTTGAATTTTTTTTAAGCAGTGAGCTCTCCGCCTTTCTTCGTTTCTGTCATTTTATCCTCATTCTATCAACTTGTCGCAAGAGCTGTGTTTTTATCTTCCATCCCAGGTATAGTGGTCAATAGACGAATGCAATGATAACACCTAGCCGACCCAAGATAGCCAAAAGGTTCTGGTCAATTTTAAACATTGCCCTGACGAATCTCAAATTTTCAATTCTCTCTCCAGTAGAAGGAGGAGATCCTCCACATCGAGATTGCCATTTTCACGCCCAGTCAACTGCTGCTTCTCCAGGTCTGCAATAGACGCTTTCAACATATCCAGTACAGCCTGATATTGTTTCGAACTGACACCAAACGTGTAGCGTGTGTTGGCCAAGTTCTTCGAAATCTATCAAGTATCAATATACATCTTTTCCCTACCAGCCGTTCCTTGGGACGACGTACCTCTTCTACCAAACTCCGGTTGATTGAACCTTCTTCCGCCGCACGCATCTCTGAAATTTTCAGGCCCCCATAAAAATCGATATATTTATTAGGATGTCAAAATAAACCTCTAAATATCAATATGCATCGCTGATGAATGATATTTATACTGAGTACTCCGTATATTGATATAAATTTAATGAGAGTGGTTTTCGTAGGCGCCCTCATGAGCCCCGCGACGTTGAAAAGACAGATTTAATTTTTAACCTTTTAGCCTTAGGACCCCATGCGGCTCTTAACTAGTGAGAGTTAATCAATTCTCAAACGACTATGCTACAGTAGAATAGCAAGAATAACTGATTATTGAATACAAGAAGAGGAGTAAAATATCGTAAATAATCAAATTAATGCACTTAATAAACATGTAAAAAATTCTCTATTTAAAATATAATTAAAAGCTATCTCAATGATAGGTTTTATAGTTATTCCGGCTATTCGAATAGTAAAATGTGATTAACTAAGTTACCTAGGTAGCTACAACACATCACATGTTTTCAGTAAAGCCCCCAACACTTTGAAAGTAGAGCGACATGTAAACTCCTTTATTTTCAAGATACGAGAATGAAACCCAGCGCTGAATACTCGTAGTTTCTTTGAGGTTTCTATAAGGACTTGGAGAAGTTAGTAATTGACCATTCAATTCAGATTGAGTATTAACCCTTAGAGCGACTTACAAATTCGCCATCAACTGTTCCTTATATCTCACAGCTATATCGTTCCACTTTAGATACTCGAATACCTTGGTCAGTCTATTGGCAATTGTGTCGTCGTTTTTCTCATGCAGAGGAATATATAACTGGGGCTTTGGATATTCTGTACCCTGTTGGAGCTCATAATAGAAACCCAATGGCAGATAATTGAAATCCATTTGTTGTGTCTTGGAATCACCCATATCGAGTATGTCCCAAATGGCTTCAATGAGGCTCAATCCAGTTAAAGTAGCCTGATCTGCCAACAGTCCGCCGAGGGTCCAGAGCTCTCGGACTCGGGCGAGAGTAGCCTGAGTCTCACCCACATACAACTTGATGCGCGATTTGCTAGGTACCAAACAGTCGATGGAGACAGCGAACACTTCGGTAGGGTTCTTATAATAGCCGTCCGCTCTGGTTTTGAAGCATGGTGCGAGGAATTTCTCCAAAGTGTCCAACGCAAGAGTGAAGCTTTTGCTTTCTTCTAGTTTGCGAATAGCCTTAAAGACAAGTCCAGCTATCGGTACACCCATCATCCGGGCCTTATGTTCGGGATAGAAGTACGCCTTCGGTACAATACCGTGGTCTCTCAAATCTATCCCAACGCCTCGCTGAGTCTTGCCTAATTTCGGGACTTTGCTAGCGATCAGGCGAGCCTGCTCCAGCGATAGACCAAGCTCAGAGTCAAAGTGATTAAACCATTGTAGATCAACGCAAGGCTGGCTGCGGGCCAGTTGGCCCAGAAATTCGCGGGCCATAAATTGATTAAGTGGGTCGCGGTCGGTTCCGGCAAGCGGGCTGAGCGGTTCGAAGGCTAGACGGACGGTAATCTTCGAGTCTTGAAAGTTCAAACTCGTCTCGAATGGATGGCCATCGCTGTTAAAATAGCCCATCCATCGTGGCTCGAGGCCCGGAGCGGTGTAAGGACCAAGCATAGGAAGGATGTGCTTGTGATAGAAGGCGAGGTATTGGTACTGCTTATGGATATCATAGTTGGCTTGACTTAGAAGATTACCTAGGAGAGGTGCTGTATTAAGCCACCAAAGTTCCTGGTCAAAGTTGGCAAACCCCAGCGCTAGGCCAAGAAGTTGAGACGGTTGGTTTCCCGTGCATGGCGCAACCACTGTGTCATTGATCTTCGCCATGGTTTAAATTCGTGAAGGTTTGGCACGTAGTCAATCCGTGGTATTTGTAGAATAGAATAGAGAGGATATCAGATCTTTGTTTCGAAAGAACAAGTGATATAGAGGCCCTACTTCAAGTGCTTTATATATACCAGTGCTGGGTGAATGATATGTCTTGGATCACTGCTTTATTCAAGGAGACAGTGACATGCTGACAGAGCTCGCCTGCTGAAACTTCCGGTCAGTCATTCTGCGGCAATAGCAGAACAAATACCGAGTAACGCTCACCCTAAGATAAAATCAGGGAATTTCTTGATATCGGGATTTGAGCGTGCGCGGCCCTCGTACGTATCCATCGCATCAACTGATATTGGGCACCAACCCAATTCGGTGAGTAGTATTCATTTTCCCCAAGAACCCCCCTACCTGTAGGTCCTGATAGCCTCAAAGCATTCCGGGAGAGGCGTTGAAAATCTGCCGTTCAACCACACACTTGAAGCTGGCACGGACCGGGAGAGTAGACATATCACTCAGCAAGTCTAGATTCCTCTTTAACACACAACCGAGACATGCAGACATATCATTCAGGAAGTCTCAATTGCTCGAAAGCATGCAATGGTGAATTATGGTTCCTTTCTTCATCTGGTCCATGGGTCTCATGGTGCCGAACTCGCATGTCGGGGGGCTGAGAAAGTGAGAAGTTGGCATATCTCTCAGCGAGCAGTGACTGGGCAATGGTGTATCACCCTCCTTCAATCAATTGGGTTTGGGTATCCGTGTGATTTCTTGCAGACTTCTTGTGGCAAACCTCGATGAAAATACGGAAGCAAATCATATCCCACCTGCGTGCTGCAAAAAGATATCATCAGCCTCATGCTGAGCCGGGGCTTCCGTGGTCAGGAGTTGATATATATCGGTTGGGGCTGCAGGGATGGTTAACTTGGTTGTCTGGTTGACTGGTTATAATGTAGCTAGTAAGCGAAGCTGAGCTTCCTCAGCTTGATGCATCGCCATCTGATGGATTTCATATTAATATGGTTAGTCAGGTTAGTTGGTCAGGCCGGTTCAACAACGATTCACTGCATATAAGAAAATGCTGCATGGACTTCCGATTTAAGTAAAATGCTGAGTAAAACAATTATAAGCTGTCCAATCTTGGGGTCAGGTAGTGAGAAATCTAATGGGCCAGGCTAGCTAAGCCATAATAGGAATACCATCTATACTTATGCCTAACTAAGCTGAACATGCGATAACCTTAAAAGGACGGGCTCGACATGCAGAACAGCCCCGCAGTTTGCAACGGGGAAACGGGATATAGTCCCCAAGCCTGGAAGCCAGCATACTCCGTATATGTACGCAAGAATGGACGGGCTTAGGTGTCGCCATCACTATGTCATAAGAGCGCTGTTTCATGGATAATAGATGGATGGGGGTTTGGTGGATTCACCACAGACCCCGAGACTATCTGCGCTGTGGCATTGCCAGTTAGTTCATTGATATAAGGAACGGTTGCCTTCACGCTTTTGGGAAGAGAATTTTCAGACTCACTGTCTTCTATCCAAAACATCAACCTCACTTTTACTCTCACGTTCGTATAAAAAAGGGTCTGTCTTGTAGCTATGTCCGCTTCGGCCACCACGCCCAACGGTTCTTGTAACGAGCGGACCTCGGATGATATTCCTCGCGGTACTGTCAATTCGACAGCTGATTTTTATTATCCTCCCGCCGATGGCTCCCCCGCGTATTATTACTTCAAGACGCCACCACCAGGTGTTGCAAAAACGAATTTCACCTGGCGAGCCCATCCCATCACTGTTCGCGATATCCGCGGCCGCGAAGACGAATTCACATTGGACAATAGCGCTTTCCAGGCCATTAGAAACGTCCCTCTGTTAGAAACTGATCCATCGTTCACCGACGAGCAGAACATCAAGGAATGCTACTATCGTGAAGTGGAAGCCCTCGTCCTTCGTCACGTTCCAGGTGCAAAGCGCATTGTAATCTTCAATCACACCGTGCGCCGCAACACCGCCAACGCCCACAGGATGCCCATTAACAGTATCCACTTCGACCAGACAGACCTTGGGGCTGTAAACCGTGTCAGAAACCATTTACCGGATGAAGCAGAAACCCTGCTTAAAGGGAGATACCGCATCATCAACGTCTGGCGACCCATTACCGGCCCTGTGCTGGACAGGCCGCTCTTGTTTGGGCCTGGAAGTCTGATTCGCGAAGAAGACATTCTCGTCACCGAGAATTACTACCCAGACTATCTGGGGAAGGGAGCCGGGGTCATGATTAACGAGGGTCAGAAATGGTATTATTGGTCCGGCATGCAGACGGATGAGGTGATGTTATTGAAATGTACGGATTCCCGAGAGGACGTGCCGGAAAGGAAGTGTCCCCATGCATCGTTTAATGACCCCAGGATGCCGAAGGGTGCGAAGCCGAGAGAAAGCATTGAAGTGAGATGTTTGGTTCTCGGATAGATTCAAACGGCCTATATGTTGGGTTTGCAAGCAAAAAGAGGGAGAATGAACTGTTGATTCGCGAGATTTTGCGACTTGTCATCTGTAGTTAGTCTGTGGTATAGTTAACAGGTACCTAGTTATTTAGTTAACTAACTTAGGTAGGTAGTTAACTAACTAGTGCTAGTTACCTACTACATGTTGACTTTTTAATTAAATAACTAACCTAATTGGTTAGTTGACTATTTCGTGGCTTAACTTCAATATCCGTAGAGTCATTATGCACAACTTGACAACAACTTTTGCGATAGGAGGATGACAACTAAGAAGCCTTCTGAATATGGCGGACCTGGATGAAGAAGCTATTAACCAACCACATACCGGGTCGCATGATTCTTCAGCAAATATTGATCAGGATGTCTCTGACGAAACGCAGGATTTCCGCTTCCTCAGTACCTTTGCTACGTGAATAGACCCCTCGCATCCTCGCATCCACCAAGCTTCACATCAAGTTCAAAACCGCTGATTATTTCTCTCCAAGTATAGATTATCGGACCCCACACAGCCTCAGACGCTTCCTCGACGAGGAGACAAAGATTTTGAGCCCAATCCAACTCTTCACCAGGCAAATGTCTTGACCTCTGCGCGCAATGCAATGCACAATGCCCTCTCTTACCCACGCCTACATAACCCCAAAAGCCGAATAGTAGGCGTCTACTACCCTGATGGTCTCCGAAGTGGCGCCTGTGTCTGTGTGCCAAACCCCAAGGGGCAGCATTTCCGAACAATGGCGCAGGCCGACAGCATGAATCGGATGTGGTTGTTGCCGGAAGAGGCACTCTATTTGCTTGAGAGAGGCAGCCTAGACATTAGATGGCCGGCAGAGGACACTTGGCAGAAAGGAATACCAGAGACCTCTTCGTTTGACCTAGAGGGAACCATTCCCATGAGTCTACAGGCTGCATATGCGTGTTTCCTTGCTCGTAGCGGTTTGACCATGGAGAGATTTTCAGTATACTCTGGACTGAGACGTGGGGGCTATGTTGTTATTCGAGCTGATACCTGGGATGAAGAAGCTTGTCCTACAAGTTTTCAGACACGAGCAGAAGCTAAGAAGTCGGTGTCAACACCCGCTCCTGGGGTTATGAACATTATAGCAGAACTGTTCAGGTCTATATTTTCAATGAGAACGAAAGGGAACACTCTGCATGGTCCTGTCATAGGACTGGGAATACATCGAAGCTACAGTTCGTGCCACTGACAAACCATGCTACCAGAATAAGCGCTAACCCCCTTTTTGCAGATGATATATACCGCTCACTATCCATTATACCCGCATATGACCCTTCTCGCCCTGATCATGAGATCAGCCCGCCACCTCCATCTTCCCCATACAAAATAGCATTTCACGTTTATAAGCCTTCAACGCCATATAAGAAATCCAGTCCAGGCCTACCAGACTTCAGACTGGCAGTTGTCAATGCTAGGTCGAACCCCATTATCCCTACTCTCGAGAATTTGAGTGCTCTTCTGGCCAGTACTCCGCTGGATCCGCCCCGTGGCGAGAGGATGGATAGATTACTCTATATGCGTCTTCGGCATGGGTATCGAAACGTAATATTGGCAGTAGTAGATCAGGGAGTGGTTAGTTATTTACGCATTAGTGACGCTGGTTTTATGAAGGAACCGCTATATTCGCAGAAAAGGAATCTTGGGCCCGGAAATAAAGGAGGTCGACGCCCACAAAACAGGAAGCGGTAGTGGAGGACAAACTATAGATCTGTCTGTTTCTCAAATGGCGTAAAAGAGCTAGGTTAAAGGTTTATGATACCCTTTTAATGTTATGTATATTATTCGCCCATGAGACATGACTGCCTGCATGAAAATGTACCAAGACTCGAGCTTTGTTCCCTTCCGGCATTCATTTGATATAAATCCAAACGAAAGAGAGGAAATATACGGCTAAACTGATCTCAAGGGATGTTTAATTTACCCATTCTTCTTAGACGTTCCGCTGAACGATGTGGCAGACCACGGAACGCAATGCCGAATGGAAACTGGTAGATAGAATGATGTTCCAGAACGCTTGCATGCATCAGATACAAAATGGCCATGATATCATGCTGTATCGTCAGTTAGAACTATCACACTGAAAGGGTATAGACATCGGATTCTAGGGAAGGATAACTAACTATCCAGGTAATCTGCGGCCATAAGCAACTCTAAGCAGAGTTCAGGCGGGATGTCCATGTCAGGGACATTGGTTTGGCCCTTATTTCGTTCATTGTAGAGAAGGTACTCGCAAACCTTTTCTAGCACAACACCGCTAAACACAAGCCAAACATGTTAGGAAGCGCCCTTAATATATATAAAGCCCTGAGACCGTAGTTGGCTGGGATCGGATGGGAGTATAGCCTCGACTTACTTCATCGTCTCCAGTACACAACGTCCCGTGACTGCCTCTGAGAAGTTACCTGAAATATCAAAAGTCAGAGTTAGGCCGGGGAGAAGGCATCAACTTATGGCTTTGACAGTATCCATAATCTTACAAGAGCGTGGTAAGGTGGCACTGACTTGTAGGTTCTAGCATTCTACGGATGGTACCCGATACGCAGGCAGCACTCCTAGGGATCACGAACTCGAACCCATCATTAGAGGCCAGAGTAATAAACTCAGCAGGCTCTGCTTGTTTAGTAGACATTTTCCTTGGTTTAATCCGTGATTCTTAAATATTGGACCCCAATTCAATATGTATCAAGAAAGAAACGTTGTATCGAGTAAACCCTTCTCTTTAAAACTCGGCTAGGCTCCATCACGTGACAAATTTTCGCGTCTGCGGCGAGGGATAAGCGCCAAAGACAGAACACCTTGAAAGGAGACAAAATTTATTATCTTGTTTATAGTTAGGTAAGAAGAAATGATCTGGGTATTATACAAAGAACAGAATACAACAAAGTCATAAAGCCATAACTCCAATCACGATAAATCGTCTACCAGAGAACGTAGTCTAGACACTCTAATGCCTCTGTATATACCTAGTTTATGAGAAGTCAGAAGACCCTAGGGCGTGAATTTGAAGCCTTTTCAAACACAGCGTCGATGCGTTGAAGTTCCTTGATAAAGCAAGTGTCCACTAACTTCCTTTTCTTCCTCCCTGAGTTAGCAGAAATGTCAGACACGGCGTTCTGTATAGTTGATCGCTCAAATCAACAATCATTATATGTTCGGAGGTCGGGTTCCATAACTAGGATATTCCGGGGCTCTGCGTCTCTATGGAGATTCCCTTTGAGTGGATGGACAGGAGGGCTCATGACAGGTATGGAGGAAGACTGGTAATGTTGCAGGCTCCAATCTAGCTTCAGCCTCTTCGCGCCGCTGGTGTTCCTCTTTTCGTGGCATCGTCTGGGTGGTCAGCAGCTGGTTACTGGTTAATTGAAATCGCGTAGCTTGCGTTGCTAAGTAGGCAACTAACTAGGGCGCTGGTCAATTGATTAGTTAGTTATACAACTATTAACGAGTGCTCCGTAGTGTTATCAAATACGCCATTCAACCAGAGGGCCACCACTAAACTATCTTAGTTAAATAACTCGACAGGATGGGCATACGGAGATTCTAGAGCCGAGCTTCCGGTGCCAGAGCGACCCCGGAACTCCCTAACCTAGTCTACCTAGGTTAACTGTGCATGCTTAATCAAAGCAACAGCTAATGATGCAACAAAACATCTACATAGCCACAGTCAAGATACTACTTTTAAGGTAAGCACGCTGTAGTTATAACTAAACAAGGCCAACGTTGCATCCCATGCCGTTCACTCGCACTGTTTATCAGGCGTTACAGCGCTCATACCCCTATTCAGCCAGGACAGCGGCTCGGAGCTGGGCTTCTTACTCAACTACATCGATACCCTCCCTGGACCGTCTGAAGGGGGCAACATGCATGGTTACGGGGGGTTCATCGGGTATTGGCCTTGGAATAGCGCAACGGTTTCTCCTGGAAGGGGCAGAGAGAATCATTCTTATTGGACGGAATAGACAACGACTCGAGGATGCTGTGAAACAGTTAAATCCCGATGCCACCTTGGATGAAAGCTCTGAAACAGCCAAAATCGTACATTCGGACCAGTTCTCACTAGTGATGGGAGATGTTGGCAGTCCGAGATTCTGGTGTGAAGATGTCAAGCGGCTGATGGTGTGTTCCCGCTTTTCGAACGGTATCTGTTTGCTGTGAAAGATATTCTAGATGAAGCATGCTAATATAGAGTGATAGGGGGGAGTTGATATCCTGGTCAACGCCGCCGGGGTTTCTCACTCGTCTCTTCTCCCTACTGCGAAGGACGAACATATTACCCAGATACTGAATACCAACCTGCAAGGAACAATCTTTGCTTGTCGAAGTATGACCAGACAGGCCCTTCGTCAGCGGCGAGCACAGCAGCGACAGGCAGAGGATGGCTCAGCGGGATCCTATTCCGGATCAAAGTGTATCATTAATATCTCGTCCTTGCATGCGTCCAAGGGGGGAGTGGGCGTGGCAACGTATGCGTCTACCAAGGCTGGGGTGATTGCTTTGACCAGGGCTATTGTTGCGGAGTCAAACTTGTCTTCCTCTGGAGCAAATATTCGTGCAAATGTTATTGTTCCTGGCTACATTGACACAAAGATGCTCGACGGTAAGTTAGTCCTATTCGTTTCTTGTTAAAGGCCGCTGCTAACCTCGGGATAGAGCTTAGTGAGAAATTCCGTAAGGAGGTGGTGCAATCCATTCCCCTTCGGCGATTAGGGATGGTCGAAGAAGTGGCCGATGCTGCTGTGTTTGTGGCCACGAACCAATATGCCAATAACTGCGTGCTAAACATTGACGGAGGACTGAGTGCTGCGTGAGTTCAAATATTAAACAATGATTGGCATGTAACAAATAGAAAAGCTGAACTGGGAGGCGTTGGGAGCGATTCGTGTGTCTCAACTCCTTCTCCCGGTGAAAATATGTAGGATAATACAGGTACGAAAGCTAGTTATAGACTTCCGGGTTCAAGAATCATAGAGCATAAAGCATCACATGGCGAAACAAAAGAAAGAGAAGGAGCGAAATTAATAGAAAAGAAAGCCCAATGTAGATGCAAAGTCTGAAACCGTGGGGATAGCTCTGCACATATCCCCGTCGTTAAGAAATCCGCCGTGTCTTTAGTATGTTGCGCCTATCCGGTTCCAAAGTGTAGTCTCCCCCAATGCATGCGACCGGCATTAAGGGGAAAACATCAAGTTATGTAAATATTTAATAATGAAACAGAATGTAAAAGGAAAAGAGGAAAGAAAAGCACCACCTAAATAAACCGAGTGTTTCCTTCTCTAAGTTTTGTTTTTGGGATTCGGGTCCAATCAATTAATTAATCAGCGTCTATGAGGATAGTGCCTGTCTCGTCCTCAAGAATAATAGGGTTTGTAGAAGTGTTGTCGCAGTCTGCTGTTCCATTGGATATCTTTTTTGAGGGCTGACCTTCAACAACTTCAAGCCCTGCTTCGTCGGCCGTTCGTTTGAGTTTGCCCGATGCCCCGTTCTCTTGAATCTCAGTAGCGGGCTGTTGCTCTCCAGCGGGCTTCGGCTTTCGCGGAATATCAGCATCAGACGCCTCAAGGGAGATGGGGGATGTATCGTCGGTTCTAGTAGATGTTAGCAGCTGCTATCACAAAACGCGTTAGTTCCTGCTACTTACCGTTCAGAAACGAGAATTTCCAAGTTGACTCGGGGGTTTTCATCCTCTTCATCTACAACCGTGATGAAACTGTCCTTTTCAACGCCAAGTTCGCTCAGTTTCTTGGACAGGTTGTCTTCCAGGTCCGGGTCATAGATGGTCCCTATTTGATTGCTGACCGATAATTCTTCACCATAGCCTAGCTCGAGTCGAAGAACTTTTTCCACTAGATCATTGAGAGTTGCAATCTCTGGGTTAATGAAGATCTTTCTCTGAGCTACTGCACATACAGCACAATCAGGGTTCGGCGGCTTGAGGCTATCGGTATTAATAGCTCGAGCACCAGACCGTTCAAGGAATACCTGGACTACGTTAGTGTAGACACAAGCAACATTTAATACGAAAGAAAGACTAACCATCTTTGCATTATCGTAGTCATCCTTTAGAACTTTGAATGCCTGCAAGACACACAAGGCAGCTGTCATTGCATTGGTGGTTGCAATAGCAGGAATGATGTTGCCCGCCATCTCTGGTCTGGTGATTAGTATTGCCTGAAGCGAGAAATCAAGAGTAAAAAGCAGGACATACGCTTGATGTCAAACTTGGATTTAGCCTCCAACCCAAAGATTGCAGCACGTAAGTTAGAGCTTGAAGCCACAAAATCTAGAGTGTCAACATCGTCCTTATCAAACGATAGTATGGACTTCTCTCCATCATGAGTTTCAGCCTGAGCATCCAAGAGTCGCTTTTTCAACCTCAAGATACTGCCTTCTTAGTTAGCTTATTTTTACTATCACATTGCTTACTATTCCCTTCATATGTGGCAATGACGTACCTATCCTTGAAGACGACAAAATTCTGAGCTACCGTCCAGACTTTCTGATCATCGGAGCAAATGCATGGGTCGATTTCCTTCGATTCATCCAGTAGAGAGCTATAGGAGAGCGGGTTTGGCATAGGTCTTGATTTCCACATCTCTTCGACGGCCTGTAGGCGCGCAATGTCCTTGTGGAAGACCTTTTCGAACACTTTTTCGGTAAACTCGTCTGAGGGCATGGAGTTCCGGATCTCCTTTAGAGCCTTTGCTTCCTGTCGTAGATTTTCGATTTCGCCAGCTTTATATATCCCGTTAGCCACAAGAGAAGACTTTGAAGATAGGGTTGGTGGGTGCGTACCATTTTCCGCATCTTCAGAATGATCGAGTTCGACATCATCTTCACTCGTTCCAAAAAGTTCACTATAGAGGATAAAGGAGATTAGGTACAATTTTATGACATGTAAGGCAGGAAAATGAAAATGACTGCATGAACTTACGGGAATAAATAGCTCTTTGCCCAGACAATGCAATGAATGGGTTGACTGGGCGTGCTCCTGATAGTGCAGACAGGGAACGACTTGGGCACCGGTTTGTTAGTGCAGTCATAGCACTCTGTTCGGCCCTTCTTGATGACCTGAACCTGGCCATTGAAACCGGTAGTGCCACTTTCTATGAGGGGGACATTTGCCGCCAGGCACATCCGGTTGACATGTCTCCTCGCATCGAGGTTGTCCAGCGCGTTGAAGACGAGATCAAAGGATGCGAACCAGTCGACATTGAAGCGAGTTTCCTTGATGTTGGCATGGTATGCTTCGATGGTCGACTGAGGCCTGAATTTCTGAGCGACTTCTTTTGCGACCTGTATGCGAAAGCAAGGAAGAGGTGAGGTTAGCCAAGTGAACCGAGCGAGCATCCATACTACTACTGCTTGCTTGCATAGCCTGGGGGAAATGGGGAGACGAACAAGCGCCTTAGGCTTCTTGATATGCTCGTGACGGAAGAGAAACTGTCGATTCAGGTTTGAGAGGTCGATTGTATCCAGGTCGATGATGTGGATGGTGCCGAAACCAGAGAGAAGGAGGTTCTTGAGCAGCTCGCAGCCGATGCCTCCAGCGCCAACAAGCAGCACACGGCTCTGCCAGAAGTGACAAAACTCGTTAGTGAAAAAAGCAGTCAATGGGCCGTGTACAGGTGAATCTTCCTTACTTCATTGACTTTTGGAACGAGTGAGCCGATGGACTGCTTGAGAAACCGGTCGCGGCCATGCGCAGCGTGAGGTGACATGGCGCGCAGAGGAGCCAGGATGACCACCAAGCTGGCCCAGGAGACGCAGGTACAGACTGCTCAAGAAGGCAAGGCGCAATAGGGCAGAGCAGAGCAGAGCAGGGCAGATCACAGATTTATCTTTCTTCTTCTTCGTCGGCCTCTTCTTCCCTTGCGTCTTCTCGGCGCGCGATAGACGGGGTGGCGGGTGGTTAGTTAACCTAATCAATTAGTTACGAGGAGGAAGCGGACGAGAGAAAGGCGAAAGGGAAAAAAAGAGGTGACCTCATCATCCCCCCGGGCGAAAAGTGGATTTTCCCAAGCCTCTCATAGAGGAAGGCGCCGAGAGGAAGCAAAGAAGCCAAAGAATGGGCAAAGAATGGGCAAAGCATAAAACAAACTGTTTGCTTCCTTGCTTTGCCGTCTCTTCTGCCGCCATCCAGCTCCTACTAACTAATGATGAAGCATGAAGCGAAGCACTGCCTAGTTAACTTGGAGCTGTACAGAGTCTGGTCAGCCAACTCTCGGGTAAAGAGCATCTCCTGGGCAACACCGCAGACTCTTATACCCCTACCATACGCTATTCCTACTATCACTTCTCCTGCTCCTGCTACTATCAACTGCTAACTAACTAGTTACTACTTGCTTCTATCAAACTGTCAACTCTCACAATATCAACTTCTCTGCTTTTTTGTCGTGTTGACAGAGCGAGACAGTTTGCTTAGTCATTTCTTTTTTTTTTTGGTTTACACATAGTCACGTGAAAATGGGCTAGTTCAACCTGGTTAGCTCGTTGTGTTTCTAGAGCGGGCCAATAGCAGGGCATAATTGTCAGAGTTGTGTCAGCACATCCGACTCCCTTGCCAGTCAATATTTAGCAGTAGCCTATCAATATTGGCAGATGCGAGATACGCGTGCAAACAAAACAGCTGAAAATTCCATTTTACAATCCAAATGGATAGACCTTGCGATTATTTTATGCTTTTATTCTCGTGTTTCCATACCACTAGTGCTCTATCACGTGGATGTAGGTGTAAATCTCTATTATGTAATCAGTGGCTTAAACGGCTTAAGGAGAGCCCCTTGTCGGCGTCTCGAAGAAATTATATATAACAAAAAGTTTTCTGCTGCAGTAAAGAAATTGAAACCCCAGGAGGAAAGACAGTCTACAGGACTAATCTCGGGCTGTTCTCTCTCCTCTTCTTTTCCTTCTTGTTCCGGGAATTTTTTTTGTTCTACAATATTTTAATGTGCTGTTTCCCTTTTGAATACCCTCGCTCCTCGTCATTCCCTAGTTTGCAATTTATGAGTCTTGCCTAGACATACATACCGGTGGAAATTTTTGACAGACACAGCCACTTGTGACAATTAAAGATCCAATTCATCTTTAGACGTCTACAAAATGCATGCAGATGACGATTATGATGACGATGGACCAGACCTGGAGCTGCTGGAACTGCTCAGGCAGTCCCTCGGCCTGGGAGAACGCACCTCAAAGACACCGCCACCAGCAGAGACAAAGGTGCTCGAGGGCGCGAAGTTCATCTTTGACAACGCTATAGATGTTGCCCTTGATCCAAAGGGAACGAAGTCCGCTGCCAGGACCATTTGGAAGACGATGCAGGCAAAGGAGTACTCGACTGAGTCATGGTCAGCTCACGAGCTGCATCCAAAGGCCAAAGACGAATCCACTGTCAACTTTATATTTACCATGGATCTGCTTAACTTCAGCTTCTGGTCTGAGCTGGATGCTTCGAAGAGATTCGCGATTGAGTATCGCGGTAGGAAGTGGACTGGTTATTGGAGTCTGGTCGCTGCCCTGCAGAGGGCTCTTGATGAGGGTATTTATATTTCTACCTCTGCTTTCCTCTTATGTTTTGCACACCACAATTGCTGAGACTTACAGAGATACCCATTACGAGCTCCGACTTTTGGCAGGATGAAAATGAGTGCACGGATGAAGTGTTGAGACATGTTTTCCGGTCCGCCACAGACGAGGAAATTCCTCTCCTCCAGGAACGCATTGCCTGTCTACGAGAAGCAGGATCAGTTCTTTACGAGGTATGTATACCTTTGATTACTAGCCGATCCGTATAAATATATAAATATTCTATACTAACTCATCCGTGTATCCCTAGAAATATGAATGCAGTTTCACCAACTGCATTGCAGAAGCAAATGGCTCAGCAGCAGCTTTGGTCAATCTCCTGGCTCAAAACTTCCCATGCTTCAGAGACGAGACCGAGTTCTGCGGAAAGAGGGTCAGGTTCTACAAGCGGGCTCAGATCCTCGTTGCTGATCTATGGGCTTGCTTCCAAGGCCAGAGCTACGGAGAGTTTCATGATATTGACAAAATAACCATGTTTGCCGGTATGCCTCCCCAGTACTCTTTCCGTGTTTAACTTATGAGTTGTCTAATATCCTCAAGATTATCGTATCCCTCAAATGCTTAACCAGCTTGGCTGCCTGCTGTTCTCTCCTCCCTTAGAGAGTGTTATTCGGCAGCGCAAGCCCATACCTAGCGGTCATCAGCGAGAGGTCGAGCTTCGTGGTGCTAGCATCTGGGGCGTCGAACTAATACGGCGAGAAATACAAGAGCTCCAGCGGCAAACGAACGGCCATCATGAAACCGATACGTCCAAGCCTCTACATATCAATGCCATCTTGATTGACTTTTTCTTGTATGATCTGGTCAAGGATATGGAGGCGGGCGGGAAAGAGACTATCCCGCATCACCGGACGAGGAGCATCTGGTACTAACCTTCGAATTCTCCTACTTTCATTCCTTTTCTTCACCATTGCCCACATAGATTTGAACAAATAGATTATGCAATTTTTAATGCGTTCCGACGAAATTTCTCTTTGCAATGACACTGTACTCAAACAAAAAGTTCTCAAAAAGCTGGGGTATGGTGCTCCGTACTCCGAACATGCATAAGGGGAAATAATGTTGCAAGCTTCCCGGATATGCCCAAAAACAAAATCAAAAAGAAGGTATACAAAAAATATAGACAAAAAAGGGGGGTGAGAATGAGCAGAAATGAAAGAAAAGTCATATCTCAACCTGCTCTATCCACATCATTATGCGGTCTTTCCACGTTCCATACGAGTATCTCTTGTCTTCACTCAGCCAGTCAACCTGGGGATGCATCATTGTGCCCAGACCCGGCAGTAGTGTGTCACCATAGTGATTCTGCTCTCCCGTAGTCAGGTACCTTCTTCCAGCATCCGCGCTCCTACTCTTCACCATCTTCCGCTTGGGACTGAGTATATCCTCCTCATCCTCTTCGAAATCAGAATCCTCGCCCAGGCCTCTCTTTCTTCGCTTATTCATCTGATTATAGGCCTCAATCTCCTCGGCGGTCGGCAAAGGAATGTTCTCAAACCACTGTTGATCAATTGCCCAGCCCATCTCAAGCATTATCATAAGCCATGATTCGACTTCCATTGCAAATTTTTCAATGCCATCTACCAGTCGGGGAAGACTGACGCTGTCCAATGCACGCCCTACCGTTTCTTCCATGTCTTCTTCATTCAATTCTGCCAGGGGCTTGTTGGGATATTGCTGTGTCTCTGCGTCGTATACCACGCCAATTCGTCGGGCGTAGACAACAAAGTAAATGGCAATGTTCAATGTTGTTACTCTCGAATTGGTCATCGTCTGTGCATCGAGATTATCCTGCTCTTTCCCAAGTAATAAGACAGGTGATACGAAATCATTCCACTTTTCTGTGAGGCGTGCTTCTGAAGTTGAGATTAATGATATAACCGAGCAAAGGCCTGAGTATATATGTGGTGGCAGCGCAGATGCGAATGTGCTAGGGGATGGAATTTCCCTTGCTCGTGTGAGTGAAGGAAGCGTCTTGCAGATCGTCCTGATTTGCCCCATGGTCCATTGAGGTAGCTCTACAACAGGCGAACTGCCCGTCAACAGCTTCGATGATACATGATTCCGACCATTCCCTGTCTTTTCAATCAGTCGAGGGGACGAGATGGCTGATGATGTGGCAGTAGGTGTGGGTAATGCTGGCGGAGCCGTAGCTTTGTTCTGTTTTCTGACAGATGCCCGTTTCTGTGCCTGAGGTTCTGCATCCTGGCGCTTGGAACTGGCCGACGAACTTTGCAGGGATTGCTCGATGTATGCGTAGAGCTTCTTGTACACTCTGGGAGGGCATGGTGGACGGCTGAGAGGGGACGGAAGCTTCAACGTCCTTGCTAACCTATCATCACTCAGAGTTAGTCTGCTGCCAGCGATAGATAAAAGAAAGAAGCAAACAACAGTACCTCTTGCAGGCGATTTCAGCACACGCATACGGCCTGGCAATTTCCATCTCCGGCTTGAGAGTCGCACCACAGCTCCGAGTCTGGGTAAGCAGGGAAGCTGCAAGATTCAGCAGCTCACGAGGGAGGTCTTCTGCATGCGCGGGCAGAAGGCTGGCCAACGCCTGCTCGATGGACCGGTGGTGGCTCATGCTGGGCTGTGGCTATCAATTGAAGTGGACAGACGGGGAGATATATCCGCAAGACTTTTCCGTAGCACCAACACAACAGGAAAGCAGAAACAGCGCGCTACCGTACATTATCAATTGACCTCTTGTTTCTATCTCAGCTTTTGCCCTGTGGTGGTTGGTTTCTTCTCTACCAACTTTCTTCCTATCCCCAGCCACCAACCGAGACGCATCAAAGACGCGACGAAACGCGCCAGACGCGTTACTAGCGCGCGCCACTTTACCATGGGAGTAACCCATGACTAAGCGCGGAATTAATGCCGAAGGGGAGCGTTTGGCCGGCTTTTACCCCGCGGAAGGAAAGCCAAAGAAGGAGGTTTGGGCGCCGAAAGTTGCTCTTTTAGGGGAGGCTTGGGGGGTGAAAATGGTTGTTGCGCTGTACGAGAGTAACTCTGTAAGAGAGTGCCACTACTACCTTGTATATTGTTGGTTGAGTGAAAGGGCTGGGGAATCTTGCCATCCGGACGGTGAAGCGGGGAAAAAGAACATGGTAGAGAAGAAGCCTACCTGAGCTCTCGACCGAATATTCAATAATTTATCTCCGGCGAGGCGAGCGGTCGACTAAGGTTGGGAGTGGCTGCAGACGCCGAGATGAATACTAGGTAGTTAAACCAGGCCATTGACGTCGTCCTGGCGGTTACTGTTATTTCAATTGAGGCTGATGGCGGTTAATCTATAGATATAAATGGCTAAGTAGGTACCTAACTTCTTGAGCCATTCAAATACTTACCACATCTCTTCGATACATCTAGATCTTACCTTGCAACACTTATTATACAGCGAAAGAGTTACTTGATATGGCGATGGTATATAGAATCCGGCTAAAGATCACCAAGGCCAGCGCCAGATAAGATATACTCTGACCTATGTGGGGATGTTGCGGGGATGACGGGCCAACCGACGGGGGAAGATAGGTTCGGCAACTTTGAGATAGGCGATGTTGACAGTTATGCGACGGGATATACCCTCCAGTAAGGCAAGGCCGAGGCGGGATCGCCCTACTTCGCCGGCTAAAGGCCAGGAGGGGGCCCGGTTAGCCATGCTTTTGTCAAGAGATAAGTAGGGAACGAGTCCGCTGAGCAGAGGCCAAAAAAGTGCCAGGCTGGAAGATATATATAAAGTATTAAGATCAAACAAATATTTGAGTTATCCACGAGAAGGCAAAGATGGCACAGAGCTATACAGAGATATCGGCGGCAGCAAAGAAGCGGAGAGACGATGCCCTTGCTGCGTTCTGGGCTATCCCAGATATCAAGGAAGATGAGCTGCCGCGAGACCTGAGATCGTACCCTCAAACATCTGGTCTTCTCACCGCCGAGGAGCTGGAGATTATCAATTCGGACGCCGTTGTGCTGTTGGAGAAGCTTCGGACAAGACAACTATCTTCTGTCACGATAACCACGGCCTTTTGCAAGGCAACTGTCATTGCACAGAAGTTGGTATGTAAAAGAGGCCTCATCGATTTAGTGAATATAGGCCAACACACAAGTTTCCTAGACCAATTGCGTCACCGAAGTCCTGTTCGACGAAGGATTGAAACGTGCAAAGGAGCTGGATGACCATCTCGAAAGGACAGGCAAGGTGGTTGGGCCTCTCCATGGATTGCCAGTCTCGCTAAAGGACAACTTCATGACGGTCCCTCATCCGTCTTCCATTGGAATGGCAGCATATACCATCGAACCAACAGTCAGAGACTCCGTGATAGTAACGGGCCTGCGAGACTTAGGCGCAGTCTTTTATGTCAAAACCAACGTGCCCACGGCAATGTTGATGGCAGAGACAGACAACAGAGTCTGGGGCGAGACTCGAAACCCCATCCACAAGGGTCTGAGTCCTGGTGGCTCATCAGGCGGAGAGGCAGCTCTACTGGCCCTAAAAGCATCACCACTAGGGCTTGGAACAGATATTGGAGGCAGCATTCGTGTCCCTGGTGCGTTCTGTCATCTGTACGGGTTGAAGCCGTCTTTTGGTCGGTTCTCAACTCTAGGAGGGCGCGCTGCCATACAGGGACAGGAGTTTATACCTTCTGTATGCGGTCCCATGGCAATTTCACTCGAGAGTGTCAAGCTGTTTTGCGAGACGATATTATCTGAGCAAGCCGGGCAGTGGAACGCTGATCCTAAGCTTCTCCCCATCCCCTGGAGAAAAGATGTGATTCAGCCCAAGGGACGAAAGCTGCGTATTGGTATACTCGGTAACAACGACGGTGGCAGGACTTGTTACCCGCCCGTCGAGCGTGCCCTTAGCATCGTGACCAAGGCACTAAAAGACGCCGGTCATGATGTCTTCGAATGGTAGGACGATTCTCTGCTATCGCAAACTGTAGATGGCACTAACAGTGGCTTTTAAAGGGCTCCAATCGACCATCCCGAGGTCCTGCGTCTTGTCATCGAAGGGTTCAAGGTATTCGGAACGTCCGCCATCCTCCCTCAGCTAGAAAAGCACGGCGAGCCTCTCTTCAAGTGCATGGAGAAGACCTTCTCAACCCTCAAGGAAGACCAGCTGGATGCTGTCAAACTGAGCGACATGATCATCGAACGCAACGGCCTGCAGAGAGCATACCTCGAGAGGTGGATGGCCACCAAGACAGACACAGCTGGCCCCATGGACTGTATCATCGCCCCAGCCGCCGTTGCTCCCGCCGCTCGTCTGGGATACGGCCAGACGATGCAGTATTTCGGCTTCACTGCCTTCGGTAACCTGCTAGGTATGTTTCTCTTTCGTTTTGTCTGTTTCCGTTGCGCTTCTGCTGACTGGCTGTGGTGGTGTATAGACCTGCCATCGTGTACATTCCCCGTCACCTACGCGGACAAGGCCGTCGACCTAAAGCGAGACGCCAGCTGGACGCCCCTAAACGAACAAGACAAAATCATGCAGTCCGAGTATGATCCTGAGTTCTACCATGGCGCGCCCGTCTCGCTGCAGCTGTATGGCAAGCGGCTCGAGGAAGAGAAAGTGGTCGAAATGGTGGAAGTCGTTGCGGATATCCTCAAGTTCAAGCCGTAGTTAGTTCATTTTTGGCATTCGGATAGCAGCCATTTCAATAGAACGTCTATCCCCGTAGTTATCTTCCTTCTGGTAGCTCTTTGATGCTTCTGCTGCCCTGTGAGTTTTGAAGCGAATATTCTTCTCGTGTTGGCCGGATAAAAGATACAAGCCTATTAGTTACGGTTGTCATGGACAACCATCGTTTTTCTCGCCGATTGCACCGCCAGGCAGCCAGCGACGACGGAGACAAATAACCTCGACAGCATCTCATCGACAGCGAACGGCGAGAGTACGATCTAATCAATACTTACGATTAATATAGAATTAAGACACTCCTTACGCTTCGTCGAGATGGCACCCCGTCGCAGAGCGGCCGACTCCAGCGCCTCGCGCAAGAGCGGCCAGGCAACCCTCCAGTTCGGCACGCAGTCAAAGATATCTAAGCCCTTCTCCAGCGCCTCAATACCCGGCAAGGACTTGAAGAAACAGCCTTCCTCGCCCAAGGAGATCTCTTTGCCTTCTCACAGCCTGCCAAAGAAGCAGGACGATGACCAACAACAGCTGCAAGAACCTACCGCAGAAGTCCAGGCGACGCCAGCATCCACAACTTCAACAGCCGTTGTCCAGAAGCAGGCCAGAGCCGAGGCAGCGCTGCCAAAGTCGAAAGAAGATGAGCGAGCAGAGGCATTGACGGTCGAGCAGTTGGAGACATACTGGCGGGCGGAGGAGAGAAAGCGAACAGCCTCAAGAGGTATGCCATGCCTAGTACTCCTACTGGGGACCACGGGGAAAAAAATCTGACATTTACGGGTTTACAGTCCATCAAGCAGATCTAAGTATTGAAGAGAAGATTCTACGGCACTTTGACTTGTGCAGTCAGTATGGCGTAAGTTGTCAATCCATACTCCCCTGGCAGCAAAGGGCAGAAGAGACAGGCTGACCGAATACCATCTTGCCAGCCGTGCATTGGAATTGCACGAATAAAACGTTGGAGACGAGCTCATGCTCTCGGCCTAAATCCACCGATTGAAGTCCTTGCCGTCTTGCTCAAGAAGGAGACACGCGCGAAAGTGAGCGAGAAGGCGTACATGGACGAGTTGCTATCGTGATGTCCCGTTCCGTTGGGGTATTCCTTGAGTTTCTTGTTTTCCTTCTTCATGTTTAAATACGACGGCAGGACACACTTTCCTTACCACGGCTTTGTTATTCCCTATGATGTCCTTTTTTAACACTTGCTCGCTTTGATCCTTTGGATTGGTCGATGTTGACTTTGATTTTGGCGCTTTTTGGTGAAGAGCTTTGCTCGCTCGGGGCTATGGGGGCTTCGTTTTTGTGGTTTCTTTCATTTTGAATACCGTCTTGAAATGCAGCAGTGCGCGGAGCTGGAATACATCCTATCCCTCTCTGGCTCGTCATGCCCTTTCTCCACCTCCGACCACTGGACATAAATCCACCCCCAGCGACAACAGTGACGAGTAGGCAGAGATGGTAACTAGATTATCTGCCCTAGTCCTCAGCAACCAGGAAGGACAACGGGTGCTGGCTGAATCTTTGGAACGCACCTCGTCCAGCCTCCATCGTTCACATGGAAATCAAGGGTAAAGGGAAGAAATGAGGGAGACACACGGGTTGGCGCTTGTTAAACATATGGGGAACAGATGGAAAATCTGGGGAACGGCCCTTAATATCCTCGGGCCAACTGAACCCCTGGCAAGCCATGGATCCATTTCCCCAGGTTTGACAAGCGGGCAGATGGACATTTGCCCCCCCTTTTTTCGTCTTCTCTCTGGGCTTACACTTCGGCGCATGCAAGGCATCGTAAAGAGTGGTTCCCCCGAGTAATCTTAGCAGCATCTCATGCATGATTCTCGGAGTGGACTTGTCCAGGCAGACCAACAGACAGGTACTCTGTTAGACAGACAGAGTTCAAGTACTCCGTAGCGACTAGAGAGTTCGGTGTGTCAGAGTTCAATAACAACCCCTTTTTCCGAGAAGCGAAAGACAAGTCAGTTAACTTGACAGAAAGCGAGTAGCATTAAAAGCGAAAAAGCAGAAGCACTAGAGAAGCTCTTCCTTTCGGTTCTTAATAACGGGCTAACCCAGGGGAAGGCTCCTCGCGAGATCCTGGTATGCAGGTACATTCAGACAGTCCTCCAATTGACGGGTGGCCTGGGCCTTGCTTCCATCCATCTGTTATACGAGTCTACAGGGCTTCCGAATGCTTGCTTGCCCTTCTCGCCTACAGGGAACGATCACTTGCCCTGTCCTGGCTGGCCCCCTTTTCGGTCTTTTTTACTCTCTCACCGAGGCTGTTCCGTTTGCATGCACGAGTGCATGTGTACAGACAGTCAGTGCAGGACAACCCATGAGGTAGGCTGGCTACGGGGACATGTCTGGTCCCATGAGCTGTCCACTTCGCCCTTATCATCGAGCTGAGAAAGGGAGAAGGGAGGCTGTGAAATGCTACATCCGTCATCGAGTGACACCCGCATCATCCTCTCTGGTTGTAGTAAAAAATGCATGTCATCGGAAACAAGAAACAGAATGCGGCTACTTGCCACGAACTCTTGACTCCAAGTACGGAGTAACAGCCAAAACAAAACAGGTATAAGCGACGATGTGACGTTATGCAGGCGGAGCGCATCGCCTCTTTGGGGATTTCCAGCCTTGAATTTCAAGCTAGGATCGGATATGTCACGACAGTAGCGTTTGATTGCCTTTCTTACGCGCACGCACACGGAGACACAGAGACACAGACACCCAGAGACATGCAGAGACATGCAGAGACGACAGGAAAACGATGTGATAGATGCGGTTGATATAGGGACATGGCTGACATGGATCAGTTCTGTGATAATATTCCGTCGATGGAGACATTGATCATCTTGCAAAAAGAAAGCAAAAAATTGAAGCACAAAAGGAGAAAAAATAACATAACACACAGGTTTACCCCAGATCGGGCCTTTATTTTTTTTTTCTCCCGCTTGACGGAGCACCAGCACCATTAACTAGGGAAGAGAAGGGAGGCATCGGAGGAGGGGGGGATGATCTCAATTTGTGGGAGTTGGTATCTGAGAGCCCTCCTGAGATGGCCCGGCGTGCGGGTGATACGACGGTGGCACGGCTAGAGCCACGGTGATTTTCCAATGTGGCATTCGGTCCAGTGGGCATCGTCCCGTTACTATCAACGTATAGTAGCTCATGCATCCAGATGGGTGGTTGGTAGTGGTTGGGTCAATTGTCACCGTCATCGTTGGCAGGACTGACGACGACAGCAACAACCAAAACAGGATATCTCTAGGGCAACAGCATCACCAGGACAGAGCTCAGAGCTTGAGATGGGCGATGCATGAAGCCGACTCGTCCAACCCCCCAACAGACGGATTTTCGAGATGACAGTACGATACAGCACGGATGACGAGATGCGCATCCCCTTGCCGCCCTGTGCCGGGGATCTCCATATAGCCTCTCCTCATATACTTCGCTGGCTTTTCGACCAGACAGAGTAACGATGAACCAGCCCATGGCCAGTAGCGATGCTCCATGTGGAGACTTGACGTGAGACATCGATCCCAGCCCTCAGTCCCGTTGCTTTTTTGTTGTTTTTGTATTCTTCCCTCTACCTGCAGAAACTACCAGGGGCCAGATGGCCAGTCAGAGTGCTAAGAGCTGCCGGGCCAAGCGGGCTTCCCCGTTCCAACTGCGTGTGAAGGGGGGGTTTCGTGGAGAAGCAGATCGGCCACGGAGGATGGCGATAGGGCCCTCTACTGCAAATGGCTCCAGGCCAAGAGAGCCTACTGGCTTGAGATTTTCTTTCGAGAAGCCTGGAGGCGCAAGGGGGAAAGAAGGCGAAGGAGCAAAGAGATCATGCAGCGGTGCGTCCGTAATCTGAGAAGAGCTAAAATCTGCCAGCTCCTCGCTCTCTTGATGAGGTTCGAGCTATGCTTGCCTTGTATATGGCCCTGTATGGGGGCCTTAGGCCTTAGCTGGTTATTCGCACGAAAGGGTAAAGAGTAGGGCAGGGTAGGCTATTTCGTACAGCCGCTTCCGTCCGCCCTTGACACCCTCTTACGCTGTTACTTACTAGAGCCTTGAGCAATGAATACATAGACTTGCTAGCAGTAGCTCCAAAGGGGAGAAAAGCTTGACCATCGCCCTCTTCGTTTTTGAGGTGGTTGGATCACGTCGGTTTGGCCACCTTCAACCGCTGGGCGATGGAAGTCCATTGACGGTTCCTTCGTACGCCTGTTTCGATATACGGGGTACGGGAGATGGACTTCCAGACCTTCGGGCGAAGGAGCCAAAGACTCAAGAGGAGAGAGTGAGTGGCAGGGGCAATCTCAACCAAACAATCCAACCAACCAAGCAAAGCATGAAAATAGTATCTCGCTCGCTCCTCAAGGTTACGACGACTCTCCACCCCCAGCAACAAGACCGAAAAAAACCCACACCCACCCCATACCCCGTATCCACCGCTAAGAGTATATATGTACATTCACAATGTACCGATTAGCCGGCTTCGCTCTGAATGGACAACAATGTAGCTGGACTCTGGGAACCGCGGTACGCTGCACGAGCATCCTCCGGCTTGCAGCACGGCAGCGCCTTTGCCTATAGGAACCAGCCAGTCAGTCAAGTGTTGCCATCTCCATCCCAACCACGGAGAGATCAACCGTGGTTATAGAGGGTATATACACACCATGAGGTACATGTTCCTGGTTGCGAGAGTACTCCGTCCTTAAGCTATATTTCTATATGTCGTGTGGGATGCTGCATGTGAAATCTTCAAATCTCGTCCCTCCCGCCTTCTACTACCATCTGGCCAAATTGAGATATCCCTTGTCTTCAACTAACTATATACTTACTAACACTAACTCGATACCCTGGTCCGAAGTCGATGTCTCTCTGTCCATAAGGATACCCTTGAGCTTCGCCCTTGGCCGATGAACTTGATGCCGTGGGATGTGGATCTAGCCCCTTTGCTTCTTCTTCCTCCTCTTCCACTTCCTTTCAGTGGCTTGGATGATGGTCGATTTTGTAAACACGGCCGATCGTTGCTTTTTCAGTTACACTGATTTATTGCCTCTTTTTCTTTTCTTTTTCTTCTCTTTTTTGCAAAGCTGAGTCTTCGACTTGCTTGGTTGTAGGTCTGAAGATATAAAAGCCCTTCCCATCCTGCCTACTCTGTTCAGGCTTCCTCTCCCCTTTCTTCTTTTCTCTCTTTCATCACGCAACAGCTCTTAACATTGACACTCGTTTCGTCGTTTAACTGTCGTTTACTCTCACATTAATACAAGTCCTTCTTGTTCTACCAAATTCCGACAAAATGAAGTTCTCTCAGGCCGTCATTGCCCTGGCTGCTGCCACCGTTGTCTCTGCTCAGCTCCCAGACGTTCCCCAGTGCTCTGTACGTTTGCCCTTCAATTCGACGATGATTAACAAGACAAGGGCCTACTGCTAACCCATCCTCTAGCTCCCATGCTTCCTCGACGCTCTGACCACTGATGGCTGCTCCGAGTTGACCGACTTCAAGTGCCACTGCTCCAAGCCAGAGCTCCCAGCTAAGATCACTCCTTGCGTCAAGTCCAAGTGCCCCCTTGCTGAGCAAATCTGTAAGTTTGGACCAGAATATCTTTAATTACCCAATCGGGTTTATGCATGCAAATTCTAACCTTCGTCTATAGCCGTCTCCAACGCTGTCGTCAAGCAGTGCTCTGATGCCGGAAGCCCCGTCTCCATCCCCCCAGTTGAGGAGTCCTCCAAGCCATCTGAGCCCTCCACCAGCGAGGCTCCAACTGGCAGCCCAACTGAGAGCACCCCAGCTCCTACCACCGCTGCTCCAACCGGCACTGGTTCTCCATCCGGCACCGGTGCTCCAGGTAGCCCATCTGGCACCGGCACCTTCACCAACACTGGTGTTCCAACCCAGTCCACCCCCATCTACACCGGTGCTGCTTCCGGTCTCTCTGCTAACATTGGCGGTATGGGTGCTGCCATTCTTGCCCTCGCTGCCTACTTGTAAACAATGTGTCTCTCAAGACCTATGTCAATTAATAATTAATCCTTTTTTTTATACTTCATGTCCCTTAGTTGATAAATTACCCATAACGACCTAATATATATACATATATACAATCTACTTCTTCGAAGAGACAAGGCAGTTAAAATATGTTTCATCCTAACGTTCTTGGTTGTTATTATAAAGCGGCCCGAAAACATTCTCTTCATCGCAGTCATTAGTGGAGATGTCTCTCCTTCATGGGCCCCATCCGTGTGTAAAATGGAGAACTGCCAATATCTGTTTCTCACCCTTTGCTCTTCATGCCAATGCAGAGAAAACGAAATATTACTCCGTACACCGCTTGACAATCTCAACTGTGGTTTGAGGAACAAGGCTTACGTATGCCTGTCTTTTTGTATCTGCTTGTTTGTTTATTCTATCTGTCACCTGCAGCTGATCGTGGCGCGCCTAGACAACCGAGTTTTCAAGCGATAATAATCACTAGTCATCACAACCCAAAGAAAGCCACTTGGGCAGTCAGTGCTGTACGGAGTAAGGTGGTGCGTGAGACGAATCAACAGAAACAGCTAATTCAAAGATCTTTACGGAGTAACCCTTCACTATTAAAAGATAACCCCAGGCTGATCTCGTTGTTAGTACCCCCAGTACTCCATGATAATTTCGATGCTAGCATCGTACAGCATTTCACATAACTAGCTACCAGCTTTACTAGCAGAAACTTGGTACTTCCCCCTGCTTATAGGGCGTGGCACATACTCTGTAGAGCGTCAGGTCATATCCATCGTTAGGTGGGAGATATAGCAGAGAGAGGAAAAGGGAGGGGGGGAGAGCAGCACAGTAAGATGGAGAAAGAGTGGTACGATCTTTTTATTAGTTAAGCTTGGAGTGTGACTAGCTAACTAATGGGGTTTGCAGGCTTTTCGTGTAGTTACAAGATACATATGAGTGCCTGCGGCAACCCCCTGCATCTCCGTCCAGACTGCAGTCCATGTCGCACCAGCAAAGCCAGGCTTGTCGTGGTCATATCTGCAGCCACACATACGGGATAGCTGGGCAGACTATGTATCATGTCTTGGTGCAGGTTCCCTTTGCTGCCACGCACCAGCAGTCGCCATCTAGTCCTGTCGACAACCCCTCCTCCCCCTTTTTTAGATTTTATACTCCCTCTACTCCCGTCTTACATTACCTCCAATTTGTACCTGTCCTGACAAGAGGGAAACTAGCATCTATAGAGTGCTTATTTAGCCATACCTGTAACTAATGCGGAGTATATTAAATGAAGATTCGAGGCGATAGTGTCACGTACTGCCTTGGACTAACTACTCTATTAATAATAATGTGATGGATTCTCTAAGTCGGGTTCTGGTCGTCGACCTTGATATACAAGCATACCAAGTGATATTACTCCGTAGTGACCAATTAACCAAGTATTACATTCACGGGGGTTTACGGATATATTGGCATTACCTGACGCATATTCTGCGATAGCCCCTGCATATGTTCCACTGTTCTTCCAAACCGATGCAGCTCCATTGTTCGTCCCATTTCCTCTACACCTCGCTGCTGGCCTCCATATCCAGACAAAGACAAACCATTGGGGGTTGAACTTCTTCCGTTAGCAGGAAATGTGACAATTAAGTGGCCCCCCTTAGTTGAGAAACAGTCGCTGTGCCTTCTATGGCGGTGGCTTGGACGAGTCGATATTTGTGAAGCAGTCTTGAAGGTAGTAATAGGTAGCTCTATAACCCCTTCTTTAAACGAGTCCATCTCAATGTAGAGTCGCCATACTGGGCCATGATGTATAAGGAACTTTGAACTAGAAAGCTTTTTCTATAGAGTGTTAAAACCTAGGTATCCAGCTCGTCTTTTTTCGGCTGTAGTTGTGTCTTTGTAGTATAGTTCTTACAAAGGGCATTCTTCAGGAGCGTTTTTTTTTTTTTTTTTTTTTTTTTTTTTCGTAGCCGCAACGGTTTAGCCTTTGCAGTAGTTATACCGTTGAACTAAAAAGCAACACTTTTTAATTAGCAGCAGCGAATGATGAGGATAGTGATACTGTTTTAACATATACTTATAGATATATTGCCGTAACGCTCCCGTTATACCTAGGCATATCTCGAGTTGTTTCAAAATAGAAGGAAATTCCAGATCCGTGATGGCTTTCATCTTGTCAGCAACGGTGGAAAGGCCTAATGCGTCGACTCGTTGGCCTAGAAGCTGGATTGATGAAGATCCTATGCTTCATGGACAAGTTGTCGTGAAAAAAAAAAAAAAAGGAAATCCTGCTGCAACGGATAATCTTCTTGATTCGCGGTATTGCATCTACCCTCTAACAGCTTTGGATAGACCCATAGGAATCACGTCAACGAAGAGAGAGGCGAAATAGTATCTAGAGCTTACCCTTCCGTTAATGTAGCTCATTTGGGTCTGGGGGTTAAACTAGTATAGAGAGCCACTCTACACACCCCTGGAATGTACCTATGTTGGTTATGGGCTGAAGCTATAAGAAAATGGATATCCAACAAATTTTCCTTTTGAATAAGCTATTTGACTGAGGTCTGGTATGGAAGGGGGAGACGATAGTTCGATGGCCATGGAAGTTGGAAGCCTGTCAGTGGGCATTGAGCCATATAGCTACTCCGGAAAGTATGTGAGATGAAGGAAGCTGCGACCGTCTCTACAGAAAATAGAGCCTGCATGTTTACCATATCTTCTCAAGATAAATGCCAACTATAACCAAGCATCATAGAATCAGAAGCCCCGGCTCCCAAACATGTAAAAAGATCACTGATCGCGTGAGGATTAAAAACAAAGGTTTATGCCAAGCCGAGTCCCTGTTATTAGTTTGTGGATAAAGTTTTACGCGAGTTTAAAGTATGTAAGAACCAATGAAATCAGCCTAAATTAGACTTCCCATTATTCATCAGTAACAGCTCAAGCGCTTGCCGACAAACTGTTACTTTGGTCAGGAACCTCAGGCACTATCTTCTACCTTCACCTGTTCATTATTGTTTCAATGCGTTCGCTCTCTTCTAATGATGCCCATAACAGCGGCAGCTTCCAACCGGGCTGATAGTACTGTTCCTGTTTCGGTCCACACACTTTCGCCTAGCCACTTGGATGTATTTACTCAGACAGTTAGCGGCATCTTATCGACGGACCGATGCCTTTGCCCAGAAAATAAAAGGGGAAACCAAATGGGTATAAAGATTTTAATTTTACAACTAGCTATTCTTTACTGCAGACAATACTGATCTCTGGTCTATCAGAAGAAGATATCAGGAGGGCCAAGTATTTTCAAGAAGAAGTTAGGCCTGATACACTTCGGTCAAAGTCTTCAGTAAGCAGTTGATCTATGCCATTGAGGTTATAACTCCTGTAATATAATTGCAAAGCTATTTCAAATTATATCAAAAAACCTCCTTTGGTTCAAGGGGGTTTAAACTGTGTTTGCTAGAAATAGCTGCTGTCATAATACATAATATATGATTTTTAAACTCTCAGACAGAGAAGTAGACGACTTTGTTGCCTTTGATTTCAAAGGTCTGGAGACCCAGGACCCTGACCGTAGCCACACCCACGACCATTCTGTTTCTAGTCCTCTCCCGGTATGCCCTTCGAGTTGGCCCGGAGTGTGCTATCCAGATGCATGTCTTCCGTGATAAGAATGAACGCAGGCCGTTATGGTTGAGGACACCAGATTATCCAAGGTTGGTCCGGCGACAGGTATGTACGCGAGGGTTATCCGCATTTCATGGACTACGGAGAGAAGCTGGGAAGGAAGGGAACGGAAACCCTAGCCATGTCATTCCTATGCCTATCAATGCGTTTTAGCATGAACTCCGTTACGTTGAGTCGGTAGAGGTATTATTTATCCTTGTGAGGAGAGAAAAGAGGAAGAAGACGACGACGAAGAAGAAGAAGGCTGACGATGAAGAAGAGAAATGAGGAGGAATTACGTCTAGTATTTATTATGCATCATTTTGGGTCATCGAGAAGTTAAACAACAGGAAAAGGAGGAAGAAGAGGACAGAGACGGCTTAAGAGCCAAACTCCTTGACGTCGGTGGTCTTGCCGCTGAGAGCTAGGGGAACGATGCCGGAGACGTGCATCTCTGGTCCAAAGACGTGCATGTCGAGATGCAGTTCCTCTCCGACGGCCTTGATGTTCTTGAGACCCTCCTGGTAGTTGGGGCCCGCTCGTCGGACCCAGATCTGAGTCTTGTGCTCGACAAGAACGGGGGCGACTTCTCTGAGTGCGCGGATGACGCCCTTGAAGGTGGTGGCTACGTTGGTGAAGTTGGCAATGCCTCCACCGATGAAGAGGACCTTCCCTTCGGGCCGCAGGGGAGCACGGAGCATGAGGTCCAAGACGGTGCGGGCGTAGTTGTATGTCTGGGTCTCGGTGGGAGCACCAGAGTATTCTCCGTAGTTTGCTAGCTCGGAGACGTGTCCGGCGGAGGCGATGGCGTCTGCGTAGACGACGGAGGCACCACCACCAGCGACCAGGGTCCAGATGCGGCCGTTGGCGTTGAGGACGGTGAGCTTGAGGGAGGCACCCGTCTTGGCGTCCATGTCGGAGATATACTTCTCTTCCTTGCTCATCTCGCGGCCAAAGGGAGCAGGGAACTCCATGGGTGGGCCGGCATCGATGGTGACTTTTGAGGTGGCAGCTGTGGTGGATGCGAGACCGAGGGCAGCAGGGGAGCGGGCAATGGCCCACTTGGTGCCGCACTCGAACTCGGCGGTCTGGTCGAGCTTTGCGGCCAGGTCGAGGAAGTGGACGGAGGCAGAGGTCTTGTCTGCGTTGGGGATGACGACCAAGGGGTTGATCTCGAGGTAGGTGAACTGGCAGTCGACGTACACGGCGTACAGGCGGGTGATGAAGTCGACGAGGACGTTGTGCAGGCCCTTGGGGATCTTGCTGAGCAGGCCGGCTGCGATCTCCTCGTTGCTGGGGTACTGCTTGAGGTTGACGGGGATGAGCAGCTTCTCAGCTTTGGCGTCCACGTCGCCCACGTCAACTCCTCCCTCATGAGTGAACAGTATCCAATCGCCCTGTTGAAGTCAGCATCCAAATCTCCTGCATTAGAATTAACATATATAAATGTAAATTAAAGGTGTGAGTACCTCTCTGACAGAGTTGATGTTGATGTAGTACTCGGTATCCTGGGGGTGCGGGACAAAGGGCTCGACGAGGAAGTGCCTGAGGACGCCGACGACGGTCTCTACCTGCTGCTCCTTGCCTGCTCGCTCAGCTACCCACGCTCTCGCCTCGGGCCAGGTCTTGTTGAGGGCGAGCAGTCCGCTCTTGCCGCGACGCTTGATGAGCTGGTCTGGCTTTGCGACGAAGCGGGCTCCGGGGGCGAGCAGCCAGGGGTAGGTAGCCTCTGCCTGGTCGAGGACGGCCTCCACGGCGACATCAGCAGGGAACTCGAGCGAGGCGAGCTTTGGAGGCGGGTTGTGGGTGTCTGCTGGCGGTAGAGGAGAGGGCTTGATGACGGGGGCGCGGGTGAGGTGGTAGTTGAGGATGGCCTTGCCGTCGGCCTCGAAGATGCTCTTCGCTGACATTCTGGTAGCTGTCTGTGGTCGTAGTCGTAGTAGTAGGTAGTAGTAGAGTAATTGAGTATGAAGCTGAAGCTGAAGCTGTGGAAGAGCAGGAGAGCAGGAGAGCAGGAGCAGAGAGAGCAGAATAAGAGGAAGAAGAGTAGAAGAAGAGGAAGCAGGAGGAAGAAGACGAGCTGAAGATAAGAGTCGAGGCTCGCTGTGTGTGGTGGAGCGAAGTGTTGGGTTGGGGCAGAGTGACTCGCGGCGCCCGCAGAAAAAGGAGGCGGGCGAAGTCACCACGACCCAAAGACGAGCCTTAGTTATTCCCACCAGAACTTCTTGTTGAGGTCAGCCTCGTCTTTTTCTTTTCTCCCATAAGAAGAAGAAGTCAGACCGAACGGACAGAGAAGTGAATTGCACTTATTTAGCTATATATTAAAATCCTCGAGCCGACGGACGCTTCTTGTGCCTGTTGTCTCCGTCTTCCTGCTGCCTCTTTTTCTCTCCTTCGTCTTCTTCCTCTCGTCGTCCTTCAAAAAGGAGCTTCAGCTTCAGCTTCGCCTTCGCCAGCTTCACCCTCAGTCTGCTACAGGACTCCTGCTCTGCATCTTTAGTTCTACTTCTATTCTATCTGCTTCGACTTCGACTTCACCATGGGCACCGACGGGAACCTGTCTGCCAACGACAACATCCGCCGCTTCACTGCTGCCTCCCGCCCGCTCACCCCCCTCGAACACAACCTCTTCCACAACAAGACACGATGCTTCGTCTAGTACGTCTGGTTCCTTGAGATCATAACAGAGAGAGAGAGAGAGAGATACTAACAAATGGCAGTGGAATGCAGCCGAGAGCGGTCCAGGGGATGCTCGACTTCGACTTCATCTGCAAGCGGTCGACCCCCTCGGTGGCAGCCATCATCTACACCTTTGGCGGCCAGTTCGTCAGCAAGATGTATGTCTACATGCTGCATAATCAGTACACTGCTCAATTGCTAACCAAAAGACTGTCTGTAGGTACTGGGGAACCAGTGAGACGCTGCTGCCGGTCTACCAGGACACCAACAAGGCCATGGCCAAACACGCAGACGTCGACACCGTAGTCAACTTCGCCTCGTCTCGCTCCGTCTACTCCTCCACCATGGAACTCATGGAATGCCCCCAGATCAAGACCATTGCCATCATTGCAGAGGGTGTCCCCGAGAGAGTAAGGCTTTCCCCCTACTTTCCCTTACTTTGACAATGCAATTGTGAGTCGTGGCTCATGCTAATGCAAAATGCTTTTCTGCTTTGTAGCGAGCGAGAGAGATCATGGTGCGGGCAAAGGAAAAGGGAGTCACCATCATCGGCCCAGCTACCGTCGGTGGCATCAAGCCCGGTGCGTTCAAGATCGGTAACACCGGTGGCATGATGGACAACATCGTCGCCTCCAAGCTCTACCGCAAGGGCTCCGTGGGCTACGTCTCCAAGTCCGGTGGTATGTCCAACGAGCTTAACAACATTGTCTGCCAGACCACGGACGGCGTCTGCGAAGGTGTTGCCATTGGTGGTGACAGATACCCCGGAACCACTTTCCTAGACCATCTGCTCCGCTACCAGGCCAACCCAGAGTGCAAGATCCTGCTGCTGCTCGGTGAGGTCGGTGGTGTAGAGGAGTACCGTGTCATTGACGCTGTTAAGAACGGCACCATCACCAAGCCTGTCGTTGCCTGGGCCATTGGAACCTGCGCTAGCATGTTCAAGACCGAAGTCCAGTTCGGTCACGCCGGTGCCTCTGCAAACTCCGACCTCGAGACCGCTGTCACCAAGAACAAGTCCATGCGTGAGGCCGGCATCCACGTCCCAGACACCTTCGAGGACCTGCCCGACGTCCTCGCTACCGTCTACCAGAAGCTCGTCAAACAGGGCACCATCAAGCCCCAGCCAGAGCCGGTCGTGCCCAAGATCCCTCTCGACTACTCCTGGGCCCAGGAGCTCGGTCTCATCCGAAAGCCAGCTGCCTTCATCTCGACCATCTCCGACGACCGTGGCCAGGAGCTGCTGTACGCCGGTATGCCTATCTCCGATGTGTTCAAGGAAGACATCGGTATCGGTGGTGTCATGTCCCTCCTCTGGTTCCGTCGCCGCCTGCCAGCCTATGCCTCCAAGTTCCTCGAGATGGTCCTCATGCTTACTGCTGACCACGGTCCCGCTGTCTCTGGTGCCATGAACACCATCATCACCACCCGTGCCGGCAAGGATCTCATCTCTGCTCTCGTCTCCGGTCTGCTTACCATTGGCTCCCGCTTCGGTGGTGCCCTTGACGGTGCCGCTGAGGAGTTCACCCGCGCCTTTGACCGGGGTCTCTCCCCACGCGACTTTGTCGATACCATGCGCAAGGAGAACAAGCTCAGTAAGTCTTAACCTTATTATATATATACATCCTTGCCGTATCCTTACCTCTTCCCGCCCACTCAATCCACAAATCCAGCTTTTTCGCCTTTCACCTTTTACACGTTCCACCCCTGCTAACTTTTCCCCAGTCCCTGGCATTGGCCACCGTATCAAATCCCGCGCAAACCCTGACCTCCGTGTCGAGCTGGTCAAGGAATACGTTATCAAAAACTTCCCCTCGCACAAGCTGCTCGACTACGCCATCGCCGTCGAGACAGTCACCACCTCGAAGAAGGACAACCTCATCCTCAACGTCGACGGCTGTATTGCCGTCTGCTTCGTCGACCTCATCCGTAACTGCGGTGCCTTCACACCCGAAGAGGCAGAGGACTACCTCTCCATGGGCGTGCTGAACGGTCTATTCGTGCTGGGCAGAAGTATTGGTCTCATCGCGCATTTCTTGGACCAGAAGCGTCTGCGTACTGGTTTGTACCGCCATCCATGGGATGATATCACTTATCTCCTGCCTACCTTGTCCAAGGGTTCGTCAGCCGAAGGTCGTGTCGAGGTCAGCCTCTAGGGGGCTACCGTGACGGATGACTTCCTTCAACTTACGGCAATTTGAAAATGATTGATAGATGGTGGAGGGTAGGTAGGTAGATACTTCGCCTTTGACTTGACTTCCAACTTTGATATGAAAATTAGTCCACGATAATAATACTCTTTTCTTTCTCTTTCCCTTTCTCTTTTATCCACCGTATCATTCGTGCTCCACAACCGCTAGTAAAATGTATCGAATCACGGTATTGACCCATCTTCAACACGCTTATCCTGCATATATAGTTAGTTAACCAGTCAATGAATTTACCCGCAAAAAGAAAAGCTGACGCCACGGTCAGGACATGTTCCTGTCTCGCCGATCTCTAATCACGGGCCTTTGTAATAGTGATGATGTGCAGACTGAGTGGACCAGACAAGGTAACGAAAGCAGGCAGGATGGTGAATCCACGCTCTCACGAGCTGTAAGGCTGTCCCATTTCATTCCAGGCAAATGCCCCGAATAGAAACCCCCCTCTGGTCCAGAGGAAACAGGTTCTCTCTTCACGGTATGTTGGGGCTCGGATTCCGTGCCCAACAGTTCGGCAACGGCATAGCCTACCGGGCCTTTCTCAGCCTTGACTCGTACCGCTGCTAGAACTGCCCCGTCTCTGACCGGATGCTAGAAAAACGATCATTGAAAGGGCATATTTCGCTTCGGCTCCAGACACTCTCTATGGAGAGATCAAGAACGGAAACCTGCTTCGGATGTTCCATGGAGAAGCGTCAACGCATTGCTTAAGCCTTTGGAATGACGCGAAACTTGACTGGATCCCGTAGGTCATGCATGCATCTTGAGACCGCGGCTGGTATCACTCTGCTGGTCGGAAGTAGACTGACTACTGTTCTGTAGAGTTCCTGTTTTTACAGACTGGGTATAAACTAGATGGATTCTTAGTGTAGTTGATTGCTGGTCTCGTGTGGTTGGTAGTCTCTGTTGTTGACAGTATTTGGCTGATGCTGATGCTGATGTTGATGCTCGAATTTCAACCTCACGCGTTAAAATGAAAAATCATCAAACCAACGTCATTCATTCAACAACCATCAACACTCATCTTGATATTCTCTACAATAGCTAGAAAAGGGACAGTCAGGTAATACCGCAAAGATGGTCCGTCTTAAACATCGATACCTGTTGGTGAACATTCTTTATCCACCACAGACGGGCTCGCAGAAAGCGCCGCTGGATGGGAAGGCCTTCCATCTCCAACTCCATCGCCCAACAGCAGATGCTCTCACACCTCAAGCCCTTGCTAGGCTGGTCAGAGAAGCTGTTGCAGAGATGTTTGGAGACTGGGGGATGGGCAGACTGGGAGGTGCTGGCGCTGGCGCAGTCAGTGGTGCGTTTTTCATCCTATACTTGCTACTGATTGATATTCTGTCTTATATACAAGTAACATACATGACTGACATGAATAGTGAAATACCTCTCTCCTGCTACGTCAACGGCTATCATACGCTGTCCTCGAGCGAGTTATCGCCTGGTATGGTCGGCCTTGACATACACGTCAAGTCTTGCAGTGTCATCTACAGCTGGCCGACAGAATGCCAATGAAAATGACCAGCAACAACGCTGTGTCTTTCGCGTAGTACGCGTCTCTGGCACGATGAAAAAGGCGGAGCTCGAAGCTATCCGGCGAGCTCGCGTCGAGGTCGTCAAGTTGACCAAGGAGTGGGAGAGTGGGGGCAAGGCTGTGCTCGAGGGCATGTTCGCTGACGGGCCTGCAGCGCCGCCGTCAGAAGACGGGATAGAGAGTGCAAGCGAAGACGACGGTGATAGTGAATAAGCCCCGTTGTCCAAGCCTGTCTGATCGGTGATTTTACAAAGGTGTGTATCCTGATTCCATCCGTGTTAAATTATATGCATATCCCCATGTTCCCCCATATTCTCCCCATCCCCCCCGCAAAACGCCTCCATTTTATTGTTTATCATTATTCGTTAGCTATTTATTCTTCCTTACTACCTTGATGCCGTTGTTGGGCGGAACATTTGACATCGACTCGTCCATATCCATATCGTCGTCGCCGCCGCTAGCATGGCCTCCTGAAGTCGTTTCTCTTGCCCTGGCCTCGGCCTCCAAGTCCTGTCTCTCCTTCTCATCCCACTCATCCTTTGCATCTAGCCATCTCTCCTGCACATCCTTTACATCAATTACTCCCATACCTTCTCTAACTGCAACCTGCCAGACCGTGTCGTTGGCTCCCTCGGCGGATCCAAACGCATACCCGCCCGCGCGATCAATCGCATGGAGCAAGCTCATCATGCTTTTCTTATCCTCTACCGCCAGGGCCTCGAATCCTACCAGGCTGAAATCCTGCACTAGCTCGACTATTGCAGAGTTCAAGGCGTCAAACTTGGAGTTTGCTAGCCACGGCGCTTCCTCGTTCAGATGCGGTATCAGATGCGAGAGATCGTGGACCTCGGTGTAGAAGTCCAAGTTAAAGGGGAGGGGAGGATATTTGCTGAGATTATCAATCTTCGTGAGCACGTTCAGATGAGGGAGATCCATCTGAAGCATTGCCCGAAGCGATAGCAGCAGCGCTGAGATGTACATTGATGGAAGCGTGAGGTTATAAGAGTCGACCAGGTGTACTACAACTAGCTTTACGACAGATGTTAGCACGTTAATCTGCCTATCTGCACGCTGCGCGTGATAGAAAAGGCAGCTGAATCTGTTCAAAATCAAACTCGAGAACGGGTAAGGCACACTCTATATCCAAGTTTTTGGATCTTGAAGAACATATTCCTTAGTGAGCTGTGGTGTGTAAATATTTCAACTTGACCGGGGCAGTCGAACAGAACATAGTCCTCTACCAACCGTTAGAAAAGTGATAATAAATGTAAGTGACAGCCACAAATGGAGTCCTAAGAACGGTGAACGTACCTCCAAGGTTGTGTAGTCCATCCTCGAGCCACTCAAAGTTCTCCTCGAGCTCCTCTAGCGCATACAGGACAGCTCCGTTGGGGCCGAGAGTGTTTTCCTTCATGATCTCTTCTAGTGTAACGAGCTCTCGCACATCTACTGCCGGTGCATAAGAAGTCTGGTCGTTAGCTGGATCCAAGTTGACTATCGAGCATTTCCTCCCGATGGCAGACATGAACTGCTGCATTCCATTGCAGTATGTCGACTTGCCGGACCCAGGAGGGCCGATCACAAGCTGCGCAAACGGCATCACTTGCTATCCCGCTGTCTGTCTCTGTCTGCGTGTGTATCCTTCAATTATCAACTATCAGCCAGTTATCAAATGTTTTCTTCTATGTTTTTATCAAAAGTTGAAAAGAAAAAGAAACAAAAAGGCGGTGAGGGGTGGCAGAATCCGATGCTTTTTTGAAGCTTCCAAAGTCGATGAAAGTCGAACAAACATTGAGTCATACTTGAATCACACTTGAAAGACGCTGCAAAACGCTGAAAGGCACTGAAGACACTCGGGTTGACTGGTTTAACTACTTATACGCGCATAATAACTGTCTACAGATGGCTTCTAGTAAGTACGGCTATCTGTCTGTCGATTAATTAAGTACTGACAAGCTTCACTAGACCACTTCGCTATTGCGAACCCGCCTGCGGACGTGATATCGGCCGTTCAATTCTCCCCAGAGCCAGAGTCGACGCGTTTTGTGGTATCATCATGGGACAAGAACGTATATCTGTATGACCTCAGAGACGAGAACGGCATTATTGGCGAGGGGAAACTCATACAAAAGTTTGAACATCGCGCGCCGGTGCTAGATGTCTGTTTTGGCCAGAATGAAGACGAACTATACACTGCCGGGTTGGATTGGGATGTTAGAAAGTCAGTACTGAAGCAGCTACATTTGGATTAATGAGAGAATGCGCTGACGTGTGTTCCGTGTGATTGTTTCTTTTTTTACAGGATCGATATACAGACCTCGACCCAGACGGTGTTGAGCTCACACAGCCAGGGCGTAAAGTCCGTTGTCTACAGTAAAGAGCACGGCCTAGTCGTCTCAGCGTCGTGGGACATGACCCTCCACATTCATAAGGCAGATGGGAGCGCTTCGCCCGCCACAATTCCACTGCCATCAAAGCCATTCTCCCTCTCCGTTACCCCCACCAAACTCGTTGTTGCCATGGCGTCGAGAACACTACATATCTACGACCTCAAGTCTTTAGTGTTATTCCTGGAGCAGTCCGGTAGTCAGCCACCAGCTCACACCCTCGAGCTAGAGCCCTGGCAGCGCCGGGAAAGCAGTCTTAAGTTCATGACCCGGGCGGTGGCCTGCATGCCCGATGATGCCGGCTACGCATCGTCAAGTATAGAAGGGCGAGTAGCGGTAGAGTGGTTTGATCCCTCTGACGAATCTCAAGATCGGAAATATGCATTTAAATGTCATCGGCAGCACGTTGACGGCGTGGATGTCGTCTACCCCGTCAACGCCCTCGCCTTTCACCCGGTATTCGGCACTTTTGCCTCTGGAGGTGGTGATGGAGTGGTCGCCTTCTGGGACGGTATTGCAAAGAGGAGGATACGGCAGTATCCCAAGTACCCTTCCAGCGTGACTGCGTTGGACTTTAGCTCTAACGGGAAATACCTGTTGGTTGGAATCAGTCCTGGTTTCGAGGACGAGAAGGATGATGTGCCGGAAGGGACCGTCAAAGTGATGATCAGAGAACTAGGCGAGACAGAAGCAAAGGGAAAAGGAGCTAAATAACTAGTAGTTGTCAATTATATTTGTATACAAAAATTTAACGACAAATACCCTTGGGGAGTTCTAGATAGGGTATAGAGCCGCCTGTCTACTAAATCGGATATGGATGCAACGGTAGACAGTATATGAAGCACTCCCGCTTTCGATTTTCACTCCCTGAAGATAGTAATTAATGGATAATAATATACATGGACTAATGCAGTGTTAATGCGACTGAGCCAAAAGAGTGAGCCCCCGCTAGTGACCAGTAGGTAGAAGTTATATCTTTGGCAAGTAGTTATAGATGTCAAGGCTCAATGTCATACAATCAGCAGGGAGAGCTCCAGGCTGCCGTTGTAGTCAAGTCTTCTCACTGCCACAAGCTCCACGTCCGTGAGGATGAACCTGTACCGGGCACGATGCTGTTTCATGTACCAGTTCAACTGGCTCAGTACTTGGTAGTACTCGTTCCGGCCATGCTGTGTCCCTGATGCCAGCATCGAACTCATTTTCAGCTCGGCTTGATGTCCCCAGGGCCGCGGTTGGGCCCTGTCCCGGGCATGAGGCCGGCGAAAAAGAACGCTGTGTCAGGCGTAAAGCTTTCTGGGGTCGCTGGGTTGGGGCCAGGACCAAATCCGAGGGCCGTTCGTCCTCCCATCATGCCCGCAATATTTAGACGATCGCGGGTAATGCACGACGAACTCGTGGTATGATGTGCTCTGCGATCGCGGCTTGGAGGAGAACCTCATGGTTGAATGGCCGGGCAGGCGAGCTCAGGAATGGATCCCGCGCTTTGCGGACAGCCGATAACAACGAGCCATAGCTCTGCATGATCGCTGTGAGGTTAAACTGGTCCCACTGAGCTGCGGGCTGCATGAAGGTGAACGAGTAGCGGAAGTTGGTGGTGTTAGGGCCGGGGTGGGCTGGGGGGCTCGGAGGAAGCTGGAGTGGCGCCCCCTGAAGAAACTCAAGCAACGATATCATGTTCTGGGCCATTTTTAGCGATGAGTTAACTAGGTACCTAGGTAGTTACCTAGATGCCTAGGCAGTTAACTGTAAAATGCGCGCTTCTGTGGTTATGGCAAATCTGATATCATCAATACCTGTCATTCAACCAAAAGGGCGAGCCTAGGCAGGATGAAGTTATGTCTTTACCAGAGATTAGTACGGATAGTTAACCATAGGGGAAATGCTGCTTATATAGTTATTTGGAGACGGCTATTATTCACCATATTCATTCACCATACCCCTTCACTACGCTCCTCGTCTTTCTTCGCCAGCGTGTTGACACCTTAGTGAGTGACTATCGGCACACTGCACTTTGTGACTTTGTACAGCCAGACGCCCATCAGTAAGTAGGTACCTAGTTAACTTTGACGTTTTGCGTCACTGACCTCGTTTGTTTCCTCACTGTCCTTCCCATCTAAGTCACAGTCAATCGAAATGGAGTTTCCAGACCTCCGGATATCCGAAGTTGTCTTCAAGGAGACTCTATCGATTCGCGAGTACTGTGCCCTTTTTATCGTTGAGATAAGAGGTCTGGTCTGCGTGATGAAAGTGGTATGTCCATCCAAATCCACACGCTATCATGATTCTGTCTCTGACGATTTGTACCCAACTAGCATCTTGGCCATAACCTTAACCTGCCTGAGGATTCCTACTATGAAACAAACATGTTCGTTTGCGAGTCGAACGCGTATCGCCGCTTAAATGAGGCTGGGCCTTGTGCAAAGGGGATCGTTCCTCAGTCTATGGCACAATTGAGAACATTGACCCAAAGCTCTGCCTCCCATATCTAAACAAATTTGTAGATGATAAATATCGTCCTACCGCTATCTTTATTGAATATATACCCAATATGAAGGAGCTACACCGGAGCAACTATACACCGGAAAGAATGAGAAACTTCGTCGAGGGCCTAAAGGAAATTCACAAAGCCATGGTTATGCATGGGGATATCCACCCACGGAATATGATGATTGTGGAGGACGACCCTAGTAGGGCAATCTGGCTAGATTTCGATAGAGCACAAGCTCTCAGTCCCGAGCCGGATGAGCTACACAAGAAACTGGATTGGGTTGGTAGAGAGACCCGTCTTATTATGGAGATGGCGGAAGATATGGTTTGTAGCCCTCCCGTCATTTGCTTGTTATTTTATGAATCCTCTTATTTTCTGACTTGGGTGGCCTGGAAACGCAGAAGGCAGATTGGACTGCGCAGGAGTGTCACAGGACTTGTCAATACTATGGAGGTCTTAGTGTGATGACCCGTGAAAGGATTCGTGCGCGTCAGCAACAATGCTGTTTCCAACCGGGAGGATGAAGGTGTATATGCAGTTCTAAGGCTAAACATCAACATAAAAAGGGCGGATGGGAGTTCTTTTGGTGAGTGATTGGTAATATTCGTAGTACAAAGGCAACGGGGGCCTGGGCTGTTGGACACTGGACCCTTCTCACTCTTTGTATTTTTTGGAGATACGGCGCCACCGGCCCTTAGTCGATATTGGCCCTGTGTAAAGTATCATCTTAAATATGCAAATTGAATCTCATCTACATTGTTCATAGCAGTTATACTAACTAATAGTCACTCCCGGCGGCCATCCGAACCCCCATGTAACATAGAGAATGGGAAGCAATCGCCGGATATAACAAAGTACTATATCGTTCACGGTCATCTAAACACTGGGCCTAGAGTCTTTAAGGGGAGAACAATAGATAAGACGTATTAGATAGAATGAAAATCGCCAAAGCGTATCGTAGAGCCTCGTGCCTAAGAAAGAAAACGTGTAGTGTATATGACGAAGCAAATAATACCTATCGGTACGGCGAGGGCGGCCGGTGGCGGAACGGCAACATCTCATCTCCTACTGGATCCGAATCGGGTAGTTTCTGCAAACCTGAAGTCTTCCCGCGTCGGCAGCAGGAGCGGCAGCAGGCACAGCAGAATAGCTTGCTGATACCGCTCGACGGCATTTTGGCGTCAGGGCCTCGTATGGATTTGCCTGGGTGGGTAACATTCCACACTCCGATGGCGACGAGCATTGGAGCAGCATCGAAGACGTACATGTACCATTCGTGATACGGTATAGGGTTTGAGGCAGTGTGGCCAGACGAGAATTCTATCAAGCGGTAGATGATGCGAACGGTGATAAACAGAAGACTGATGTAAAGCGAATATAGGAGAGGTCTCCAGGTTCGTTTGGACTCAAGCAATCTTCCGGTATGCTCAAGGTGGAGCATTTGACGATGGAACTGAACGGCGAGGATGAGGAACAGAAGGATGAAGAATTCCTGAATCCCAATGCCGCCCATGTAGATATGGATTCCTCGCATTGCAGCCTCGGGTGTTTGTCCGGGCCCGGCCATGCCACCACCTACTAGCTGGATGATGAAGGCACCGAAATCTAAAACGACGAAGATCTTCGCTAACATCGCAGGTTTGAAAATGCCAATGGTTCGGCTGGGGATGTAGAAGTGAATCATGCGAGCAAGGACCATATAGTCAAAAGCATTAACCCCTATTAATTCTGGTGGTTAGACGGGTTTCGGTAGATTAAATGGAGGGAAGGGAGCACTGTACATAGGGGTGAGAGTAGGATGAACAACTGAGCCGTTGTTGCTATGCCGGAGCTCTGCTGGTCGCGGGTGCCTATTGAACGTACAACAAACCCTGCGCATTCCCAGGTGGCTCCCATCAAGACAACCCAGACGAAGCCAGCTTTATAAAAAGTAGCCTGTATGAAATGCGCTATCATCACTACGCCAAATAGAACCGAAAACGCAATGGCAGCTCCAAAAGAAGGATAGTAGAGGTAGAGCGCATTGCATTCGGATGCTGGCACCCAGCCATTCTTGTCCGGGGCGATAGTTGGAGTGCAAGTGTTTTTGGGTAGGTCAAGAGACAAGCTAGGGATAGAGACAGGAGGAATGGAAATAGGAGCGATTGAAACCGGGGGGATCGAAACACCTCGCTGTTCAACACTCGCTAGTGCCGTGGTTATCGCAGTGGGAGTCTCAATAGCAACACGACGAACCGTATCCTCTGGTATAGCGGTCCGTACAGGCGTGGGAACGAGCGCTTCCACGCCGGCCAGTAGCAGAAGCAGAAGGGAAGCAGAGGCCCAGATCATCTCTCTCTCGCTCTATTTGGCCCCCGCGCTGTTGTGTATAGAAAATCACAGAAAAGAAGGGGAGGTTATAGCAGACAAACGAGTGGTATGGGTATAAAAAAGAAGGTCTGTAAACAATGGGAGTATGCAACTCGGTGATATACTGTCATCCATTGCCGCAATCACTGGCACTGTTCTTAATTAAATATCTTTCATCTCCCATCTCCTGCGGTGCCTCTTGAATCTGCTGCTGTTGTTATCCCCTGCTTGGATTGGGGCGCAGGCTGGACAGGGGCCAACGTAATTCTGTCATGAAAACAGGTCCAATCACTCAGCGGATACCATCGCTATGCACATGAGGGACACGCGGATGGGTACGTATCGTGGTATTCCCTGTGAGTGGCTGTATCTTCGTCAAACATCTTGCAGTTGGTTGAATTTATGTCAATGTGTAGTTGATCGTGGCTGGCTAAATATAGGACAATCAACGCGTTAACTACTAACAAGCTCACTAACTAACTAGTTAACATCTTAGTTGGTTACCCAGCGTTTCAGGGTTAACTTTTGGCTAGGGGCTCCAGGGTGCAACAGGGGTCACGGAACGTAGTTATTTCGAGCGTCAAGCCACCAGCGGCGAGCAAAGTCCATGATAGACAGCAACCAGAAGTCAAGATCTAGAGGGAGGACATAGGTGATATCAATCAGAGTAAGCCGCTTTGTGTGTCTTGCTCCGGGGCGGCTTAACTAGTTAGTTAATGTATCATTCGCAAGCTCGAGTTTCGGAGGATCCCCTTCCTTGCAATGGACGTTCCGCAATACTCCGGACAACCTGGTCCTATAACAACTCTTCTGGTTTACAAGTTGTTGGTTTTCCTCTTAATAGGACATGGGCCTTGCATTGAGGTGACCGGGGCTCTGGGCGGTGATTTCTGGACACACAGCCGAGCGAATTCGGTCATCGACTGGTCACATACCCACAAGCTGCGAAAGCAAATCGAAATAGAGAGCGAAACATCGAACACTGCCTCGTTGTACGCTTCATTGTCCCTTCGAATGAGTTTCATTCTTGCTGAGAACTCGTTTTCCGATTCTCTACTCTAAACCGGCGAGAGACCTAAAAACCGATAAAGAGGTTAAGCCTTGGTCTGGTTGGTCATGCCAACAGTCGCCAAAAGCTGGCTCACACACTTTTCGTTGACCTTAGTTATGGTATAAGTTGTGTCTCTTATATCGGAGTGGCTGGCGTCAACTCCTATATTTAATTTTAGAGTATCAGATACCGGTTTGCATCCCTTAATTCTGAAGGGGGCACACAAAAGATATATTACGAATCTATCCACAATGTTTTGATACCCACCGAGGTGCTCAATGGTAAGAGTGAAAGCACAAAATTGAAGGCAGGAGATATCAGTGTTTACTTCCCACAGTCTTGAACAGGATGCCGGAGTAGACCCGGCTCAGGGCCTGCTTAACTACCAGAGCACCATGATGAACAGATATTTTTGGCCCTTGCACTACGATTACCCATATAATGGAAGGATGCATTTAAGGAGGAGCAGCCAGCTGTTTTGCTAGCCCAGCTACTCCATCTACACACTCGCACTGGTTAACGTTCACCCTACCTCCACTTTGAAGAAAGGGCTCTCTAAGGTTAGAGCATTGCCGGGCGTTAACTTACCATCTTTGCACAGCTTTGACCCGGTAGAGACAGGGCGATTTATTCAGTGACCAAACCTTCTTGGTAAAAGGCACTGGAATCGACTCCGTTCGCGGTTCTATGGTTCGTTATTTTCTTCAAGGAGCGCAGTGATATAGTCGCTCCTGTCTTGGAAACCCAGAATCATTTCCATGAGATAACCTAGTATTCTTTACCACTCAACTATGATCGTTCTGATAGTACGTATCGTCCTTATCGGCAAACTATGTGATGTATAGTATAAATGGTCCCGCCAAAAGGTTTGTTACCTAAACCAAGAAGACAAAGAAATTCGGAGGTCTTCTAAGAAAAGTGGAAACATCTATTTAGCCCTCTTTGAAATAACCGTACCATCAGTATTTCCAAAGTAGGCTGCAACAGGCTTTTGACCCCCTACCCTTCCGTTGGCCTGGGCCTGGGAGCCGTTAGGTCCGCAGAACAAACCCACTTCCAATACACCAGTGATTGCGTTGATAGCATTGGCCAATGCTTCTACTTCCCAGACACCGCCCTCAGCCTTCTTCCCTGCTGCAATGTCTGAGGGCAAAAGTAGAGCTGGGAATGGCGCATCAACGATAAAGAATGCCTGGTCGGTCTTTAATGGGCCAGCCTTTTCAGCCGGGTTTTGTCTTAGAACAGGGTTGGGGCTACCTAAGACTTTCAATTCAGCCATCACTCGGCGAGCGGCTAGGGGTGCGACCTCGATTGGGATTGATGGCCAGGAAGTGAGAAGACGGCTCTGGTTTTTGCGCCAATCTACTCAGGCATTGGGTTAGTTAACTGAAGGCTCCATCTCCTAATATATAGGGTCAAATACCAGCAACACAGATGAACTCTTTTGCCTGAAGAGCGACTAGTTTCTCCTGGAAGAGACAGGCTCCACCGCCCTTTATGCAATTCAAGTCGTCATCCACCTCATCCGCCCCATCAAACGCAGCATCCAGTACGGTCCCCTCTGGTAGAGCATCGAACGCAATAGCTGTAAGGCCGGCATTAACTATCAGCTGATTAGACTGATAGCCGGTAGGCACATAACTGGTGGCTGACGTATCAATGCCAAGCGCCTTTATAGCCTCAACAACATAAACGATGGTAGTTCCACTTCCGATACCGATGAATTTTGCGTCTTTAGGGTAGTGGTTTTTCACTGCCTCTGTAGCAGCGGCCCTTTTGGCTGCTTCTATGTCTGCCATTTTATATTCTGGAGACGGTACCTTTGTGGATAAGCGACGAAATTGTGGGTATGATGGTCGGATGTATACCCTCCTGGAAGTGAGGTCAGAGAGCAAGTGCCTGCTTCTCAACAGGGAGGGGTTCGTACTGTATAAAGAGCGCACACAGAAAAAGGGAGACGAGTGAGAAATCTTTGTCCTAGAAGCCAGCTGTTAGTAAGTTCGTCTGAGTTAAAGGTAAGAATTTCGTGGAGACAAAGGGCATTCTCGGGATGTCAGAGAGGCTTCTCCACCCTCGCTCAACGCGATCCAGAGGCAGTGAAGGGCGGGCCAGATATGTATTATCAATAATTCTTTTTTGAGTGAAGTCGAGAGTATTCGAGTTTGGACTAACAAATCCTGGGGCTGGGATAACTACACCTAAGTTGCTCTTATCTTGGAGCCAATTTTGAACAAGAAAGGGATATAATTAGCTAGTCACAGGGGTGGGAGACTCATAACAAGTCAACCCATCTACACACTCACAGAATGTTCCTCGACGCTGGTATAGTTGTCATAGATCTAGATGTCCCTAAGATTATGCAGTGATGAGGGGTCTTTTCTTTCCTGGCTGAGAGTAACTGGTCAGCTGCTGTTCAGCTTGTAGTAGTATAACGTCAGATCAATGACAGACTGAATAGAATCTAGCCACTAATGATGGCCTCTAGTATACCGCGACGAGCGAGATGAACCGTAACGCTTCAACCTTTCAGTCGATGAAGTTACCGAGTTTGATACCTTTTTCCCCCCTTGATGTAAAAAAAAAGAGCGAAACTTTCCTGCCTTGGCCTCGTTATCGATAACGACAAGAACTTTCTCTGGGGCCGAGGTACAGTCACGTGAGGTAGTCAATGGTTGATTATATAACTAACTAAGCCAAGAGGCTTGTTTACGCGGGGCAAAACTAGAGAAAGAGGACGACGACGACGACGAAGAAGAAGAGGAAGAGGAAGACGGAACATTCTTATATTTTTTGCTTGAGCGCCTCAGGGACGGCGAGATAGTGTCTCGGCTTGACGCCGACCGTCTCGGCCCGCGCGGAACCCTGGAATAGATTGAACAATGGCCTCTCACGCCGGCCCTACCACGAAGGAGAGGAAATATGATCGCCAGCTGCGGCTCTGGGCTGCCAGCGGCCAGCAAGCCCTAGAGTCTTCTCGAGTGCTTCTCATAAACTCAGATGGCCCCGTGGATAGTGATGGCTCGGAGTTGACAGGCGTTGTGGGCGTTGAGACCCTGAAGAATCTCGTTCTACCGGGGATAGGTGGCTTTACGATTGTTGATCCTGCAACTGTCTCTGAACTTGATCTAGGGGTGAACTTCCTCCTATCTGAGGACAGCCTGGGTAAATCCAGGGCTGAGGAGACATGTAAATATCTTCGGGAGCTGAATGAAGATGTTGATGGGTGGGCCTATAAAATGGTATTGTTATCTACTGTTTCACTCTCTCCCCGTCGACATAATACTGAGAACGATAAAGCCCATTTTAGATGCCCTTAAAGATCAGAGCTTTCTGCCACAACACCAGCTTGTCATAGTTTCCGGGCCAATACGGCAGTCTACCCTTCGAGCCATATCACAAGCCTCAAGGCGGCTAGATATACCTCTAATGTACACACACTCGGTAGGGTTCTATGCATCTTTTTCGCTGCAGCTGCCGTCTGTTTTCCCTATAGTCGAGACACACCCGGATGCTAGTTCCACCGAAGATCTTCGTTTAACAAATCCTTGGCCAGAACTTGCAGCCGCTGCGGGCAAAGCAGAAAATCTAGATGGTATGGACGATCACCAGCATGGGCATGTGCCTTATTTGATACTTTTGCTACATTTTCTTGAGCAGTGGAAGGCCAACCATAGTGGCCAGTACCCTCAGAACTACCAGGAAAAATCCGAGTTCAGAGACATGGTTAGGTCCAAGGCTAGAACTAATAATCCGGAAGGAGGGGAAGAAAACTTCGACGAGGCTGTGGCGGCCGTTTTGAAGAGCATAGGTCCTTACTCCTTGAGTAGCGACTTGCGCAATGCCTTTGGGATGGAAGAGTGTTCGCAATTAACAACCAGCTCGTCCAATTTCTGGATAATAACAGCATCAGTCAAAAGGTTTTATGAAACACATTCTGTGCTTCCCTTGTCTGGGTCACTTCCAGACATGAAGGCTCAGTCATCGGATTATATCTGGCTACAAAACATATACAAATCAAAAGCACGACAGGATGCTGCCGAAGTGCTTGCCACTGTTCGGAATCTTGAATGCAAGCTACGTGCTGGCTTGGAGAGAGTGCCAATATCAGAAAAGGAGGTTGAGATTTTCTGCAAGAACGCTGCTCATATAAAAGTGATTAAGGGCCGCGACATTCCATTATTACCCCTAGATCAGTCAGACGAAAATTCGCAGCGAATAGTGAAGGCTATTAAGAGTAGTCTGGAGATTCCCGACTCCCTTATTCCCATTTTCATCGCTCTCAGTACTCTTGACAGCCTAGTGGCGGAATTTAAAGAGACGGGCTGTTTAAACAAGGCAGAGGGACCGTCGTACCTCGATGAAACAGAAAATTGGACGGCAATACTCTCGAAACACCTAGCTGGCCTAGGCCTGGGTGAAAACGGCATGGACGAAAGTGAAAGCGATATTAAGTCCCAGATAGAATCAGCCGTAGCGGAAGTACGGCGAGCGGGGATTGGAGAACTGCATAATATCTCAGCTATGGCAGGTGGCTGTATAGCCCAGGAGGCACTCAAAGTGCTCACCAGGCAATACGTGCCTCTTGACAATACCTTTATCTTAGACGGAGTAAGGTCTCGGGGTGAGATGTTTAGGATATGAGGATTTAATGATAGCAGTTACGTCAAAATGATATACATGAATGACAAGGGGCTTTTCTTATAGATATTTACTCAATTTTTCCTTTCAAAGGCAGGAGGAAATTTTATATTTTTGAATGATAGAACACCAAAAGAAACGGCATGAAGAAATCTATAAGGTAGAACCATGCAACTGTGCCATTTATCTGTGGAGGCCAGGGAGGATGAAAGAAGAAAGGAATAGGTGGGTGGCCTCAGCCCACTTGAACCTGCCATTGTTATTATACATGAATTCAACGGTTAAAAAAGAAAAAAAAAGGAGGTCCGCTGATTATAAACAGGGGAAAAAAGGGTATATGAAGAAAATGAAGGATATAAATGATCGCTATAAAAGTCCAATAAAGCCGCCAAAGACAAGCGCAGTAACTATTCCCAGGGTAAATGTAATAGTTATATTAGTGGACTTTCGTACCGCAAGGCTGTGGTTGGATGAGCCGTCTTCGGTGCTTGTTGGCCTGGGAGAAATGGTATGGCCCGCACTGTCGGTACGCGGGCCCCCATCATCTCCACTATCGGTAGGATTGGCAGTACCTGATACGAGTGGAGGAAACCTCGTAGGATCAGTACCCAGGCGGAAAGTGGTGTCCATATAGATGACTTCCGAAGGGTTTATTGTAAAGGTATGGCCATCCACTGCAAAGGTAGTTGGGGTAGTATTGCTAGTGATAGTAGTGCGTGATGGCCCGTTTCCAATGGTGATAGAGTCAGTCTCCTGGATAGTGATAGGTATTCCGCCCAGGCCAAACATGGTCCTGGTGGGAACTGGATGGGAAGGGTCTGAGCCTTCTGAGGTGATAGATCCTGGATCAACTGGTATAGAACTACCGGGCGAACCCGTTGGTTTAGGAGGGCTTTGGGAATCTCCTTGACCGCCTCCTTGACCGTTTGGAGTACTGCTTGGAGAACTTCCCTGACTGTTTTCTTGACCGCCTGGCCGGTTTTTTTGGCTAGCTGAAGTCGTACCTCCCTGAGAGCCGCCGTGAGGGTTGCCTGGGGAATCAGAGTCGGACTTTGATTTGCCGGACGGTCGAGAAGCGCTCGAGTCATCAGTTGGTGAGGCTGTGGGGGGTATATTTTGGCCAGCTGCGCTTCCTGAGCTGGTATCCCTGAAAATGGGTGGTGGTTCAGCGGATGGGACGCCTAGGATGGTGGTCTTCTTGGTGACGCTGACAGTCGATATAAGAGGTGCGAGAGAAGGGAAAAAGCCCATCTTACAGCGTGCGGGCGGACAGCTGTATGTCGAACATGGCGGAGGAGGAGTGACAAGTGTAGGTGGGCCCATGGGTGCTGTATCTATAGGTTTCATCGTATGCACTTCTGTGATCGTGGTATACACAGTCTGCGGTGGCTTTGTGGCATAGAACAGCTCCCCTGTACACGCTAACGGCAGCATTGGCACGTAGGTTATGGGACAGTGACATGAATCTATGTTTGGCGGCCATGATGACGGACTTGGAGGAGCCTCTGCCGGTGTCAGTGAGGTGTTGATGTTGTACGGAGGTGGAGGCGGCGGCGGCACGGAAGTTCCGAGTATCTCTGAGACGGGTTCGCGGACGACAATTCTGCCTGCAACAACAACCGCCAACGTCAGTTACGACCAAACTGTCGTTCCTTGATATACACAACGCTCGATTAGAAGAGATAAGAAATACCGTCATGGTAGTGCCAGGGGTATCCAAAGGCTGTGGAGGAGCCCATCAGGGCCAGCTGAAGTTGTATGCTCTTCATAGTTCCTGTTTTTATTTTCCGGGAGCAACAGAAGATAAGAGCATCGTTGACAGTCAAACCCAGCACAGCACCAGCAGTGAAGAGAAAGGAATGTTTCACTCTTGAAGGCTGAAGGAATTAAATGTCCTAGAGCATCAACGCGCCTGGAACGAAAAATAAAGACTACGCCACATGATTGACACTATTTAAAAAAGAAAAAAACGATGCCAGTGAACAATAACCATGACCGCGAGGAAAAAAAGCAAATAAAGAAGAGCCAGCAGAGGAGAGAGGGAGGAGAGGGAGGAGAGGGAGAGGAAGGAGAAACTGATCCGAGTCGGCGATGACGGCCGAGAGCTGGAAGACGAAGTGCTCCTTCGGCCAGGAAACGCGGATGAAGACCGTCGTTGGCTCAGTGAGCAGATCAAATTCCGCGATGATATCGGCCCAACCAGTTAATACGGGACCAGCAAGGACCTGGCTGAGGCTGAGGCTGAGGCCAAAAAGAGAGAAGAACAGAAAAGAAGGACTCAAGTGTGCTCTCTCACTTTGTTTCAAGGAGGCAGAGCATCCGTATAACTGGATGTTTGCTTCTTCGGTCTCTGAGGAAAAGAGGCAGTTCCAGCTTATGGCTTGCTGCCTCCAATTGGGCGAGAGTTTAAGCACGGCAGCGCAAGGCATGGCTCTCCCCTGATCATCTCTAAGCGAATGGCGGGTACTCCGTACATATATAGGACAAAATGATTAACACCAAGTCCATTCCACCCATCTTAAGCTCAGAACCGGCTTTCCATGCGATCTACTCCGTATGCACTCCGTATGAAACATACCATACGGAGCACCTTTTTCTTTTTTATTAATTTGGCCTTGTATTTTCAAACAGATGGGTTCCTCTGGTCTTGATGGGATAAATTGATCATCGGCATTGACACTGGGTCGGCCCGATGACATGTTTATACGGCGCACCTTGTGCTATACGGGCCCTCCCTGGACAAGCTTCCTTGCCACCCAGGAATGGGAGCAGAGATAAAAGAAACAGAAGAGAGGCTGAGGCTGATGTTGCTGATGTTGGAACATGGATGCCCAGCTTCCTCCCTTTCTTCATGCCGACTCTATACTTCTACGGAGTATCCCGTCCGGTACTCCGTAGATGGTGTGAGATCCGGCTACAGTCGCAGAGAACTTTGCCCGAATATTGACATAGGTACTCCGTACATACAGAATACTTTCTGGGGAACCCTGACACCGGCTATGCAGCTCGCTTGCCCTCTACGCATGTATGAACTGGCTCGGAAGTTTGGATGCGACAGCAGAATCGCACGCTTTAACAGCCAGAGCTCTTATTGAAGCCACTTGATAAGCAATCATGGCGAGACCGCTGATACACGTATTCCTGCACTATCAGCTAGAACGAAGGAATCTTCTTTAAGCTTGAAACAATGCTGGCGGCGCCACCACTAAATCGCACTACTGTGGAGGCTTGCTAGGCCAATTGACGATAACCATCACGATGTGGACGGAGCCTTACTTAACGCTTTGTATACGCTTACTGGGCAGAACGAGCCCGAGAGTACGAGGCGCGAAGATTTTTATCTGGTCCGCTGTCAGAGGGCAAAGACGATCTCCCAAGTGTATTTTCCCGCGACGTTTGGCCGTCTCGGTCCTGGGTACAAGGTTTTTCGAACCCTGGATGATGGCTTCACTAGTCGATGGCCTGTACCATGCTGGTACATGCCCCTTGCAAGAAGAGGAAGATACGGACAGATGAGAGAGAAAGGGATACGCCGAGCTTCAATGGCTGACAGAAGCCGTTCATTGCTTTTTCTGGGGCTTCCTTCCTCTTCCTCGACTTATCATATTTTTCTGAATTTCTTTCTTCTCCTATAGCATGATCATGATGCAGTCGTGGATAAGCTGGGCTGCCATCATCTTATTCTCAAATATGCCTCTCTCCCAGCCAGGGTGTGATTTCGATCTCTCCTAATGTCTGGGCTCGTTCAAGTGCGCCGACCATGCGCATGAGTCCTCTTGTCTCTGTTGGCCGCCGCAATCCCCTACGGAGTGTTCCTAGGTGGACTTTTAGGCTGGCTGTGGTTGTCTTCATATTATCGAGCCTTGAATTTGCCGCAGCAGCCTCTTTTCCTGCCCCGTTGAGCGTTACTCCAAGTTCAAACTGGTATGCTTCGGTTTGGTCTTGCCTCTGTGTAGCATACGTTGTGTCGTGCTAACAATTTCCAATGTAGGATTGGCTATGATGGCTCCTGGAGCTCGTACGTTCTGCTTGCGAACCTGGTTTTAAGAGTAAAGGGAACCGCTATCGGCTGACCGAATTCTGTTTCTAGGTTATCTATCCGGGTTGGAACACCTTCACAATGGTTACAGGTGATACCGAACACAGGCTCGTCGGAGACCTGGGTAATCGGGCGTGGTGGATGTGATGCCAGTATGTTATCCTACTGTACTGGGGATGCTGCCACGCCAATGAGATAAGTGTTTCTAACATGGTGATGTAGCGATGAGATGCCGAAAAGAACGCGGTGGCCTGTTTCTTGCAAATGCTTCCACAACCTGGTCGCATGTCGGCCTGTATGAGCTGGGGAGCAACCTCCAGCTTGGCGACGCCGGCTACGGGGACTACGGCTACGATGTCGTCGGCCTAAACAACGACGTTTCCGTCTCGGAGCAAGTTATCAGCATGGTAACCACAGTCAAGTGGTGGATCGGCTCTCTCGGCCTCGGCGTTACAGACACAAATTTCACTGATGAAAATAAGCTATCTCTGCTGAGCAGCCTGGTACAGAACACGAGCATGGTGCCTAGTCATAGCTACGGTTATACTGCTGGCGCTTTTTATCGTACGTCAGAATATCGTGATAACCCCCTACATGACCACAAGTTGGAACTTTCGAGCTGACACTTCCCGGGGTTAGAAATGAAAGGTGTACCAACTTCTCTCACTTTGGGAGGATTTGACAGAAGCCGATTCGTTCCTAATGAAGTCTCCTTCTTCCTGTCTCCAGACAATCTACCCGCCGTTACTATAAAATCTGTCAAAGTTCAAACAGACCCGATGTCAATTTCAAACTCCTTGGGCGACGACTTGGCTATTGACCTATCCGCTGTCGGAACTTTTGTATTAGACTCGTCGACTCCTTTTCTGTGGTTTCCAGAGCAGATTTGTAATTCACTCGCCGGAAAGCTCGGTTTGGTTTATAATGATACCCTGGATCTCTACACATACGGGCCTAATACCTCTACTTACAATGCCATCGCCAGCTCAAATGTGTCCTTCACCTTTACTGTATCTGACCTCCCAGGTTCATCCAAATCTGTGAACATAACGCTACCATTCGCTGCTTTTGATCACAAGCTTACGTACCCTTACCCGGGGCTTGACCAGAATCAAAGCAGCGACGGCCTCCGCTACTTTCCACTCCGACGAACAACTGACCCAAAGAAACTTACTATCGGGAGAGTATTCCTCCAAGAGGCATATCTAACAGTCGACTATGAGCGTCGCAATTTTTCTATTTCCCAGGCCACTTTCAACCCTGATTCCGGAATCAGCATGGACCTTGTTGCCATCACTCCACCTATAGACAGTACGTTTCCCGGCGTAAATGGTACTACACACGGACAGAAAATCCCCAAGGCTGCTATAGTCGGCGTTACTATCGGCGTTAGTGTGGCAATAATCATCATCTCATTGATTATCCTCTTCTTCTATAGAAGGCGAAGATCCCGGGAATTCTCCATCAGTGAAAAAGAAGAGTGTCCTCCCAGGTTCAAGTTTCCCTGGAAGTTCTGGCGTAGATCCCCCTCTTCCTCCATGCCAGCAGAGTTAGTTGCCGATAAGCATCATCCTGTTGAAGCAGACAACACTGCCATTCGCTACGAACTGCCTGCAGCAACCCCTGTTGAGCTACCGGCGACCGAGGTCTCAGGTTACCGATATGGACACATGCAGAAAGCTCGGGATGTTGATATTGAAGCAAATGATCCACTCCCGCCGCCTCCTCCGCTTCCTCACCTGCAGTATCAGCATTTAGCGTCCAACCCGTCAGAGCAGGACCTGGTTAGTCCTATAGGACCAGGTTCGACCCTTGGCACATCAGAACTAAATAATAGTCTCGGCATCCCCTCCCCCATTGCCACATCTACAAATTCCACATCGCTATCACACCAAAGGCCCGGTTCATCCCCTTCATTGCTCACCTCGAGCCGGACTTTTTTATCGCCTACAACCACTGACACTGCCAATGATGTACCTCTTGACTCTCAGCCTCAGAGTGAACTGAAACCGGGTGTCACGAGGAAGTTCAGTTGGGAACAATAAGTTATACCCCAAATGATACCTAACGACTTTTCTGCATTGATTTATTTCCCCCTTTCAATTATTTGTTTATGCGCTAGCATTGTTGCATATTGTAAATATTTCCTAAATACCCTGCATATTTCATTCATATTCTATGCATTGAGTGCCCTATATTACTCAGCCTTGGTTCTCCTTGCTTTGGTCAGCGGTTATTGCATGTATCGGTATATTAATCTCCGGCTAGCTCTTGCTTCCTTGCACAAGCTTATAACGATACCTTTCCCTTATTGAATCGATAGGTTATCCTTGCCTAAACAGTCTAAACATCTTCCCTATCCGCTCAATTACTAGAGGTATCACCATAAGCAGCCTACCTTGTTTACATCTGTATTTGACATCAAACGGACTAGAATTCAAATGTTTCCGGTCCCGGGGACTCTTAACTATAATTCACACTCGTACTTTATATAGCCGTGTCGTTTTCACGGATCATCATAACATAAAGCTTAGTATAGTATTTTAACACTTGGTATTTAAAATGTCATCTTAAAACGAAATCGACTTAACACGATATAAGAGACCGCTAGATTTAATAAGATAGATTGTTTCTATATATTTCTTACTTCACAGGTATGCTTGCAAGGCCTGTTCAGTCCAATCCCACAGCTTCTTAGCTAATGCCGTATCTTGGGATGCCTTGTCTAGTTTGGTAGAGAGCACCCCGACCGGCTCATAGAATCGGCCGTTCTTCAAGATTTCCTTATCCACTGTTGAAGCCCAGAGCTGATTACAGACACCTTCCTCCGGTTTCATCAGATGACCAAAGTTGGTGACCCAGACAAAGGCGCGGTTGAAGTAACCTAGATTTCCAACTAGGCCGGTATTCACGACTCCGGGCGTGAGGGAGATACTAGTTATCGCCGGGTACCGACGTGCGAGCTCGCTCGCGTACAGCAAGTTTGCCAACTTACTCTGGCCGTAGCGGATCCATCCGCCAAATACGCTGAACTCCTGCTTGGTGCGCACTGCATCGAAGATGATTCCTCCCCCCGGATGCATCCTAAATCCTAACGAGGTGAGCAGGATGATACGCACGTCCGCTGCTACTGCTGTAGTCTGGAGAAGTGGCAGCAGTTTGAGGATCAGCAGGGCGTGGCCGAGATGGTTTGTACCGAATTGGATCTCATATCCGTCCGCCGTCAACCCGGGTGGTGTGGCCATGATGCCCGCGTTGCACATCAGAATATCCAGGCGAGACTCTTGGGCTAGAAATGTCTCTGCCGCTTGCTTCACTGAGGCTAAGCAGGCCAGGTCGCAGGGAAGGAAAGTGACTGGTGTCTTGCTGCCAGCTTGTCGGATCTGCTGGATGACTTTATCCGCACCGGCAGCCTTGCGACCACTGATATAGATATGCGCTGGCGATTTTAGCGCCAGTCGCTGTGCGCTTTCGGCTCCAAGTCCCCCAGTGCCTAGTCGAGGATATAACGAAGACAGGCATCAGCATAATGACTAAATAGAGGTATCGGGGCTTCTTAGGTTGGTTAGTGATGTAGTAATACTCACCACCAGTAATAAGAATAACCTTTCCAGTCAAGTCAGGCATATTATCTGGGCTGTAGGTAATCGTTGGCATGATATCTAGGAGGAAAAAAAAATGAAAAGTAGTAACTGCACAAACTAATATTATTGTTGTTCTTGATAATAATGGTTCGACTACATCTACACTGAGTTGTCAAGAAAGAAGCAAGCCTTATGCTTAAAGAGGTACCTAGAGGTGGACGAATAGTTGGCCCGAATGTAGGAAGAATAAGGAAGGCAGCCGGAGCGGAACAATTCTAGAATCAGTTAACTATGGCCCATGGAGAGCCAACCAGTCAAGCATTAGATCTTGTTCCCGGAACGCTCCAGATTAAATGCTGCCTGTCCCTGCTAGGTTTGGACCTTTTAAACATAAAAACAGGGGGTAAAAATGCGCTAGGCAACGAACCATGGCCACGCATTTCCTTCCAATGGTAAATTGTATTTCTCTGACTCATAGAATATAACCTAGTTATTTTTCCTACGCCGTACTCCGTATAGCTTGGCTTAACTACATGACATGGATATAGAATATATTATACATCCCGATGTGCGTCGGAAAGGAAAGGAAATGGGCGAGATGTAGCAACAGAGATTAGGCATTCTAGATCATGCTAACTACTCTGTACACCTTATTTTTATAAACTCTAACTAGTTCTTTAGTTAGTTAACTAGGTAACTATGGCACCAAGAGATAAGGCTCCACCCGCGGCCCCACCCTACCGTGATGTGGGCGTCTGACTCTCAAGGACTGGTTAACTGCCTAGGTAGTTATGTGGATAAGTATTCCTGGCAACTGTAACTATAACTATATATACCTAGGTAGCTATCTGCTTTACCTTAACTCGGCTACCCAGGTTGGAGTGCCTAATAGCAAAATTTTCGTTGGTGAATCTAGCTATGGTACGGAGTAGGTCCTTTTATATGGCAAAGGATGGTTGCTGGGGCCCTCTATGCGAATTTACCGGCTCCGGGACTCAGTCAGATGCGACCCCTGGAAGATGTACCAAGAGGGGTGGCTATCTTGCCTACGCTGAGATTACTGAGATCCTCAAGCATGGTAAAGGCATGCGGGTATTCCACGGTGGGGATTCCAACGCGGATATTCTTCTTTTACTTTTAGCTGATTATCTTGCACTATATTTCCTCTTAATAGTTTAGTGTCAAAATTTCTACATTAGGCTCTTGGTAGATTCTATCTATATATTAACTAAGTGTTAGGATCACCATCCTTCGAGGAGAGTAAATTTAGCTAGAACGCCATCTTTTGGTGAAATTGTCGCTTGTTCTTGTACCTCAAGTTTACTATCTGGGTATTTCAAGGTGAATTCGAAGCTACCAACTACTGTAGCGAGAAGACAGGCAAGTTCTGCTTTAGCGAAACCTTGTCCAATGCAACTTCGTGGGCCGTGGAGGAAACTAAGAAAAGCATAATTGCTGGTCGCACCGCCTGTGTTGGCCTTCCCAGAGCCCATGAATCGATCTGGATTGAATTGATCCGCATCTGGCCCCCAGAACTCTGACATATGGTTAATAAGCTCTGGTGAAATCACGATCTGCGTGTTTTTCGGAATAGGTTTCCCTATCAAGGTGGTATCTTTAAGGGCGACCCTAACGGTGTTCGGTATAGATGGATGGAAGCGAATAACTTCGTTGCAAACGGCGTTCAGATACCGAAGATTATCGACGGCAGCAGCATCAATACGGCCTGGATGTCCAACATTAATAGGGGGCAGATTAGCGCGAACTTCTTCACGGAGGCGGGTCTGGACTTCCGGGTGCTTGCAAAGGGAATATATTGCCCACTGAAAAGCCGCAGAGGTAGTTTCGTGACCAGCACCAAGAAAGGTCATTAGCTGGTCGACAAGGCTCTCGTCGTCAAAGTTGCCGCTCTGCATTGCAACCGATATGATATCAACGCCGATCTCTGCACTAGGATCCTCCATCTTTACTTTACGCTCTCTGATCATCTCCCGCGCGGCATCTCGGATATTCCTACGGCCAGTATTGATAATCTTATTCCGCCTTGTGGGTAATCTTGCAATCCATTTCATGTCTCCAAGGAGCATTCCAAGTATGAAAAGGGCCTTGGTCAGTATATCGGGGGCGGTAAAGATCATTTTATATGATCGGCTGAGGCTGTTTTCCGGGTCATGTAGGGAGTCGAAGTCTTGACCTATGCCTGCTAGGCCAATGATATCAAGCGAAGAGCGGCCGGCCCAGTTCCTGACTTCAATTGTGTTGTCCTCGGTGGGTTTTCTGCTTTTTAGGTCTCTTCGAAGCAACCTGACCATCTCGATACTCTTAGACCAGAAGAGAGGATACAGATTCTTGATATGACGGTATGCAAAGGCTGGCATGAGATTCTTCCGTTGGAACTATACAGACAACTGTCAGATTGAAAACATAGAACTGGATACAACAAGCGACCCTCTCATACCTTGTGTTCGTCCCCTTCGGCAAGCAGGATGCCATTTCCGAGCAGTCGGCCCAATCCTTGCTGTATCACTAGTGGCTTTGCAAAATCATAGGCTCTGCTTACTAGGATCTCGCTTAGAACCTTGGGGCTGGTTATCACAATCCGCTCAAGGTTTCCCACAATGTAGTATCTAATGATTCCATCATTGGGAATAACCCTCACCCACTCCTTCATTTCGGCATGGGGGGTGTCAACAAGCAAACTCGTCGTGTTACCCGTAAGCCAGTGTCGATTCTAAACAAACTTAGTATCTGAGCTAAACTCGCGAGTAGAGAAAACCGGTGGCTCACTAGTGGGGTAGGGAAGCATTTTAACGGCGTGAAGAATCGAGGATAGAGAAAGAGCTGGTAGACAAGCTTTGATAGGATGACGACTATAGCTATAATAGTGATTGTCGCGCCTCTAGACCCATACATGGTATATTCTGGCTTGAAGTAGACGCTGGCCAACACTCCAAGGTAAATGACACCAAAACTATTATTTATACGCCCCATTTTAGCGTTGCACTTGCTTTAATGGTGGGCGTACACAATATCTGCGTGTTAGAATCAATCAGCAAACGTGAAGTGTGATAGTTGTATAGATAATATTATACATATCTAATGGAGGTCGCGAATCTAAAATAATATATCAGCAAGCGATTGGATGGGAGCCCGGGACCCGGGGGCGGCGGATCGGTCCGCGGCTGCTCCATATAGTTGGTAAGTTGGTTTGGTTATCTACCCGTGGGTCGACAGTTTGGCATGACGATGACACTATCTATAGCCACCCCATGCACTTTGTCCAGTTTTGCAAAACTCGCAAGATTTCCCATCCCAAAGGACAACACTCGACTCTTAATCTTAGATTCAAACTTGAAATTTAGCTATACGGATATGTTTGTCAATGGCATTATAGCTCTCATCGCTGTTTCACTATATTGAAAGCAAGAGGGTGATTTGTCAGAGTTGTGGCTGGGATTTAAAAGAATGCTAGACTACTCATCAGCCTGATCATTGTGCCCACGCCTGTCACCTTTTTGTGATTTTTCTTTCATGTTGGTTTCTAAGGCCACTGGAATCTTTTAATGTGGGAGCTTATACAGTATATCCCCTTCCATATACTGCAAAATATATTCACACCTTATGCATTCGCAGCCATCAGAGCGTAGATCTGCTGCGCGGCTTTCGGTAACTTCCCTTTTTCACCACCCTCTTCGATATCAATCATCTCACTCGCAAAGTTGCAAATTGTGGCTGCCAAGTAATCCACCTCTGCCTCGGTATTCCCAGCATGGATCATTACCCTAACTCGGGACTTGCCTTTTGGAACCTGCGGGTAGTCAATAGGGACAACCGCTATTTTGGCTAGTTGCAGGTGGAAAAAAAGCCACCAGTTGTACTTTTGCCTGGTCCAGATTGGTACGATATGCGTGACAAAGTCGCTTGACTCATAATCCTCGCTCACGGGGATAGACAAGATACCCATATCAGTTGCTTTATCCCAAATGGGGTTGGAACTGATAGTTTTGAAGAAGTATTTGACAAGATGTTGTATGTTATCTTGAGCCTAAAGATTTACCCCCCGTTAATAAGTAGAATGGAAATGTATAACGTAGATTTGTGAGGGTTACGTACGTTCTGAGTGGCGCCAGTTCTCATCAAGTTGTAGGCCGCTCGAACTACTGCAACCGAAGGGAACGACGGGGCCGTGGTATTCACTAAAGACCCAGCAAAGTTTAACATCGTGTTTCGGACAGTGGTGTTTCCAAGAACAACAGCTTTAAAAGATTTAGTTAGTTATGATACTTGGTCAAATGCTAAATCTGGGGTTCTGATCTTACATCCAGTGCAGGCCAAGGCCTTTCCGCAAGTATTCAGTCGGATTGCAATATCTTTCTCGAGGCCTAGCAGCTTGGCAAGACCGACACCTCGCTCGCCAACAACACCAGTGGCATGGGCTTCGTCTGCAATAAAGGCGAAGTTTCCCTTAGGACAGATCTCTCTTGCAATCTCAAGCATCTCCACTAAGGGGCAGACATCTCCATCCATGCTATATATTGACTCTACGGACACGAGTATGGAGCGCGATCCGTCCTTAAGCATGGGTTGGGAATCCATGGTAGATGACATCGCTTCCCGAAAGGCGTCAAGATCATTGTGGCGGAATGCAACCTTAGTCGTGGCTAATGATGCAGCCATGCCCGTGTGTGTGCTGAAGTGGACTAGTTCATCGTACACAATAGCATCCCCTGGTCGTGGGATTGCTGTGTAGATGGCGATATTTCCATTAGAGCCCGAATTGAACATGAGAGCTGTCTCTGACCCCAGAAAGTCTGCGATCTCTTGCTCTACCTCCTCAATATAATCATAGTTGCCGCCCATCACGCGGGAACCCCCTGAATGCAGGGCAAAATCCGGGTGCCTTGCTAGCTCTGCGAGGAACTCGGTTCGTAGTTCTCCCGTGAGCCCCAGAGATAAAAGATCGTTGGAGCAAAAGTCTATAGCATCTCCGGTTTTCCAGGTGTTTTGTCCTCGAGTGAGCATAGATTGGGTAGATCGTCGAACATCCAGAGCCTCTTCAAGATTTCGGTAGAACGTCGGAGCATCTTTCATCTGGGGAGCCACAGGTTTTTGGCTCCTGATCCAGGAGACCACCTCAGAGACGCTTTTGCTGCTAGCTGCCATGGTGAAACTGCAGGCAGTGAAGAACGCACTTTTGGCGGTGATTCAATGGCTAGATTGGTACTAAAAGCGTCCTGCAGCGTAATCGGTTAATACGACGAACCACTTTATACACATTTCGATGTATAAATATTACCTGATTGAGGCCATGAGTAGTCTGGTCGGCGATGCGGCCCGAGATGGCGGCTGGTCGCTTGTACGGGTTCCGGGCAGCGAGCGGAGTGGAGGCGTTAGTTATTGCCGCTGCGGAACCCGGCTTATACATAGTTACGTTGTAACTTATGGAGAAAAAACATGCAGGGTATCAGCAGGGATCATGTTTGATGTTTATGAGAAGTCAAAGCCGCTTCTACAACACGAGCAGTTCTCACTTCTCATAAACGTCAGAAAAAAATCACAGTCATGACTATAAACGATAATAGCAACATTGATGGCCAGAACGTGACAATGGGTTTGAAACTGAACGGAGCAAGCACCAACGGACATTCCACCAACGGGATGCATGCGGAAGGCATCTCAACTGACACCAACGGCTTAAATGGTATTTCAGCTGATGCGGTCCACTACAATGGTCAAATCCCCATTGCAATTTGTGGTATGGCATGTCGCCTACCAGGCGGCCTAACGACACCTGAAGAACTTTGGGATTTCCTCCTCGCAAAGAAAGATGGTCGATGCCGTGTCCCAGAGTCAAGATATAACATTAACTCGTATTACTCGGATGCAAAACAGCCAGGAACTGTCTCAACAGAGTGTGGATACTTTCTAGATGAAAGTGTCGACGTCGGCGCGCTGGATATGTCCTTTTTCACCATGACGCGCACCGAGGTGGAGCGAGCCGACCCTCAGCAACGATTGATGCTGGAAGTTGCACGAGAAGCATTCGAGGATGCGGGTGTGACAAACTGGAGAGGCAAGACAATCGGTACTTATATTGGTAATTTTGGAGAGGACTGGCTGGAAATGCTTGGGAAAGAGACTCAGCCATGGGGGATACATCGTATCTCGGGCTCAGGAGACTTTGTTGTTGCCAACCGCCTCTCTTATGAGTTCGATTTACAAGGGCCAAGGTATATTCGTGAGTTAGAACGCCGTTAAATCATTCCCACACTGACACGTTCAAATAGCATGACGATTCGCACAGCTTGTTCTTCCGCCTTGGTGGCCCTGAACGAGGCCTGCGCCGCTATTAGCAGAGGCGACTGTGAATCCGCGCTGGTAGGTGGTGTCAACCTGATACTTGCACCAGGAATGTCGATGGCGATGCAGGAACAGGGGGTACTATCCAAGGACGGTTCATGCAAGACTTTCTCTGCCAATGCCAATGGATATGCCCGTGGAGAAGCGGTTACAGCAGTTTTCGTCAAACCGTTAGCCCATGCCCTTAGAGACGGCAACCCAATCCGAGCCATCGTGAGAGCCACATCCCATAATGCGGATGGCAAGACTCCAACGCTATCACAGCCTAGCACAGATGCACAAGAAGCTCTGATAAGGAGGGCATATGAGCTCGGGGGTATTAATAACTACGCAGAAACCGCCATGGTTGAATGCCATGGTACGGGCACGCCGACTGGGGACCCTATCGAAGCGGGAGCTGTCGCCAGGGTTTTTGGGGAGAAAGGCGTCTACATAGGATCAGTTAAGCCAAATCTCGGACATACTGAAGCGGCGTCTGGCCTAGTATCACTTTTAAAGATGGTGAAAGCACTTGAACATCGCGTTATCCCTCCAAATATCAAATTCACCAGCCCCAACCCAAATATTCCGTTTGTGGATTGCAAGCTCACAGTACCTACAGAGCCAACTCCCTGGCCAGAAGATAGACTCGAACGAGTCAGTGTCAATTCATTCGGGATCGGTGGTGCAAATGCTCATGTTATCCTAGAGTCTGCCGCTACCTACCATATCCCAACTCCGGTTTATGAAACTCCGGAGACACCCCAGCTTCTATTATTCACAGCAAATTCACTAAAGTCTATCACAAGGTTAGTCGACAATTACAAAGCCTGGATTGAGGAGAATCCAGACAAAGTGAGTGATTTGGCCTACACTTTGGCGAGAAGGAGGGAACATTTACCGCACCGAGTGTTTGCTATTGTCAGTAACGGTGGCGTTGAAAGTGTTTCGCAGCCTACGAAGTCAAAGTCAGCAAAACCGCCGGGCGTCGTGATGGTTTTTACTGGCCAAGGCGCCCAATGGCCACAGATGGGACGAGAGTTGCTTCGGTCGAATGAAGTCTTCAAGTCTAGCATTAGATCTCTCGATGAATACCTACAGACCATTGATGGTGAGAAACCTCAGTACACGATCGAGGAAGAGCTCAAGAGGCCAGGCAAGAAGAGTAAACTATCCTTGGCTGAAATTTCCCAACCACTTTGCACTGCTATCCAGATTGCACTGGTAGATACTCTTAAATCAGCAGGAGTTGTCCCAGATGCCGTCGTGGGCCATTCTAGTGGTGAGATTGCTGCAGCATACGCTTCTGGCGCTCTTACAGCTAGAGAGGCCATTACCGCTGCCCACCACCGTGGGGCTGTGACAAATAGGCAGAAACGAGCAGGAACGATGGCAGCCATTGGAATGAGCTGGGAAGAGACTGAAAAGTACCTCGCCCCGAATGTCACGATTGCGTGTGATAACTCTCCTAAGAGCGTTACGATTTCAGGAGATGTTGATGCTGTGAAATCCGTCATTGCTACTATCAAGGAAGAACAACCACAAATACTGGCTAGGCTGCTCCAAGTTGACAAAGCCTATCATTCGTACCATATGAAAGAGATCGGAGAGGATTACCAGTTGTTGATCGGCGAGGAAGTGGTTGGCAGAGCCCCATCAGTCCTCTTCTTTTCTAGTGTGACCGGAAATCTCCTGAGCACTGAGCAAAAAATTGATTCAAAATATTGGCAAGATAACTTGGAATCGCCAGTTCGGTTCAAAGAGGCTGTCACGGCAATTTTAAAGCATGAAGTTGGCAAGAATTCAGTCTTTCTTGAGGTCGGGCCCCATGGAGCTCTTGCAGGTCCACTAAGACAAATATTCACCCAGGCCTCGTCTTCTGCTCCTTATATTTCGACCATGGCACGAAATCAAGATTGTACCGCATCTTTCTTGGCTGCTATTGGGGCACTCCATTCACTTAGTGTCAGTATTGACCTTGAGTCCCTCTTCCCTACAGGCTCCTGCCTTCCAGATCTCCCCCGATACCCATGGAACCATGAAGGTAGTTACTGGTACGAAACGCGCCTAAGTAAGGAATGGCGCAATCGCAAATACCCATACCATGATCTCCTTGGTGCCAGAGTGGCTGAAAGTAGTGATAGTGAGCCTGTTTGGCGTAATTTATTCCATGTCACAAACACACCATGGATCCGTGACCACAAGGTTGGGGAAAACATTGTCTTCCCATTCTGTGGTTACATTGCCCTTGCAGGAGAGGCTGCCAGACAACTGACTAATATCGAAGAAGGATTCAGCGTTCGAAATATCATTGTCAGCACAGCTCTAGTGCTTAGTGAAGGGAAACCGACTGAAATTTTGGCCTCTTTTCGACCACATCGCTTGACAAACTCATTGAATAGCGCATGGTGGGAGTTCACCGTCACAGCTTATAACGGCCGTAACTGGACAAAACATTGTACTGGAGAAGTCTCCGCTTTTTCATCGACGCTCGGGCAGGCTCAGAATCCTAATCCCTTACCCCGAAAGCTCAATGTTAGGAAATGGTATGAGAAAATGAGCAAGGGTGGCCTGGATCTAGGGGGGTCATTCCAGACTCTTGACACAATAACGACTTCGACATCAGATCAACAGGCTGTCGGCAACATTGTGAATGGGAGGCAAGGAGATGAGGCTAATTACCACATACACCCTACTGCGCTTGATGGAACCCTCCAGATTCTCGGAGCTGCTGCAGTCAATGGATATGCGCGCAAAACCAAGACCTGGCTCCCGACCAGCATCGACAAAGTCAGCGTCCGCAGGTGCGCTTCAGACCTAGTAACTAGCGTTTCAGCTAGGCTATCCAGTAACTTCTCAGTCGTTGGGGAAGGTCGTTGCACATCTGGTGGCATGACTGTCGTTGAAGCTAGTGGTATTCGCATGTCACTCGCAGATGGTGCGGGTGCATCTGACGTTCCAGATACACACGCAGCATCAAGATGTGAATGGAGACCCGACATTGACTTCTTGGATGTGAATGAGCTCATACACGCACCTCATGGGCGTACTAACCACCTACGGCTACTAGAAGAGCTTGGAGATATTTGCTTGCTATTGTCCCAACGGAGCTTTTCAGAATCTCCGAGACAGCCGATTCTGCCCCATTTATCAAAATATGTTGCTTGGGTTCAGTCTCAATCCACCTCAATTGTTACCAGGTTGCCCTGGACTTGGACGGGCCTTGACAATGAGGCTATCTCTGCCCGAGTCGAGGGTATAATTAGTCGGCTATCAGGCACACCCGCAGCTCCAGTCGCCAGCATGATTCACCAGGTTTGTACCAATATGGATTCTTTCCTGTCCGGCGAGAACTTCGGGAATGATTTCCCAGGCGGAAAGCTCATACCCATCTATGACTTTATCGGACAAGTAGATCGAAAGGAATTTATTCGGCACTTGAGTCACTCCAAACCCAACCTCCGAATCCTGGAGATTGGGACCGGAAAAGGTGTGTCGTTGCATCGTCATATCCTTGACGAATTGACGCGTCCTGATGGGGAGATTCTCTGCTCCAAATACACCTTAACTAACCCTGGCTATGTTGTGGAAACAACTCAAGAGAAGCTATTTCCGAATATGGAGTTCGCCAGCCTAGATATAAACAAGGACCCCTTCGACCAAGGATTCGAGGAAGTTGGATATGATCTAATCATAGCTGTCAACGCTCTTCACGAGACAGAAAACATTATAGCGAGCTTGGCCAACATTAAGAAGCTCCTACGTCCCGATGGCAGATTGTTTCTGCAGGAACTTTGTCCCTCGTCAAACTGGGTCAATTATGTGCTCGGGTTGCTCCCAACCTGGTGGTCGAATGCTGCAGACAAACCAGCTGAGGCGCTTATTTTAGGCAAAGAAGGCTGGCAGTCAAAACTTAAAGCTGCAGAATTTGGCAATATTGAGGCCGTTACCCTAGATGCGGAAGAACCTCATCAGGTTACGGTCACAATGGTTGTAAGACAGCCTTGTGCAATGCCTACGAAAAAGATAACAGCCCTTGTTGAGGGTGAAGGACCTGCCGTTATCAGAATCTTGGACCAGCTTAACAACCAGGGCTACCAAGTGACTAGGTGCAAATTAAACGATATTCCGCCAGCAGGACAAGATGTAATTTCACTTTTGGACGCCGAAACCCCCTTTTTCCACGGCATCGACGAAGCACATTTTCTGTCGTTCAAGGCCTTTCTCCTTTGCTTACAAGACCGCGATGCAGGAATGCTGTGGGTAACTCATCTCATCGACATTGGCTGTAATGATCCGCGATATGCACAAATTCTCGGTCTTTCCAGGACCATCCGTACAGAGCAGCTCGCCGATTTGGCGATCTGCCAGGTTGACAGCTTCGAAAGTAATACTTCCATCAACCAGCTTCTTCAGGTCCTTGCCAAGTTTCAAGCACGGAAAGGCGACGAAGAACTCAACCCGGACTTTGAATGGGCCATTTTTAACGAACGTGTCCAAGTCGCACGCTTCCATCCTTTCGTCTTGGCGGATGAACTCTTGGTCGCAGAGGGAGCGAACGAGAAGGCTACACTGAATGTTCGTACACCGGGACGGGTCAATAGTTTGCATTATGAACGCCATGCACGAAAGGAGCTTGAAAGTGACGAGGTAGAGGTCCAGGTATATACAGCTGGGTTGAACTTTAGGGTAAGTCCTAACAGCGCTTTTTCAAAGCCACGTACTATACGCTAACAAGCCATACCTAGGATATTTTGGTTGCACTGGGTATTGTTGAACTTCCGATCCGTCTCTTCGGAATCGAAGCCGCTGGCATCGTAACTCGTGTGGGAGTAGATGTTAGCCCTAATGACCTTCAAATTGGCGATAGAGTCGTTTGCTTTTGCAGAAAGGACGCGTTCTCGACGTATACAACGACTCTAGCTGCTGTTTGCGTGCGAATTCCAGATAGTCTCAGCTTCAACCAAGCTGGAACTATGCTAATACCATATTTCACAGCAATCCACTCTATTGTCAACGTCGGCCGTGTTAGCAAAGGCCAGGTAAGAAGCACAAAGACCTGAGCGTTACAGTGTTATAGACAATGACATTGACTGATTAATTCGTATTGCACAGTCAGTCCTAATACACAGCGCATGCGGTGGAGTTGGCCTGGCCGCTATCCAAGTTGCCCAAATGCTAGAGGCTGAGGTATACGCCACGGTTGGAAGCGAAACAAAGGTCAAGTATTTGATGGAGAACTACCACATCCCACGAAATCGAATCTTCAACTCCCGAGACAAAACGTTTGTGGATGGTGTCATGCGTGAAACGGAGGGCCGTGGCATGGACTTTATTCTCAATTCCCTCTCTGGCGATCTCCTACACGCTACATGGAGCTGCGTTGCAGAATTTGGTACACTGCTCGAAATCGGAAAACGTGATTTAATTGGCGATGGTAGACTTGACATGAAACCATTCCTAGCGAACCGCAGCTATTGTTGTGTCGACATTGACGGGCTTTGGAAAAAGATTCATGTAGCCAGGGCTTTGATATTTTCCATCTTGGAATTCTACAACAAGGGGCATATCTCCCCTCTACCCACGACGATCTTCCCTGCATCCCAAACGCAAGACGCATTTCGCTTTATGGAAAAGGGCCAGCATATTGGACGTGTCGGCGTTTCGATTAAGCAGACTGAGGAAGCTGTGCTGGGATTCGAAACAACTAAGAGATCTCTGACGATCGCCTTTAATGAAGCATCCTCCTACCTAATGGTCGGGGGTCTTGGGGGTATTGGTCGTGCTGTGTCTACCTGGATGGTTGACCATGGTGTTCGCGAGCTTATCTATCTATCCCGCAGCGCTGGGCGCACCGCTAAAGATGACGTTTTTGTTCACGAACTCCGGACCATGGGTTGTGCGGTTAAACTCGTGAGTGGAGATACGACGAAGCTCGAGGACGTACAAAGAGCCATTGCCGCAGCGACATACCCGATGAAAGGTATTGTGCAGATGTCTATGGTGGTCGCTAACGAGAACTTCACAAAGATGAGTTTTGGCGAGTGGATGGCGTCAACGGCGCCCAAAGTCCAGGGGACATGGAATTTGCATAACGCTTCTCTAGCTGCAGGAATCGATCTGGACTTCTTTTTGATGTTCAGCTCGGTGTCGGGCATTGTCGGGCAAGCAGGCCAGGCCAATTATGCAAGTGGAAACAGCTTCCTGGATGCGTTTGCCCAATACCGTAACGGCCTAGGCCTAGCGGCCTCAGTTGTTGATATGGGGGCTGTCGAAGACGTTGGATGGATTTCAGAGCACCAAGGGATGATGGGTAAAATGTCAAGGAGCGGCTTCAAGCCCGTGCTAGAGCAGGAGGTCATAGACGCAATGGCGATATGCATGCTAGTTCACAGCAAGCCGGGTCAAGCCGCCGAGAGAGCTCTTGCTGTGGCTTCGAAAAACGATTCCTGTTTCGTTCACAAAAACACATTCCTTGTCGGCCTTGCATTGCTCATTCCGCTTCACGATCCCAGCAACTACGTGATCTGGAAGCGAGATCGCCGCATGGCCTCATATCACAATAACTCTACGATTAGTGCAGCCGCAGCCTCCACGGATACCCTAAAATCCTACTTGAACAGTGCCCAAGCAGATCCTTCAATTCTCAAATCATCGGAAGCAGCAAGGCTTTTTGCCGTTGAAATAGGAAAGAAACTCTTCGACCTATTGCTCAAGCCCCAGGACGAGCTTAATACAAGTTGGCCATTGCTCGATCTCGGCCTTGACTCGTTGGTAGCTCTAGAGTTACGTGCTTGGATCAAGCAGGTATTCTCCTTTGACCTTCCTATGCTGGAAATGATGAGTATTGGGTCACTCGATATTCTCGGTCAATATGCGGCGAATGAGGTGTACAGGATCGTGACAGATAATAACGAAAGCTAGGTGGTTCGTCTCGGAGGATCTCAAGGCTAAGTGCTGGAAATGTCTATTCGGGATCATATATCTGGGGCAGTATGGAACCCTCGCCGGGGCATAGCTTAATTTCTGTGGCAGTGAGTTAGTAAATTAATCTTTCAATGCTTCATTGGTATGTTGCTCAGGCTGTGCTGGCGATTCAAAACCTCTATGGAAAATATCCTCATCGCCGGGTACTCCGTACTTACGTATATTCCGTACATATACCAGGTATATTCCACAATGCATTAATCGAGTCCGCGATAATGAGATGGCCCAATCTCGGCCATAATAATCTATGTTTGCACGGAGCAATGTGCACAAATAAGAACGCGTATAATAATGCTGTGTCTTTACAAGAAGTTCAGATGTCGTTGATGTTAAGAGTCTTGGCGCTTTGATTACATAACTAACTAGTTAACTAGTTAGTTACCTAAGTTAAGCTTCTATCCATCCATCGCCGATGCAGCTATCAATTATGAATTTCCCTCCAGGCGGACCGAGGATTCCACGCACACTCCTTGGAATCCTAACTATAGAATTCGAAAATTGAAATGACGGTGGAATGGGCTGAGAGTTCTAGGCCGCCGCTGGCGCCCACTTGGCTGCCGGAATCCACGTACCCGGGCGGCTCATCGTTGCTACGGGGGACGGGATCCGAATCTGGCGAGCTTAATTCCGGAACGATAACTCCAAATGGCCATATGCTCGGGGCTGTTGGGAGTAAATATAGATAAGTAATGGCATCATAGGAGTTTCCATTCGGGTAACTAGTTATATTGAACGAACTTAGGATAATCATAGTGGTCATCCTCAAAATGTGGCGCATCCCAACAGACACCCCCCAAGTCGCGGTCCCTAACCCTGGACTCAAGCTTGCCGAAGTGACGGTTGACACTCCGTTGGATGAAGTTTTTAAGTACTGGAAGGAAAGCGGCGGCATCATTTTAAAGAACATCCTGACTGTCGCGGAAGCAAACCAAATCACAACCGAACTCGAGCCGCGCCTTAACTCGGTCCAACGGGGCTCATTAGTCCCGCACTATGATCTTGCTGCCTTTCATGGCACCAAAACTAAGCGTGCAGGTGATATCATCAATCACAGTGCCACCTTTCGAGATAAAATTCTTGAAAATGACTTTATACACTCCATCTGCAAAAGGTGCTTTAGCGAGGGCGGGCATAATGGAGACTACTGGCTCTCTGCGGCCACGACACTGAATGCGTCTGGGCCGCAGCCAGCGCAGGTCTTACATCGTGACCTGACATCCTATCCACCATACGCCCAGCTTGGGCCCGAGGGTACAGAACCACAAATCAACTTTCTCTTTGCCTTTTCAGACTTTACGGCTGATAATGGCGCAACGCGTCTCATCCCGGGTAGTAACAAATGGCCCTTTGACCAGCGTGGAAATATGGAGCAAACAATCCCAGCCGAGATGAAAACAGGAGATTGCCTACTGATTGGTGGAAAAGTGATACATGCCATGGGTGAGAATAAAACCAACACGGAAAGGAAATGCACACAGCTTACAGTCATCCCGAGTTTCTTGACTCCGGCTGAAGCACATCCATTCATAATCAAGTTGGAGACGGTGAAGAAGTTGTCAAAGCGTGCACAGCGATTTGTGGGATTCAGGTCACAATATCCTCGAGGATCACCTGGGCTGTGGACCAAGGATTACATTGAATTGGCATTGCATCTAGGCTTGGATGACCTTGGGGGTGCTATGGAGGATTTGCAAGATGTCATCAACCAACCCAAACATTGGGACACAATGGACTATTAAAAGATCCGGTAGTTAAATGTAGCTACTTTGTACATGCTTTTCAAGGACTCTGATCTGCCATATATACTATTCTACAGAGACATTCCTACATACGCCCCATTCCGTTTAGGGGATGAAATTAACTAGCATTAACCCCCCATCTATACCAATCCTTACTATTATTCCTCAAATCGCTGATTCCCAAGATTCTCCCCACTCAGGGCAATCTCATCTATGAATATTGCGGTCACAAAACCCAGTCCACCAAGTCCCGTCATCGTATAAAATATCGTCTGGAAGCATTTCAGATAAACTTTCAAAACGGGAAGAAGCGTTTCAGGGGAAACATCTAGCAATCTTAGCTTTTCAATAAAGGCGACAGCATTGGAGGCATCACGGAGGGGCAGCAGGGGGCCTGTAAGTTGTGCTGCAGAGGAGGATATGGTTGTCGAGAAGACAGTGTTGAATATTGTCGAAGCAATAGTAAGGCCAATCAGCCCTCCAAACATGCGAATAGTGAGAAATAAACCGATCGCTAGGCCTGTGTCGTCGACATTCTTGACACTCGCTTGCATGGGTAGAAGATTCAGACGGAGCAGGGCCACCCCCGCTCCCCATAGGATTGGGAGTCCAAGGCGCATCGCTGATGTTGATTCTACACGGAGAAGGGCTAACAAGCCTGTCCCCAGTGTGAGTATGATCCATGAAAGCCGTAAAAGCCATACGTATCCTCCAAAAAACGGGACCATCATCATTGAGGTAGCTGCAAGAACTACACTTGTAACGACAGTAGGCAATAGAGAGACGGCAGATAATATTGGGGTTTCTAGTTGTACGGCTTGGTAGATCAGTGGTAAGTATTGTAAAAGCGAGACTAGAGTTGCGCCATGGATAAAGCCTCCTGCTAATGTCATATTTGCGGTCTTTGAGTGGAAAAGGCGATGGGGCACAATAGGGGCTGCGGGCCTTGCTTCGTAGATGGCAAATATTGCAAGCACAAAAACCCCCAGGAGCATTGGAACAAGGGTCTGCCACGACGACCATGGGAATAAGGAGCCGGCCCAGCTGATAGGCAAGACTAGGATGGTGATGCCGACAATAACGAGCATCATACCGATCCAATCCAGGCGGGCCAGGTTTTTGGCAAGTGATTTATCGAGTGGGACTGGCCGTAGTTTGAGGAAGAAATATACCAGGGGCATGCCAATTCCTAGCAATGGCAGGTTAACCCATCCAATCCATCTCCAAGTAGCATAAGTAGCAAAAAGCGCTCCAACAGAGGGCCCCATTATATTGCCGATAGCCAGGACAATGCCCATCAAGCCAAGGTATTTGGCGCGTTCTTGCAGCGTCGTCATATCTGCAATAATCACCTCCACAAGGACGTCGATTCCTCCGCCACCAAAGCCTTGAAGCACTCGGCCAATGATAATAGTGTTCATATTTTTGGCAACGGCAAAAACGACGGATCCAACGAAGAACAGCGTCATACACACGAACAAGGGCGGTTTTCGACCAAATGCGTTAGAAACACTCGCCCAAATCGGTTGCATGGCAATACCACATAGTGTGTAGGACAGGTTCGCCCAGAAGGACTCTAGACTTTGTCCCCCTAGCTCAGCGGCTATGGTCTATCAACGGTGTTAATGTGGGTAAAAACCATGATGGACGATAAGTAGAGAAGACGTATATGTTGCTTACCGGAAGTGCAATACCAAGAGCAGTTGCGTCCAGCTGAAAGACAAAAAGGCTAGTGGCAAGGCCTACGAAGGCCAGCTTAAAGGCCAGCGACTTCTTTGGTGCTGCCTCGATACCATCCGTCGCATTTCTCTCTCCCTCCGCTATCTCTGTCTTCTCTGATACTGGCTCTGGATCTGGCTTGGGCGTAGATAAATCGGCACTAGTTACACTAGCTTTAAGCTTTGGGGCGCTCATAGTTACTTAAAACCAAGGCAATAATAGTTTCAACTCTAAACTTATGTTAACATCGGGTTCAAACTGTGAAAGACAGGCGGTCTCCTAGGAATTGGAGGCCGGGGATGAGTTATCTAGACAGGACAGATGGCAAAGCCGGGAAGAAAAATGGGAGTGTGCATCCAGGCGAAGGATTGAACAAGAGACAAAGGGAAAAGGCGGCATCGCCCCCGGCCTGCACGGACACGGACAGGGATAATTGCACGTGATAGTCATGTGATAACTTGTTAGTTCGGGCTGGAGCCCCTTTTCGATCCAGGGGCGGAAGTGAGAATGTTGGGTGAGCTCCAAACGTCCAACACTCAACACTCAACAGCAGCGCAGGGTGATTCAAGGCCGTCGCTGCGAAGATAACCAGGCGGATGGTTAGCCGCACGCAAGCCTCCGCCTCCTAACTAGTTACCTGTTTCAAGAATTAGTGAACTGTTTCGCGCCGTAACTATGGTGCGCCGGGTTCCGGGCCGCTAGTTAGTTAAGGGATCGGACCGCCCCGTGGGCCAGGCCAGGAAACCGATGGATGCAGGCGGTTGATATCTAACTAGGGATAGGGTCACGACCACGTCGATGCAAAGGGATTCAAAATCTTTTGATGCTCGGGTTATTCATCGCAGAACACATAAGTTGCAATGGGGTTTTTTTGCTTTAGAGGGCAGCCTGCCTCTCCGCCGACAGTGCCAACAGACACGATCATTCCTTTCCACTTCTGGGATGATGACCACCATACGCGAGGCCTCTCATTTGATATTGCATTTCGCTTTGACGACATATTGGACCATGAGAAACTGCGGCGTGCTCTATCCCGGCTCCTCGAAATTGGGGATTGGCGGAAACTCGGCGCTAGAATCCGTAGGAACACAGATGGGGAATTAGAATACCACGTTCCACAACATTTCAACGTCGAGCGACCTGGCTTTGCATACTCAACAGCTACATATAGCATGAATATAGCCGACCATCCACAAGCGTCGCGTTTAGCTCAACCTCATGATCTTCATGCTGCCGGTCGCCCTTCCGTTTTTAGTACTGCATATGCCACTACGCCAGAGTTCAGGTCCTTCATCCGGACTGCAGACTTCCCCGATCGCTTGGAAGGTTGGCTGTGCTCAGATAGCCCCCAGCTGGCGATTCGAATTATTAACTTCCAGGATGGTTCACTAATTACTATTTCTTTCCTACACAGTCTAACGGACATGATAGGCCTTAATGATATCCTGGACGCCTGGACCGCGGTGCTGCGCGGTCAGGAAGAGCAAGTAAAACCCTTTGTCGGATTTTCTCAGGATCCGTTAGCTGGCCTTAGCAGGACGAAGTCAAACTCGCTACAAAAATATGTGTTTGCTGACACGTTACTCATGGGCTTTGCATGGTTTTTGTTTGCGTTGCGCTATATCTTGACAGTTGAATTGTTTTGGCAGCGCAGGGAAGAGGACCGTGTCATTTTCTTGCCTGCCAGATACTTGCAACAGATGCGAGAAGAGGCTACAGAAGAGCTTACATTAAAAAACCATGGTGATAGCAGCAATCCCCCCTTTATTAGCGAGGGAGACGTTTTATTTGCTTGGTGGACAAAAATAGTCCTCCAAGCTGAATCGCCGTCTCCCAGCCGCACGATCAACATGCGGAATACATACTGTTGTCGGTCGATTTTAGCAGAGCTTGGTCACATGCCATCTGCCACTTCCGCATTAGTAACCAATGCTGTATTTGCAACTCTGACGTTCCTATCCGTTCGCCAGGTTCTCGAAGAGCCTCTAAGCTTTACCGCATCCGAAGTCCGCAAGTCTCTTATACAACAACGAACCCCAGAGCAACTCCGGGCACTGGACGCTATCCAAAGAAACACTCTCGACAATGCACATCATCCAGCCCTCTTTGGAAACCCTAATATGTATATGATAATGATATCAAATTGGGTCAAGGCCAAGCTTTTTCAGGTGGATTTCTCTGCTGCAGTCCAAAGAGAAGGTATGTCACTCGACGAGCGGAGTAATCAGCTGGGTATGCCGTCTTGTATCCAGGGTACTGGGACTAAAGGATATGCAACACGAAACACCGGCGTGGTGATAGGAAAAGATGCCGCTGGAAATTGGTGGCTATTGTATACTCTACGGAAACAATCGTGGCCGGCGGTGGAAGAGCAAATCCTCTCTATGTCGGGTTAAGATACGTGATCATTTAAGCATATATCCACTTCCCAATCTCTAAATATACGAGAGAGAAAGGCAATATTGTATGTCGTGGAATTTATTGCTGGGAAATATTCAAAACAAACTTTTGATGCAAAGTGCAGTGCCTAGGGACCGGGTCCATTGTTTAAAGATCTTGAAGATTTCTATATCCTCACAAAATGGGAATTCTCTCTTCTAGATAAGAAGGATATCAAGAGTTGCTATGTCTTACTTTATCCTTACTCATGGCTGCTATCTTCCCGACACATGCTCTCCCATTTCCTCCTCAGAATTGGCACAACAAACCATCCCATCACAACACTCATTAACGAATCCACAATCCCGAGCCCCCTCTTTGGACTTAGCCCAGTCATATTCGTAAACAAAAAACTCGCAGCTAACGAATCCTCGCAGATGATGAAATCACCTTTGTCCACCCGCGCGATAATACCAAGGGCGACCTTTTCAGAGGAGGGGAATTTCTTCTCTAGCTCTGAGAAGGTGGGTACGTTCGTTCCTTGTATGCGTTTGGTGAGGTCAGGTTTGGTATCTTGTTCAAGGACGAACCCGGGGGAGATGAAGTCAGCTGGGAAGGCGATGTGAATCGTGTAAGTGGTAGTTGGAGAGTTGTGGCGGAGGACTTCGAAACGGAGGGTGTCTGCTAGTGCTCGAACGGCACTTTTTGCGGCTTCAAACGCAATGATGTGAGTGGAGATAATAAAGATGAATCAATATGGAATGGTGAGCTTACGGGTATAGGCGACACTCCCGGGCAACCCCAAAAACGCCGCAGCACTGTTTATGAAGATGATCTTCCTGGTATTCAGGCAGAGTTTTTGCTGTGTTCCATTGACGGCCATCGGAACCTTGTCATTCTCAACCCAAATATCCAACATAGCCTTTGCAGCATAAGCGGTCGAATAATAATTGTTCTTCATGCAAGAATCGAGCTGTGCGGGCTTTAGATCAATAAAAAAACCGTTCTCAGCGTGATTTCCGCCCGCTGAACAATACAGAAAATCTGCTATTCGAGGCTGAGATCTGAATGCTTCTGAAACCTGTCATCTAGTCAGAGCAAAACTATGCCGGAACACCGGTCTGTAGGGCAACAGACTGCAGAGGCATCGGCCATATCAACAACCACCGCATTTATCTCTTGCTTACTAGCGTCCGCACAATTCCCGATTATCTCGTTCTTTGCATCCTTAAGAGGACCGGGCCGTCTCGCAAATATCGTGACATGTGCACCTTAGGCTGCAAGTCAGTATATAATCAGTGTATTTCTGGTTTAGAGAGCTCCCAAACCCCGTGAAGCAACTGCGTTGGAAATCGCTTTTCCTAGCCCGCCAGAGCCACCAGTGACGAAAACCGTCTGCAGAGTGTGTTAGCAGGTACTCCGTGTAACTAACCAGCTAGTTAACTAGTTACTTGGCACATCCAGGCTGCCCCGTCGGTGACCAGTTCATAGAATACACACGTACTTTACCAAAAAGATCTTGGTCTGGTTTCATCCTTTCATTCCACCCTGAGATGTTTCGAGGTCAGTGGAAGCTTTCTCCGAGGCTCTAGTTACCAAAGTTCTAAAGAGCAGTCTATGAGTAAAAAGCTAACTATCCGTCTAGCCTGCCGTCAAGAGCTGTCAAGAGCTTGGTTAACTATTTGTTTGGTGGGACAGACGCAAGAACTGCGGGCCCAATCGGGGCGATCGCCGCCCGGGTCCCGCTCCCGAGAAACTAAATCTCGCGGAGAAGACACGAGGCCGGCAAAATGCTTAACTGGCGAACTAGTCAACTCTATGCTTAGTTTGTCAACACATTCAAAATGGGCTCTACGGGTTCCTTCTGTTGGCTTGTTGCTCCTTGTCTCTCATACGTATTGCCGATTGTCGGACATTCGAGGGCTAATCACCGGATGTCATGCAAGCTTCCCAGCCTTTAGTCACTCTTTGCGGAGGATGTACTCCGCCCCAACCCCATGTTTCCCCTCCTTTCTAATGCATAGAGTGCCTCAGCCGTTCTCCTCCAGCATCCTCCGCTCGTGTCCCGCATTCTAGTCCCTGATAATATCTGTGGAAAGCTCTACCACCCCCGCCCCTACTGCCGATCTTAACCCGTAAGTAGGCTATGGGGCCGGATACTGCAGCTCGACATCCAATTGCAAACACCGACGAGGGCGATTGGGCCGGAAGTATCCAGGATTCCATCCGCATTAGTTATTGATCGGTACAGTATCTCCCGAGTCGAACATGCCAGTCATTGATATATCCTAGAAGGCCGCCTTTATAATCAATGCATCCGCAAGTGGACCCAACTACAGGGGGCGATCACACTAACACCCTAACACCCGTATTGCTACACTACACAGTACAGATACTACATTTGACCTTCCACTCTGTACAGCTTAACATTGCAGCCCATACACTTTACATTTCCTACATGGAAATAGGCTAGAAGACTTATTGACTACCTGTTGGGCGAGTTATACAACGCTACTGCCATGTGATCAGAGATGCTCTCGAGGGGCTAATCTCGCACATCTAGCGTCAAGGGCTCCCTGTTCAGGAGTTGCAGAAGAGTAACCCCGGGTATGCATACTCGCACCATACCATGTTTATGGGAATGCGTAGGGTTTGTACGCCGTAACAATAACATACATCTCATCCTGCAGGAGCATAACATGAATGGTGGACCCTAGCGCAGCTAGAGCGATATCCCACCTATAACTACGTTTTTCCCACAATTCGACCTCTTCTTTAGCACAACTAACTAGATTTTCGCGAGGCCAACAATCACTTTGTTTTACAAGCCTGGGGCAATGGCTAACGAATCTGGCAGAGATGAATATACAGGTAAGACAGCCAACCTGGAGATGCAGTTGATCAACAAGTTAACTAATTCTATCAGTGTGCGACCAGTGCCGGGCCAGAAAGATCCGCTGTAGTAGGGAAAAGCCGTCCTGCAGAAACTGTAACCGTCTCGGTTTGCAGTGCGAGTGGTCTGGTCAAGGCAAAAGGTGTAATCAAACAACCCTCCTGTACGTACTTCGCCACTTCTTCCCGCATGGATATCTCCAGCTTACAGTTAATAGGAGTCATACTATCTTAGGGATGGGCAGTCGTCTTCAAAGCTTAGAGGTGAGCTGTTTGCAGTCCAATAAACATCTGTATACTATATCTTAGTGATTTCTTTTAAAGGCTTCAATAGCGGACACACAAAGATCTTTAAAACGGCTTTTCGAGGGGTCATTGGTTGTCGTGCCTCCCTCCTCAAGATACCCAGTCAGCCCATCAAGGACTACGCCCCAGCTATCTCCTCAACAATCTGCAGATCCTGCAAAAGTACCGGTATTTACGGTGCCGCTTGGCCGTCACCATTTGGGCCCAGATAATGATAGAAGATTCTTTGGTCCTACAGCTCTTGAATCGCTAATGCTCAACATCAAGGATGAAATCTCTGACATCCCTGATATCGAGAGCCACACCTTGAAGGAGGGCGTCTTGCAAGCACAACGCAAGGTTAGCCTTCTAGTTGATCAGCAAGACGACGGACCTACCAAGGGAAATTCTCCACCTACAGCTCCTCCATTCGCCATTCTGGATGCTATGGTTGAGCCATACTTTGCAACAACGAATCATCATTTCCCAATCTGGACAAAAGAAAAGTTCACTAGAATGGCTGCTACTCTGCGACAGTCTGCAGTACCCGACCAAGATCTTGCTTCTATAATTTGCTGTAACAATCTAGTTCTTATGGCCATGTCAGCGGACTCATTATGCTCAAACCGACGGGAGTCACTGCAAACCAAGCAGGCACGCAAGTCTTCATCAATCGACTCCGACATTGTTGAAGGCTTTTTGACAAACGCAAAACGCTCCTTAAATAATCTTGACCAACTCATCTCATCTCGCTTAATCAATGTTCAGGCACTCTTATCCATGGTATGTCCCTGTACAGTGCCCGCCTGTCCACGGCTACACTATAAAGATACAATGCACCTTTTCTGACAACGTGAAGTACATAGTGGCGCAAGAGCACCTCTCCAAAGGCCTATCTGAGACTTTATTTGCTCTTGCCGTTCAATGTGCAAAGTCAATCGGTATTCACCAATGGCACTCTTTTCGAGGCGATCTCACCAACGAAGATATGGAGGAGAGACGTAATATCTCATACTGCCTATACGTTCTTGACAAGGCAGTTTCCTGGACAGCAGGCTCCTCTCCAAACATACCAGCCACCGATATGCATTTCGACCCATTTCTGGCGACCTCTGAAAGCAGTGCAGTATGCTGCCTCCTTGCGAAGACCGAACTGGCCAGGATTGAGGAGACTGTCTATTTAGAGATATATGCTAACCAAGCTAAAGAAAAGAACGAAGACCAAGTTCGGGATTTCGCAACCATGATTTTGTCAAGACTTCAAAGCTGGCTGGCTGACTCGGGAATTGAGTTCGACAAATTGCAGAAGGTTCCTAAAAGCTCTGCTTCAAATCTCCAACTTGCCATCAGATACCTTTGTGTCCAGCTGCTGCTTATTTGGCCACATAAGAATCATCCAGATGGCATGTTTCAACGAGGTCAAGAAGTTGCGAAACTATGCATGAGATATTTGATTTGCCTCTGGAATTCCTCCCCAGACCAAGGAAATCATGCTGTTTTCCCATTGTCAGTATACGCTTTTGTCCTCTTTATACTCCTTTAACTAGGGTTTAAACTAACCGTTTGAGCATGGTATAGTTTCCTCGCGTCTCTCCCACCACTCTATCTTTATGAAGTACTATCATCTATTCTCTGCGGCCGAGGGTCAAAGTCAGACATTGATATGCTACAAGAGTATGTTGAGATGCTAAAGGCCATTACTGACCGCCGGGCGGAAGCATCGTACAATCGCCGGCTATACCGATTGTCACATATTGTCACAGATGTGGTAAATATCAGGAGGGCACAGTACAAACGACAGAAGCCGACCGCGGACGGCTCAACAAATACTTATCCAGTGTCAGAACTTCTTTCACCTCCCACAGGCGGATATAAATACACAAACTCGGAGGTTCAAGAAAACGCTGATTCATGTTTCGACAGCACTATATTTCAAGGCGCAGACAGCTCCTTTGCGTTTATGAGCCCAATTAATTCAACAACCGGGGAACTAGCTCGAGAACCGGACGAATTTATGCCGCACTTAGGGAGCTATTCAAAGATGGCTCCCGGAAACGAAAGTTTCAATCCTCTAGCAATAGAGTCATTTAGAGATTCTGTTTTTCTGGAACGGTAGTTATTGATTAAGCTTGGTCAGGGATGACCTACCTCTCGCCTGATATATACTTGCAGACCAGTGAAGATCGAGTGCCAGCAACTTTTGCTGTGGTTTCTATTTTACTCTTAACTAGCTTTCTTTTGTTAATTTTTGTAGAGTAACTAAGTTAACTAACTACCTACCTAGGTACATTATCAGGTAGTTACAGTGCGTAGTTAATTGTTAGACTTAACTAGCTAACGGTTTTTTCAGTTCACTTAACTACGTGAACGTGTGACGTACGCAACATTATTCTAACGACTCGACACATCCATCCTTAACATGATAACTAGTTATAGGGCTTGTGTCCTCGTTGGCTTTAATTTTAATTTTTATTTCTTCTCCGCCTCTATCTAACAACCAGTAGCTATGTCATCGATGCAGATTAACGACACCACCAATGGTGGTGAGGAAAACAATCTAATGACGATTGAAGAAATGAAAGCACGTTATTCTCAAGCTGACTTTGAAGCTGCCATGTTTACCCCAGACTATGTCAAGTATTACCCTCCATTACTCCTGTTCTCCCCTATACCTACTGACAAGATATTCCTAACCATATTCAGGCACCGGAATGAGGAAATTAAGATGCTAGAAAACTGTCGCGACAGCAAAGTCGTCTAATGACGTCACCTAGCATGGAACATTTTGAGAAATGCTTTGCGGGACAACTGAAGTTAAACTATGACCAAGTCACTGTGATTTGCAGGCAGGCTTGTTTACGGGCCTATTCCGCGGAAAATTTTGACCTCGGGACAATTGTGATGGACCAGGGGCGCGGCTTTTGTGAGAAATATGGCCCAGGCACCTATGGGCTGAACTGGTAGCTATCCGAACCTTTGAATTTCTATTTTGATATTTTATTCATATTTTATCAACTTACTAAGATATGGACCTTTAGGAATACCCAATTAGCTACGACTCACACTCATTGCCATTACCCAAGGATACCTTGGGGCATTGGGCCTATCTGTCCCCTGTGGTCCAACAGAAAATGATAAGGGCAATTCTGACCCCCTGAAAATGAGTTTCACCACCACACGGTTCGTTGAGCATAATTACATCCCTTTCTGGCTTGGTTATCCAATATTTACAGTTCTGTGCCAAAGTTAGGGGAAGTGGACTCGCCCATGAAATTACACTTCACAATGTTCTTGAAGATACAAGCTCATCTTACTTTGAGCTATTTGGTAGATCTCACTCTGTCAGATTATACAAACTGGTTAGGTACTGCCATAATGGATACTGCCAAGGGTTAGAGTAGAACGAGGAATAATGAAGGTAGAAGTTCAGCTTAATAGATGGGGTCCCTTTTGGGCAGTTTGTACAAACTACCAGCTTTATTACTCCAAGAAGCCTTCCAGGCTCCAGTCGCTGCTCTGGGATGTTTCTCCGCTCATTGTATTTTTTACCGCCACCTGCCTGGATGGGCGAGGAATGCTTTATGTTTCAGATAAAAAGCCCGGTGTAACAGGCCCTCTTCCCGCAGTTTAAATAACTTGATGGGTAGAATACCGTCTTTGGTACTAATACTTGTGTATTTTGCCCCTGAGGTTTTCGATAAAGCATCTGCTTAATGCTATTAATTCCATGCCTCATACTTGGTATATTACGCATCATATTTTTTTAAACCACAGAAGGGAATTTTTATACTATCGATGAGTGTATATTTTACTCTTCGATATATTTTATGGAGAATAATTAACAATACATCCGTCTATAAGAGCTTATTTAAATATACTAAGTAATAACAGACAACTTAACGTCGGTGGGATTTTGTCGTGCTAACGCGGGAAAGACCGGTATTTACACGGTCAATATCGTAGGGGTTCCCTTCATACTCGATGGTTGCAGCTGTACGAGTACGCGTGAGACCAGATCGAGCGGATTGTACTCTGTCGATCCCAGCACCTGCTATCTCTCGTACTTCTAGGCTGCTTCTTCTCGACAAAGGGCCAGCCTCCGATACCACTGAATCACTCTCAAGATGCGCTGAGTTTGCCTGCATAAGCTTTTGCATAAATGCATCCGCCTCCCCGGCAAATTTGCAGCGTTTTCGAATGCTTGCGCCGTATCTGTAGAACAAGAAAGGAAACGGAACACAAGCCAGGGCCAGGAAGGCGGGAATAGTTGAGGCCCAGTGGATTCCAAGGTTTTGGTACATATATCGGGTAAATAACGGGAACGCTGCGCCAAACAGAGATCGAAGTACAGAATTAGCGGCAAGGACCGATGCAGCATATATGGTATATGCGTCTATGAGGTAATTCATTAGACTCAAGAAAACGAGGACCATGCCAAAGCCAAACGGGGCCGACGCTATGATTGATACAATCCAATGTATCTGGGGTCCGTTAGTCCAGGCGAACCAGAAGAGCCCAATCGGAATAGCAATTCCCCCAATAATCGCAACCGGCAGCCGTTCTTCAGGGGGTGCGAAGCCGTTGTGTTCCTTCGAAACTTTTGTATATCTTTTGTTATCTAGAAGGTTGACAACCATAGCGGCGAGGATTCCGCCAAGGACTCCCAAGAATGCAAGCCCTCCGATTCCTGGGCTCCAACCCCTGTGTTGCTGATAAACGACCGGAAATGCTGAAAAGAGCATGTAAAGCGTTCCATAGACAATTGCCATATATGTTGATAGCAACAAGACGATAGGTTCGCGGAATAAAAGAATCCAGGGTCGCATGAGTGCAGTCTTAAAAGCTTGTCCAATGGATAATTTTCCTTGTTCAACATCCATTCTGCTCGTGTATACCTTTCCAGTAAGTGTAGAGAGTCGCTGAGCCCTCTTGCGAAGGAGCACCGGGGGATAGGTCTCTGGAAGGAAAATTGAACCAATAATCCAGACAACTCCAGAGAATATGGCCAAGAATCCTTCGACCCATCTCCATCCTGCTGACTCTCCAAGAAATCCTCCTATAACTGGGCCCAGCACTGGGCCCAAAAAAGGGGCTATGGCGAATATGCCCATGGCCAATCCACGATGTGAAGCCGGAAACATATCCGCAATTACACCCCCAGCATTAGTCAAGGGGGATGAACCAAAAGAACCAGCAAAGAATCGGAGAACAAGCAACGTTGCCATGTTAGGGCTACCAGCTGCCCCGGCATTAAAGGCTGTCAAAGCAAGGTATGTGCCGAAGAATAACAGCTGTCGGCCAAATAGCTCGCTCATGGGAGCCCATATCAGCGGGCCGATTGCAAAACCAAGGACGAATAAGGAGACACCCAGTGTGATAATTTCCGCGTCGGCATGAAATTCTTGAGCAATCTCAATTGCTCCTCCAGTATACGCAGACGATATTAAGGCAACAGCAAGTGTAGCGATTGCAACAACGAAGGTGATCGACCATTTTTTGACGGCAGAATAGTTCATCGGATTTCGGGGGTCGTTTGGGATCCATTGTACAAGATAAGGGTCCTCTTCTGTCCCAGACCCTGGGTATGGATAATTAACGATCTCTGGTGTGACAGCGCCTGGATCAGTTACTTGTCTCCAGTGAGGGATCTTTGTCGGCATCGACTTCTCTCCCTCCATGGCATCAGCCATACCTTCCTATTGTTGTTCAAGTGTCGAGTCCTTCAGGTGGTAGCCGGTATAAAAGAAAGCACCGCGCGTGTGAATAAGCACCATTCGATGATATCGAATTCATTCAGTATTCCTTCCTGTGGCTGTGGAAAACATTGGTTTCTAGGAGGTGGGACGGACGCTTTTATGAAAGCGATGGTCACTGGCGGAATGATCATTGTCGGGTGAGCCGACGGGGTAAAAAGTCTGATGGTTAACATAAAGTGATACGATACAACTGAAATAGCCCAAGTGGATAGCTCGTTCGCCCTAGTGGAGTTGCTCCTGTCACTTCCTTTGGCTATCCAAGGCCCGGCAAGTTGAAGGTATGACGTTGTAAAGGCTCTGGACCTCGGCTGAGTCAAGAAAAGCTGTGCCGGATCCCGAATACGAGCTCGTATTTTGACTTTCTTCACTCGTTTTTTGACGGACGACATTTGGTCCGAAGAAAGGAGACGGCGGGAACAGTAAGTAACAAAAGTCTCTTAGTTATCCAGTCTCACTTGAAGAGCCTCGGCTGTTTCCTGCTGAAGAGTAGAACATCTGTAGAGTGCGCGACCATTGGGAAGGATCGGAAAATTGAACTTGCTACCTTCCTATATTTTTGTCTATTTGACATGTACGGAGTAATTCATTGATCAGTCATATTGAAGGTTGTGCGTGTAAGTACGCAGTATAGAGGTTGCATCCATTCACTTTGAATTATTGGAAGCTTTGAGAAGACAGTGCGGCGGTTATGTGGGTTTATGTCCGAGGGCAAGCTTTAAGACCATTGCTTTCATTGGCTAAGCAGGCGACAGCTTGGTTTAAGGGCCCAAGGCATTTAGCCTCTCGCATTCCTAGTAACTAACTATGAAGCATCGAAGTGTCATAGGTTTGCAATTTGGCGGGCTAGAGCTGCCTAGAGGTATTCCGGAAGATCAGATGGCTCTGTGGCCTCCCAAACCAAGTTAGCTTTCCCAGTCATGGGAGACTGAGTCCGACTCAACTACTTCGTAGCTTGACTCCACGTTTCTCAGGCGGTACTAGCCAGTACCACTTTTCCTGACGGCGGTGGCACGCCTATCTTACCCTTGTTCTTCCCCTTAGTGTGCACTCTTTGGTCATTTGGGTCGAAGCCGCCGTTCCCCCACAAGGCCCACTCCTCTGTCTCCCGCATGTAATCCTCCGGTGTAAATGATTCACCAGTGCGCTTTTCGCGTTCAAGCAGTTCAAAGAAGCGTTCATAATTGATCCTTGTATGCCATTTACCATCTACCAGGAAACGGTTGGATGCAAGCAGGACACAGCAACTATGAGCATGCTCGGCAGATATTCCATATGAAAGGCCACGCCGCGCTAATTCCTCATTAAGTGCAACTACAAATGCAACAATTTCGTGATAGAAGGGGACATTCTGCATTGTTAAGCCTGCGTTGGAGCTAGAGCTCGTTCCACAGTAAGTCACACCTTTGATTTCAATAAAGCATGGCAGGCCTTTCTCGACGAGGTCAGCGTAGCCTTCCACTTCGTCTTCAATGTTGAATCCTTTGACGAGAGTAAGTCGATATACAGTCCTATGAACATCTCTCTTCTCTCGGATTATGCCAAGGCAACGTTGGAGGCGTTCCCAAAAGTCCCGATGTAAAGGGCGATCGATTTTGCGGAGGCTTTCGCGATTGCTGGCATCAATTGATACATAAAGCTGGGTCACCCTCTGAAGGGCAGCCAATTCGTCAGGATGCTGCGCATTGCAGACCAAGAAGCTCGAAATGTGCTCTTTATGGAGAAGAGAGAGCAACTCGTTGATATGGGGGTAGAAAATCGGTTCACCAACCAGGCTCAGAGCACAATGCCTGATCCTCATGGCTTCCGCGAAACGCTCAGCCCTAACCCCGGGAACGCCGCGTAACATCTTGATTTTCTTGTAATGTCCCTCCTTAACTCCACTGAAAATGAGTTCAGGAGGATCAACTTTCCAGCGCCAGGTGGTTCCAACTGGATTTGTTCCATGTCGCCAACAGAATATGCATTTGTTACTACATGAAAGGGAGGGCGTGGATTCCATGCAAAGATGGGATTTAATGCCATAGAAGGAGTTTTTGTAACAGGAGCCGCGTCCTCGCAGAGCTGATTTTGTCCACCGGCAGATTTTAACACCAGAGTGGGATCCGACAATGGTGTATCCTTGTTTTGTCAACGCAGCATATGTTGGAGATGTCGACGGCACCATCTCCTTGCTAGAGGGTGGTGGCCTTTTTGTGATAGAATAAGTGGTGAAATCAATGGGTTCATCATCAAGCAGATCCTCGGGTTTGAATTTGATATCTTCAAGGTCGGTAATCTGTGAGCCTTTAGCTTTCAGCCTCCGTGGACGGCTAAGATTTCGGGATGACTGATAGTCTTCCTCGGCATCTTCCTCGTCGCTTTCTAAAGGGTCACCGCTACCCGGAACGCCTTCGCCCAATCCGCCACCGTTCTCGCATATGTCGTTGAGTACCGAAACGATTCCATCACACCACTCCTGCAGTGCGAGGCCTCCGTCACTGTTCACGTCCCCAAGCCCAAGCGGATATGCTCGTCGTTTCCCTGTCAGTTTGGCTAGCCATTTATCAGCAGTTACTGCCTGAGAGCAAAATCCTTCTTCCATGGTTGGCCATCCTTCCTTGTCACCGAACCCAAAAACAGAGTAACCCGTCAGACCGGACAATGGCGATGTATCGATGCGGAAATCATTGTGAGTTTCATCCAAATGGTTGAGAAAGTTGTTGATAATGCTGTCAATATCATAGCTCGGTAGTATTATGCAATATAGATACGATGTTCCAGGCTCTGATGCTGGTGGTTTTGGTGCCGTCACAAAGTAGTCATCAAAGTCGACGTAGGATAAATCAAGTAGTTCAGGATCCAGGACCTTGCACTGGATATTCTGTGGAGCTGCTTGCAGCTTTGATTTCACACGCTCAAATGCAGCTCGAGCGCTTTTCTCTGTGGAACCCGTCAATGAGGTAAAGAAGAACATGGGCCGAATTGCAGAGATAGCCTCAGCTGTGGTATTTGCACCTCCCTTCGGCGCCTTCGGCGCCTTCGAGCCACGGAGTCTCTTTGGTTCATATTTTGCTTCACTTCTCAACGGAATAGACTTTGCAAGCTTTTTGCTCTCTGGCTGTGTTGGTACATCAGCAACGGTTGTCGTTTGAGGATTCCGCTTCTCCGCTATCGATTGGCTTTCCAATCGCTTGCACTGACTGGATAACTTGACTATAACGAGGAATATGAGCAGTAAAACAGCCAGAATATGTGCTCGATATGTATGCCATATCAATAGAGCGGCTACATAGATAGCAGTTAGCATCTCTGTGATGGGCGGGGTTGTTTTGCTTATCTGCCATTATCTCTCCCACCTTGAAGGGGTATGGTTGCCATGATTGGTAGTAACAGTTTTCTCCCTTATCAAACACACCGCTAGCAGGGCGCTGCTTGACAAGACTTGACAGTTTCTTTGGCCCGGTATGTGCCCTTGTAGGGGTGGATGGCTGTTGAATGCTGAATTGCAGTTTTCTTGAACTTTTTTTTTTTTCATTTTATTTTACTTTTTACCTTTTTTTTTTTTTGGTTCACTCTTCATTGGGCCGTTTTGGCCAGATGTTTGCACTGTTTGACTGTGACGGATTAACTATTTTACGTGCCAAGGTTGAGGGGCCGCTGGCGACTCCAAAAAAGCGACGTCAAAAACTCGAAGACAACGCTCGAACAAAGATAAGTGATTAAACTTGAGAATGATGTTGATTAATCTAAGACTTATACGTCTATTAAAACATGCGAACCCTTCAGTCTATCATGCTGAAGAAGGTGATAAACTATGAAAACAATCCCCATGTTTTTTCGTCGTGAAAAGACCCAGATGCTCGCATGCTCCCAGAAGAAACAAGGATATATCGCCAGAGAAATTACCCAGAACGCCATACAGAACGCTGAAGAAACAGAGAAAGCGACGAAAATGCAGAATTATACAAACGAAAGGTAAATGGAAAAGAGAGTTCGGATAACTCTCTGGATCGCTTTGCGCGTCCTACACTTGGCCTAATGGCGTTGAGTGCATCATCAAATGAAAGTAAAGGGGAATGAGAGAGGCATGACAAAAGGGATGATCGTGTCGTTACGGTGATTAGAGGGCGAGCCTGCTTCGAAGTTCCTGCCAGAGGGCAGACTGGCTGGCTGTTGAGCGATCGATCGCATCGCGGTTCTCCTCTGCGCGACGAAGAAGGTACATCACACACTCCTCAGTAGAACCCCAGACGACGTACTTGTACACCTGGGCGTCCTCATCGACCTCACTAGTGGATTGAGTGATGCTCATTGAAAGTTCATCAGCCATTCCCATGAGCTGGGAGTAGACGACATCAGCAAGAGGGAGGCCATGGCGGATCTGCTCCTGGCGTAGAGCGCGGATCTTGCTGGTACTCTCTTTGTTGTGGCTGGCGAGGACCATGCTGATCTTGGGAGCGGAGTGGTCTTCAACGTGCTGGGTGGCCAGCATATGAGCGGCCTCATCAAAGGCGTTGTCGGTCTGCTCCTTGGTGTCAAAGATGACATGGCGAGGGTCAGAGTTGATGTATGCGCCTCGAACAAGCTTCACACCGAGGGTGAATCCTTCTTCCTTGGCTCGCTGCAGATGCATGGCTAGGGTAGCTGGAGAATCCTTGAGGTACCTAACACATGGATTAGCCCTGGCTCCAAGAGAATGTTAAAAAAGACTACCAAGAACTCACATTTGATATGTGTTGTAGATGACGGTCTCGCCGTCCTTGTTGTATCTCTGCATGAGATTCATCGTCCAGGCGTCGATGCTCTTCTTCTGAGAGTAGTGCTCCGCATCGACACAGACCCTGACATTATTCTGCTTGGCCTGGATGCAGATCTGCTCAAGAGCGTCAGCGAGAACGGGGTCGACGTCTGCCCCCTGCTCCAGCAGTTGAACAGCCCCCTGTCCTGCGCCAGAGTACTTGATAGCAATCAGGTCACCGGAGCTGGAGTACTGGATGGTCTTGAGGGTGCCGTCAAGCCACTGAGCGACCTGTGTGTGGTGAAGGGCCTCCATCTCGGCTGGGGTGCCGGTCTGGTCGGTATTATGGTGGGTGTCGACCTCCTTAGCGTAAGAGAGGATTGCACCCCGATATCCCATGGCCTTGAGACCTGAGACGGTCTGTCTGACCTCAGACTCGTTACGACCAGCACAGAACTGGGCATAGAAGATGTTGTCAAGAAGGTAGCTCAAAACCGGGTTGCCCGTAATAACCTTGAGATTCGATTTAAGAAGACTAGAGGCAATATCCATAAGAAAGGGACGGGACATGGCACTCTGGATGGCGATGCTGCGGAGGAGATCCCTGTTTGGTAGCCTATCAAGCGCTCTCTGTGGTTGCTGCTGTGGTATTTGATGCCCAACGACATCTTCAGCAGCACTACCACCCCCAACTACAGGTACGACCGTCTGAGGCACCTCAGCACCGGTGCCCCATGCTGGCCGATGGCCCAGCGGACCCTGGTTCTCCGTAGGGATATGAATGGGCCGGAGCTTCAGGGAGGAGGCATTCTGAACGGTGTTGGTGATGGGAACACGTCTGATGGCAGACGCTGCTTTGGCGGTGGTGCGAATGTAAGATGGTACACGAGAGGCCATTTCACTCTATGATGGTATCTGCAGTGTGGCTTGTCTCTTTTTTGTTGATAATGGTCTAGTTTGGTTAGAGAGAATGAAGAGAGGAAGAAGGTGAAGAAGGGGGGAGAGAGAGGGAAGGAGGAAAATATATAAGTGTGACTTGACGGTGTGCCCGTCCAAGCGGGACGGCGGAGGTAGAGTGTGACGGCGAGACGGAGGAAAGGCAGAAAAGGGCTAAAGGGCGAAGCTGCTGCTACTGGCGGAAAGAGAGTGAAGAAGGCCCTATGCCGAGAGTCACTAAGCGGCCGTTTCCGAGACTTTCCTGGCGCTTCCGCCCTCACATGACCCAACTTCGCCCCCTTCTTCCTAGCTTTTTCTTTTTTTTTTGTTCTTCTCCTTTCCCCTTTTTGGCGCCAACTTTATAATCTCCCTTTTTCCTATCCTTTTTTTTCCTTCCTTGATTACTTAAAATCAATTGCGTTTCCTTATGTGCTCCGTATATGCTTGCTTCTGCTAGTTTCTTCTTGCTACTACTACTATGGAGTACTGTTACTTGTATGGAGTAGGGCTTGCTGCTGCTGTTCAAGCTTATCTCTTGGCCAGGACGCCAGGTCTTCTGCAGCACCACTCAATAAAGAGAATACAAGGGGCCGTCCTAATAATGCGGCCCAGCGACGTGAAGGGAGTATCACACAGCCAAGGAACGACCGATCGATGATCATTCAAGCAATTTTTTTAAGTAACTCCTTTGTGTCTTCTCAGCCGGTTCATTCGGAGTGCTGCTGCTAAACCCATGGCAGTGCTGAGAGAGAGCGAAAGAACGAGATGGTGAGAAAGCGAGGAAGAAAAATTTGAGCTATTCAGGTGACAGTTCTGGGTGGATAAGAGAGGAGGGCGCGGTCAGCAGCGTCATCACTTCCCCGGAACTCCGTGCCATCGCTAAGCAAAGGAGGAACTACCTAGTTCTCCGTAGAGGACCTTCACGCAGGAAGCGTGCCTAAGCATGAATAATGCGAACGGACTATCCAAGTGGCTGGCTGGGCCCTCTTAGTCAAAAAGGCCCACGGGAGAGCGAGATAACACCGAGAGACGGCCACGTTGGCTCCCTGGAAGGAACTAGGCAGATTCGCGGGGGATGAAGCAAGACACAAAGGCACAACCAAGCCCTCTAGTCTTGGCTTGGCCCTGCGCGGAGGCCTGGACTGCTTTTTTTTCCTCATCACCTCTCGCTCTTCATTTTTTTTTTTTTTTTTTTTTCATTTTTCTTTCTTTTTGTTTGATGATGCAGCTCTCCCTTGCGTGGCAGACGGCCGATAGGGCGAGAGATGGAAATAAGCGTCGCACGGATCTCGGCATGCAAGATCTTCTACCACGTCTTATCTCTATTACTAAGCATGAGCAGGTTATCTTGGTCCTCGACAGGCTTTCCTTTTCAGGGTTCGCGTAACTTTAGTAGTTTAATTGAGATAAGAAAGTTCCAGCAAGCTTTTAGCCTTTTTTTCTAGCTTAATAGGGTTCGTACTAGTACATACAAGGTTAGACAAGGGAGCTTTGGTGATGAGTGAAGCTGGCTGATCCAGCCAATGGGAGAATAGCAGAAGGGCGATAAAAACGCCGGGAAGAACCAGAAAAGAGAAGAAGGGGAGGGCTTCTTAAGCCCTAACTGCCCGAAAGCGGATCCTCGGCAGGGGTCACGGGATAGGTCACGGGGCAGGGCAGAGTTTTCTCCCTTTGTTTTTTAGGGCCTGGACCAGCTTGGCAGGGCAGGCCGATGTCGGACAAACCAACAAACACAAACAGGCAAACATGAAGAGAGAGACAGATGATGGCGAGTGAGACGGGCGAGGGAGATGGAGGAGACAAGTGAGGGGAGGGTTAGTCTATTTGTTGCTGGGGTACTCAACCTCCGAGCAGCCGAGGAAGTCCTCTTTGATGGAGCGGATGTTGACGAAGCGGGTGAGCAGGTTGGCGCTGCCAGCCTTGTCGTTGGTGCCGCTCGCCCGCGCACCGCCAAAGGCCTGTTGCCCGACCACTGCGCCGGTGCTCTTGACGTTGAGATAGAAGTTACCGGCCGAGTGGCGCAGCGCGTCTTCGGCCAATCGGAGAACGTTGCGATCCTGCGCAAACACGGCGCCTGTCAGTCCATAGTCAGTCGTTCGGTCGATTAGACTGCACATCTCCTTAAAAGCGCTCTCGCCCGCAGCATCGTCGTAGACATACACGGCCAGCACAGGGCCAAAGAACTCCTTCTTCATTAGCTCGTGCTCGGCATCGCTCACCTGCAGCACGGTCGGCTGCACGTAGTATCCCTGCTTCTTGTCGTGCTTGCCGCCAGCCAGCAGCTTGACACTGGAGTCCTGCTTAGCTGCGTCAATGACGCCGGCCAGCTTGTCGAAGGAGGCCTCATGGATAACGGGGCCAATGAAGTTTGCAAACTCCTCTGGTGGGCCCATCTTCAGCTTCTCCGTCTCGCGGACCAGGATGTCACGGAATTCAGTCCAGCGGCTCTGCGGTACGTAGGCGCGAGAGGTAGCACTACACTTTTGTCCCTGGAACTCAAACGCACCCCGGACGGTGTTAATAGCAGCACTGTGGATATCGGCAGAGTTATGAATGAGATGGAAGTTCTTGCCGCCAGTCTCACCTACGACGCGGGGATAGCTGCGGTAGGTGCCTGCAGCAATTCCCTGGCCAATCTTGCCATATAGCTCGCGGAAGACGGCGGTACTGCCAGTGTAATGCAGGCCGGCAAAGTCACGGTGGGCGAGAGCGACTTTGGTTACCATCTGAGCGTCTCCGGGGACAAACTGGATCACATCCTTGGGCAGACCAGCCTCGAGCAGGATCTTATAGGTCAGGTAGTTGGCATAGACTGCGTGTGGGCTGGGTTTCCACAGGACAACGTTGCCCATCAGTGCAGGTGCACCGGCCAGGTTACCTCCAATGGCAGTGAAGTTGAAAGGTGAAATGGCATATACAAAACCTTCGAGAGGGCGATACTCGCTGCGGTTCCACACACCTGGTGCATGGTGCTCTGGCTGTTGAGCATACAGCTCCTCCGCATACTGGACGTTGAAGCGGAGGAAGTCAGCCAGCTCTGCAGCGGCGTCGATCTCGGCCTGCCATGCGTTCTTGCCCTGGCCCAACATGGTGGCAGCCATGATCTCGTAGCGGTATTTCCCTGCCACTAGGTCAGCGGCCTTGAGGAAAACAGAAGCCCGATCGGCGAAGGGAAGGCTCTCCCAGGCTGGTTTGGCCTTGAGCGCATCCTCGATCATGCGTGAGACGTCGGCCTCGGTGGCGTTGAAGTATTTGGCGACAGTTTCAGCGTGAGCGGAGGGGTTTCGCTGGATATCGGCAGTGGCAGATGATGACTATCCTTTGTTAGCCTGTTGCCATTCTCCTCTTAGAGTATGAGAAATGTGATGAGACGTCTATCGTGCATCCCTACTAACTTACATCTTTGAAGTGGTAGGGAACCTGGACGGGGAGGGAGGCCTTGAGCGACTGCAGGGCTGCCTGCAGCCCCTGTCTCTGCTCCGAGCCTTTGGCGTAATGATGCTAGAGATTGCCGTCCACAGTCAGCTTTGATCAGCTCGCAATAAGCTTATATCTCGGGTCAATTGAGTTCTCACGTTGGGTTCGTTGGCGATGGTGGGTGCTCTGAAGCTGGACAGAGCTCTGTACCGTACGGTGCTGCCGGCCAACGGCTGACGGGCCAGGCCCAGGCGAGCGGAGCGGGAGAGAAGCGATGAAGACATGGTGAGAAGCAGCGTTGTTCTTATTCTTTGATTTGTGTTTCCCGTCTCGCGAGAATGTGGGTAGAGAGCAAGTGGCAGAAGAACTAGAGAGAGAGAGAGAGGATGTGAAGGAAATGACAGGACAGGTCACTGAAAAGCTGATGATGCTGGCGTTTCTCACTTCTCTGCTTTTTTGCTTAACTAGCTTTCTTCTTCTCTTGCAGCGAGGCGACGCGCCAAGACTGTTATTTCCTTCTTTTCAGGTTCGTTTTCTTGTTTGAGGCGGGAAAGTCGCTGCTAACACCGGAAGGACGCGGGCTAAGGGACAACTCCACCCGGGAGCTGTTAGGAATGACTAAGCAACTCTCCGCCAAGGAGGGGGAAGTACGTGATATAAAACATTATTACGGAATAATAATAATAATGATAATAATAATAATAAACGCGAAGGCCATAGAGCGGGCTGAGAAGCGGACGGTTGATACCTGTCCATGGTGGTAGAAGAAGCCTTAGGAGCGACAATAAAGAGAGCGAGAAAGTGAGAATACAGAGCGACGGGCCAAGGAAGATGCTGGTTCTACGAGAGTCAGACGTGGCGCCGATGCTGCAGGAGCTGACGCTGGAGGAGTGTCACCGTCTACTGCAGGCACTCTGGCGTAGTCTGGCAGCATACTCGGCCAGTAACGCCAGCGATGACAGCGAGGCCGGGAGCGTCCACCAGCCAATGCGGGAGTCGATACAGACGGCAGACGGCAGCACGACGCTGTTTATGCCAGCGTCCGACACGACGACGACGACGGGCATCAAGGTAGTCACTCTGCCTGGCGCCGGAGGACCCCCCGCGGGAGCCATAGCCCTCTTCTGCCCCCAGAGTGGCCGGCTGGAGGGCGTCCTCAACGCCGAGATGATCACCGCGTTTCGCACGGCACTCGCTTCCATGATCCCGTTTCACCTTTTCCAGTTTCCCCAGACTCAGGGCGACCAGGGAAATAAGTTGCTCGTTTTTGGTGCCGGCAAGCAGGCCGAGTGGCATATCCGTCTGGGACTGCTGCTTGCTCCCAGCCTCGCCTCCGTCACCATCATCAACAGAGGCCGTGGGGCGCTCGACAGACTGCGGGCCAGCCTGCGGGACGTTGCTGCTGTCCATCCAGGTGTTTCTTTTGTTTACATCTCCCGAGAAGAAGAAGAAGCAGAAGAAGAAGCAAAGTACGAAGGCCGGCTACGTGCTGCCGTCTCAGAAGCCGATGCCATCTTCTGCTGTACTCCATCAACCGAGCCGCTCTTTCCTCACTCCTACCTTCATAGCCAGCAAGACGGAGGAGGAGAAATCTCCCAGGAGAAGAAACGGCGGTTCGTCTCCATGATAGGCTCGTTCCGCCCGCACATGCATGAAGTTGACACGGACACGTTGCTCTCGGGCCAGACGGTCCTCGTTGACTCCAGGCAAGCCTGTCTCGCTGAGGCGGGCGAACTCATCGATGCCGGGATGCGGCCTGAGCAGCTTACCGAGATTGGCGAGCTCTCCCCTGCCTCCACTCTCTTTGCTTCTTCGTGTTCCTCGAACGTCGTTTTCAAGTGTGTTGGCATGGGGATCATGGATCTTGCGGTTGGGAGGGAGCTGCTCTGCCTTGCCAGTGAGAGAGGAGTAGGTGTATCCATCCAAGGCTTCTAACAGTCAAGTTTACCCCCTAGTTACTCCGTACTTGTCGTTATATGCATCCATCCATGCATGCTCTTTGAGATGAAAAGAGAAAAAAAGAAAGAAAATAGAATTATATGTTCCTCTGGACACCTATCATAAACCCCATATGCGCCTTTCTTCCTTGTTTTACTTCTTGTTTATAGTTGCAGCAAATCTGACTTAAAGCCTCGTATATGCACCTTCTCCATCTTCTCCCGTATCCTCCGTTCTCCGTAAGCTCCGAAGCACCCCATCTTATCAGCCGGTCACCAGTTAACGGCCTCTGCTGGCCTACCAAGCATCAGCCGACCTTCATCATGTTTTTTTAGTCTTTTTAGTTAGCGAACAAGTTAGTTAGTTTAACTCGGTTTGATATCAAGAGAGAAGAAGAAAAAAACGCCCTTTCCTCCTGCACCCCATGCTTATATCTGCGACTAGGGGATGTGCAAAGCTGCCCTCGCTTCCTCGCCCTGCACTTTCGTCAGCCTCGCAAGTGCTTGTATCTGCTCCTACTTTCGCCGTCTGCCATATTGCCCCTTTTCTTCTTTCTTTGGCTCTAAACGGTTTGCTCTTCCAGCTTATGTAACACGATTATGTAATAAAAGTCTTAATTTGCATCACCTGACCATCGCTGAACGTCGGCCTTGGCGCGCTTTTCCGCCCAAAGAAGCAGAAAGCGGAAGAAAAAGCGACTTCGACTTCGACTTCATAATCAACTTCATCGAACTTGCCTTACGCCTGCTTCACCCGCAACTTATCTCTTCTTACCTTCGCCAGCGTCAGGCTACCCTTTACCCGTCGACTGCAACTGTCCGCGTTAACGTACGGCCTCCAAACAGCCCGCCCATGGTACTGTGGGCGGGAGTTCTGCCATGTCCACCGCTGCTCCCACCGGAAAAGTCCACAAGCGAGCATACCAGGTACATCCTCCGGGCTGATACATTGACAATACACATACCCTCCATCTACTTCCGATAGCAATAGAAAGCCATACCTAACCCTTGATTAGGCCTGTATTCCGTGTCGAGAGCGAAGGGTGCGTTGCGACCTAGGCTCCGTTGATCAACCGCACCAAGGCCCCTGTGGGAGATGTCGGCGGGAACGAAAGCTATGTCATTTCTCCGCTACGCGAGGTCGCAAGAAGACCGCTTCTACTCCCACTCCTGCACCCTCTGGGCCCGGTGATCCCATTGCCGGCACTTCAGTCGCTACCACCGGTATCACCACCACTCCCACTACCACTGGCATCACCCCTACCCGACCATGGGAGGAGTCGACCATAGCCGTTGCAGGGACTCCAGCATCCCTTCCAGGGCTCGTCACCCAGGCCGGCGAAAACTCAGTCAGCCCCATTGCCATTCCGCCCGCCATCAAACGCGAGCATTCCCTTCAACATGTCCTCTCCCAGGATACCCCGCGTCCGTCCACTCGTGGCGATAAGACAGCCGAGAAGCTGCTCAGGGATGCTGCATATACTTCCCACGATGCGCTAAATTTACTCTTTGAAGCTGGTAGACATAGTGAGCGGGTCTCTAGGCCGGACCGTCACCAGCACCACAACCATATCCCGGGAGTCACCTCCCAGAGGCTGGGCCCGACACCTACCAGGGAGCTCAGACCATCTGCTGCTCCAAGCCTCCATGATAACACTCCCGATTTCCATCCTTGGTCAAACCTGCGTTTCGTCCGTACCGGACTGATCACTGCTGAAGAGGCCTTTGATCTCGTAAACTACTTTCATACATACCTTGCTCCGTTCACTCCGATCGCATCCTCCTCCTTTCAGGATCCTTCCATGCATGCCGAGCTGCTCGAAGAGGAACCCATCCTGGCCATGACAATTCTCATGCTTGCCTCACGATACATGAAACTATCAGGACCTGGATCTATCTCTAGATCTTACATGGTCCATGAACGCCTCTGGCAGCATCTCCAGGGGATGATCTCCCGCATGATCTTTGGCCAAGAGCAGTTCACTGGTGGCACACACAACCACGACGCCCCTCCAGAAGCTTCAAACCTTTCTACGCATGAGTATCCTCTGGCTGGCTCAAACTTTGGTAGCCTAAGGACACTCGGCAGCTGCGAAGCCCTACTTTTATTGTCCGAGTGGCATCCGCGATCTTTACATGTACCCGCTGGAGATGACGGGGATAGCATCGTTGTGAAAGACGATGTTCGAAGAACAATCGCGAGCACGGCTGGTATAGGTGGGAGAATACGCATCGATTGGCTCGAACCTGTCTGGAGATCGGATCGGATGTGTTGGTCTATGCTAGGGAATGCCCTCGCTTTGGCTGTTGAGCTCGGTATTTTTGACGAATATGACAACACCACCATAGGAGCTCGCGAATCTCGGAGAGATATCTGGAGTAACCCATCATCCAGCCAGAGAGCATACCTTGTCCAGCATTTGCTTTGGGTCTATCTTACGCAAACTTCCGGTCGCCTTGGTAAGTTTTACATCCAGCGCTAATGCGTGAACAAAGTGGCTGATATCCTATGTAGGATGGAAAAACTTGACTTCTGTCTCAGTGTCACACCACGATACCAGTATAAAACATGGTGACACGATTCGCTGTTGGGTGGGCGTTGCTTCACTGATGAAGAGGGGCAACGAGCTTTTATTTCCTTCCCGCGAGCGGACTCGCGAAATCGTCAAGACCGGCGAGTATCTGGCTGTACTTCGTGTACTCAATCCGCTCCTACGCGAATGGCAGAAGGAGTTTGATCGTGCCAAGTGTAAGTCCTCCACCTCAAAACTCGAGTGTCTAACTGAAATACAGAGCTAATGGGGCCCTCGTTATCCCCCTCGACGCAGTGTCAAGGCAAATGAGATCCATCTTGACGATCGAATTCGGATATGTACGGGTATATATCCATAGCGTTGCACTACAGGCTGTCATCGAGAACTACTACCACGTCATGCACGAAGGTGGCTCCATGCCTGAAGCCAGCTTGCTCGAACCCTTCGAGGGCAACAGAGAATACTTTATGGAGGTTATCGCCTCGGCAAAATCGATACTCCAGACGGTTGTCGAGGATTTGCTTCCAGATAATCATTTAAAGCATGTTCCAATTCGAACTTATTCGAGAATCCTTGCTGGTGCTATGTTTTGTTTAAAGGTTAGTCGTACTCCAGTGTAGTCGTGTTGCGTGGCGCTCACTAAATCCTTTCATTCGCTAAGGCCACGTCTCTCGGCGCCAAAGACTTTGAGACGTCGGGATCGTTGAGCCTCGTTGAACGTACAGCGGACGCGCTATGTACATGTGTGGTGGATGATGTTCACTTGAGCAACAGATTTGGGGAGTTGCTGCATGCTCTCGCCGCAAGTTTGCGGAACAGAGTAGTGCAAATGACGGCAAGTGAACAACCAAGCGGAAGTATCACTCCCAATACTCTGGTCTCACATCGTCAATATGCTCAATCTTTTGAAGGTGATACAAACAATCAGATGATGGTGTGTGGCCCTGGCTCCTATCATGAATTGTCCATGGGTCGAATGGGACTGGAGGACCACTCTATCGCTGACCCAGAGTATGACAATTGGCAGGCTGGCTCTTCATCTGCTACAGCAGCGGGCACGCCTGCTTATTATGCCATGAACCCGGCATCGGGGTTGATTGATCAAGTTCAGAATGATCCATTGATCAACTTTGCCGGGTTGGGCCCCAATCAACTTGGTTGGTCCGGTGGGCAGGACTTTTTCGATATGCTCGGTCCCTTGTTGGACGTACAGTACGAGCAGTATAAATGATAAACAGCCTGCCCACAACATTATTACACGCGCGCGCTTCGCGGGAGGGCGGTCAAACATAGCCAGAGGCGTAGTTTCTCTTATTTTGGCTCGCCCTCCAAGGTGATGTCAGCGTTGGGGAAAGGAGGTGAAAGGAACTGGACAAAACCAGTCGTACTATTCGCAAGTTTTCAGCCCCAACCGCACCCTCTCTTTACCAAACAACCAAAGATCAACAAAAATCAACAACAACACATACCACATAATCTTCTAACACAAACACACATGCACACACATCATGCACTCAGGGCCAACTGCGACTCGAGCTATATCTAACTACAGGAACCTCGCAGCTGGCCTCTGACATGAATGTGTGGGAGAGAGTATGCTAACCTCTGCTTGCAGTTAACTTTATGGAACTAGATGGGTGACTGCCTGCGCTTCAGTCTGCCTTACCTGCAGTAGTGGCTTTGAGCTTCGTCCCCTCCTGACTTCCAGCGCAGAAGCTGTAAAGAAACACAACAAACTCAAGAAAAGAAGTGGAAGCAAAAGGGGAAAGAGGCAAAAATTTATGACAGAGAAGAAGTTTCTGGCGGGCTGCTCGACTGGTGGGTGCGTCTTGTGACGAGCCAAAACAATAAAATCCTTTCCACCAACTCTGAAGGTCAGCGTATTACCATTGTTCTAGAATATCTAACATTAAATGTGGCTACCGACAGCAATATAGACATGTCCTCGGCCATCGACGAATTACACGAGTTCCGCCCTATCTACTCAACAGATCCATCCCGATGGCACCAATGTCAGATTCCAAAACCGCAACACCACGGTGGTTCTCACCTTTGTTAACCAGTTTTCCTGAATGAAAGAAGTATAGCAGACTAGCTAACTCGAGCCGTACGTCTAGATTGTTTCATTTACCTTCATTCATGTACACTCTCCATGCATGCTGTTAGGCAGCATCACGAACGGCAGTAAATAGGCGCGAGGCGAAGGACAATGGCAGGACAGTGATTGGCTTCCCTCTTTACCGTGCCATCTTTTTTTTTTTTTTTTTTCATACCAATCTACAGAGCATACCATCTATCAGGTTATGGCAGTCATTCAGGGTAACATGGGACGGTAGATGATCACTTACTTGTTTCGATCATCCCGGCGCTCAGCTTTCTTCTACTTATCACCTCAGCGAGGAGTCAGGCAGGGCTTGGTTTTCTTATAATTAGAGACTTGCATGACGGGAACAATCCTCTACCTTTTCCATCCGCTCTCAGGCGAATTTCTTCGGTTCCATCAGCTCCCATCCAGCCATTCCATGATAGCTTTTTAGTCAATATCTAGTGAATCAGTTCCGAATGTTATCATGTAGTCGTGTTCACGTACTACGCACTGTTACAAAGCAACCTCTTGAGATTTCATTGCCACCAAATAGAAGCTGAGCAGATAAGAACAGAAACCGAAATGCACATTGATTAACTAGTTAACTAGTTACCTCCGCATTCAATAAAGTTAAACCCGCCAAAGGGCGAGCTATTCTAACAAGTACATAAATAGTTATCTAAGTAGTTAACTCCCTAGCTAATTACCCTATCTCCCAATCTCCCCTAACCATAAGGTAGGTAATTAAGTTACCCGATCAGCCGCGGCAAACCAACCTCTTTTATCAGCTTATCCACTACCCCTGAAGACTCTATGCAAAGCCAACCAAGCAGCCTGAATTACTGAGGTCGAGAAGCGGGTTAACTAATCAAATACCCGGAGCTCTGATAGCTGCTGCTGATCTCTTGTGTGTGACTTTCGCTGTCTGATTGGCCGTGCAGGTGGCTAGTTATCTCGCTGAACCCTGGTCGACGCCGGCAAGATCCAAGCTGGACCAGAAGCCGAAAAAAAAAGAAGCTGAAGAAGGCCAAAAGGACGCAGAAAACTGTCAAACTAGGATATAAGATGGCCTCTCCGTTATTCTTTCTGCGTCTCATCAACTGAGAAAGTCTCTATTATCAAGAGTAGCTCTGTTTTGAGAGATAACTAAGCTAGTCAGCTACCTATGGTTATGGAGTGCAATACCAACTGCTTAGTGCCGGCGAACAAATGGCTCGACCCGTTTTATCCCTATCTCAATTCGATCCCAGACTCACTCGACAAGTATCTTTCACCTTTGCCTCTTGTACAGATACAACCCATGGGGAAACCTCCGCACGTAGGCATCATAGGCTGCGGCCTCGCGGGGCTCAGATGCGCCGATGTCCTGCTGCAGCGCGGGATGAGAGTCACCATGCTCGAGGCTAGAGACCGGATCGGAGGCCGGGTAAGCATTTCTCAAGCAGCCAGCAATCAGCAAATTCAGTTTCCCCATCTAACACGTCGCTTAATAGGTCTGCCAAAGTAAAGTCGGGGGTGCCTCTGTCGATTTGTCGGTTTGGCCTTGTTCTGTTTCCTCTTCAGCCGGATGAATGGCGGCGGCTGGCGGTTCGTGACAGATAACCAATTTGCTAACACAGCGCGGTGGACAGAGGCCCCAACTGGATCCACGGCACCAGAAACAACCCTCTCGTCGAGATCAGCGAGCGCTCTGGCACAGTTACCGACTCCTGGGAAGGGCTGCAGACGACGTTTGATACAGATGGCAAGCTGCTGGACCCAGTTCTGAGCGCCAAAGCGGCCGAGTTCATGTGGACGACCATAGACCGGGCCTTCAGCCTCAGCCAAAAAGACTGCGCCAACATTCCGGCCAGCAAGAGCCTGCTCGACTTCTTCAGAGAAGAGCTTGCGCAGTCCGGGTTCAGTAAGGCCGAGAAGGACGCCTGTCTAGAGTCATCAAAGATGTGGGGGGCGTACATCGGCTCGCCCATCGAGAGACAGAGCCTGAAGTTCTTTCTCCTCGAAGAATGCCTTGAAGGAAGTATGTCTGCCTCTGTGACGACGTAAAGGTGACGAGGATGGTACATTCTACTTGTCCGGAGACTGACCCTTTGCATCTCTGTGACAGCCAACCTATTCGTTGCCTCGACATACAAGAATATTCTCCAACAAGTTGCTAGGCCCGCCCTGGAGGGAGCAGAGATACGTTACAACGAGACAGTTGTTGCACTTGAAGGGAGATCTCGTACCACAGGGACAGATGGCCGGGTGCTTGTCCGCACATCAAATGACAAGGAGTATCTCTTTGATGAAGTCGTTGCGACGTTTCCTCTCGGGTGGCTAAAACAGAATAAACAGGCATTCAGCCCTGCCATGCCACAGCGTCTCTCCGATGCAATCGACCATATCTCGTATGGCCGTCTAGAGAAGATCTATGTGAACTTCCCGGCAGCATTTTGGCGGCGAGAGCCAGCTGCGTCCAGCGGCATCAACCCTACGTTCCAGTTTTTCTCGCCCGGCTATGTCGACCACCCCAATACTCCCTACTGGAACCAGGAGTGCCTCTCCCTGGCTGACCTGCCCGGGAGCTGTGCCCATCCCACCTTACTCTTCTACACATACGGCACCTGTGCCGAGCATATAGTGTCTAGCATATCTGGCCACTCACCCGATTCAACGGAGTATTACAGCATCCTGCATTCCTTTCTACTGCCATACATCTCTAGGCTACCAGGGTACGACGATCAGAGCCCGGAATGTAGACCTACCGGTTTCCTGGCTACAGAGTGGCAGACGGACCCCCTAGCGGGTAACGGGAGCTACTCCAACTTCCAGACGGGGCTGACCGATGGCCTGGGTGACATCGAGGCTATGCGGGAAGGCATGGGGATCGACAGGGGTATATGGTTTGCTGGTGAACATACCGCACCCATAGTCGGGCTTGGGACCGCTGCCGGAGCCTATTGGAGTGGGGAGGAAGTTGCCAGGAGAATGTGTGATATTCTTTCCTGTGCAGTTTGAAAACCAGAAGCGAAAGATTTTCTGGACGTATATATTTATATTTGACTGTATTCAACCAACGCTTATAGAAGACTTGCAACTAATGTACATAACATGACCGTGACTGTGATTGGTCATCGCCGAAACACCATGTGAATGGGAAGAGAAGGGAAAAAGAATGAGGCGGACGTGGTCATTGGTTCGTGTGGTATTCTGAAACATCAGATAGAAATGGAGGTGGTCGTAAGCGCGTATGATGGCTGATAGGGTATATTCTAGGCTGGCTCACGGCCGGCCCATGCACCAGCCAACGCAGACAAGAGACATGAAAACGCCAGAAAAACAGAACAAACTCCCGAAGACACAAGTGATACGCCGGAGAAATGAAAGATCAGAAGGCCATAACGCAGGAAATTTAGGAAACAAACTTGAAAATGGAAAAAGAGGTGTGTTAAAAAAAAGGGGGGGGACCAACGCACTGGTAACGTTCTAGTCCTCCCATATGGTCTCAAGGTCGAGGTCTTGCCTGCCTTCAGCACCACAAACACTCCATCGTTTGCGCTTGTCAGCCCAGCCAGAGCCAAAGCGGGATCCCAAAGAAGGGGAAGACATGTCGACGGCACTGCGTCTTTTGAGGTCATGCGGGAATCCGCCTGCTGCCTCAGCGGCATCCGCCTTATCAGCGGCAGCTTTAAGTCTAGCGATCTGGTCGGCCTCGATGGCGGCGGCTTCTGCATCGTGGATGTCAAGGGATTAGTCTCGAAGAGAGGATATTCTGGGGGAGCGAGAGCCGATGCTGGTCGGGGTAGAGGGCATGGAGGAAGCCAGTGAGAAGGAGTACGCCGGATAGGGCTCGTTGAACTTGGCGGGCAGGATAAGTGGGGATGGGCGTGAAGGAGAAGATGTCGAAGAAGGTGTCGAGGCGGTCGTTGTTGTAGAACCAAAACATGCCACCATTTGGCATATGGCCATTAGACGTATAGCCGTTGGATGTCTGCCCGGGGACATGGGCGAGCAAAGGGGAGGACGGTCGACGCCTGGATACACGCGGAAGGGTGTTGTGCAGGGCAGGAGACCACGACGGAGAGACCGAACGTCCACTCCCAGGCCTGCTGCCAGAGCTATGGCTGGTATAGCCGGCGGTAGACTGGCTGGGATGGCTGGTGTATGAAACCGGCGAGGCCTGGAGCTCCGGTTGCTCCAAGATGGGCTCTGAAATGGCAATGCCGTAGCTGCTGCTGGGAAGTGACTGGCCTCCAACACCAACACCAACACCGTCAAAGGAGGTCCGTAGCGGACTGGGACGACGCAGGGGGAGCTCGTGAGGAGTGACGCCGACCGCAGACGGCTTGCCTGGGCCGCTGCGTGGGAAGACGTATCTGCCACGAGAGTCGAGCCCTGGAGAAGAGTGCGCCCTGGCCATGACCGGAGCACTTGACGGGGCCGCCAGGGACCGAGATCGAACGTGAGTGTGGCCTCTATGGCTCAGCCCGTTGGCGGGAGCATGCTGGGTCGGTGACAGCATCAGGAACGGCTGTTCGTGTCTCTGTTCTTGCCCTTTGTCGTCCTGCTCTCGATCCGGCCCGTTGTCTCGCGGTAGGGTCTGGGGCCGTCCGTCACGCCGTCGGCCGGCGTCCTCGTGGCCATCCTGCTTCTTCCGCCCGCCGCCGGCCATCGAGTCTGCCGCCATGACGGGCTCTTCCTCCGCCGCCATCGCCGTCACCGTCGTCACCGTCCTGGATAACCACCCAGGCGCTTCTGAGGTGGCCGTTGGGGCTGCCCTTTTACCCCAGAGTCATGACACGGAGTTTGTGGGGAGACGCCACTCTCTCTCTCCCCTTTTCTCTCTTTGCCGCCTGTTATTCTCCCGGGCAGTCAGTCCGACTATTGCTGGCGGCCTCTGTGGCACTCTGGCAGCCTGTCCGCCGTCACTATCTTCGTCTGGCTCTGCCTCTCTCTCTCTCTCTCTGGGCGTGTGAGTGTGAGCGTGAGTGTCTGTTGCTTGCGTGTTTGTTTCCTTCGTCTGCGCCAAAAAAACTCCCGCGGCTTTTTTGGAGCCTCTTTTGCTGACTAAGACGACGCCCTTTGGGTTCAACATCTTCACGTGACGCCCAGCAGTTTCAAGATAAAAAGGGGGATGAACAAGCAAGAGTGACAAGAGTGACAGTTTTGATAGCTGGTAGATAGCTGATAGATAGCTTAATTTGATAGGTTTGACAGAGTATTCGATATCAGGCTGGATGGAAGATATCTACTGGTTATATACAGTTACGTGCTCGACGGTACGCTTGGCTGTTGGGCTTGCTGTTACTGCGTCAATCTTGTGCTCTGATATGCTGCTTGGTGAATGCAGACACCGTGGTTCTACGATTTCCTTCATTATCAAGCTTCATGACATATGTTGATGATGCAGGCGGAGGACTTCACCCCCAGACTGCCGCCTTTTCCATCGTGTTGACTGGCTGCATGCAGTTCCCCAGGCTAGAAGCCGTCGGGATGCCTCCCAAGTCCGAGATATCATGGGATAACTATTAAGGTATCAGTTAATTTTTTAAATATTTATGAGCACCCAAAAACTCCGGACCTAGGTAGCGGGTTAGTTTTGGGGCTCTGCTTCGGCGCAGGCCTGAATAAACAACATCCAGCAAACTGCATGTTAGTTATCTCTCTAATCTGCATGGCCAAGTGCCAGTAGCATCTCAGGCCGCCGACGATGGCCGTTTCACATATCAAGCAAGCAGTTCGCTGGTGAGTTTGTAAGATAAATAGGTGGCTTGCTGGGCCACCGAAACTGAAAAGAACAGCGTACTCCATCAAGTCCTTACTCCAGAGTCAACTATCAATAGAAAGTCGAAATGGGCGACTTCCAGATCATATCCGACCTGCATCTCGAGACGCACCCAGCGTACGACTTTGTCATCGAGCGGACGGCCCCCTACCTCGCCCTGCTGGGGGACGTCGGCCACCTCGAGCACGACCAGTTCTTCCCTTACATCGAGGAACTGCTCTCGCGCTTCGAGATCGTCTTCCTGCTCTTCGGCAACCATGAGCCGCAGTCCTTCACCATGGACAAAGCCCGCCGCAGGGTCGTGGACTTCCAGGACCGACTGCCCCCGTCGACCGGCCGCTTCGTCTTCCTCTCGCAGACTCGCTTCGACGTCTCAGACTCGCTGACGGTGCTTGGATGCACCCTGTACTCGCACATCTTGCCCGAGCAGGACCAGGCCGTCGCCGCCCGCATGTCCGACTTTAAGATGATCACTGACTGGACGACCGAGACGCACAACCGCGCCCACGACGCCGACCTCGCCTGGTTGAACGCCCAGGTCCGTGACATCGAGCAGCGAGAGCCGCACCGCCGCATCGCCATCTTCTCCCACCACGCCCCCAGCCTCGACCCGCGCGCCGTCGACCCCAAGTACGCCGGCAGCAGCGTCACCTCTGGCTTCGCGACCGACCTGCGCGACCAGCCCTGCTGGACTAGCTCTGCTGTCACTGCCTGGGCGTTCGGCCACACGCACTACAACTGCGACTTCGAGCTCGGCGGAGTGCGTGTCATCGCCAACCAGAAGGGCTACTATGCGACTCCCAGAGACACGTTCATCCCGGGGCGCATATACTCCTTGTAGTTATCCATGGCCGCACCTGTAGATATATAGATCTCTTCGTTGGTTGGGTAGATAAAATAAACATATTCTAGAATGCAGTTACTCCGTTTGTAGTTATTATTAAAATATTTAGAACTGTGAAGTGAAGGCTTTGCCGAGCCGCAACACCAGCGTCAACCACCACGCTAAATAAATAACTAAAGAACTACCCAGTCGTTAGCTACATCTGCACCTGCAACACAAGCTACACTAACAGCAGCAACTGCTGATATACTCAAGGCGCGGAGTATATATTCTGGTTAAACTGGCTCGCCCTTTGAACAGATCCACCCGGCTGAAGCCCGTCGCGCGCTGGACCGTGGCCTCCGCCTTCCGCCGTCTGTTTCCTCACACCCACCACCGCATCAACGCCCGCTACTCTGAACTGCGTATCGAAGCGCTGCCCCGTCTCAAACACCGTCTCCAGGCTCGTATCTATAGGGCTATTGTCGAGAGACAGGCTCGAGTGCCCAAGAGACAGGCTGCTGGGCGGACAGGCCTACTGAGTTTCTTGTTCCCGCAGCAACACGCACTGCCATCCCAACGCTCCTCCAGCCCCTCTATAGCTGCCAGAAGAGTGGTAAAACATGGGACTGGCAGCACAGTCGGTATCCAATCTGGGATGTTAGGCTCTACCGGTGTCCGGGCGGAAGATGGCGGCAGCGGCAGCGGCAGCGGTGGACTGGGAGAGGAACGGCTGGATGGCAGCGGCCGCGAGAGAGGAGCTAGGCGGAAGAAGATGATGGGATATCTCAAGGCGGCCAATGAGTTACGACAGGCATACTCGGCCCAGTGGACGCGAGGATACCAGGACCAAGACACCAGTAGCCCGGGAATGCCTGGTGGTTACCCTGAAGGCGAAGCTACAATCCACGGGGACGAGGAGATGATCCTCTTCCCCAGCTACGGGAGACGCCATATCCGCGGAGACAAGCATCATCACCATGCCTCGTCCTCTACACATGCTGCGGCTGAGTTTGAAGCAGCACTGCCGGCTGCACAGAACGAGTGTCAGAAACCCGAGAGTGACTCGGCCATTGTCGACGTCGATGCTCGGGGATGGATATATTCCCCCCAGCGAGGACCCATGAACCGAAAGACTCGCATCCTGCTTGCCCTGGCCAGGCGTCTGAGCGGTATCCAGGTCTCGAGTGCCACATCTTCTGATGTTGATGACTCGTCCGCTCCCGGTAGCCCAAAGTCACCCAGCCAGGATGACGCCTCTATAAACCAAAGGGTAGACTCGATTATGAATAAAGCCCAGGAGGGTGTCGAGGAGGCCCAGCAGGCCTCGCAGCAGCTATCTCCTGAACAAATGGCAGCCGCGAATGCACAGCTGATGGAGCGTTTGACGCCCTTTCTCACCATTCCGGCCGTCAACATCCCCGTTACCGTCTTCTTCTTCAACAAGACCCAGAGTCAGTCCAGGACCATATCGACTAATGCGAGCGGACAGTTCATCCTTCGGGCGTCACTCGATTTCGTGCCTACTCATGTCCGTGTGCTCGCTGCCGAGCATCTGTCAGCCACAGAGGAAGTCAGTTTGTCTGACCCTGGTGGTGTCAGCCTCATCAGCGACATAGATGACACCATCAAACATTCCGCCATTGCAGACGGGGCCAAGGAGATGTTCCGTAACACATTCGTCCGCAATTTGAACGATCTAACCATTGCTGGCGTCGGTGACTGGTACACAAAGCTCGCCGAATTGGGTGTCGGTGTCCATTACGTCTCTAACTCACCGTGGCAGCTATACCCGCTCCTGAAGAAATACTTTTCCCTGGCTGGGCTCCCCCCTGGTTCGTTCCATCTGAAGCAGTATTCCGGTATGCTCCAGGGTATCTTCGAACCCACCGCTGAAAGAAAACGCCCCAGCCTGGAGAGGATCATACAGGACTTTCCGAATCGCATGTTCATCCTAGTTGGTGACAGCGGAGAGGTCGACCTTGAGATATATACCGAACTCGCAATGACTAACAAGGGCAGGATTCTTGGAATCTTCATCCGTGATGTAACCACGCCTTCCGTGCAGGGGTTCTTTGACCGGTCAAACCCTCGCCTAGAGAGACGAAGGAGGAACAACTCCAGCATCGATTTTAGCAGCCTGTTAAAGACGCCAGAGAATAAGCCTACTCTACCTCCCAGGAGAAAAGCCGAGCGAGAAGAGACTGTCGTCCCCATGGGGAACCTCATTGACCTTGATGACTGCGATGACGATGTGCCAAAACTAGATATATCAAGCCAGAAGCCGGTGGCTACCTCTGGTGCGCCTCCAAAGCCTGCCAAACCAGCAGGTCTTCGCTCTGCAACGGTAGAGTCCAAAGGTAGTAGTAACAGTAAAAATACTACTAACAGGTCTGGCCAAGCATCATCATCCACTGTCAATAGAAAACCAGCTCCGGGCAGCCCTAGCAGGTCGACCACCCTATCCAGGAATCCCTCAACCGACAGCTACGTTAGCAGCTTCAGAAGCCAAGCTGCTAACCTCTATAACCAGCTACCTTCCGCTCGAGAGTATGCCGAAAGGATATCCAGTGCCATCCCCTTGTCATCTAACAGGACCACTCCTACTTCATCTCCCAAGGCAAAGCCTGCGCCTCCTCCGGTGCCTCCTCCACGTCGGAGTGCTACTGTAACCAACCCTTCTGCTTCGGCGAGCAGTAGTAAATCTGCGCCAGCCGCGCCAGGATCATCCTCACCCATCCTTGACAGTGTCCAAGAAGGAACCGTCTCTCTCGACCTCCCCGCTAGTGACTTAAACAGGATAAACTCCATGCCTCCGGCGCCCTTCAGACGGACAAACTCGTACCAGTCATCCGAGGGACTTTCAAGCGGCTTGAACAAGCGTGAAGAGATGTGGCTGAGACGCTGGGAGCGCGCCAAGGAAATGCTTGACCGAGAAGGAGTCCCGTTATACAGCTGGCGTGATGGTGGAGACGTAGAAGAGCTATGTCTGGAGTTAGTTAGGAAAGCCCAACAGGAGATTAGAGACAGTAATACCCGTTCTAAGTGAAGCATTAGCGATAGCTGATTCCATTGCAGAGTACAGTAGGATGCTTCCAAATATTTCAACTATCAGCCCTCAGCCGGCTGCTGTTCGATGTATATACCGTACCAAAGGCTAGTAATCTAGTACCCTTAATGCAATTTTTTCGTCTTCTATAACTACGGAGTAATAGTTATAGCCTTCTACTTCGATAAGAATTTAGTTAAATTCCGCTAGAAACTTCGTTAGACTTATACCCCTACAGTAATTATAATAAATAAAAATAGACTGAAGATAAATTTTGTTCACAATATTATTAAAATAGAGTGCTTTGTACTCCGTAAAGAAATAAAATTCGCCACTATAACTATCACGCCTAGTATAGATCTCGTAGTGGCGGGCAATCTCTCGGGTCTTGATAGAAAATTGCACCCAGCTTTTTCATTACCTCAACCTTTTCTGCCATTGTGATGCACATTCGTAGCTTCCCATACTCCTCGTGATCAGAATTGTACTTATATTACAATGCCCAAACACCGTTCTCCTCTATAAATTCTTCGCCTCCGGGATTAACCTCGTAGGAGCTCAGGTTCCTTGCACTTGGATGTTCCTCAATATCAGGCCATGCGAAAAACCACTGTAGCCCATCCCCGGGCTCTGCGATCGTTGGGTCGACGACAGTGCTCTCAAAATAATGGATATTGCTAGGCCAATACCTCCCCCCAGACTTGCGAAGGAGGGAGCAAAATTTATTTTCCACGTCCTGATCTTTAAAGCGGTGCTTTGGTGGCGTAAATTTATCCAATCCAAGGAAGGCCATATCAATAATATCTGCATCCGGTTTCACAATAACTGAATGCTTTTTTGGACAACCATAGGGGTCCTTGACGGGTAGCCATATATATCATAACCATGTAACCCATATGCGTTGTAGCGTTTGGTGCTTTTATTCATTTCCATATAGTAGTCGTATGAGGTCCCACAGCAGCTAATTATTCCCCCATTTTCGTTGCAGTTGCCGTTGCCGTTTGGGGAGTCCACGGTCTCGGGTTGGGGCTTCGTGGTAGAAAACACTCCACCCATTGCTTTACTCAGCTGAATGTGTATGTAGCGCAGTGTCGCTATAGTGTAGAACGGAGGGGTGGCGTTGATATAAAAAATCACAACGGAATCGATAGGAAATATTGGCAGGCCTTTGATGCGCCAATGAAGAGCAGTTATAGGCTAAAAGCAGATGAAATATAATGAGTTTTCAGGAAGCGGGCCTCCTTTCGCCGATCCCGACTCAGCCTCATAACTACCTAGTTACCTAGGACCACCACCACGGACAACATCATCACCACCAGCAGCACCATCCCATCTTCATCAACCCCAGCCAGACACTGCACAACCGCAGTCTGTCAGAGTCCTCCTTCATATAACGAGATCATCAGGTTTCAACATCTTTCAACTAACTAACTCACAACAAATGCCATAGCTCAAGGTTATTCAAATACCAGTCCCGTCATGGAGGGTATTTCCCCCCTGTTGCCGTGGTCCTTACCACGGCAAGGCGTATTGGTGCCTCTGTTGACGTCGCAACCGAATCCAGGTTATATTGCATACTCCCAAGAGCACAGGGAATTCTGCTGGGCAGAGGATCAGATTGATCCCTTCAACTTCTGCACAAGCATTCATTCACTAGCTTCAGTATTGCAAGCCTCCCTGTTCTTCAACTTTCTCTCCATCTATTTAGAGCAACCCATCAATCCGGAGGACTTTACGACCGATGGGAACGTCGATTGCGGTACAGATGCAGCTCTTAAAATGTTTGCAGACTGGAAGGTCCAGCTTTCTCATTTATCTTACTCTCGACTTCGAAAAAGACAGGAAATACTGAACTCCCTTATCACATTTGCATATATGAAAAGTGACGCATTTGAAGATGCCGCTGAAAATTTCGGTGAAGATGAGACTTTTGACCGTATCGCCCTATCTGTGAAGATGCTCGCCAGCGTACTCTATGCGGTAGCGGAGGATACATTCTCGGTTCTCGACGCTCGCTCAACTGGAATCTGGGCTCCTTGGGTCTCCTCTTTGGCGTCTTCCTACTTTAACAAAAAGAAGTCGACACAGGGTGTGTTCTGGCTACAGAACGACATAGGGCCGGCTCGCGACAGCATATACATAATGGGAGCAAGAGAGATCAAAAGATATGCGCGAGGCCCTGCGAACATCTTTGTCCCATTCCCTCCTGGCGTTGAGCAAGGCGGACGTGCAGCTACTCGGCTTTATCGGCAGTTTGTAAGCAATGGATGGTGTCCCATCAGGGCATTTCACCTGTGTCGATCCCACGATTACCACATACTGAATAATCTTGCTATCATATCCCGCCGCCAGAAGCCGTCCGAAGACCATGAGAACTGTTTAGCAATGCAGAGGTGCTGTGCACATAATCTCATTCTCGGGCGTGGACAAGACTATCCATTTCAACATCACAACCATGAGTCGGGAGACTGCGAGTTTATCCATGTTCCAAGACGCGATATTATAACAATTCTCCAAACTGGAGGAATTCCTCTAGTGTCTGTCAGCATCGAGGGTGACCTTGATCTCCAGGTGCACCGGTTCACACCATACATAGCATACACGGCAATCTCGCATGTCTGGTCAGATGGCCTTGGAAATCCACACTCGAATGCACTGCCTCGCTGCCAGCTTCTCCGGCTCCGAAGGATAATATATGAATCCTACCACTCAGAATATAGCCCTTTCTATGACCCTGAGAGGGCCCTCGCCAGTGTCTTATATCTGGGAATGCAGACCTTCCCCCAACGGAGCAGGCCGTCACAAACTTTCGACGCGAAGCGTGTGTATTTTTGGATGGATACGTTTTGCATTCCTGTTGCGGTGGAAACAGAGTCAGATCAATGGAGTAAAGAATTGAAATTCCGCGCCATGAGCCAGATTACACCAGCCTTTGCGGGCGCTTTTAATACTATCATTCTCGACAACGAACTACAAGAGATAGGGTTACCAGATCCCAGCCAAATTTCCGGAGATGAAATTGCGGCAATGATCCTAAGTTCAAAATGGATGCAACGAGGCTGGACCCTTGAGGAAGGCTGCCTATCAATGAATTGCGTTGCTCAGCTGATGGGAAAGCCATACAATATACCAGGCTCCCTGAACCATAACCTACAAAGACCAGAAGATTTCTTCTCTCCCCTCGAGCGAGTTTCTATCGATTCCCGACGGTCACTTACTAAAATTCTACGCAGAGTTCTGCTTGACGGGAAGCACCAACTTAGTTCTATCCATAGTCCATTCAAATATGCTCAAGTGGTCCACGATCTACGTCTTTCTCAGTTTGTGTGGATATGGAACTCGCTTCTTGAGCGATCAACAACGAAGGCGGGTGATGGGCCTATTATCGTTGCTAACTCGCTCGGCTTTAGAGTCTCTGGGCTGAAGGCTATACCCGAGGAAGAACGGTTGAAGGCTGTAATCCAAAGTTGTGAAGAGCTCCCCCTTTCTATTCTTTATAATACAGGCCGTCGTATTCGTTCTCCGGAAGTACCTAGTCTTGGCTGGATACCTTCGACAGTTGATGGCGATTATCTCACCACAATGGGTAGCCTTAGAAGATCTAAATCCCAAAGAGCAGATGGCGAAGTCAAACTTTTCATCCATCGGCCTACTGGGAGCCCTGATGGGATTACTGTGCAAGTTACACAGCCAGGGCAAGTTATTCCTTTACAAAAGGAGGTAGTCATTGTTAATATACGCAGTCGGCCAAATGACAATCTAAAGAGGTATATTGTCCAAATTCACCGCCCCAAACTCGAGGACCTATATCACCAGGGCATCAGCACTCGGATGGCAACTAGTCCCACACAAATGAGGCGAAGCTGTCTTATAATAGATTTCGCTTACGGAAGTGCATCCAAACGGGGCTTTAGAGGGAAAGGGGTACTGTTGTCTATCATATCAGATACAGAAACTGGGATGGCGCTCCAATATGAGGCACCGCTGGTGGCTTGGACGCAAGAGCAATGGGAGTTTAGATGCGCCGACTTCCTGAATAGTTCAGTGCCATCTATTGACATGCGCCCAGTCGGCCATTCACAGCGGCTTTATTTGACTTATGGTTTGATGCCGTTTCATATAAGTGATAGAGTTAACCTAACTACCTTTCAACAAGCATATCGCTAACCTCCCGCTAGATCCACTATTCTGGAATAAAAAGCTTACCCGGCGGCCAGAGCTCAATAAGTACCCGCTACTTGGTAATATAGTTACAGCGCTTGTCACACTTCCGCTCGTGGCGGTAACGACATACCTTGCAAGCATGATTTATGTAGCCATTCGTGACGCGCTTGGTATTCCGAGTGGACCAAGTCCCCATGCTACTGTCTTTATATATATTTTCGGCCCTATCTGCGCTATAATTGCGAAGTCTCTGGTTGAAAATCGCATTGCGGCCTTTTGGTATATTTCGTGGCTCAAAAGTCTCGAAGAGCAACCGCTGCCTCGGAAGAGTACGATCTCCACGACCTGTAACTATATTTGTCGAATGGTGAAGAGCTTATCCCGAGCCTCTAACAAGAAACTAACAGGGGTGGCCCTGGTGAACATTAATCTCCTGCCAATGCAGAGGCCGAGGAGCCAGACGTTGGATCTTCCTGGCGAAATTTACCTTGAATGAAGTGTCTCGATAGTTAGCAAAGTTCCGCTTGGGGATAGAAAACTATCATTCATTTAACTATCCTTTGTGTTTCCACTATTCTTAGCTTGACCTGGGCAGCATGATGGATTTCATAGTTCCATTTACGTAGTAAAGTCCAACATTTCCAGGGCTGTGGAAACGAAACCAGCAGAAGTTGAGCTGCGGGCAAAGACTTGACTCCCAAGAAACCTTCTTTTACTCGTACGTGCCTCGCCATAAATCATTGTCCACCTTGGCGCGAGGAGTGACCTATTTTTATAGGGTACCCACACCACATTCAAAGTACCTTATATTGTATATATTGAGTGAAATTCTCTAAAATTTATAATATTTTAATATATAGTACTTTTTATCTTAAAGATAGAGTAAAATCTACAATCTCTTATATATATTATTTAAAAGATATATTTATATATAATTTTTTATGAGATAAAAGTAGCTCAAAACCTAATTTTATAACTATGTGGATAAGTAGGGTGGACAATGATTTCAGGCCTAGTACTAGGTACCTAAGTTAAGTAACTACAATCTTCCGGGTTTACCCGGATTAACTGACTACCTAGGTATGTAGACTGCTTGCATATATTAGGCAGCAATACCCATGATTTCACGCCCTTGAAACTCCCTTGAACACTCCAGACCAAGCATAAACTATTCTCACGGTGCCCTCTTGCAGTAATACGCACGATCGGCAACAACTTCCGGTTCTCACTCCCTCCACTTTCTATCTATGGCCGTGCAAACGACGACGAAGACGGAAATGCAGTCACTAAGTCCCTCCACAGACATCGTCGAGATGTGTCCGCTAGGGACGAGTAGTAGAGTCTTAGCTCCTAAAACGAGCAATTCGGACTCAACCAGAGTGGATATCCGATACCCTGAGCCCCACGCAGCTCCTGAAGAGGCTCAGGTGTATCCTACTGGCATGAAGTTTTGGCTCCTCGTCCTTACTCTAAGCGCTTTGATTATTCTTGGAGGGCTAGACGCCAATATTGTCGCCAGTGCCGTGCCTAGGTACGTTTCACGAATGGTAAACCTGGACTGCCAGAGAAGAAGCTGATACAATTCTTGGCTTGACAGTATCACCGATGATTTCCACACTGCTTCGGATGTTGGCTGGTATTCTTCGGCATTCAGACTCTGCTCTTGTGTGTTTCAGTTAGTCTTTGGCAAGCTATATAAGCTGTTCTCCATAAAGCGTATATTCTTGCTTGCGCAGGCTTTTTTCTTGCTGGGCTCCTTGCTCTGCGCTACAGCCACGGCATCACCCATGCTTATTCTTGGTAGAGCGGTGACTGGAGTAGGATTTGCAGGCCTTATCGGAGGACTGTTCATCATTCTAGTATATATCCTGCCTCTCCATCGACGGCCATTCTTCTGTGGTTTGTTCGGCATGGTTGAGAGTGCAGCTGTTCTTGCGGCACCTATTGTTGGCGGGCTTCTGACTGAATCGCTTGGTTGGCGGTGGTGTTTCTGGATCAACCTGCCCATTGGAGCTGTCACGCTTCTAATGACTATATTCCTATTCTCGGATCCAAAGCCCAGTAACACAAGTATTACTTTGGGGCAAAAGCTACTTGAACTTGACCCGCTAAGCAACCTGCTCTTTATCCCAGCGCTGGCCAGTCTTTTTCTCGCGCTTTCGTGGGCCGGCACAAAGTACGCATGGGACGACGGCAGAGTTATCGGCCCTCTCGTTACATTCGCCGTCCTTATGGCTGCTTTTCTATACAACCAACGCCGGCGAGGTAATGCCGCTGCTGTACCTCCTCATATTTTAAAGAGCCGCAACGTCATTGCTGGCATTATTTTCACAATATGTTCCAATAGCTGTGTTAATGTGCTAGAGTACTACTTACCTAGCTACTACCAGGTTGTACACGAGTACTCCCCTAGTAGAAGCGGCTATATGATGATCCCAATAGTAGTTGGCGCCACTATTGGAATGCTCATCTGTGGGTCGGGAACTAGCATATTCGGTTACTATACGCCGTTTATGCTCTTGTCTTCTACGTTGATGCCTATCTTTGCGGGACTTATAACAACCTTTGGAGTTAATACTAGCTTTATACGGCATCTCCTATATTCTGGCGCGTTCGGGGTGGCCAGCGGAGTCGGCTTTAACGCACCAATCAGTGCCGTACAGACAGTACTGCCCAAGGATGATGTCTCTCTAGGTCTGTCGATTGTGCTCTTCGCACAGCACTTTGGTCCCGCCGTGTCCGTTGCGATAGCTCAAGTCATTTTCACGAGCCAACTCTCGACCAATCTATCCAGGGTAGTCCCGGGTCTGAATACTGCGTCTATTGAATCTAATGGACTGTTAGCACTTGCGAGACATGCACCACCAGCTCAACATGGCGAGATTCTTGCGGGTGCCGGTAGAAGTTTTGGTGAAACATGGTATCTAGCCGCTGGGCTGGCATGTGTGACCTTGGTTGGGAGCTTGCTCATGGAGTGGCAGTCGGTCAAGCAAAAGAATGCTTAAGTCCATAGAGATGATTTTTGGAATCAGTACTGTTGCTGGGAAGGGACCCTTGGGTAATGAGGGATGAATGATAAACTTACAGGCGGGTGGTAGGGACTGCAAGGAGAGCTGAACAGGAGCAGTAAGAGTTGTTAGAAGTTGTATGGAAATAACTCCTACTTAAATTAATCTTGACGGTTCCTGTAGAAATAAGCCTTCTTGAGTGTTGGACATGCAATGACTACCCAATATAATGTAACTTAGGTATCTAGGTAAGCAAGTAACTAGTTGTAATTTCAATCTTTGACACAAACATAATATCCAAGCCATAGCGTTTTGCAGTCTGCTCCAATATTGGGATCCCAGGTATTAAACTGTCCCGCAGTGAATAAAAATTGTCCCCACTTGCAACTTTATGCCACTGTTTGCATAAACATATAGCTCCCGGCTGAGTAGTCCCGGGCTGGTGCAACCCGTAGGTGTGACCTCCGTTAACTTCTTCAATTTCTGGCCCTCACTTCTCGTAGCTTCTCTGTCTTTTTCTCTACACTGAGTTGGGTTTGTGAGATTACCAAGCTGTTTCCGTTCCTGACTATTCATATCTTTACGTTTGTCCGTTAGGATGGAGAACTGCGAGAGCTCTCTTCAAATGGAATGGGCTATCTATGGTGGTGACACAGAACGTGTCCGAGAGCTACTATCAAAGAACGAGGCAGCAAAAGAAGAGCTCGTCGCATTTAGGGATGAAATTGACTTTTGGGTCACCCCGCTTGAACTGGCGGTTGCCCAGAATCAGCCGGACATTATCAAAGTTCTCCTCGAAGCTGGTGTCGACCTAGCTGCAACTGATGAGTTTGGCCAGCAGGGTTCTGCATTAGCTCGAGCGGTGCACCACAACAACCAAGCTGCGTTTCAGTTGCTGCTAGATTGGAACCGTCGGCATTCAGAAGACCCAGATGTGCTAATCGATACTGCAGCATGGATTTGTATTGCAGCTGCACAGTGGCTTGTTGAAATGATGGAAGCTGTCTTGGATTGCAAAATCGCCCCGATTCCACAGCCTGCACTCGACGATGCCCTTTTTATTGCCACAGACCCGACCTGGGCGGGGCTCCTTCCAGATTGGTGGTCCATCACGGATGAGCTCGCTGGAAGGCAGGCTGCTATCATAGACATGCTTCTCGATGCAGGAGCCCATCCAAACACCCGCCATACCAAAGAAGATCAGCGTGATTGGGTGAAAATGCGGACTCCACTACTGCAGATTATGCGGTACGAAAGATTGGGCAACTCAGCCAAGGTTCTCCTGCGGAGAGGGGCCGACCCCAACTCCATCGATGGTGCTGCTGCTGCTCCTATACACTACGCCGCTGCATTCCAAAGCGTAGAGATTGTTCAGCTCTTGGCTCAACATGGGGCCCATATTAATGCCTCGGAGGAGAACGGGCTTACTCCATTACATATTGCTGCTTCTCTAGGGCGCAAGGAGGTGGCGGATTACCTTCTTGAACATGGTGCAGATCCGTCAGCATTGGAGAGGCATAATGAAACCCCCTTGTGTTTTGCAGCTGAGGGAGGATATATCGATATCGTGCGGCTCCTGGTGGATAGGTACAAAGTCGACATACACGCAAGAAACCGAATGGGATGGACCGCTCTTCTTTTTGCGATGAATGATGCGGTTCCTTTAGGGAAAGGAGTCAGGGGGCGAAAAATGATTGAGTTCCTATTATCTAGGGGTGCTGATATCCATGATACTTCGGCTCATGGCTGGACTGTTCTCCATCGGTCAATCATCTCTGACGATGTTTCCCTCGTTGAATTTGTTCTCCAGAAAGGTGGAAGAGACAATATCGAAATTAAATCTCTTAGTGGCCGTCAAAAATCTCACCTTACCTCCGAATTTTTAAGCAATAAACTTGACCCCAAAAACGTGCCAGTGGGGTCCATACCACAGCCACCTTGGGATATACCCGTATCAGGCCAAACCCCGCTCCACTGGGCGGCGGAACGATGTGTGAAGGAGGTGGTGAGGCTGCTTCTAGATTATGGAGCAGATATAAATGCCCAGGATGGCAATGGGAGAACCCCTTTAATGCGATCTATTCAAACTATACAAGAGTCGAGTTCCCTTGATCGAGAAGCAATCTGTGGTGTAGTTGGTCTCTTTCTCGACCGCATGCCCGACCTAGATATCAAGGACAATGGAGGGAACACTGCAAAAGATTGGGCCACAAAACTTGGCTGGGAGTTTAACTGGGTGACACGCATAGATCTATACTCCAGTATTCCACCACTGAATACCTCAATTACATTAACAAGACGGCGTTCAGTACCGCGATGGGGGAGAAGACAATATAGTGACAATAGTGTTAGGCTGTTGAAAATGTTCTGAGGCGAACAATCATCCAATTGGACCTGCTTGATTTTCGTGTGATTAGAGAACTGTAAGGTTCAGATTGAAATCTGAAAACTACGCGTGAAGAACCGTAGTTTTCACACTTACGGGTTTCTTGAATCCGCTTATATCCCCTATGGTAACTTGTTAATAGCTCAGTTAAGTGAAGATCTATTTGGGGAATAACCTGGGTTTCCAAAAACTGATAAGCGCGACAGTCTGGATGGTCTCAGTAGAGAAATACGAACTCGTTGACCAGAAGCCATACCTGTTAATGATTATTAGTCATCACGCGGGGATGGTTTCTTACGTCATGGAGAGGCTGAAGATGAGAGATGAAGAACGAACAGCTTGAAGAGACGAGATGAAGAGAAAGAAGATGGAGAAACGGCAGAGAAGAACGAGAGGAGGAAACCAGAGTCGATAAACAGCACTAAAGAGGAGAAGACAAGACCGACCATGCCGGAACAGAAAGGAGGCCCAGAGAGGACACTGACGCCCGGTAACATCGCCTCAACGGCTTCGCGGGTCCTGCCCCGAGCAGAAGGGCTTAGGTTGAAGAGCGCGCAGGAGACGGTGGCCCTCGTTGGCCATGCGTGCATGGTGGAAGACAGATTTAAGCTGATCGGGCTGGGAGAAGAACATCGGACCGGTAAGTGACGGTGGATGACTCCAAGTTGACGAGAGCTCGGCTCACTATTCTGTATATAGACAGTAGCGACGTTCTGCCTAGAGACTGGAACCTGAGCGGCTCACCACCCTACGCCTTCAGATACTCGCACCCGTATCATCCGCCCTCTGAATACCTGCTCCAGGTCAACCGGCTGGGCAGCAAGACAGTCATATATGCCCTCGCCCTGTTCAACAGCCGGACGACTTCGTTTGACATCTCCACAGATGACTTTATATCAGACTCGAAACTTCCGCTAGACTCGACAGCCGCATCGCAGGAGACTATCTCGGGCCTCTTCGTATCGCAGGCTCGTTTCGAGGAGCTCGTCCGACTGTTTGACGAAAAGATCGTACAGAAATTGATGCCAGACCCATCGGTAGCTCAGACGAGTGAGGGCGAGGGTAAGGAGCCCCAGGCCAGCCTACGGGAGCAAGCCGCCCAGCAGTACCCTTCTCGGGGTCCTCTGCGTGATGACCGTAGCCCTGGACCTACTCGCCCCTATCCGTACGATGACCCGTTGGCCATTCCGTCTCGTGAACCCATACCCGCTCCTGCCGGTGACTTCCCACCGCCGCGGTTCGAGGATGAATATGAGATCAATAGCGGGCCCCGGGGAACCTTCCCGCTCCATGGCGGCTACGGCCGAGGTGAGAGGCAGCCTGTAAATATCGGCGAGAGAGATCTTTATCCCCAGGGTCTTGCTCCCCACGATCCGCTACAGAGACATCTAGGCCCGTCCCGGGGTGGTCGAGGAGGCTTTGGCGGCGGCGGAGGAATGCACCCAACCTTCGACGACCCGATGTTCAGTGGAGGCGGGCGAGGCGAGGATGGTTACGATCTGCAGGTACCGCCTGGAGCAAGGTATGACCCCGTCGGACCAGGAGACAGTCGACCGTATGGACGGGGCGCAGGTGCAGGCTCAGGCTCCTCCGGTTTCCCGGGAAGGCCAGGACCTGGCGGCTTCGGCGGCTTCGGCGGCGGTGGTATAATCTAGCACATAACTAGCCAAGTAGCAATGTACCATATCACCCTCTCGTTGCGCTTTTCCTTCGCAGAGTCCAGTAGTTCTCGCCGTAGTTCTCCTATATTTAGCCCCTGTTGTTGACTTTTTTTCGTTTTGACCTCACGGTGGTGGTCATGTGAGGTGGCTGGAGTTAGTGTGGCGTCCCCAAAACACCAGAAAACGCCAAAACCATCGAAACGCTCGAAAAAAGACCATTTGCCAGGATAAAACAGAAGTCGACAAAGACCAAACAACAACCCGCAGCTCCTGTCGTCGACTATCTAGGACAAACCAGACTCGCGACGTCTCCCTCGAGCTCCCTCGCGTCTCACATTTCCCCTCTAACCGCGCCGCCTTTGCCCTTCCCTCGCTCGCCTTGCTTGGTTGGCTGCTCGCTCTCCCATTTAGTTACCCCCCAGAATAAGCGACCCCCTCCACCACCAGCGAGCTGCTTTAGACCACCACTCCGTCCGCCGTCTCTCTAGCGCCATCGACCCGAGTACGACTCATGGAAGGCAAGATGGAGATTGATTCAGGGCGGTCTCCTGAACCCCATGGCCTCTCGCTCATCACCGACCCGGAGTCAATACCGACCCTAGACGGCTGGATCGAGAGCCTCATGAGCTGCAAGCAGCTTGCGGAGATCGATGTTCAGAGATTATGTGACCGGGTGGGATTCCCCTCCCTTGATACTTTATCTATCTCACGCTTTTCTTTCCTTCTCCTTTTCTTGCCGTTGCAGTTGTCGTTGAGGCTCTCTATGCCGCCTTATACTACTGTCCTGTTTGATGTGGCCCCCTTAAGGCTAACCAAGTCATCTACGAACAGGCTAGAGAAGTTCTACAGGAAGAGTCGAACGTCCAACCAGTGGTATGTTTCTGGCCCCCGCCTGGTGGTTTGGGGTGTTTCAGGATTGCCTAGGAGATATGCTGATGCCCGTCGGCTTGCTGCAGAAATGTCCAGTAACTGTTTGTGGAGACATCCATGGCCAATTCCATGACCTGATGGAGTTATTTAGGATTGGTGGCCCTAATCCAGATACAAACTACCTATTCATGGGTATGTCGATGTTGGGAATGAATAGGAGAAGCCGATGCATATCTCCCCGCCGAGAAAAGTCAGTCTAACATGTTTTAAAATATAGGTGACTATGTCGACCGTGGCTACTATTCTGTTGAGACAGTCACTCTGCTCGTTGCTCTTAAGATCCGCTATCCCGGCCGCATCACCATCTTAAGAGGCAACCATGAATCACGCCAGATAACACAGGTCTACGGCTTCTACGACGAGTGCCTGCGGAAATACGGAAATGCAAATGTTTGGAAATATTTTACCGATCTCTTTGACTTCCTCCCCCTCACCGCTCTCATCGACAACCAGATTTTCTGCCTTCATGGAGGCTTGAGCCCTTCAATCGATACACTGGATAATATCAGATCTCTCGACCGTATGCAGGAAGTGCCGCATGAAGGTCCCATGTGTGATCTGCTCTGGAGTGACCCAGACGACAGGTGCGGCTGGGGAATCTCTCCTCGTGGTGCTGGATATACCTTTGGCCAGGATATCTCAGAGGCATTCAACCATAACAACGGGTTAACCCTCGTCGCGAGAGCACATCAGCTGGTGATGGAAGGGTATAATTGGTCTCAGGACCGGAATGTAGTAACTATATTCTCTGGTACGTTTATGCACGTGTATTTTTCCCGACGCATGGTGACCATGCTAACCCAGTTGATCTGATCAGCTCCAAATTACTGTTATCGGTGCGGGAATCAAGCAGCGATTATGGAAATAGACGAAAATCTCAAGTATACTTTGTATGTCATTCACATCTCACCCGATCCGTTTTCTCTAACTAACTTCATCGTCACAGCCTTCAATTCGATCCTTGTCCTCGCGCTGGAGAGCCAATGGTGTCTCGCCGCACGCCAGACTACTTCCTGTAGATACGAGAAAAATGACCTACAATACTTACATTCAAAGCATCCTGCATTCCAGTTCATCTCACAGTGATCCACCCCTGAACTTTCCACGATCTTCAATAAATTACTTACAACTTCCCGTCGTTGCTAACCCATGACTGGATTGTACACGGCACACTTAATCCTCTCTTTCTTTTTTTCGTACTTATTCATGGCACCACCTTTTCCTTCTGTTCCATACGTTGCCTCTCGCTCGCCTTTGTATGCTGAGGAGAGGAAAGATTTTCTAGCTGGATTATAACGGACCCTGTTGAACAAAGAAAGGGGAGGAATAACTTGGGCGACTTGAAGAAAGAGATGGCTTGCTGAAACATCACAAAAGAGAGAAAGATAAAAAGAATTAGAATACCCAAACCTCCAACGAAAAAGAACTAGAGTTGCAGATGAATGTGATAAGCGTTTGGCCTAAATAATGTTCGTACTCGATATTATGAAAGGTAGTTTGCAACAGGGTCACCCCAAGCTTGATTATTATTATTATTATTATTATTATTATTCTTCATTATACTCCTATGCGGTCAAGGACTATGAGGAGTCCTATACTCCGTACTAAGTACAGGGAAAGGGAAATTAAAGTCTTTTAGCCACCTTAGGCTTCTTAGGTCTTAGGGAAGGCGCTTATTGGAAATTGCTTATCAAAAGCAAGAGAAATAGTCACAATTTTTAGCTAGATCTATTAAGATACTAGACTATTTAGTCAATTTTAACAAAGGAGAGTTAAAGAGCGGATTTTTAAGCCTTCTATAAGGCTAGTTTCTTAAGCCCTAAGGCCAATTACTTAAGGTCTTAATAATATCTATTAATTAGGGGGGTTAGAGCCGTGTGCCGTATGCTGCCGTTTTTCCTACCTTACCCCCTTTTTAATTAGAGAATACCTAACCTAAGTATTTTAGTGGTAAATGTGGAAGGTGAAGGGGGTGGGATTCGAACCCACGACTCTGTAGAGTACCCCAAGCTTGACTTAGCACGGTAGGTAGTAGCGTTCCGGTATTTGTTTCGCCGTCAACTTGTGTCCAGCTCCCATATACAAGACAAATATAACATTCAACTGATTAACCATTGATCTTTTTTAATTATCTATCCCTGGATCATCTGCCATCTACTCATCTTCGTCTTCTTGCCTGGTATCAACTTACTGCCGCATCGGGATAAATAACTCAGCAGAGCCATGCAAACAAAGCAAAATATGCAAACACAAACACTGCAAACACGCCACCTCAGAATTCATGCAAACATGACAAATCAATGAGCATCAAACATCCTTAACAGCCAGCATCAAACTAACTAAGTCCTCGCATTAATAAGTATACGAGACTGGATGCGAGGACGGGAGTTGAAATAGTGGCATGGATTAAAAATCAGTGTGGAAGGTATGCTGAATACATGTAGCTGGCTTAATGGTAGAGAAATGTATAAAAAGGAGTGCTCGGTACCAGCTGGATGGAGTATCAAGCGCAGCTCACCCAACACGCAATCCAGCATAGTTATCAAACCGCTTTCCCCTAGGACGCTTATAGTTCATCAATCTCCTTTTAAAAAAAATTATAATGGCCATTTACTCCGGCAAAAATGCGGTCATCATTGGCGGAAGCCATGGTATCGGCCTGGAAGTTGCTAAAGCACTGGTTTCCCAGGGTGCGAGAGTAGTCGTCTCCGGACGGCGCGCAGAACCGGTCGAAGCCGCAGCAAAGGAACTCAATGAACTGGCCGTCGGGGCTGCTATAGTTGTTCAATCGGATGTCACCTGCATGAAGAGCCATGCGGAACTCGAAGGTTTCGTCAAAGAGCATCTCGCGGCCGATGGAGCAGCAACCATCGATTTCCTCTTTATCAACGCTGCCTACGCCAACCTTGTTCCGTTCAAGTCTGTTACCGAGGCGGATTTCGACAAACATTTCAACAACAACACCCGTGGGCCCTTTTTCATCGCACAGCGGCTGGTACCGTATATCCGACCAGGTGGCTCCATTGTGTTCACGGCAAGTGTATCCATCGGCACTGGGTATCCAGGTATGGCTGCATACTCTGCATCAAAGGCTGCCGTGTACTCCCTTGTGCAAACGCTTGCTGCTGAACTAGCTAGTGGGGGCAATGGTAAAGAGGGTATTCGGGTTAACGCAGTCAGTCCTGGCTTTGTTGACACTCCAACCATGGGAATAATCGGTGCGACGAAGGAGGATAGAGAGGCATTTGCAAAGATTGGAGCCCAGACGTCGCCAATGGGCCGAATCGCAAAGCCTACGGAAATCGCCAAGGCTGTATTATTTTTGGGTTTCGATGCCACATACACTACCGGTATCGAGTTTGTGGCCGATGGAGGATCTAGACATTTGAGCATTCAGCTCGAAGGTCACTGATGTGGCGGCGCTGTCTTCTCCGTCTTCGACTGTTTCAAAGGCGGTATAGATTTTCAAAAGAGGTGAACGAAGGGGTATATCAACATTAATAACGTGTATATAAAATAGCAATATTACATAGTGAGATGTCAATAAACACCTATAAATGTCGCAATGTATTTTGACAAGCTGTGACCACGGAGGGAAAAATCACCACCAAAATGGCAGTGCTATGCAGACCGACAGGAAAACAAATAGGAGTGATAAAATGCTTGTGAGCAGCTTCAAGGTATGACAACCTGGCTTTGGCCTGCTTCATCGTCGCTTGTTGTCTTGGGTTCAGTTCGGTTGTCAGTGTAGTTGCGTGTTTTAGAACTTCCGTTAGGAACGAAAAACCTGCGGTCGATACGCCCAAAGAGGAACATGTAGACAACCATGGCTTCGAGCACAAAATTGAAAACATAAAAACAAGCCTTATGGTGGAACCACGCAGGATTGGTAGGCGCTCGAGGAGGAGAGGCGCTGACTCCGATACGGAACCCAGCGCCAAGAGTCAAAAGAAAAGCTGCAGTGGCTACGATGATGACCTTTGCCGACCAGGATCCAGAACCAAATTGCTCGGGTGGTTGCCGTCCGGGAGCCAGATAAATACATGCAAGTATAGGTATTGGGAGGAAGGCAACAAAAGTCAGCAAGCTACCGCCGAAAAGCTGTAGGTCACGATCAATTTGTCGGGTGTGAGGATCCGGGGTGAAGAAGCTTTGCACGGTCGCTGTGATGACCATTACCAACGTTAAGCCAATAAGGATGTAGAGTATTTTAAAGGCGTAAGACACCGGGCGAGACCAACCAACGGCGGGATGACTCGCACGAAGCATGCGTTGTGCGAATATCAAGTTGAGCACGAACAGTATCAAAACACCCGCGGCAACAAAGACCTGTGCAGCAATCGCAATATCGATATCCATCGGGTTAGCGGCCCAAACTATGCGGAGGATGTTGGCAACAATACGGGCCATGCAAAATCCCCCGCTCGCTGCAGACGGGATGAACTTGTGGTTGCGTTTCAGGTTCTTTCGAAACATGGTAAAATGCGATATCGCTCCCACGAGGAATATGGCAATGAAAACGGCACAGATGGCCACATCTATTGACACAGTCGGGCGGCCACCAAGTCCTGCACCTGGAGGAGGGTAAGGAGGCCCAGGCATGCCCATACCAGGCTATTGCAACCAGTCGTTAGATACAGTTCAGGCCGAGAAGGTTTCATAGTAATAAGAGTCCATCTTACTTACCTTTCCGTAAGCGCCATCTGCCATGTTTGTATAGCTAGAAATCATATGGTGCCTTGACAAAAGGCCATTCAGTGATGTATGTCGTCCAAACATTCGATTTAGAAGGTATAGAGAGGAATAATCGAAAGTGAAGGATGAATTACAAGAGACAGCTTGAAAGGAAATTAATCATTTAAGAAGAATCCCATTGTTTAGTAGTATGAAACGATGAACCGGCCATAGTTACGACGTCGGAGGCCGAACTCTTGCAGACTGTCACTGGGATCATGGTAATTCGTAATAAGAAAAAAAAAATAGTCTCTTTCCTTTTGCCTATCAAGTAAGATGACGGAATATCCACAGTCTCGCTGTCGCGTTAGTGGTGATGGCCGAAGTTGCTAGCATCGTTCTCCTATGGCTGAAAGCACAGGGCGGCAAATCGGCGAAAAAAAGACCGACTTGCCGACTAACAGCTGGGCCGCTAATAACATAAGCACTCCAAAGTGAAGACGACTAGCATGGCCAGGGGCATTTTCATCCCGCTCTGTACTCCGTACTTCTTGACGCAAAATGTTCTGTATTTATTTCTTTTTTTGCCAGGAATTTATGTGAGCATGATGGTTGGCGGACGTTTCAAACAGCGTCGCTAACGCGGGTGGCACAGCATAAAGCTGTGCCTGAACCTTTGTTGTGAAAAGTACGGAGTAAGGGTGAGAGCTCGGTGATGCTCAAGCCAGGATGGATCACTTCTCGAACCCCATGCTGTAGCCACCGGTTTTCTCGTCCTTGACGAACTTGAAATTATCTGTGGATAGACCGAATGGCTTGAGGATTCCGTTTCCGAGCTACAAGCGACACAGGTGTTCCATTAGAGAAGACTTTCAAAACAATAAAGCAAAAGTTTACGGAGAAACTCGTCGACAGGGCACTTACGTCTTTTAGTTTACCCATCATCTCGGCCATTTCTTTATCCTTTGCTACATTGATTTTGGCAGGCAAGTCTCGTAAAGTGATCTTCACCGCTCGCGTGTCTTGCGGAGGAAGATTTCCCAGAGCCAGCAGGCTCTTATAGTCCTCCTCCGCACCCTGGAGATTCGCCCAGCCGGCCAACTGCATTCTTGCCTTTGCTCTCCGCATCAGGGACTTGCCTCTTATACGTAGTATGTCTTGCCTGCGTGTATCGTTTTCTTTCAGCTTGCGAAGCGCTTCATCTTCCTGCTCCGAGCTTGTATCGTCCGGTAACTCAACGATCGTTGGGGTGGCGTCTGCTGTCATATTTGAAGCTTTATCCGCATCCGCACTGGCTTGCAAGGTGGTGGTAGGGACGGTCATAGGCATCAAACGGTCTAGACATGATATGCTCGATGTAGCTGTGTCTACAGCCGACTCCCACTCTTCCAGTTTCAAATGGCATGCTGCGATGTTGCTCTTTAAAACGGCTACCTCATAATCAAGGTAGTTAGGGCAAACGGCGAGAGCTCGATCGTATGTAGTGATAGCCTCTGAGTAGTTAGAAGCAGAAAACAGTGTGTTCGCAGCAGCTTTGTGGCTATGCGACTGGCTTAACAGTTCCTATCACAGTTGACTAGTTAGTTAGCGAGATCTGACTTCGGCGGTAGTTGTGGACACATACAACTTCTTCGTCTGGGGTAAAACGAGCATCGTGAAAGACTTCTTCGTCCCCATCGCTCTCCTTATCCTTATCTTTCGCTGCACCTGCCATGGCGTACTCCAGGCGCTAAGTATGCAATGTCTGCGATTTTTCCTACTGTTTGGACAGGCGTTTGTTCGATACTTGGGTTGTTCTGCAACTAACTGGTAACTACCCAATTAACTAACTATAGGGTTAGACGCGTTAAAGGAATTACCCAACTATTTAGTTAACCGGTTAGTTAGTCCGTTTGTGCTAGCTGGTGATTAATTATAGTTAACTACCTAGGTATGGAGTAGTTATATGTTAATTAACTAGCATTTACTACGGAGTACCTCCCCTATACATAATTAAATATTTCGGTTATTCTCACAGTAACGTGACCTGGAATAACTTCCTTCCGCTTCTAGCGCTGCTTCTCAGCCAATTATAAACCTTGATGAATAAAGATAACTTGCCCGTCCAATCAACCAAGCTACACCACTACCCCGTTGCGAAGCATAAGGGGTTAGTGGTGTAGCTTGGTTGATTGGACAGGCATAGACTCTTGAAATTTATTAGTGGCACTTATTGGCTAATCTCTATGATTCTACAGAGTATTTTAACCAATAGTAATTTACATTCCAACGAGTTGCGAGCGTAGCGAGCGCTATCAACTCGTGTAAAAAAACAAAAAGAGCATTGGTTGGGTGGTTTTTGATTAGCCTCTTTGCTAATAACTACGTACTTAATGGACGGTTCTAACTAAGAGTTAACTACGGATTAATGATGATCTAACCCCTTGCTGCTTGACGTCAATTAATGGATGCCTGTCGCGAGGTGTTAAGTCGTGACTTAACTAGTGGTTAGGAGTTGATGACCCTTTTACACTGTGCCTCAAGTGGTTCTCTGACGACTTGGACCACACAATGTCTTTTCTTCGACGGATGGCGTTTCAATCGCGGCGCACTATGCTCTCCATCAAAAAATCGCCTTGGGAGATACCGCCTAACCCACTACCTCCACTCCCCTAGCATGAACTTGTCGATGAGGAGATTTGCCCTGGTTACAATCCGGTTGCTTTCTATCCAGCGAAGCCAGGGGAAGTGCTCATTGAGAAATTTCAATTACTGAACAAAATTGGGTGGGGATCAGTGTCAACCGTGTGGTTCGCCCGGAATCTTTTAAGGTAGCTACCAATATACATCCCTACTATTCATCTCACGCACGTTAACAGTAAACAAACAAGGAATAAATGGCAGTCTGAGAAAATCGTCGCCCTTAAGATAGCCAATAGTGACAGCATTGAAGAGGCACAGCGTGAAAAACAAATTGAAGATCACATTGCACATCTAAATCCAGGGCATCGTGGGCACCTAATTCTACGAACATGTCTCGATACCTTCAAAATAATTGGTCCTAAAGGAAAACACATATGCCTTGTATATGAACCGATGAGGGAACCTCTCTGGATTTTTCAGAAACGCTTCGTCAGCCGCCAGATTCCTTTACCTATTGCAAAAATGTATATATACTTCCTCCTGGTTGGCCTAGATTATCTTCACTCAGAGTGCAAAGTTGTTCACGCAGGTCAGTCGCTTTTTGTCTTTTGGCCCCCTACTTACTGAGAAATTAATCAATCATTGCAGATCTAAAACTAGATAATATTCTTATGAGCTTTGAGAGTGAAGAGATTCTTGGTACCTTCATCAATCAAAAGCATCAGATGGAATATAAAACTGATGAAAAGAGTGGTCGAACTACCTACCGATGCAACAATGACTTTGGTCCCCTTAACATGAAAAAATTTACGAGCCTGATTCCCAAGATCACGGATTTTGGTCTGTCTGCGAGACTGGATGAATTGGATACACGAAATGACTTGGTAGGTGGCCAATTATATTCTTATCCAATTCAACCGGATTATTACCGCGCACCTGAGGTGATCCTCGGCTGTGGTTGGGATGCAAAAGCAGATATTTGGAACTTTGGTGTACTGGTAAGTCTATACCATTCCTCCCTGAACACTCATTCGTGATTCTTAGCTCGTCGTTGTTACTTTACAACAACTACATAACACCATTTGCTAATAACCTTGTTCGAGAAGTTGTGGAACATCCTCGGTGGCAAGGAGCTGTTCCAGCAAGTCCATGACAAGAATGGCCTGTACGATGCAAAATTACACCTTGGGGAAATGATTGCTCTACTTGGTACACCCCCCACGGCATTAATTGCGAGATCAGAGGCCATGTCTAGATGTAACTGGCCTGAACATCTCACAAACACAACCGGTAAACTCTGCAATAATCCTCAAGAATTTTTCGGCGGCCCCTTTTTTAACTCGGAAGGTAATCCAATACCAGACTAACATAACAAATTTTTATGTACTAACTGTGTGTTTGAGGTGAATTTTTCTATAATGAACTTATCCCTTCCCGAAACTTAGAAAGCGGCATCCAGTTTCTGGAGGACAGCGAGAAAGAAACATTCTTGTCATTTGTTAGCCAAATGCTTGTCTGGCACCCAGACGAAAGGAAGACGGCCCGCGAACTGATTGAACATCCGTTTCTTAAACTATCCAGTTAATAAGGTACTCCAGGAAAGAACCCAGGGCAATACGAAGGAAATGCTTGTTCTTACACAGCGGCTTATTGACTATGTAAATAAGATCATTATATCAACTGCATATGTAGAGAGCAAAAGCCCCTCCTGTGTAAGGTTGAGATTCGAGATAACAAGAGTGCAAAGCGAATTAGTCTTCTGTATACATTCCCCTTTTTAGACCACGGCATAGGATATTTCTCCTTCTCTAGCGTCCATCCATTAACCAGAACTCCAGGGACCCCTTGTCATGGTCATTTAGTATTTAGTTGTGGAGCTAGGCCCATCTCCTTCGCGGGGGGGGGGCTCATGAATACACGGAATTTTCACATTTATTAGTGCTGGAAAATGCAACCCTGCCGCTGGTGCAATAGGTTCGCCGTTCCCTTTCATGAGGTAATAGAAACATGGTAAGGATCCTTGGTTTAGGGATATCGTGAGGGTCGTCCCTAGATAGGGGTTAGCTAATAACTCAAAGCCCAAAAATAACTTGTTTAACCACTTGAGAAGGACCAACTTGTTTAGCTGGTAGTCATCCCCCTGGCATGGAGTGGGTCAACGGCACAGCAATCTGTTAACTAGTTAACGTATACATACATATAACTAACTAGCTACGTAGAAAAGAGCCAATAAAATAGTTAGTTAACTACCTCGTTATTCAACTAACTAGTTAACTATTGAAAACTTCTGAGTTCAGCGAACCTTATTAGGCGCCTGATTTAAACTAAATTAATAACTCCGTAGCTAACTAGTTAGTGAATTAGTCGCTTACGGACTAAAAAATTCTCACGTAGCTTTAGGATGGCAAAAGTAAAACCCCCTCTAGGCCATGATGATGTAGTAAATGATATTACGGAGTACTGAAGCAACAACGAACCGCAAGATCATATATTACAATAAGTGGGATTTCCATACAAGGAGCGTCTGTAACACTAAAGCAGTATTGTTCAGTTGATTAAATAGTTAATGATTACTGGAATCGGTAGCCCTTTCTCCAACAATCTGGCCCTTGTAGTTAGCAGGGCAAGGCAGCTTGTAATCTAGTAGATTATCAATTTCCGAGATTAAAGACTGATGAGCAGAACAGGTCAAGCCTTCTTTATTATAATTATCATTACAATATACTTTCGAGTAATGTAGTAAATCCTGCAGAGATCCTGCTGTTCATGGGTTATAGGACCGTGGATAGGACCATGGTACCGTCATTGCCCTCTAGGACCGGACAAAGGTCGGCCCCAGCCCAGAATTGGCCAATACGGTCAAACGGTGTGGCCTAGAGCTATGACCCTGCATGCGGTAATAAGTCACTTGAAATAAGCCCTATAAAGTGCATACAATTCTAAAAGGATAGCTGTTTCACCAACATAAATCATGTGTCTGTACTTCCACGGTCTCTTAGAGCTCTTGAATGGTCACTTAATTAGTTGCCGTTGATAGCTAAACCCCACGACTCTCGGACCGGTAAAATATGACTCTGCATCCGTACAGGCTACCCCCATCCACGCGACCGATGATCGCTAGGTGAGATGGCAGGATGACAACTGCATCATAGCTTGACTCCGCTATTGATAGACAGTCATCGCCTCAATTCTCGTATATTAATGAGCTAGACAGCTAAGCATCAAGTTAGCTCTCGTTCACTTGATCACTAGTTCTGGATAGCCGAGGCTAAGCGTGGATAAAGTTAGCCTTCAAGGGGAAGAAACGTGCAAAAACAAAGATTGATATCGAAAACTCCAAACATAATTGAATCCTGCCAATTGTCAGGACCAGACCAGCAGAAACGTTTATAAAGACTGGCTCTATCCGCCGTCATGTCTCTCCAGAAAGAGTAAGAGAAGATCACACTATTCCCCCGTTAACCACCTGGTGTGAAACTCTGATTTGCTTTTCGCATGATGGCTAACCATAGCTTGAACCGCAGATTGCCCCCCATTAGAGCATGTCTCTTTGACATGGATGGACTCCTTATCGACTCTGAAGACATCTACACGTTCGTCATAAATCAAATTTTGCATGAATACGGGAAACCCAATCTGCCATGGTCTATCAAGGCGCAGCTGCAGGGCCGTCCCCAGCCACAGGTATGGATCCTATTCGTGCACACTCATTCAGGGAATACCCACAGTATGGCAGCGTTACTTTAGAAAAATATTCTAATTTACTGCTCTTCCACGTTATATATATAGTCCGGCCAAGTGTTTCAGAAATGGGCCCAGCTACCCATCTCTCAGGAAGAGCTACAGAAGAAAATCGCTGCTCTTCAACGGCCCCAGTTCCCAAAGACACAGCCGCTACCTGGTGTTATGCAGCTCATTAGCAATCTATCCCGCGCCGCATCGAATTCCCCCCCGGTACACATCGCGCTGGCTACCTCTTCTACAACCACAAACTTCAAGCTCAAAACTTCCCACCTCTCAAGTCTATTCTCTCAGTTCCCTCCATCCAGGATCATTGTGGGAGATGACCCCAGGATAGCCCCCGGGCGAGGGAAACCACTCCCTGACATATATCTGCTGGCCCTTAGCATTATAAACAAAGAGATCCAGGCAAAAGGCGAACGCCCAATCACCCCAGCAGAATGTCTCGTGTTTGAGGACTCTGTTCCGGGTGTGGAAGCCGGTCGGAGAGCTGGTATGAGAGTTATTTGGTGTCCTTACGAAGGGCTGCTTGAAGTATACAAAAGCCAGGTACCGGAAGTCTTAGCTGGTTTGACGGGAGCCCATAAAGACCCCGAGGAAAACGGTCACGATACTCCTGCTACTTCCAATCCCGGCAAACCTGGTAACCTGAATGACGGGTGGGGGGACCTAGTACGCACCTTGGAGAACTTCCCGTACGAGAAATTTGGGATCAAAATTGCTTGATATCCTATCACCCTCATTCATTTACCTTAACTTCTTACGATGACATGATTTCAAAGCTCTTTCTTACAGGCAGGGCGAATGAACCGGTACAAACTGTCCAAAGAATAGACTTGTTTAACATTTATTATACCAATAGATCTGGCATGAAAACAAAATTCCACCGTAGTGTTCAGGATTTGCGGTGAGGTATAGTTTCTTGGCTGCCAATATGGATTGGATTCCGCGTATAATATAAACAGGGTGGTATATCAATGGTTCCTGAATTCCAAATTGTATCACCATCCCTGGAGATCTATAAGTCTTGACTAGAGAGAGAAATAACAAAATTGGCGTTTAGTCTTTATTAGGTAATGAAAGATAGCAAAATCTAGTTATAATGGAATTGAATTAAGCGCAAGGACGTGACTTTGTCCCATCCTTCTCTCCCCGTCCTTCGCCTTCGGATTATTCTTTCTAGGTGCGGACTGATAGTGCTATGTGGACACCGTGGGTAGAATAAAACGTTCAACGTGTCGAGAAAGCTTCATGAAAGATGGGGTTGCTGAATTGGTAAATGTACCTGAAACTTCCGTTTGTTAATCCCATTTGTAAAGCTGGGTTCAATTTTCTTGTAATAGAGAGTAAAATGCTGAAGCTGGGCATTTAGAAATAGAGAAAGAAGACAACAAAAAATGCAGATCTATTTGTGAAGGTGTTATCTGAGAAATTTTGACTTCGGGAAGTATGATGAAGAGGCCTTGCGCCAGCTTTGACGATATCAGCATGAGAGCCTGGGTGATTTGTTGGTATGTTTCAATGATGCGCCTTCTTCGCAGAACTTTCTAAATGGTTAGGGATGTCAGCAGATCTCTTTCGAGAAGCCTTGCGGGCTGGCTTCGGTTGGGGACCGGGAGTGACCTCGCTAGAAACTGACGTAGAGGCAAAATGTGGCGTTGCAGATAGCATGTTTGGGGTTCTTGGGGGATATTGTGAAGATGGAATGGCATTGGAGTAGGTCTGATTCCAAGGTGACCTCGGAGGAGAAAGAATGTTAGGGTATATGGGACTAGCCATTGTACCCATGTTGGACCGGGATGCATTGGTAGCTGCTCCACTCCTAGGAGTATATGTTTGGCCTTGATGGAATCCGGTGGATGATCTAGCATCAAGACTACCAACTGGGTGTACATGATAGGGTAGCTGTGCGCCCGATGCAGAGTGCTGGATAAGCTGTGGTTGCATACCCATTATAGGGCTGACCTGAGGGCTTAGCTGATGAAAGTCAGCGTGTGCTGATCCCAAGTGTTGTTGAGCAGATAGAGCCACTGGCGGATTCAAATAGCCAAGATTAGATGAGCTGCTGCTAACCGAGACTTCTTGTTTGGGGGTAGAGAAAGGACTCGCAAGTGGGCGTTGAGCCTCGTCTTCGGCAGCGACATCATCCTCTGCAGCTCTCTTGGCTATAACCTTCTTGCCAGCATCTATAGTCTGCTTTTTCTTCGCATTGAGAGTCTTGTTGGAGTCAACACGCTTTAATCGTCGGTCAGAAATATCCGCTTTAGTCTTTGCTAAAGTAGAGGGATAGGAAGAAGTACTTACACTTAAACATGAGTTTGGGTCGTCCACAAATTGGAGAAGATAGTAAGGATCTAGCAAATGGCGACAGACAGTCTTGCGGGTCTGTTAAAGCAGTTAGCTTATAATATCAGAGAGCCAAGGTAAAAGGAATCCAACCCTCAAAATTCGAAGCATATCTCCAAAGCGCTCTGCAAAGTTCTGCTTATTCTTTCTAGTTTTGTTCTTCAATGCTTCTTCCTCTGGTGTGAGAAATGGGCCAGCTTCTTGTCGCACAATACAGCAATCCTAATAATAAAAGTTAGTTTCTTGTTAGAGTTTAGCAATATATGAGAAAACAATGCAAATGAATATACCAGGATATTCCAGCAGCATATTTCGATCTTTCTGCCACTGAATTTCTTAGTTGCAAAAGGCTTGATCATTCCCCAATTATCCGTAGCGCATTCAAAGCTTCTCATAGCCTTTATAAGTTTGATAACACACTCTTGTCGTTCATAGGCGTTGCGTGGAATTGTAGCATCAAATGGCATAGGCCGTCTATCTGGGCGATAGTCGTTGGCTTCTTTTGAGGAAGAAAATTGCAGGATGACCAAATCACTGGGGTCTTTGTAGCTGTACCTCTCGTCCTTGACCTCAACTGCGCCATCATTATGACTTGGAGTATCCTGAGTATTCCATGTCATAAGTTCCGGCCCTGGTATCGACGAGTTGCCAAGGGCTTGTACGGGACGAGGCGACGCGCTGTATGCATCAGAAATAGAATAGTCCACAGCAGGCTGGTGTAGGGTGGTCGCCTGGAAATCTTGAGTTTTCCCAGGATTCATGTTATCTTCTTGATCTACGCATGGCTGTAAAGGCGCAACGTGTGGGCCGACGGCATAGGTTGCGAACCCCTCATAAAAGCGATGATCCTCCTCCGTATTTTTCATTTCTATGTTGTAGTCAAGGGGTGATTGCTTTATCTCTCCGCTTCCATCCGTAGCGACCGACTGTGGTGTCTGAAGCTGCTTGTTAGACTGAAGTGCATTAGTGGCATAGGCAATCTCTAACGAAGAGGAGGCATTGGCCTGCTCGATGTTGTTATGTGTCTGAAGGTTTTTTGGGGCTAGATCAGCGTCACACATCTGGTCTGGTGAGCCAGTTAGGTTGAATAAATCATCAAATTCAAACAGGGTATTGTTTGTAGCCTCGAGTTCCTGCTTCTTTTCAACAATCTCTAGGAGTCAAGCATTAGATATGAATGGTGCAAAGTATGTGGTATAGATTACTATGAACGAGAAATTTCTATTCACGAGTAGTCTCACCTAAGCTGCATTCCGCATCTACGGCGTTGGGTTTGTTCTTCGCCTTGGGTTTTGTACATTTCCGGCCATGAAAGGTATCCCCTTGGCCGTAGGAAGGACCTGCCTGATCGATGTCGTATCTACTCAAATAGATAGATAGTAAGCACTTAGAGCCACTAGGTAGGAGTGATACTATTGGTTGTAATAACTTACGCATAGTCCCGCAGAGCCATTAGGCCCGCTATGTCTTCATTTGAGATTTTCGACATCTCATCTCCACAGAAAATATTAGAGTGATTCATTTGAGCTATCATTGAGTAAACTCAGTATGGCTCACACGTATGGCATGGGGCAGAATCGGTTAAAGGAGATTATGCGTTCACAAAAAACCAAGGACAAATCAAATGGCTCACCTAGAGTATTTTGGGGATTAGGGAGATGGAATAGGTAATTCGGTGAGGATTTCGCTCTCGACCGTAAACTTTAGTGAGATATCGGGGCGGGTTAGTGAACCTGCTAGCTGTCAGGGCAGTTTAAGCCGGTTGGCGCAGAGAAGGATAGGTATCGTAGAGAGTAGACAGGCTGTTGAGTGAGTAATCTTGATAAGAAGTAGGAGAGTTAGGCAGTTGATATCAGAGCTGTGGAATCAGAAACGCTGGTACGATGAAGAGTGGTGAAGGAGGAAGAGAATTTGGAGCTGGAAGAATTTTGAAGATGAAGTTATAGACATGGCCGAGGAAGTTCCATTGTCTGCTTGAATATTCACTGTCTGGCCGGACCAACGCCCCCCAATCCCCGCTGGTCGTGAATATAGACCTCACATCGACGCCGTAAAACATGAGGTTACCGTGCTTAGGAGCTGCCTACTTACGTTCGCGTAAGTTCCCGAGAGTGAGTTATCAGATCCTTAGTTCAATGAATCAATGGAATATCAATACTCAGACGCCGGGAGATCCCGCAAAGCGTCCAGATATCAATAGGCACCTCGGTCAGCTTGACGTCTATTGACCTATATCGTGCAAAGGTCCGAGCCATACTCTGCACTAAAGCAACAAAGAGGTTCAACTGCCTCCATCTTTGAGTAGCCTTCACTTGTTGTGATCTATACAGAGAATTTTGACTGACAAGTATCAACATTGCCAGAGGAATTGCGAGCTTTAGGAAGTAGGTAGTTGTCGGTGCTGTTTCTTGTCAATGAGGTTGTTTCCAATCAACGTTATCCTGGATCGGAGCTCCATGCATACATTGCAGGATAGGACATTATGCGGTGTTAGCTAACACGGTACACAGCTCCAACTTGCGACTTGAGTGATGCCGCAATAATCATTTTCCCTTGACGCTTCTCAGTAGGAGACAGGATTTCTGGGACGATCCTGTCAGGTGCTCGATGTTCTAAGAACCGAGCGCTTGAAATGGGTATCTTCCAGAGTTAGTCCGGTGAAACATAATGGCTACTTCTCAAGCCTCGCGTTTCGCCGTGGCACCTTTTCGATGTAGTCGTCGTCGTTTTCTACCAAAGGCAAGTAACTACCTACCTAGGTTACGAAGTAGGTCAAAAATAACTAATCAAGGTAGGGTTTCTTGGCGATAGTTAGTTAATAACTAGTTACCGCGGATTATCGCCAAGCGCTAACTAACTAACTAACAGGTACTTAGTTAGTTACCTAACTACCTAGGTTAGTTAGTTAATTCTGCCGCACTCAACCAACCAACCGCCCGTTGCCAACACAGATACGGTGTAGGTGAATTCCTAAGTAGTTAATAGCACCTGGATTGAATGATTGCTGCTGGCCAAAAAGTAGCTAGAGACTCTGAGGTTAGTTGAACTAGTACTAAGACTGCAATGGTTAAAGAATGACCTGGCGTCATAATTAGCAGTGTGCCTACCCAAATCGAGCTCCAACGCCCCGCCCGCGATGCAAGTGGGGGGAAGCATATATCCGTATTTAGAGCGGTCAATTTGGTGAAGTGGTTAGAAGTGGTTAATCTATCAATGGTTGTCTTTACCCTCTAATATTAGCTGTTTAACCCGTGTAGTAAGTTAGAAACCTCTCCCATCAAGTTGCTATCCTGCACTCAACAGCGGTCTGTTAGTATCATGTCAAAATAGAGCTTCAACTAGTGTGGGCTTGGGTTTGCTCTTTTGGCTCAGCCGTTTTGATAACTAGGCAATTACTTCAGTGTACGGGAGATTTGAGAGGAGACGCAACGACGTTAAGCCAAGGCTTTAACCGCTTTTATAACGTAGTTATCCATCGTGATTATCGGCATAAGTAGCGGATCCTCTCCGTCAGTATGATAATTAGTACCTCCCAACTCCCATGATACCGGGTTCCCACATGCTAGGGGGGCCTACTATCACTCACTACTGACCTTCTCTTAGTAAACTCTTCTGTCGGGTCTGTGATGCAATAGTTCGGATTGAGATCGACAAATCGAAGCAGTCATGTCAACTCCCATATTTTTAGGCTATTATCTATTTGACACCCAGTTCGACCCACAGACACGACTTCATTAGCGTTATCATCAGAGAAAGAGGCATACTGCTTTTGTCCCGAGCATGTAGCCAGGATGCCACCCGCTGGATGAACCGCTGCACTTGTTATTGGATCTGCATGCATGCCACAGTTAGCTAAGGCGCTGAATAGAGTTGAGCAGGTATAATAAAAAAAAAGAACCAAACTTGCCATGGTGGAGCTTCTCCTCCCATGTTGGGCGTAAGCCTGCTAACCCTGCGTGGCACGGGTGCTTCCACATACGAACCACGCCGTCTATTCCGCCAGCCCAGAGTTCTGAGGACTCGTTAATTCTAATAAGCCCAGCGTCCAGTCTTTGATTTGTAGCTGCTCCCCTGCCTTTAAGCCATCCCACGAGCCGTCCTGTCACCCTAATATCGTAAACCAATGCTCCATCGCTCTTCCTCTCCAAAACATATAGGTATCGGCCGCAAGGGCTCCAGAGCACCTGCGTCACACCATTACCGCCAATAACCTTGTCAGCAACCGTATCTGCAATGCTAAAGGTGGCGATGGTATCACCGGCCCCGTTATCTCCGTAGAGCCCGACCTGCCTGGTGAATGTACCTGCAGCAAGAATCCTACTGCCGCCAGCGTCAATTGACATCGCTGAGATAATCCCTTTCATACCCACGCCCCCTCCTACCAACTTCCTTCGCTTGCTCGGGATCGTGGGTAGCCTGGAAACCGGTCCCTCTTTTCCTGGTCGCGATATGTCAAACAAGCAAATCATGCTGTCACTTCCGGCCAGGAAATGCGTGCCTCCAAGGGTGGAAGGGTAGATAAGGGAATGAGGTGTTATAAAAGCCTCCGTTGTGGGTGATATGAGGCTGTATGACCCTAGGAGACTAGGGTACAGGGCAGAATTCAGCCTGATTGGGTGGTCTCTAACACCAGAAAGTAGGCAGGTTGTTGAAGGGTCTTGCAACTCATAGAATGGGTATATTGCCACGGAATATATGGGTTCCTTGGAGGGAATGGCATGGTAGGGTTGAAGAACATGGGGTCTATCCCGGCCCTCTAGAAGATCCGGGGGCCTTCTCATAAATTAGCGTATTAAACCAGCGAGACTTTACCAAAAGAACACAGGAAGCCATACAGAATAAATGATCGTAAATGGTTATCTGCCGAGTTGGTGATGATCGTAGTTCCATCCGGTGACCTGGACTGGTGAGAAGTTGAATTTTCAGATAATTCCGTGGATCAAACAAAGGTTTTCCTACCACTGGGCACTTTTGAAGTAGTTAGATGCCAGGCTTTCATGCAGGCCGTTGCCTACAGACCTTTGCGCGGCGATCAGCCCATCCTCGCTGTCGCTGCAGGCGACACACTTTACTCTCGGTGCATCATCAATTGACGGTCGCTGCGTGGCTCCTTCCATTCTCGATTCACCAAGGACTGCATTTCCCTATTGCACGTATATCATGCCGCTCTATATCATCTATCGCGCAGTAGATGCAGATATTGTTGTAGACGCCGACGTCGAGGTTAACATAGATAGCTAGAAAAAGACGCCGCCAAGACTTACGCTGCCAAGACGTCGCGATAGCTCCAAAAGACAAAAAAAACAATGATATAAAAAAAGACGTCAAAAATATCAAAAGCATCTCCATCAAGGGCATCAAAAGCTCCAACTTCAGTTTTTTCATCTTTTGCAAGTAAAGAGAAAAAGAGAGATTTTAACCCATTACTTGCCAGCAGCTTGTTTTTCTCACGCCCCAGTCGCCTTGCTGTTGACAGAAAACCAGACCCTACCATCACCATGTTCTCCCAGAAGCCGTCCACGACTGGCGGCCTGACAGTGAATACCTCGACCGCAAACTCCCTATTGTAAGTCAATCACGGCCAGCCTGCGAGATATCTCCTTAGTTTGCCGGTTTATACACACTGTTCACCCCATCTTTGGCGTACGACTGCTTGGGAGAGCTGTTGTTTACTTTAACCGTCAGTATACTTCGTACCGACGGTCGTGCGCCTACGCAGGGAAGATAGGAGAACAGGACGACACAAAAAAAATATATGTTCATGGAGTCTAAAAGCGAAGAAGGAGTACTGATCATTTCTGGCTTAACTATAGCGGCGGAACACCTCAAACAGCAACATCATCCACATCAGCGGGCGGGCTCTTCGGCGGTGCTGTAGGAGGGACAGCAACATCACAGCCGCAGTCAGGGAACTTGTTCTCAGGGCTAGGGACTGCTGGCGGCCAGACTCCACAGAAGAGCCTGTTTGGAGCCGTTGGGAGCAGTGCGGCTACGGCGGCTTCGACACCAGCAACGACTCAGCCAGCATCCGCGGGTTTATTCGGAGGATTAGGGACATCACAACCCCAGCAGCAGAGCGCGCTGGGCGGCGGCTCACTCTTTGGCAGAACAACGACTTCCAGTGCTCAGTCACAGCAAACACCAGCAGCAACTAGCGCGCCATCGTTGTTTTCCCTCGGTACTTCAACGGCGAACCAAGCTCAGGCAAAGCCATCTTTGTTTGGAGGTGCTACACAGACTACGGGGACATCAACAAATACAGGAGGTGTATTGTAAGTTCTTTCAGTCTCTTCCCTACGTTTTTGCCGTCTTCTTGTGCATTTTAATGTACCCAAGTTAACTCCTACCTATTTAGTGGGAACACCACGCAACAACCGCCTCAGCAGCAGCAGCAAGGTCCAACCTTATCTCTGTTCAGGAACACAGCAGGACCATTAAAACAAGATCAGCCAACTGGAACGAATGTGGTATCGGGCGTTAAGATTGACGTATCTAACCTTGTGCCTACGACCAAGTTCGAGAGCTGCAGTGACGAACTTAAAAAGGAGATTGAAGCTATAGACACATTCATTCTTAATCAGGTCCGGATGTGTAACGAGGTATCCGACCTGCTGCCCACCATATCCGCCCAAGGGGCCATGATCCCCAATGATGTTGAATTTGTTCAAGGGAAACTAGACACACTTCAAGAGGCCCTAGAAAATGACGCAAACGGCATCGAACATGCCCGTAATCTTGCGAAGCAAGATGCGGCAGAAGCAAGACTGGCCTTCCGCACACTCGACACTTTACTTCTGCCCCTACAATACCAACCTAGTCCCGGTGAACGATGGTGGCCGGCGGGCCAACAAGGTCAGCCAATGACCAAGCATCCGCTACGACCCGCTATGGGCCTTCGTCACGGGGGAACTCTTGCGCTTCCAGAGGGTATCGAGGTGGATTCTTCCGGTTCGTCACAAAATGAACCCGGAAGCTTGGTTGATTACTTCTCTCAGCGGACGGATGACATGGGCTCCGTGCTCGAAGAGTATCGAAAAAACCTAAAGGAAATCGAAGACCACCTATACAATGTTGAGGATTCCCTTCAGCGGAAGATCCACGCCCTGGTTTCCTCACGAGGCAGAGACAGCGGAAGCACAACAAGCACACAATCTTCTCGCGTGCGCGAACTTGCTGCGACGCTGGGAGATGTTGAGACTGCCATCCTAGGCGTCGCTAGCAGGGTCGGCACTGCGAAGGAGGAGGTCCAGGAATTGGTTTTGGGTCCGATGGGCTTTAACGGCTCAGGGATAGGTAATGGATGGCAGTCTAGGGCGTACTAATGACCTTTCTATAGCTCATTGCTATCTTCTCTTCTTTCCGAATTCCTTTTTTCTTTCCTTGATGTTTTCTATCCTGTATCTCCTTATGAACACCCTTCGCTTTTACTTTTTCCATGTTCTGCTGACCCAAATCGGCTTCACAGCTGGGACAGAGCCCTTCCCAGGACATCGTCACTTTGCACGGCATCTTTTTATCCTGCATCTGTTCGACTTGGGGGTGTTTTAGAATACTTGATGCTGTTCGCCTGCTTACCTTTTTGTTTTGTCTATACGGAGTACCAACCTGTATTCCACTGTCCCCTTTTCTCCAGTCTATACCCGACCTAGAATTTCCCTATACAAGGTACATGCCATAACGTTCCATACCCAGGTCCCGTCTTAAATTATTCTACATACCCTCGTCTTTTCATATTTCCTATAATCATTATTTCCATGTCAGCGGCTGAGTTAAACTCGTGTTTCATAGTGCTGGTTGGACCCACCTACCTAGGGAGGCATGCGCCGTTCGGGTAAAAAGAAGTAATATCAACAACCATCCTCTCCATAAACGACAACTTCCGCCAGAGAACCGCGGCTCGAGAGCCCTGCAAAGGATCCAATACCTAGTATTTGAGCAGCTTTCTCAACCTAATGACATACTCAGACTCAGGAGAACCATTATTGCTCGAATATGCTCGTTCCCATGGAATCGCGCTGGAGCAACAGGCATTTGATCCCAAAATGGCCCTTGATGGGCTTGACACACTTGACTCCCAGATCTTAGACTATCATGTACTTAATGGGCTTGCGGATGATGGCCACAGAGTGGTGAAGTTTACAAAGGCAGTTGGTTCCGAGAAATTCTCCCCAGCCAGAGCCAGCTGCGAACTGTTGTCCTCTATCCTCGGGCTACATAAGGAATACATGAATGCCAAACCTATGCCCCTTTCACACCAGCTTTTACCAGACTGGTACATGGCTGAGCAGGTGAAGATATCCTCGCCCATTCTCAGTCAAGAGGCTTCACCGTGGCTCGGATCAGCACCCGCAGCAGCCTCATTGCTCGACCCGTCGGGCATGCAAGTGCCGTTAGAGAAGCTCAACGACGAATTTGATGAAGGGCTAGCATTTCCGAATCATTATACGGACCTGAGGGATGAGATTTTAGAGGCAACTATGGGTGAAAAGATCGTATGCCATTCTGCAACATCTTCGATTATACAGCAGATCTTGAGCCATGGAGAACTGCGAAAATTGGGGTACCAGAAACCAGCCTACCATCACCAGCTGAATGAAGTTCGTTCTCATATATTACCTGGGTATTGGTTTGGTCTTTTTAGCTAACATGGTGCGGGTTCAACAGGAACTAGGGAGCTTCGAGCTGCGTCCACGCACCGTTGATAAAGAGGGATTCAAAGTGACTAACAATTCGAGCCCTGCTAAAATACCTGATAATACCCACCTACAACTTTTCCAAGCTGAAACACTCAGACCCCTCCTGCCAGACTCCTTTTCAGCCTCTGACAGCGTTTCCAGCTTCATGGAAGCTCTTGGGAAAGAGAAACCTTTGAACAACAGCAAAAATTCGAGTACAATGCCCCAGAGCTCCACCCATTGCCATAACAAAACCAAGGCGGACGACGGATTGCAAACTGTTGGATTACCTGTTCCGCCAGACAAAAACTCACATATAATTCTGCTGGATAAACTGCCCCCGCCTAGTGATACCCAATGGCCAATTGTACTCTTTCTCTCGATAGATCTGCTAACAACTCATGGGTCGCTCATTCATAAACTTGAAACCCTTACAAACCCGCCAACGCTACTGTTTCAAGAGCTCCCTACATATAATACATATGTCGACAAAGGATTATCTTTACGAGATGCAGACATAATACTCTCCCCCAAGGTAGGGATGCTCTTGGTCACTACCATGGATTTCATGCAGCTACATCTGCCGGGACATGCTATCCAACTTAAATCCGGTATAAAATTGAACTCACCCTTCCAGGAGAGAATATATAGGATTTGTGAGAGGTTCGATGAGCTTTATATCTTTACCCTCCACTCTGCAGGTCCAACCGCTACCCGCCCCCCGGTCTCAGTGAAACAAAGTACGTATGATGCAATGGCCTCGATAAGAGCATTCTGCTGCTCACTTAACATGTACTCAACAATGAGGGTGCTAGATGTCTCCTCAGATGTCACAATACTAGCTCACTGGATTGTCAGTCTCGGAAAAAAGCATCAGAGCTTAATGCTGGAAGGCAGTATTGAGGTCATTTTTGGCAGACCTTGCAGCCTGCCTCCTGAACGTCACATACCAGATTTTAAGCCTCTATCCAACACCATAGATGAACAATTTCTCACACAATGCTTAGAGTTGAACGGATTTGCTGCTGCCTTTGTTCTTCATATGTTGTCACCGATATTAGCGCAAGAGCAAGGAACGGATCAGGGGTTGTTAGTTATGGTGACCTTTCCACGCGAGAAGTCAGCTCCGTTTCCAGTGAGGGAAGCTCTTCTCGCAGGCCTGCGTGAACTTTTTGATGGAAAGAGCAAAGGCAAACCCAACCTCAAATCCCTGCTGGGAGAGCGAGGTTTCTCTCGAGTAAGGGATCGCATGCGTTGTATAGTCCTCCAGCAATTTGTGCCTAATCCACAAGCGACAACCCGGTATAACAACATCCAAGTTTAGAACCTGCCTATTTGCATATCCACCTGGCGCCCAAGTCAATAGAGGACAGAAAGCATTGTTTATCTATTTTCTTCATACATTCCTACCGTAAGGAAACTCCTATAGATATAAGTATCCGGGTGCCAAATGGACACAGACCAGAGAAGACGCTTGCCGAGATCAATTTTGAGGGGAGATATCCTAGCATGTATATATATTCTTTACTAGTTCGTGAGTCCGCTGGGAGTAGGCATCAAGACGCCATGTCAGAGATCCAGAGACGGGTCGTCCGCGTGTATATTAGAATAAATGGCATAGGGCTTTTATACCCCAACTTCATTCATCTGATGAATTTGGCCCATGATTCTTGATATCTTCTTCAAGTGGATAAAAATGAAATTGGTAGACAACAAAAATGTGACATGAAGGAAAAGAACAAATGAAAAGTAACTCCTTTCGCTGGCTCTCTTCCGCCGTCTCCGGTTGGCCAGGGTGACCGACTCCGTAAATTCGATAGATGTTGCATTCATTATATTACATATTATTGTACAAAATCGGCCCGGGCAAGCACCTTGTGGGTAGCTATGGGTAGCCGATTTGTGTGACGGTCAAGTTCAAAAGGTAGCGGACAGTGTGTATTTACTCCCTGAACTTGGCCAACAGCCTATCGTGTTTTTGTGTTAGTTTTATCACTAATAGCGAACTGTAAGAGAGCTTGATCGACATACTCATGATCCCGGAACAAGGAGTATTCTTCTTCTCCAAGCTTTACAGGGCTTCCTCCAAACTAATCAACACGCAAAAAAGTTAGTACCTGCTGGCTTGTGAAAATAAAGACTCGAGTTGATGAAGATCAACCAACTCAGTGACGCACCTGGGGTACCAAAACCCGGTCACCTGGAGCAACACTCATGGCAATTCGCTTGCCATCCTTGTCCAGAGCTCCAGGACCAACGGCGAGGACCTTGGCTTCGTTGAGCTCCTTGACAGAGCTCTCGGGGAGGAAGATTCCAGATGCAGTCTTTGCTTCGGACTTGATACGCTGGACCAAAACACGGTCGAGGAGAGGAGCGAGGTTCTTAACGCTGCGGAAAGCCTGAATATATGTCGAATTGAGCCTTAATTAGAGAGCTAATCCAACAATGCGGAGAAGGAACAGTGAACTCACCATTGCTAATGTTTATAGATGTAGAGGTAAAGAAAGTTATAAAGTAAAGATCGAAAAAGGAGGGTAGGCAGAGGATTGAATGGATTGAACTAGTCAGCTATAACATGTATCTGCACCAGGAGTTGAAACTGAAGAAGAGAAGAAGATGAAGTTTTTATTTTCTGCTTCAAAGATTTAAAAAAAATCCCCAAGAAATTTCCAGAAAATATGCCAAGACACCAAGTCAAAAACGGTTTAGCGCTACCCGTGCCCAAAGAGGAAATATGTTGATATCAGAAAGGCAAGGAGAAAGAGCCAGAGGCGGAGGAGTATTCGCAGTATTAGGTCTCCTAGATCGTGGTATACAGGGTTGATTGTTTCAGAATTGACAGGCTATCTATCCTACCTAGCTTTACCATCTCCGCATGCCTTTCCCCCTTGCACCAGCATTGTTATAAGCTCCATGCTGGTCATAACCCCCGTATCCCATCTGCTCCTGGCCGCCCGCTTGTCCAGAAAATCCTTGCCCGCCAGCCTGACCTCCATATCCGGTTTGAGGTACCTGGGGGTTACCAGCACCAGGCTGGCCGCCTCCCATCATGGCCTGGGCATGTTGCATGAAAGTCATTGGGTCCATTGACGAAGGGTCCATGCCCTGGGCCATCATGCCTGCAAACACAGCCTGCATCATGTCTGGTGAGAGATCAGGCATTCCAGGAGGCATTCCCGGCATGTTATTTTGCGGCCCTGGTCCAGCTCCTCCCTGAGAGGGGCCGGGAGTACCCCGGCCACCGCCTGCTCCTGCGCCTCCCCCGCTCCCCCCTCCGCCAGCCACTGCCCCAGGTATTAGTCCAGGGAGAGGTGGCGCCGGCCCACCAGGTACTGGGATACCTGGAAGACCTCCAGGAAGACTGAGGAATGCCTGCATATCCTCCATCTGCGTCTTTTGGTCGCTGATGTCTTTTCTCAGGCTCTGCTGTTTAAGGCAATAGCTTGCCCATGTGAACTCGTCAAAACCATAGTTGAAATAATCGTTGATATCTGAGCCAGGCCTCCGCCAAGGTTTATCATCCTCCGTGGGAAAATCTGAATCTAAATCTGTAGAAAGAATCGCTCTGTTGGTTGAAGGGTGAACCGGGTTCGCCGATACATCGATTGTCGATGTGTGGTGAGCTGGGTATGAGGACCCTGGCTTTTGAGGTGCTGCAGGTTTTGCAGCAGCGGCAGCGGCGGTCGTTACAGTTGGTGTCCCAGACTTTGGAGTAGGGTGTGGTGCTGCCGCTTTGGGTGTTGCGCTTGCGGAGTCAGTCGTTGGTTTTGGGGGTTCACTTCGGTACTGGGGATGGCGAGATGCTTGTCTGTTAGGATTTTAGCGTCTGCATAGTCTCATCTAGGTGTTTTCTCCGCTCGGATAAGATCTTACTTACGTGGCAAGCTCTGCAGCTACTTCGGGAGGAGCTTCAGTGATGATGTTAAAATCGTCCTATGTAGAGGTTGAGTTAGCCGATTAAACAAGTGTCAGCCAGAGAAATATCCATTAGCGCATACTTCATCGTCCTCCTCCTCCTCCTCCTCCTCCTCTTCCTCCTGTTCATGCTCTTGCCCTTCTGCCATACCTACGTCTCCTCCTTGTTGCCCTGTGTTTTGAACCGCAACGTTTTGACATGAACCGGAAGGAGCTGTATCTATCGGATCGTAGAGATCATCATCATCTTCTTCCATAGTTGGCGCCTTGACAGAACGGTTACTGGGGCAGGAGAATGTATATTTAGGCCTCCTATTTCAGTATCCTAATGTGTAACGCGCACCTAGAGTTATAAACAGTGCACTTCAGTCGTGGATATGGGTAAATAGCAACAAGCCTTGATCGATGCCGAATCGTTGAGTTTCACAGAAAAACGGCAAGGCCCTCTTTCAAAGTAGTGCAGCTATAAATCTTGCCTTCTACTTGAATGCGCCTCAGTAATAGAACGTGAGATATCCTGCAATCTTGCCGCAGTTGTAAGTTTGATGTCTTTGAAAAAGAGCTCGGCCTCAAGCTTCATGGGTCACGTGGTGCAACAACACGGGTGAGAACAGCCGAGATGCCTTTTTCGCTGTGATATTTAAGTACCTCAACGGCTAAGATAGTTATAACTTGATTCACAAAACAGCTTGGATACCAAGAAGGGAAAGAGAACTTTTCTTGAGTCTCCCAGGCCAAATGTCAGCACCCTCCGAACCACCGAGCAGGACCTCCACCCCTCGGTCTTTTACAAACCAATCGACCACAGCGGAAGATCTATTTAAGTCGCAAACGGTTGGCTTAGTGAAGCTATCTGACTACCGAAAGAGACGGGCGGAAGTCCTTGAGCAAAAAGAACGAGAAGCACATGATAAGTCCTTAGGCCGGTTTACTCCTGGGGCATCTAGAAGTGTCACGCCGTTAACCGGTGACAAGGCGGACGGGTAAAAATACAATCTTTCCTACCTATGTGATATATCTATTTAATGGATATGCTTGCTAATTGTCAAAGGGCAGTGAGCAGAGCGATGAGCCGCAGAAGAAGAAGAAAAAGAAAGCCCGAGCCCTTGCAAAGAGCAAACTCTCGTTCGGCAATGACGAAGGAGAGTCTGAGGATACACCCAATGTATCCCGAGATGCAAGTGAAAGCAGGTCTCGGTCAGGTACACCGCACGAGTCGAGCCCAAAACCGTCTCGACGATTAGCTCCAAACCCACATTTGACGCTTCCTCGACCGAAACTGGTAACAAAGTCTGCTTTAGAAGCAGAGTCTAAGGCTAGGGATGCTCTTCGACGGGAATTCTTAGCCCTCCAGGAAGTTGTCAAGGCAACCGAGATCGCGATACCGTTTATTTTCTATGACGGAACAAATATTCCGGCTGGTCAGGTTACTGTTAAGAAAGGGGACCCGGTATGGCTGTTCCTTGATCGATGTCGAAAAGTTGGTGCAAAGCTAGGACTTGCAGGCGCGGGGGGGGCAGCAAGAGGGCGAAAGGATCATCGAAGGGAATGGGCTAGAGTAGGAGTCGACGATTTAATGTTGGTTAGAGGAGGGGTCATTATTCCGCACGTAAGTCACCTTGGTTGATCTGGTTTCTTTTGTCAACAAATGCTAAAACCATTGCAGCACTATGAGTTTTACTACTTCATTGCGAATCGAATCCCCAATTACTCTGGCAACGGCGGGCTACTGTTTGACTTCTCAGATGCTGCGCCATCACCAGCTTCTGAAAATAATAGCAACTCAACAGCTGTACTTGAAGGGAAAGACGCAGATCCAACCCTTACCAAGGTTGTGGATAGACGGTGGTTCGAACGAAATAAGCATATTTTTCCAGCAAGTCTCTGGCGTGAATACGAACCTGGACCCGAGTTTGAAGAGAAGATGCGTGGAGTCCGACGAGACAACCAAGGAAATGCATTCTTTTTCTAGCATTCCACTAGTGTTGGTCCATATTGCTGTCCGTACTTCCCTCTATCCCGTTGTCCTGGGGAAACGGGGTTTAGAAATGTCAAAAGCGGGCGCATCATATTTGAACACTCCCCATGTTGTTTGTCAATGAACAACGGTCGTATATCGTTCCCGCCATCTCTGCATATCCAAGCAGAATATTTAGTCACTCCAAAAGGCAAGGGGGAAAACATAACAACAATACTCTTATATCAATGGAACCTTGGAAAATTAACAATACCACGTGATCCCGGGTGCTGATACTTCCTAATGGGGAAATTGTGATGTCTACTTCAGATTTGTTTACGTTTCAACTTTTGCTTCAAGATTTCCGTCTTTTATTGTGACTCTATCGATTACTGGCGGAGGATCTACTCTATGCTTCAGAGTATCTTCTGTCTACGATGGCTCAAGTTTTGGATTTCTGTCTGCGCTGTAACAACTTGAGTTGCCGCTCGGCTTTGGCGGAAAACGCTGTAGTTACCACTTGCTCGTGAGCCTCAATAACCATGCATGTCATGCTTCCCCGAGCTGATCTAACACCTCTATAGCCATATATTCTGTCTACGCTGCGCGAGCCAAGGGGGCTTATCTCAGTCACAGATTACGGATCGACAATGTCCAGCTTGTCAGTCAAGCCTCCCAAATCCGGATGATGTGGTTTCGACCACCCTTACTCCGACAGAGGATTACAAAACCAGTGTCTTGAGCGGACTCGATCCCACTACCATAATAGAATGTGCTGGGAGAGCTTTGTCCTTCTGGACGTACCAGGCGACACAAGAAATGTTCGGGCCCAAGACCCAGTCTTTATATATAAGGACTCCGAAGAGCCTATCAAACAATTGACTAATTCTGTCTAGATTTTACCAGGATCACTTGAGCAAGACGTTAAGAGAAAAATGCAGTGTTATGGGCAAACAGATGGATCAAATGGCGCATGACGCAAATTCCGCTATAGAGACTCTCCAGCGCCGGATATCAGGTAAGCCCCGACATATATCCTGCTTTCGATATTGTGGCCATCAGTCTAACTATGGTGCCCTTCCAGAGCTTGAGAATGGCCAGGAACAACTTCAAAAGAAAAACCAGGAGCTAGTCAATGTGTATCGGGATAAATGCAAGAAGCATGCGCAGATGACCAATCTCTATAATTTACTGAAGAATCGTGCCATTAGGTCACAAATCCGAACTGCCGTTTCCGATACCGTTGCTCAGACACTCAATTCATACGGAGCTGCAAATAATACCCCGAGCACCGACCTGGATTCACAGAGGCCTGCCGCGAGCTTCACTGTCTCCCGCATGCATAATTTCAATCATTATCCTAGGCAAAGTAATGATCACGACCCTCGAGTTAAGCGGCAACATAAAGGGGCCTTTAGCCATCGAGATGGAAACATGATGCCCCCTCCTATAGTATCAGCATCCCGAGTCAGTAAGTACCATCGATTCGAAGCCCTCATTCGACCCTATCTTACTCTGAACTTAGCAAAGAACACACTCCCTACACCTCGGCATCGTACCGGGCTGCCGCCTCAAAGCCACTAATAGCCGCTCTCCGCTTGATCAACAAGTGCCTAGAAGCACGTTTCGCAGTCCCCAGTATCGATCTGCTCTATGTGAACAAGCCAGTCAAGTAACGGGTGAAATTCATAGCACCCATGGGCTTGGAGCTGGTATAAAGATCGGCCGGTTGGCCGATACTTCATTTACTCATGGTATACCATAGTATCGATGCGCTTGACATTACCACTTATTTTGGCCTTGCCGTCGGTGTTTGGTCGCCCTCTATATAGCTAAATGTACTCTCTTAATATTACGGTTCATCTGCAGCCTGTAAATGATGCCCCCATAGCTATATGACTAGTGAGGATTGTCATTCATCAATTCGCTGGTAAATGAAATTACCCTCGAGTGATATTGCTATCAAATACTAACAACTAAAAATGTATTAGGATGAATTTGGCCAACTAATAACTCGAGGTTAGTCATCTACATTTTTAACCTTTTTCACCAAAGTGAACACGTTTAGGGGGGCTTATGGTGTTAGCTATGATTGTATTGTTATGAGCTATAGCAAGTTAACTTATCAAAGATAGCCATATACAGCTAACTACGTGGTTTAAACAACGTCACCGCATAGAACTAGTTGCTGACAGATATAGTTAAGTAATGTATCAATAAAAATTATGAGAGTACCCTAATATAGACAAGAGATGGGAATATTACATCCATTTGGTAACATACTATTACAAGTAGGCGCTGATTTTTTAAAATGGATAAAAAGGGCCTACGGGACCCATAGCCTGACAAAACCAGTGACTTCTTGACGGCATGTCACGCAGCTACTGAAGTTATTCATGGCGAGACTTATCCTGCAATCTTCACATATGCAAAGACAGCGGCACGGCCATGTTATGATGGATCTAGGGGAGGCCTGACATATGACACATTGCGGCCCATCTGGCCCAAGACCTGACGCGCCGGTAGCCCAGGTCTGGGATCTCTCTGGGGAGAGAGACTGGGTATTTCCTCGACCAGTGCCTAACCTCCGTTCAAGGATCAGGTTTTCTAGGATTTCCAACTCCTCTTCCATCGTAGGGCGGGTTGATCGCGGTCCTTCCGCTAGCCGATATGCATTCGACGAAGTCAGAATTCTCGCACGCTCTACGTCTAACCGTTGTTGGAAAGCGACGTCGTGTCATGATCTTGCCTTCATTTGAAGCCAGGATATGTGCAAGATAAGATGCGAGCCTCATCTCGTGCTTCCACCATCTTCGGATCGAGCAGGCGAGCCAAAGATACCATGTCGATCTTCTCTCTGGTACCCTGGATAAGCCTGGAAACGGATTACTCTGGGTTGGCGTCCGCCGGCCATCAGAGTCGTAGGACTCCCATTCAGTCTCTCCAGATGTGGATGTGGATACCACACTTGTCGTATCCCAGTCCTGGGGTGGAGGAGAATAATCTTCGGTCATATCTTGATTTCCCCAGGAACCACCAAACTTCCACCAATTGTAAAGCTTGTTGTCTAGATGCTCCTCCTGCTGTTCATCCCATAAGTCGTTTACCATCATCTCCCTTTTTCTCATCTCCTTTTCCACGTCGAAGTCGTCGGTTTCTGGAAGCTCTAAAACACCTTCATCGGTCAAAATCCAGAAATCTAATGGCGGACGAATTTCCACTTCATTCGAGCTGTTAGGATGTTGTAGAACACCCGCAAGATGCACCAGCCATTGAGGCTTCAGTCCGACTTTAAAGTGGTCCAATAGTCTTACCAGCCCAAACGCCCACCAACCTGCCAGCATATAGAGAATTGCCTTGAAAAATGCAAAACCATGATAACACCTTGTTGGCCCTCGAAATGCTCCTACATTTCCCAATCCAGATTGCTTCTTCATAGCATGAGAGCTGGATTGCGCCCTTTCAAACTTTTTCTCTTTCCCATATCCACTCTCCCACTCCCTTGGGTTACTGGGGATATCGAAGTCGAAGTTCTCATCAAGTTGGAGGTCATCAACTGGCTGAAAGCTCACCTGGCTGCTTTGACCCCTTCGAGCCGTAAACTCTGCAAGTCTGTCCTCTTCCAACCATGTCATTTTGCGGACTTTCACGCTCTTCCCTTCGTTTAAAAACACAGCATCACTGGCAGCGGATAAGGAGGCATAACCTATCCTCACGAGAGTGGCATAGAAATCATCATGCACCTGGAAACGGGTATTCTGGATTTGAGTCGAGCTTTGCATATTTCCATGGGCGATAGCAAGCCGTTCACGGAATGAGTTGGGGCGCGGAAGGCTGGGTGGAAGAGAGTATGCAGTCAAAAGAAGGGCAATTGTGTATATTGTTAGGCAAGTTAATATACCTAGCAACATTAGAAGGTGAGGTACAAATCCCACAATGCAGACAGTGGGAAAATTTAACAGGCCAGCATGATTTCCGTCTAGGTACGATCTGAGGAAACTCCAGATCATGAATCCCATGAAGGAGAGTCCCCAGAAACTGGTGTTGATAAGTCGATACTGGCTCTGTTTCCCAAAGATATCTAAAATGTTCGTTGTTAGACTATTGCAGCATGCTAACAGCGCAATAACCAGCAGTTCGGGAGTGACATTGAGTCGTTCTAGGATACGATCTTTTGAGAATAATGGAATGGCCGAGGCGGCATCCCCAACGGCCGCACCCTCGACTGATACACTAGCCGTAGATTTGGTGATGCCGAGGAAGTCCAATCCAACTGACCGAACAATTTGAATCTCCGCCTCCGCAAATGCAAGAGAAAGTTCAAAGACGGACATACCGCCCTCCGTGGCGAGAGGTTTCCCCTGAAGTGCGGCAGACAGTGTATCAATGAAATGGCCGAAACACAGTCGAAGAAATGCCGGCCACAGGAGAGAAAATGAGCCGTACGTGACGCCAGGTCCCGGAGATGTGAAAGTTGCGCTGCATGATGACTGCTCGTCCTCCCATTGCAGTAAGGATGAACTTATATTATATAAGAATCCTCCTTCTCCAGCATAGTCTAGCCTCGAGTGCTTTCCTGGCTGGTCATAACGGAAAGCGGAGTATTGCGGAGATGTTTGGCAACGAATGGCGCGCAGTAGCTGTAGAATCTGTGTGGCAAAGAGGATGATTGGTATAATACGTAGAATAAGGGTTGTATGCCACTTTAGAGTCACTTGCCGACGAGGGGACGCATAAACTGTGACACGGTTCAGAACTAATGCCTATCCAACAGTTATCGATCAGCAAAAAGAGAACAAAAGAAGGTCATATCCAGATAAATGAGAAGCAAGGAGCAGTAAGTTAAGAAACAAACTAAACCTACATACCACTATAAAACACGCCAGCGACCACCGTGTAGTCATGTAGTTGAAGAATCCTCCAAATTTCTTCAACGAAGGTATGAACCCTCCTATGCTAAACCCGGATGTGGTCCCTGCCGAAGCGGCAGAGCCCGCCGCAGCACCGCCAGGAAGCGCTCCGTTCGCATCAGTACCAGTCATCGCAGCAATCACAGCGGCCGCTGCCGCTGCATCCTCACCCGCCGCATCTCCGCCTTCGACACCAAAAACCCGAGCTGTGCTATCTAGGACCGACGAAATCGCAGCATCCAACCCGATGAACCGAACAAGCTGGCGAGGTAGTGTAATTATGAAGACCTCTGCATGGTAGACAAGGCGAAACGGGAAAAGGAGGATGTCTCGAGGCTCGGATGGTAGAAGAGCGTACCATGTCTCGGTAGTGTTGACAGCATTCAAAGCAGCGTCCGCAGCGAGGGCGCCGTCGTTTGCAGCCATGGTGTTTAGTTGTGTTCAAGCAGCTATTTCGCTGGCTTTCTAGTGGACGCTGTAGAGAGGCAGCTCTTTGTAGAGAAAGGACATGGACTCATAGCTCTCGTCGAAGCTAAGCCGATATTTAAAGCCAGCCACCAACTGTAGACTATTAGCTATTGCCGGGCGAGGACGAAGTTGATCGGGGATTTAATGATGCTCCTGCTGCATTATCGCGAAGTATGGGGTAGCAACCTCCACCAGCATTTCAGGTATGAATATTCGGTCCCTTAATAGTGCAACGCGACGTAAGACAACGCACGCCACGTAGAATTAGAAGTCCAGAATAGCGACTTGGCTCTTTAAGACGCTGACAGCTGTCGCTCTTTAATCTTCGGCGTCGCTCTGCTTCTTTGCCGTCAAGAAAAGATACAAAAAAAGAGGCCCGCGCGTTATAGTCACGTGATATGTGAATGACGAAGCAAGAGAAAGTCTACAGAGTTTAGAGTGCCTGTTTAAAGGTTATGTGAGATTATAAAGTTCCTAAATATATATCTTAACGAAGGATTCTTATAATTGTATAAGAACTAATATTAATACCTCTTATAACCAATTCTTTATTATTTATCTTTAATATTTATATATTATTTTTATTTTAATTAAAATAGATATACTGGCTGGTTTACTCCTTACACAGATAGCTACCTAGTTAGGGCCAGGAATATCATGTTATGTGACTTTCTCCCTTCCAAGGTTCCAATTCCTGGCTCTTGTAATGATCAGTTTCAACCATAAGAACTCGATGCACTGGCATTTCATTTGCATTTAAGACCACACAAATACATCCATCACGGTGCGCTGTCAGTCTTTTGCGATAGTTAATCAAGTGTACCATACAGTGAATAAGTGTTAGGAACTGTACTTATACCCTAGCACCCGAGTTGCCGAACGGTACATGTTCTGTTGGATGCACCAGGATGCGGAGTGAGCGCCATGTTAGCGCAAGAGACCAGTCGGAAGGCGTTGAAGCGGGCGGTCGATCTAGGGACCCCTGCCCTTGTTTTAACACCTGCTCCCTGTAGTTATTGCTGCGGTTGCCTGAGGTCAGCCATGCTCGCACTGCATACCATCTTGGGAGCTGGTGATCAACCATGTGGGCGACCCCTTTTTGGGCCCCATAACTCTGTTAATCGAGTTATATAAATTCACGCCTGTCGACCAGCCTGTGGCGGCCCAAATAATCCCTCCGCTCATAATGGGTACCTCATTTCCAGAGGCCTAATCGCGACGAGTTGCATAACTGCTTGGAATTAGCCATTATGGGAGAAGAATCTACTTCTTACCTCCAAGCTGGTACAACTGCAATAGCGGCAGGAGGTGCAGGAGTACACGGCCTGCCTGATATTGATACCACCAGCACCATTGCCGGTACGAAGAAAACATGGTATTTTTGGGCCATATTCCCTGCACTATGCATGACAACATTTTTATCTGCTCTTGATACGTCAATTCTTTCAACGGCGCTGCCTACTATATCTAAGGATTTGGACGCCGGCCCTCTATATGTCTGGATTACGAATTCGTATGTACTTTCGTCTACGGTTATGCAGCCCCTCTTCGGTCAATCCGCCAACATATTCGGTCGGAGATGGCTCCTAATCCTTTCGGTTGTCTGGTTTGCCATCGGGAGCGGATTAGCTGGATGTGCCAACGGAACTATTGTGATTATCTTAGGCAGAACTATCCAAGGTATTGGTGGCGGGGGCATCAATACCCTGATAGATATTGTCATTGGAGACTTGGTGCCCATGCGTGAACGAGGAAAATATGTTGCGTTGATGGGTGTTATCTGGGCCATTGGTACTGTGATAGGCCCGGTACTTGGTGGTGGTCTGGCCGAGCATGCCTCCTGGAGATGGATCTTTTACATTAACCTCCCCCTTTCGGGCCTATCACTGATTCTGTTGTACCTCTTCTTGCGTGTCGCGTCCCCAACCGGTAATGGTTTCTACAAAAAGCTTTTACGAGTGGACTTCATTGGAAATGCTATCCTTGTCACGGCCGTTATATCAATTCTCTTGTCATTGACCTGGGCGGGCACAGTCTACCCTTGGTCCTCTTGGAGGATTATTTTACCGCTAGTCATCGGGTTTGTGGGGCTGATTATCTTCTATTCCCATCAGACATCGCGCTTCTGCCCTGAGCCATCTATTCCATTGAGGCTATTTACCACATCTACGTCTCTCTTTTCGCTCATCCTGGGATTTACGGGCTCGATTCTGATATATTGGGTTGGTTACTTCCTGCCGGTCTATTTCCAGGCGGTGCTAGGAACATCCGTGACGAAATCAGGTCTTTACGTTCTTCCTATTACGGGTGCGGTTGCCCCCTTTGGAATTCTCGCCGGTATACTGATTTCCGCCTGGGGTAAATACCGAGCTTTCCATTTCATTGGTTTTGGTCTCATGTCAACTGCGGTTGGCCTCTTCTCGATCCTTGATCAACAGTCGTCGGCTGGATATTGGGCAGGGTTCCAGATCATTTTTGGAGCTGGATCTGGCCTGATATATTCGAGTACGCTACCGCCAATCCAAGCCTCTTTAAGCGAATCCGACATGGCTACTGCAACTGCCACCTGGGCATTTATGCGGAGTTTTGGGTCCATCTGGGGTGTCGCTATCCCCACCGCAATATTCAACGAGAAGGTTGAATCCCTCCTCGGAGGAATTAGTGATCCTTCTTTGAGGGGTCGACTTTCAAACGGTGGAGCATATGCACTTGCAAGTGCAGGCTTCTCATCCTCCCTCGTCGATGATCCGAAACTATTATCAGAGGTGACTGGGCTATATACACAATGTTTAAGGTTTGTATGGTTGTTAGCAATACCCTTCGGCGTTTGCGGATTCCTTGCCAGTTTTCCCATTCATCAGTTCGAATTAAAGACACAACTGGAGACAGAGTTCGGCCTGCAGGAGCGCCAACAGGACGGTTAGGGACAATCATCATGTTCACCACAAGTCTCTAATCCATGAAGTCGTGCCACACACTTTTATTTGATCTATGGTGACTAATAATAATAGAGGGAGATCCATTTTTCTATATTATTAGAAATATGAATCAAATTGAATACGTTCTTATTGGGGCTGTGCTGCCAGTGTTGCCATATTATCAAGTGGGTTTGACACAAAAAGTACCTAGGGACAGGGCAAAAACCTGCATCTCTATCTATTGCCATGGTATACCCTGATCCTGCTTATGACGTGGGAATTTCTGAGATGAATGATAACAATATCCATTGATTCCCGGGACCACCCACCCTGCACACGGCATTTGCTCTATTATCGTAAAGCAAGGTGGAACTCACATCGCCTTGATCATTGTATACTCAGGCCCTTTAGTGTCTTGGTAGTTGCCTCTTCACTTCTCCTCTTCTTAACCCTAGTGGATGGCTCAGGGTTCGGCCAACTTGGAATAGTCCGAGACATGGGCAGGTAATGCATATGCCAAACTTTGTATCATGCGGGGATAATTACAGAGGGTTGACTGTAGAGATGTGTGACTAGGTAGCAGGGGGAAAATGCTGATGCTGGCCTCAACCGATGCAATAACAGGGATTATCTTACAATTGGGGGGCTAGGATGTAATTATTTCCGGAACCCGGCAGTTGAACGCGTCAATAACAGGACACAACGTGGCGAATATAGCATCCCTAGCGAACCAGCATAAAGTTTTATTTGCGACAATAGGGGCGGGTGGAGGTGGAGATGGACGCTCTCAGCCACGCTGCAGGCGACTTAAGGAGATATAGCCGTTAACGGACTAGCTATACAGTCAATCCTTGTTGGCATTTTGTCAAGTCCAGACCTCCCCATCCGATCATGCCATGTGTTTTGAGAATGTGCGGAATATGTGTACGCCGTCCAACGTCCTTGATTGCATACGTTTACGGAATTATCACCAGCTTGGCAAGCCTATTTAGTCTACTTCGCCCACCAAACATGCCGGCAGCGCGTAGGAGATAGGTGGGAGACCACAACACCAGTGTAGAACATGTTTAGGGGGTCCATTTCTGTTTTCTCAATTGATATATAATGGTACATTACACGGCCACAGATTCCTGATCTATTTGTTCCCGGAGAATTTATAACCACTCTAAGTTCACGTTTTTGTGAAGTCAATAGTTAGTATAACTAACAGCTCTGACTTAGTATATAAGCTACTTGCCAAAGTTATAGGAGACATGGCGAACACCATTGATGAAGGCATTGCCATCGTTGGCATGGGTAAGTGTCCTGCTACTTTACATTGAATACATGGGGTTGACAAGGAGGTATTTGAAATTATCAGCATGTCGACTTCCTGGAGGTGTGTCTTGCCCAGAAACATTCTGGGATTTCCTCCTGAGCCAGCGCTGTGCTCATGGGCCAGTCCCAGCAAGCAGGTTCAACGCCGCAGCCTTCTACAACCCCCAGAAGGATCGTACCGGATGCATTCGTTACACCGAGAGCTACTGTATTGACAACGATCTCGAGAATTTTGATAATGGCTTTTTTGAAGTCACTAGTGCGGACGTGCAAACGCTTGATCCTCAACAGCGTCAATTGCTTGAATGCTGCTATGAAGCTCTCGAGTCTGGGGGCGTTACCCTCGACAAGGTTGCAAATACCATGACTGGTGTCTATATTGGCAACTTTGCTAGTGACTACGAGTCACTGGCATTCAAAGAGCCTGAAAAAATTGAGGGTATGCAGGTTCTGGTATGGGGAGGACTACTGTCAGTAACCGAGTCAGCTACTTGTACAACTTGAACGGACCAAGGTGGGTTATCTCTGTCAACCGTAGCTATCCTGACGATATAATGGTAATAACTAGATTAATGTCACTATGGATACGGCTTGTTCCTCCACCATGTATGCTTTGCACTTTGCGGTTCAAGCGCTTCGCAACGGCGAGGTCCCAGCCGCGTTTGTAGGTGGCGTCAACCTTATTTTAACGTTGGAATACCACTTCGCCATTGGGCAAATTGGCGCTTTGTCTCCAACAGCGATGTATCACACATTCGATGCGTCTGCCGATGGCTACGCACGCGGAGAGTCCATCAGTGTTCTATATCTGAAACGAGTTTCTGATGCGTTGAGGGACGGCGATCCTATCCGTGGGGTAATCAGAGGCGTCTCTTTAACCGCGTGAGTCCGCTGTGAGCTCGTATGAGCCGCGACTAAAGTTAGAGGCTGGATAACCAAATGCTAACTAATTCACGAATAGGAATGGGAAAAATAATGGTATCACCCTGCCTAGCGCAATGGCGCAGGAGTTATCTATCCGAAAGGCATATGAACACTCCGGGCCGATTGATTATGGCGCAGTCGGATTCGTTGAATGCCATAGGACCGGAACGCCTGTTGGTGATCCAATCGAAACCACATCAATTGCGAATGTCTTTGAAGACAGTCGAGACTGGCATGACCCAATCCTTATAGGATCGACAAAGCCTCAAGTAGGTCATGGCGGGGCTGGTTCTGCGCTGACCAGCATCATCAAAGTTGTCCTTGCGATGGAAAAAGGAATGATCCCCGGAACAATCGGAATCAAGAAACTTAACCCAAACTGTAGTTAAGTGATTACCCCTGATTACTAATAAATAACTAGTTATCTTCAACAGCTAAATTTCCACTTAATTACTCCGTAACTAGTGGATTTGAGATGGGGAAGCGTGGCTGTTGTCACTAAGAACACTCCATGGCCTGCTAATAAAGCAAAACGTGCATCGGTTAACTCTACGGGATACGGCGGTGCCAACGGGCATGTAGTGCTGGAAACTATCGAGGAGTATTCGAAAGTTCCAAATGTACAGCTGGATACGCGAGTGCAATCTTGCATCGACCCTTATACGTCTATTTTGCAGACTCGGTTTTTACTCCCAGTCTCCGCTCATGATGATTACTCGCTTTCGAAAAGCCTGCAAAACATACTGGACGTATTGCACAGAGACAAATACGACGTTCACGAGTTGCTATATACTTTAGCTGAACGCCGGACCAGGTTTCCTCACCGTGGCATCATACCGATCACCATTTCCCATCATTAGTGTTCCATAGGCGAACCATCAACGGGGAAGGCAAACCTCGCTGCCCCCACAGTAGCCTTTGTTTTCAGGGGCCAGGGGGCACAATGGGCGGGGATGGGAAGAGAACTTTTGGATTGCTTCCCAGTCGTTAAGCGAGTTTTCTGGAAGCTTAACAAAGCATTAGCTCAATTAACGTCTGCCCCGACATGGAAAATCCAAGGTAATAATATCTAACTATGGTTGAACATAATATAAATAGACTGTGGTGGACTAACACATCTGTCCGATAGATATACTGCTTGAACCAGAAGAAACTAGCAAGATCGGAGAAGTGGCATTTTCCTAACCAGTATGTACTGCGATTCAGATCGCCTTGGTGGATTTACTCCGCGAACGGGGAGTAAATCCGGTAGCAATGATCGGCCACTCATCCGGTGAACTTGCTGCTGCCTATGCAGCAGGACTAATTTCCGCGGAGAGTGCAATTGTTGCGGCTTATCTACGGGGAGTCCATGCTACTCGGACACAGGAGCCGGGGGCTATGATGGCTGTGGCTATAGGGCCAACGGATGCTGAGGATCTCCTCGTGGAGCAGGGTATCCCTCCCGAAGATGTTTGCGTTGCTTGCATAAACTCTCAACATAGCGTCACGCTTAGTGGGAAGTCGCAGTCTATTGATATCCTACACAGTGTCCTGAAAGCACGCTCTGTGTTGTGCAAGAAACTAGCTACCGGGGGAAAAGCTTATCATTCTCCTAGTATGAGGTCAGTCGGCTCAGGGTATAGTGACGCCATTATGGAAGCTGCTGAAGTGCCAAACGGCCTCAATGGTACGAACCAACAACCCAACGGCTATGGTTTAGTCGCCCCTTTGATCGCCACTATTAACTCCGCAGCAGGATGCCACTCGGCCGTTAACCAAGGAGATAAGGCTGATACTGATTCCAGGCCTGTGATGATTCCCTCGGTTACTCTAGAGCCTCTTCGACCATCCGAAATCTCGGGTGCCTACTGGCAGAGAAACCTGGAATCTCCAGTTTTGTTTGATCCGGCTTTGAAATGCCTATTAGAACATACATTTGGACGTGAAAACCGAAATGTGGATTGTCTGATAGAGATTTGTGTATGTCCACTGCTTTCCTTCAATAATCTGTGCAGCCCTACTAACAAATATACTCTATGCAGCCGCATAGTGCTCTGAAGGGGCCCATCAATCAAATCATCAGCTCTCCAGAGGTAACTGAAATTTGGAAATCCAACCTCGGAACTACGCCAAAGATATCATACGAGTCTACACTTGAAAGACACCACAGTGCTGAGAACGACATGATGAGACTCGCAACGAGCCTTTTTATAAAAGGTTGCTCAATTGATATGCGTCAAGTCAATGGCCAAGCTTACTACCGGCCGGAAAAGCCTCTTGTTGGCCTACCGATGTATCACTGGAACCATACCAACCCACATCCACTTATTGTTACCCGTGCGACTAAGGATTATAAGTTTGCTACCCATCCGAGGTATGATTTGATTGGAAGTAGATTGCCAGGCAACAACCGACTAGAGCCGATCTGGCGAAATAACCTCCGCTTGAAAGACGTACCTTGGATTAAAGATCACGTCGTAAGTTGGTGTATCTAACGTGCGGGTCACCTGTCGACTAACTTTTAGATAGATTGGCAATGCGGTTATTGTCCCTGGAGCGGCGTATATTGCCATGGCTATAGAAGCTGCTGCTCAGTTTGCTGAAGATGCGACTCTTGGTGGCCCGCCTTTCGAGTTTGAGGACGCGAAATTTCACTTACACACTGTGGCTGTCAAGACTGCACTGGTTATCGGAGCCAGTGGGACAGCAGACATTATGATCAACTTGCGACCGACTGATGCTTCAGCTACGCATAACCGGTTCGATTTTAAAATATGTTCTGTGACTGATGATCAATGGACCGAACATGCTAATGGGTCCATTTCCTACGAAATCATGCACGGTAAGCGGACTATGAAATCCTCTTTTGCCAATGAGACAGCCGATCCCATTTTTGAAGAGATGATTGGTAAAGATGCATGGTATGATCGTCTAAGGTATCGAGGCTTCGATTTTGGACCTTTCTTTCGGGTTATAGATGAACTTGAGATTCTACGCTATGAATCTCGCGCTCGCGCCAAAGCCCCTATTCTGAGGACTATGGCTAAGGATAGCCCCCATGAATCTCGGTATGCTGTTCATCCCTTAACAATCGATGCAGTACTACAGGGCCGTGTTGTTGCTGTTTATAACAGCCGGGCAGATAAGGAGGCAACCCAAATTCCCGTGTTTGTGGAGGACATGGTAATCTACCCTGCTTCTTGGGCAAAAAATCAGACTGGTATCATTGACAGTGTTGCCTGGACCGAGGGTGCACGGAGTGGTGGTTCTCACTCTAGGCTAGTAACTGAGGACGGCTATGAGATCATTTCCACCAAGCATGTCAGATGGCGTCAATTCGAAAACCAGGGTAGCCAAGAAAAGTTGGCTAAGAGTACTGCTCGAGAGCCATACTACCGACTACATTGGAAACCAGATGTTGATTTTCTGGATTCAGAGAAAGCCACTGGCTTGTATCACAGCGATTTCAAGTCCCCCTTGGGAATTAAATACCTCGATGAAATCCACAACATTCGTATTCGCCTGGAGACAGTGACTGTCCTTTACATATACAAGGCCCTTGAACTTATTAGCAAAGAAAGCCTTCCCTCGGATCCCTCATTACGATGGATTCACGGGTACTATGATTGGATGCAGCATGTTCGGGCTGAGGCTGCAGCTGGTAAGATGGTACTTTGCGATAATGATGCCACAAAACTTACCCACGATATGCGAGAACGTCGAATTGAGACATTGCTATCGGAGCTACCTTCTAATTTTCCCCAGCTAGAATATAATACTGTGGTGATGAAAAATATGACCGGAATTTAAATGGAACGACCTCTGGTGTGAATTTGGCGGTTGAGGCCGACGTTTTTGCTGGTGTTTATGCTGACGGCTCAATTCATGATGCCGCGCGTAAAATCTTCGGTCTCTGGTTGACATTTTAGCCCACAAAAACCCGACTATGAAGATTCTTGAAGTGGGTGCGGGAACGGGAAGCTGCACTACTCTCGTTTTAGACATTCTGAACACCTATGACAAGCACAACGGGCATGCGAAGCGGTATGCGGACTATACTTTTACGGATATTTCACCATCCTTCTTCGAGAAGGCCGAGGAGATGTTTTCGGAATACCCTGCTATTTTTTTTAAGACATTTGATGTCGAAATGGACCCAGAGAAGCAGGGCTTTAAAATCCGCGAATATGACCTTATTCTTGCATCCAATGTGCTTCATGCCCCTGGGAATACGGATAAATTGCTAGCGAACTGTAGCAAGCTTCTAAAACCCGATGGAAAGCTAGTTACGCTTGAGATTACCCAAACTGGGAGTCTTACCCCTGTACAATTTGCATTTGGCACCCTTCCGAGCTTTTGGGGCTGCCTTGACGATGTTGACGATGGTCGTCCATTTGGCCTGTTTAGAACTCTGCCATCATGGGATGAACAACTTCGTCGCTCTGGTTTTAGTGGCCTAGATTTGATTCTGAGAGACTTTCCAGAACCCCTAGCACTTGAAAGTGTCATGATGTCGACTGCTATACACGATCCAAGTAATAACACGGTGATCCCTGGAATTGGTCCCGTCACTATTGTAAGTAAAATAATCCATACAATATGTGGACAGCTGCTAACACCAATAAGGTGCACTCAGCCAATCAGTGTGACTTAGCACTAGCTATTGCTCAGCACGTTGAGAAATCGAGAGGAAACGTCAGGTACAGCTCCATGGAAAACCTTCCTGAGCTTGCTGAGTCTAGTCAACCCCAAGTATACATTGTTTTGGAAGAACTCGATAAGCCGGTTCTGATTGAAATGCAGTCAAAGCAGTTTGACGGTTTCAAGAAGCTTGTCCGCACAGCGTCAAGCATTCTCTGGGTTACTGCAGGGGACCTAATGGTTGGAAAAAATCCCGCCGTTGCAATGGCTCACGGAATCAATACTTTTCTTATGAATGAAAATTCGACAAGGCATCTTAGGTTTGCTACCCTGGACCTCGATGATGCTGCTCTCTCTGAAACTGCGACGGCTGTTAAACATATTGCGGAAATATTCTTACTGGTTGCAAAGGCACAGTCAAGAGAAGAGTGTGAAACAGATTTCATTCTAAAAGATGGAGTCGTACACATTAGCCGGGTTGTTCCCGACACTCAATTGAATGAAGAGTTCAGGTTGGACAATGGAGATGGTCGGGTGGGCCATGATTTTCCAACCTCTGGAAATGTGCAGCTGGCGTTCGAAGCTCCTGGTCTTCTAGACACGGTTTATTTCCGAGAACAACCTACTTGTGACATTGAACTTGGACCGGATGAGCTCGAAATCAATATTAAAACTGTTGGGTTGAATATGAAAGTATGTCCCCTCGTTGCATAACAACTGGCCAAAAGCTAACAATAGTTTAGGACTATGTTATTGCTATGGGAAACTTTGAAAGCGTCAAGTCTAGCAACGAGTCGACCGGGATTGTATCTCGTGTTGGTGCTAACGTTGAAAATATCAAACCGGGAGACAAAGTTATCTGCCTTGAGCGGGGCCATTACGACACATTTCTGCGAAGTCCCGTAACTAAGTGTGTAAAGCTAAACGATAATGATGACCTGCTTGAGATGGCTACAGTTGGCATTGCTCATGGCACTGCATTTTATTCTCTAAGATACCTAGCACAACTTGAAGCTGGAGAAACCATTCTTATTCAAGCTGCTACCGGTGGCCTGGGTTTGGCTGCTATACAATATGCAAAGCTCGTCGGAGCAGAAATATATGCAACCGTTGGTACCCAAGTTAAAAAGGAACATCTGATGAACGAATGGGGGATCCCAGAAACCGCATCTTTTGGTCTCGCTCTCTTAGCTTCAAGCAACAACTGTTGAAAGAGACAAGGGGACGAGGAGTTGATGTAGTGCTTTCTACCATCTCGGGCCCAGGCTTCCATGAGAGTTTTGGCTGCCTGGCACCATGTAAAAGGTTAATTGACGTTGGTAGAGGAAATGTTTTGGATAAGGAAATCTAGGATTGCATGTTTTTGACAAAAGCATCAGCGTGTTCTCTTTCGACCTCAACTTTGTGCTCGAGGAAAAACCTCAACTTGCTTCGCGGTAAGATCCCCTGGCTGCTGATTTCATATTAATGTGTAGCTGATGGTCCTCAGACTCCTAACAGATATGATGGCACTCCTAAGAGAAAGGAAGATCAAGCCAGTCAGAATAGATCGGACTTTCCACATCACTGAGATGGAGAAAGCTTTTAGGTACTTTGGCCAAGGGCAACATATCGGCAAGGTGGTACTGTCATATGGCCAAACTGATAATAAAATCAAACTACACGGGGTCCTAAAGCCCAGGGGAATCCAAGGTCATAACAGTTATGTCTGAGCTGGCTGCCACGGCGGCCTTGGACACAGTATCGCGGATTCGTTAATCGAACACGGTGCTCGGAATCTAGTTTTTTTATCTCGTTCTGGGGAGACAAAGCGAGAAAATGCCTCTTTCATTGCACGAGCAAAAGCAAGGGGTGTCAATGTCGTATCAGTGCAAGGAGACATATCCAAGATGACGGACGTGGAGGAGGCTATTGCTCAGGCAACCTCGATGGGCCCTTTAAAAGGAGTAGTACATGCCGCAATGGTTTTACAAGTAAGCTTAAATCTACTCATCATGATCAGTATGTCTTCTAACTAACTATTCAAAGGATGCATTTTTTGATACCATGTCTCTGGAAACCTTCAATGTGGCTATTCGCCCCAAAGTTCATGGCGCCCTGAACCTGCATAATGCGACACTCCGTGCACACGCTGAACTAGACTTTTTCTTCATGACGAGCTCCACTGTGACTTATGTTGGACATATATCTCAGTCCAACTATGCAGCGGCCAATGCGGTTCTTGACAATCTGGCAAGACACAGACGTGAATTGGGTCTTCCAGCGACAACAATTTCATTGGGGCCGATTAAGGGGGTTGGGACCTTGAAGAAAAACCAGAATATGCCGAAAATCTACTACGATCCGGTTTGATTGAAGCCCCAGAATCTGAGTTCATCTATCACTTTGAGAGACTCATCAAGGAACAAGAAAAATCGCCACATTTCGACAGAAATACACAAGCGCATATCCTCACGGTTGTGGGATACAGCAAGCATGACCTGAGCATGGTTCAGGTGACTAGAACTGAAAAAGACCGCCGTTCCGCACTGTTGGTCACCACCCTAGCTTCTCGTAAAGCTGCAATTGGAGAAGGTACCGCTTCAGCAGAAATTAAAGGTGAAGATGCATTAGATATCCCAGAGGACCGAAACACAGCAATAATAATCCTCGCCGATGCTGTCGCTCAAAGACTGGCAAAGCTGCTCTTCATTTCTTCCGATGATATTGACATCACGCGCCCGCTATCGCATTACGGCATTGACAGTATGTCTGGTAGTGAGCTGGTACACTGGCTGTCTCAGAAATTTTCTGTTGGCATGTCTTTTCTTGAGCTGTTGGATCCCATGTGTACACCGAAACACCTAGCTGGCGTTATATACGATACTGCACAGAGACACAAAGAATCGACTTCAGCTACAGATGCTGGAGTTACGGACGTCATTTTGGATGCAAGTGGAGGATCGTATGCGGTAGACGGCGATACCAGTGCAGTTAAGTCTCTACCGGTGGTTGAGGAGAATTATCAGCGGCTTGGGTCTCAGCTAGATATGTTTTCGGTATACCTTACACAGGCAGTGTCTGAGCCAAAGCCGGTAACACATTCTTACGTCTGCTCGGTGATAAATAAAGAGGGTAGGTTGGCACTCTAACTAACACAACAAAGCTAATAGGCAAGTCTATAGGTGATCAACTATACTCCCACGCGGAAGGCTTAATTTCACAGAATTCAAGTGAACGCGCAGGTTTTGACTCAGTCTACTGCATGGCTTCAATGACAAAATTGATAACGGCCATTGCTGTCATTCTGTGTGTAGAACGTGGTCAAATATCCTTAGATGAGGATGTTGCCTCAATTTTACCTGACCTCTGTTCCCTCCCAGTTCTCGACAATATTAATGCTAAAGGAAAGTACTCGACCAAGATGAGAAGTAAGCCGATAACACTTAGGCTCCTACTCACCCGTTAGAGTGGTTGTGGGTATCATTCTAGCCTATATTTGTCGCGGTGGGCTAAACAAAATAGTCGGACAGAAAGTGTCTTCGATAACGATTTTGTAAGGATCCGTGTCCTTTATCGAATATATTAAGCAAAATATGGCTAACGATCGGTACAGAAAGTTATGAAAACTTTTCCCTTGATGTTTGAACCAGGGTCCGGCTTCATATATGGATCAGGTTTCGACTGGGCTGGCGAACTTATCGCACGTTTAAACGGGGTGAGCTTTGAGGAGTTTTTACAGACTAAGATCTGCAAACCCTTGGGGATGACTTCAACACCTTCCACCTTGAGAAACATGTTGACATGCTCAAACGCC